CTTGTACACACTATATGTTTGCATAATTGTCCAACAGAGATTCTAAGCTAAGTGTTTTCATGAATTTGAAGTTGAGAGACACAAAAGATAGTATTTTTGGTTGGTTTGACAGCCTTTAAAATAATTTCTTAATTTTTTTTTTCTTAAGCACCCCCCAATAAGCTCCCCCCATTAAAGCAGAGAAAACAAAATAATTTTAACAGAGATGCTTAGCACAATTTTATTAATAAAATATATAATAAGCATCACATAAGCACCTTTGCGTTAAGCATGCTCTTAGAGGCCAAATTGTTTGTGTTAAAAGGTAATTAACTTATTGGTAAAAAAGTGTTGACATTATTTCATAGCTTGAGACCTTGAGTCTCATTTTGAGAAATGTCTTTTTCCTTACCAATTGGTTTATTCCATAAAAGCATAAAGAATAAAATAAATTCTCTTACATTACATGAGAATATATCATTATCATTTAGAAGAATATTGACCGCACTATGAGTCTATGACTCTATGAGACAGCGTCCACTGTGTCGGCACGTGTTGGAGAAAAAAGCAATATGTTATATTTGTGCCAAGCACACTTGTTACTAAGCACATCACACTCCTTACTGAGGTTGACTTGAGGTTGAACAGAAGATAGACTGAGTTCAGACTTTTGTTAAGCATATTGTTGCATATATAAAGAGCCCAACGATCTGATCTCTCTCTCCCATATTCCCATTGACCTCTTTAATTTGTTTCCCTTTCGCTTGATTTAGCATCTTCTTTTGCACATTGACCAAAAAAGAACAATGTTTTCTGTTTCCGAATTTGTTCTCCACAACTATGACCAAGTTTGTGAGACATGCATGGGAGCTAATGCGACTAACAAGGTTGCATATAAAGAAAACGGTGATGACGGTGACGACGATGTCTATGATTATGCGCCAGCGGCATGAGTGCATCATTATTTTAAGTTTTAGACCACATCATAGTGATTTTGTTTTCATAGTGACTAAATATTCGTTTTATAATATGCACATTGTTTGTGGTTATGTTGTTTAAAGTATAAGCTTATGGTATATGTTATTGTTGGTGAACAGTCGCGTCCATATTTGAATAAATAAACATTCAATAAAAATAATGAGAAATCTCATATAAAACCTTCAAAATGACCACTATACTTACACTTTAAACAAGTAAATAATTTCACTAGCTCTGTAAACTTTCAGACTAAAACCATTACATACAAATATCTTTTGAATAGTATCTAGCCACTAGAAATAATATTCCTATGAGATGGCTAAACGCCTAAACCTTTTCTTACTTTCTTGCTTTGCAACAAATATTCCGTCGATTGAAGTACCCAAATAAGAAAGGTAAATTCCAATCATATGTTCGCATGCGGACGTGTCATTATAAATTCCATCTGTTAAAAAGTTAATCACGATTCGTAATTTATATTGTGCCATTCCACAATTTTGATCAGCATGTCACACTCCTTGCTGAGGTCAGTAGAAGACGGAAACGAGTCCAAACACTCATCAACTTTTCTTTTCACCTATAAAAGAGCATAATAATCTCTTCTTCCCTCTCATCAAACTCACATCAATCTTTCTGTGTCTTGCATTTGATATTCGAAGCTATATTTAGTATTCTTTTGTCCATTAACCAAAGAAAAAAAACTATGATTTCTGTCGTCGAGTTTGTTCTCTGCGTAGATAACAATGTCTATGAAACATGCATTATGTGCGAAATCTCTAGCAAAGCTCAAGCTGCGTCTGAAGAAAACGGTGACAACGATGATGACGTTGTCTATGATTATGCTCCAGCAGCATGAGCGGATTATATTTCTGTTAGGCCAAAGCGTAGATGAGTGATATATATGAACCATGATTTTGTACTTACTATATTAATGATTGTATGGCCTATAGGCCTTTTTAAATGTTTTCGCAGTTAACACTTTCACTATAAGCCGTCCAATATTTGATTCTCTAAACCTCAGTTCGTCTCACATTATATATTCGAATGATATATAGAAAAGTTCTTACACATAAAACCTTCAATGTATATCAAATATCATTGTGATCATCCTATCCTTAGTTGATAGAGATTGCTAGAATCACACTTGCCGTATATACAACCCATGCACACTGTCGTCATCGTCATCGCTCTACATATCCAACATAACTTTCAGTGGCATCATATGCTTAATCAACTTCCACGAAACATTTTCCTTGTAAGGTCAATGGGAAACTAAAAGGGATTTATGAGTTTGTTCTTTCTTTAGTCAACATCAGTAAAGAGTGCGATGTGCTTAGAAACAAGTGTGCTTGCCACAAACATCATATTGCTTTTCTCCAACACGTAGGAATGTCACATACAGAGAGAAAACAAAGGTTCAATCAGTCCAATCCTGTATGGAATTACACTGTCGATCTTATATAAAATAAGGTAAAAAATAATAATTACTGATGCATTGAAAAATAAGTCCTACTATACTATTAGCAAATTGCAACATACCAGAAGTATGATTTGTTGTCCCCCACTCTACACCAAGAGGAATGGCATTTTGGTCGATTTGTTGGATATAAGGATCCTGAGCTAGAAGAGAAAATTATTCAGATCTTTTGGTTAGGAATTCCACATTAGCTAGAAGTCTGATGGACGTTGAGTAAAATATAAGCGTAAGGGAACTTTGGGTAATATTCAGATAAGTGAATTGGCTAATGTCAAATGTATGTTATTATATGTGTCATCACATTTTAAAATCATTGTAGGTCTTATATATGATAACTAATGGTACATAATTTTGTTATATATATATCAATTTCATTCAGTTATATAATTTGAGACAAACTATAGTTGAGAAATCCAAATATTGGACTACTTATAGTGAAAATGTTAATCGGGAAAACATGAAAGAAGGCCACACGATCATTAATACAACAAGTACAAAATCATGGCTCATATGTATAACAAATCATCTACGCTTTGGCCTAACAGAAACAGATTCCGCTCAATGCTCATGCTGCTGGAGCATAATCATAGATAACGTCATCATCGTTGTCACCGTTTTCTTCAAACGCAGCTTGACCATTGCTAGCAAATTCGCCTCCAATGCATGTTTCATAGACATTGTTCTGTACGTGGAAAACAAACTCAGAGACAGAAACCATAGTTTTTTCTTTGGATAATGGAAAAAATATTTCTAAATTTTTTGCTTCGAAGATCAAATGCAAGACACAAAAGATTGAAGTGAGTTTGATGAGAGCGAAGGAGTGATCATTATGATCTTTTATAGGTGAAAGAAAAGCTGATGAGTGTTTGGACTCGTTTCCGTCCTCTACTGACCTCAGCAAGGAGTGTGACATACTGATCAAAATTGAGGAGTGGCACAATATGAATTACGAATCGTGATTAACTTTTTGACAGATGGGATTTATAGTGACACGTCCGCATGGAGCACATATTGGTCTATCTGGGTACTTCTTTCGATGGAATATTCTTATCAAAGCAGGAAAACAAGAGAAGTTTTAGCCTTTTCATCATGCATGGGAATATTATTTATAGTGGCTACATAAAATATCTAAAAGATATCTGTGTTTTTCTTTTATATAGATACACTAGATGCATACACATACATACTCAGGTTTAGTTATATTTACTTTTATTTCATATTTTGAATACATAAATCAATGTGTCAATCTTATAGTATGAAACTCTCGTTTTGACAAACCAAGTGATTCAACAAATTAACATGAATAATAAGTCAATATAATTCACTAATAACCGTCAAAACTTTGTTTGTTCTTCTTTTTTTAAGCATTTGCAAGAAATTAGTTGGGACTTTGTCGTCATATATGAATGCTTGGTTGATTCTGCCATGTTTCATTGTACTTGATCCCTAGATTATGTAACTTAAAAGTTGATGTGCTCACTTATTCAACCCATGCCCTTAATTTTCGCTTTAACTTTGTAAGCATTTTTGCTTCGTTGTCCCGGTTGCTGGTTTATTTGCATTAGATAACCCGTGGCAAACAAAAGAAAAAAAAAACTACTAAAAGAAATGGCCGTCAAAAACCAATAGTAAAAGAAATAATGTTATGTGTATGCCTGTATGGTCGTTATAAATATAATAATAAGGAAAGCAAATAAATTAAAGTTTGGGGGAAAAGTAACACCCAAAAAGAAAGTTATCGAGTCTTGGTGTAATTATTGCTTTGTGGAGGACATGTGAATGAAATAATGGTGGTGGTCATAGATTTAAAGCTTTATATGCTGTCAAAAAGAAGAAGAAGAAGAAGAAGAAGAATAACATATATACAGAATCCAAATGCATAGAAGAAGAAAGCCATTGACAAACATACACTAAGCTTCTCTGTTTCAAGTTTCAAGGAATATAAAATACAAACAAAGGTTTATAGGTATGTTTCTCATACTTTTCTGATTTCGAAGGCGTCATTCTTTATTTTTACATGTATTTTATTGGTGGGTAAGAAAATAACAAATTCTAAAAACACTTAAGAAGATGGATGATCTTTGCGTATCAAGATAACGTCAGTTTGGTGCCATGTCTTTCGTTTCTCTATCATCAAGATTCACCACCATGTTAAATTGTATTATGCTTCAAGATATGTTTTTTTTTTTATTATAACAAAATTGACTTGGGATTATTTTGAGATGAATTCGTAAATGTTGACATAGAAAGTTGTTTCGTATTTTAAACATCGTAATCTCTTACAGCATAGTTCGGATGATTTTTATACTTCCAGAATCTAATCTGGTTATAATAGTTTTTTTTTGTCTTTAATTGTTCATCAGATAAGAAACATTAAAAGGTATTAAAAACGAAAGAGGTGTTCTTGCGTGCATTGAAAAGAAACCAACTATCCAAGTGATGTTAGATAAACTGTCACTGTGCAGCTCACAAAAATTGTCTTTAAAAACCTAAACCCCAATACTAATTTGTACTCTCTTTAGAAAAAAAAGCATTAAGCTGAGAGATAGATTTTCGCAGCTCAACGATGGTATTCTGCACCGAGGACGTGACCACCGGAGTGAAAGATGCTATCACTTATTGTTGCAGATGCAAAGGCAAAAAAGTTGCTCTCTCTGAACACGAAGACAATGATGAGAAGCTTATCGGAGACTTGGACTACAACTACGACCACGAAGTAGCTCAAAAAACAAGACATTCCTTTTGCATTTTCTCCGGCATTTCTTTCTGATTGTGTTTGGTTTTTCAGGTTGTTGTTTACCAGATCAGAAGTCGGGCGATGGAGAAACTAAGGCAGAAGCCAAGGATAAGCATGGAGAAGAGACTAACTTACGAAACCATTGAGGAATGGAACATCGAAAAGGAAGAAGGTGTCGAGTTTTGTTCGGTGGGAAGCAGTTTTTCGGAATGTTGCTCTAGCGAACTGAGCATTGAAGGATATATGACGGCGAAAACAGAGTTCTCGAGGTGTTCGAGCTTGAAAGGTGCAGAGTTGGAGAATCAATGGAAGATGTATTATGCGAATGAAATCAGGAAAAGATCGGTGATTCAAGAGTTGTGTCATTGCCAAGGCTGGCCGTTCGGTTTAGGAAGAAAAGCGGCGTTGCTTCCGCCGCTACCAAAGTCTCCGGCAGAGTCTTGGTCATGGAGGAAACCCAACAGAGTTTCTCCACTTCCTTTTATTTAACAAAGGCAGCTCACAAATGTTGAATCACAAAACAGTTATAATCATTACTTCATTAGAAACAAAAAGACTCCCTGTTAAAAATTGTTGGAGCTGTGAATTTATTTTTCAAATTGTGGACTTTGAAAACCTTCGTTTGGAGGAAACAATGAACAAAACTCACCTTATATTTGTCTAGGTCAGTTATTTGACCTTATTATGTGTTTAAGACACAAAAACGCAATAAACAACATATTGCTCACATTCTAAGATCTTCTCTTTCTGTTTTATGACCTTTGCTCAACGTAAGATCCTGAGAGTCCTGAGGTGCCAAGAACAGTAACCTACAGAAGAAACAAAATCACGTGTGTTAGAATGTTTACAACAAGTTAAGCTCGATAATTACGCAACTCATAGCTGAATAAGGCTGGTCTAGCTTATATGTTACTGAGAAAGATACGCATTTGCAACTTAAATCACCAGAAGACTGAAGTTTTGAGAGCATTAGGTTGTTAAGATCAAGCAAAAAGGGTCTGAATTTTGTTACCTTTCCCCATTCAGAACCAAGCCCGCTGCATCTCATCTTCAAGTGGATCATCTTTGTCCCCAACTCCATCTCAACCTTCTTCTTCAAGTAAACTTCTTCAGGTCCAAAGGCATCCAAGTATTCAGCGTACCTCTGATAAGCAGTACGCAGCGCCTTGGCTATATCGTCAGGTAAGGTCTTCACATTCTGTATCAAAAGACAAAATAATTAATCATAAAAAAAAAACCTGAAAATGCAAAAAAAATTGTTGGTGAGGGGAACAAGAACAAACCTCCCCACTCATTCCAATGCTATCATCGATTTCCATTTTAATGGAGGTGAGAATCCCACCGAATTCCTCTACAGCTTCAGCTGCTCGGAACACATTCTTTAAGGCCTCTTGCCCTGTCTTGTCATCAGTGTTTTTCGAAACTGCGTTTTTGGCGTCGTGAACAACAGAAGAAGGTAGCTCTGCCCAATCTGCAGCCATCAATTCTTTGAAAGCATTCAGAACGTCAGCGTCTTTCATTTCAGGCATGTGAGACACATCTTCGCTGAAGTTTCGCACCATTCCGATATCCATTGCACGGGAATACCTACAATCTGCATTTTCCACCATCAAACATATCAAATACAAAGTGAATGCACCGAGTAGGCAGACCTCTCAAATTCTTCTCAACACAATATTTATACTTTTCAAAGATAACTTTACAACAAACTCTCAACTTTGAGCTTCAGTTTTCACCACGAAGCACCTAAATTACAAAGAGCTTGCGCGATTAGACTTCAAAGTCTTTGCAACAAAAAAAGCTAAATTTTCAAAGGTAACTTTATAACGAACACTCGTCTTTTCAGACCATCTTTCACCATCAACAATGTTAATTACGAGGAGCAAGTAGACCTCAAAGTATTCGCAACAAAAGAGCTATCGGTTTCAAAGGTAAAGGTATATCGAACTCTCAAATTTCTCCAATACAAAAGAAATGCCTACATTAGGCAAATCAGTCAAATACGAGAGAAGCGAACAAAATTGAAGAACAATGAAACAAAACGATAATGAAATTGATCTAGGAGTCGTGATCCTCGCATCAGAGAGGAGCTAATCAACGTATCTAGAAAACGAATTTGTTGATCCTTCTAGAGATCAACACAGTGAGCTTAAGATTCCACCAAGGCTAATATTCAGCAACTAGACAATCTCGTTCATCGGAAGAGATAGAAACAAAGAAGAAACGATTATAATCACTAACCATAAGGAGTTTGATTGGAAGGAAATGAAGGAACAGCGAAGAATCCTCGCGTGGTGAGGAAACGATTGCGCAGTAGCTGATTAGAAGCGGCGGATCTCGATGATCGGAGCGCAGCGACGGAGGCCGCCGTTGCGGTTCGGCAGAGGGATCTCAGAAGCACCATTTTAGATGTAATCAGAGAGCTCGAGAATTTTCGTTTTTTCTCAATCTGAATGCGAAAGCTCTCTCTCAACATTCCGAATTACAATGATGGTGACAACGTTTTGGACCGTAGTAGGTGGTTTGGGCCACAAACCTTAGAGCGCGATCTCCAGCCCATTCAAGCCCATTTAGATGAAATTTCCGCATCTTTAACTCTTTACTAATCGTAATTATGGCGAGACTGTGAGTCTGTGATGGCCGAATGAAAGAAAATTGAGAAAACATTTTTGGATTTTGTGGTTTACTTTTCCTTCCTCTCCATTTTTTAAGAAGCCTTGAGTTTGATCAACATATATAGAACAGCTGATTGCAGTCACCATGTAAAAATGGTATTCTAAGAATACATTTTCACGTATTATAAATAAATTGGTTGAATTCATCTGTTGAGTTGAAACTATAAAGTATAAACACTCATGGGTGATGATCATAGCCATAGTTTTCATTTGGTTGGTGGAATCACTTAAATGTAATTAGAAAGACCAAACACGTTAATCACTCACTCGGAGTCACCTAATAAATCCAAACTGAAAATAGCTTTTTTTATTGGAATATTATAAAGTAATCATTAACCAATTATCATCTCGTTGCTTCCGCAGAAAATAACGTTTTCTCTCTTCTTTTTAACAGAAAAGTCTTCTATTGGCGCTCTGCCTTTATCCGCACTCTCTCTCTTACAATCATTTCTACCAAACAGATACAATAATAAACATTCGACTCTTTTTCTCTCCCATGGAGTCAACGAAGAAGCAAGTCTCGTTGGAGCTATTTCCATGGTTAATCGTTTACAGCGACGGAACGTTTGAAAGACTAGCCGGAACCGATTTTTGTCCACCCGGTTTAGACCCAGAAACAAAGGTATTATCTAAAGATATCATCATCGATCCCAAAACCGGCTTATCCGCCCGAATCTACAGACCCGACTCGATTCAACCGGGTCAGAAACTTCCTCTCGTGCTCTATTTCCACGGCGGCGCATTTCTCATCGCCTCCGCCTCCTTTCCCAGTTACCACACCAGTGTCAACAAACTTGTCGGTGAAGCTAACATCATCGCCGTCTCTGTCAGTTACAGGTATTCAGTCCGGTTAAAGTTGACTTATTGAACCTGATTTTATTGGTTTAGCCGGGTAAAGACATTTAGTTTCGGTTGACAAAACAATTATTCTGGTTTAACGGAATTCATAGAACCATTTGTAAGTCGGTTTAGTTTTGGTTGGTTGATGCCATTTTTGGTTTGTTCTGTTTAGTTTTCGGGTCAGTTTTTGATTAAAGAGAAAGTATAAAGTATAAACATGTATTAAAAAAAAATTAGAAACAAAATAGTGATTTATATGATATATTAAAGAGTATACAATTACGCTAAAATGGTTTCTGATTTGGTGTTTCAGATTTAAAATTATTAAACCAACAAAGGTTTATAAATAAGAGATGTCGGTTTGATTTTATTTGGTTTTTTCCGTTACATTTTATTTTCTCAAGTTATTATTATCTTTTATAATTTTTGATTCATTTGGACAGACTAGCGCCAGAAAATCCACTTCCTACTGCTTACGAAGACTCATGGAACGCGTTACAAGAGATCAATTCCGGAAACGAGCCATGGATCAACGACTACGCCGACTTGGACCGTTTCTTCCTAGTCGGAGACAGCGCCGGAGCTAACATCTCGCACCACCTCGCCTTCCGAGCCAAGCAATCGGACCAGACCGTAAAAATCAAAGGCATCGGAATGATCCACCCGTACTTCTGGGGAACACAACCGATCGGATCAGAGATCACAGACGAAGCGAGGAAACAAATGGTGGACGGATGGTGGCGTTTCGTGTGCCCATCCGAGAAAGGATCCGAGGACCCGTGGATCAATCCGTTTGCGGACGGGTCACCGGATCTTGAAGGGTTGGGGTGTGAGAGAGTGTTGGTTACGGTGGCGGAGAAAGATATATTGAGTGAGAGAGGGAAAATGTATTACGAGAGGTTGGTGAAGAGCAAGTGGAGAGGCAAAGCGGAGATTATGGAGACCAAAGAGAAAGATCACGTGTTTCATATATTCGAGCCTGATTGTGATGAAGCTATGGAGATGTTACGACGCTTGGCTTTGTTCATTAACCAAGTTGAAGCTTGAAATTTGTTTTTCGGGTGCAGTTTTTTTTTTTTTTCTGTTTGATTTTATGGCTTTTTAAATGTTTTTACCAAATTTTTTATTGCCCTGTTAAGTGTTAATAATGTAATGTTCTCCTTTATATTCAGTTTACTATGAATCTTACAAGATTTGTTCCAAAACGATTTCTAGAAGAAAAAATGTTCTCCTGTATTTACTTTTTTTTTAATAAGGTTTGTACTTACTTTTTTTTTTTTTGTGGTCAGGATATATATATTATGGTAGCTAGGTTTTTCTAGAGGTCTTAATACAAGTTTTAAGTTTTTGCGATGTCTCTCTCTGTTCGATCAGCGAATAAAAAAATGATCCTGACTTTAGATTCTATCCCGACTGAACTCATCATGGAGATACTGTTGAGATTGCCATCAAAGTCAATCGCGATGTTTAGTTGCGTGTCGAAGCAGTGGGAATCAATACTTAGTAGTCCATATTTCACAGAGTTGTTCCTGACCAAGTCCTCGGCTCAGCCTCGAAAAAAAGGGTTCGTGGAGCATCTTCTCCGTGCATCAGAATCAGTCTTCGTCGTCGCCTCTTGTAGTAGCCGCAGAATTTCATATGAAGTTCCCTCCAGAAAATATGCAGATCTCTTATGACCGACGATTTTCATGTGGCCATGCCTCTGGTTTGATATACTTCTATAGGTTGTTGATCCCAGCGAAGCGTGAACATAATGGAGTGCCTGTGGTATGTAACCCTAACACAGGACGATATGCGACCTTACCTTATCTGACAAGGTACAGAAAGGCGAATAGCTTTTTCGGGTTTGATCCGATTGACAAGCAATTCAAGGTATTGTTCATAGCTTATCCAAGTGATGATAGGCATAAGATCCTATCATTAGGAACTGGAAAAATGAAGTGGAGAAGGATTAAATGTCCCTTAAGACATGATGTTGTGAGTGAAGGAATATGCATCAACGGGGTTTTGTATTACGTAGCTGACCCGTCTGGTTGGGATGGTGATCACAAGTCTGATTGTGTGATAGTTTGCTTTGATGTTAGGTCTGAGACATTCAAGTGGATTTACTTAGAAAGCTTTTGTGAGTTGATAAACTATAATGGTAAATTAGGTGTGATTTATTTGGAGGATAGAGTCGAGGCTAATGCCTTTGGGTTGCGTGTGTGGGTCTTAGAGGATTTGGAGAAAGAAGAATGGTCGAAATCTGAATACAGTTTGAGGGATGATAAACTCATCTATGATGATGTTTCTGAATGTGTTTCCGTCGTTGGAGTGACTGCTACGGGTGAAATTATTTTGTCATTTAGCTATTTTAGTTCTGAACGACCATTTTATGTTTTCTACTTCAATCCTGAGACGAAGACTCTAAAAAGCGTTGAAATCAAAGGTTTTGGAGATATTGTAGGGTGTGTGAGCCCAAATGTTTACACCTTTGTAAACCATGTAGAGGATCTTAATGTTAACAAGGCAAAGCTACTCAATTCAAGCATCTATGCTCCATATGTGATTAAAGCTTACTCAGAATCAGAAGAAGAAGAAGAAGAGTCTGCAGAATAAGAATGAGAATGAGAAGGAGAAGGAGAAGGAAAAAGGAAAAGGAGAAAAAGGAGACGATAACTGGAGTTAGGTGAAAGCAATGGGCATGTCATTTTTTGCTCTTATATTTGCGTTTATGATGGTTTTTATAATTATGTACCCTTTCTTATCACTATTTTAATAAATCAAGTTTTCTTTTAAAGTTCTATATCTCCCGTCAGTTCTAAAACCGATAATATCATCTGTGCTGTATAATTGAATACAAAAAATGCGATTGTAAAGAGTTTCTTTCGAAAATGAAAATGACACCAAGACTTACACGAGCCAGATTCATCCAGAAATCTACTATATCAGATATTAAAATGGTAGCTTAGTGTGAATAAGAACTTACAGTCACAAAGAGAAATCTGACATCCAGTGAGAAAGTTAGCATACAAATGAAGAAGACACATATCCCATATCTCTCACTTTGCCTCCGAATAAGAAAGAGTCTTCGACATCAACCTTCCATATTGAAACCTCTGACCACACTAGAGTCCTTTCCTCTTTAGACAATCAAAGCTCAACTGAATGCAAGCCTAAGCTTCATTCCCAAGCTTGACTCAAATCGGACCTGACGTGAATTCTAATAACACAATCTCATCACTTGGCATTTGATTCTTCGGTTCCTCTTTTCACCATTGATTATTAGAGTTTTAACACACCTTAATATAATGACCGACTTTGTGGTTCCCAACCACATATCAGTTATAGAGAAAGATCACGTGTTTCATATATTTGAGCCTGATTGTGACGAAGCTATGGAGATGTTACGACTTACGACGCTTGGCTTTGTTCGTTAACCAAGTTGATGCTTGAAAATTTTTTTTCGCGCCCTTTTATTTCTGTTTGATTTTATGGCTTTTTAAATGTTTGTACCAATTTTTATAATTTTTTTCAATAGTGTTAATAACTTGTTATCCCTAAGATTCTGAATGTCTTATCATTATCTATTGAATCTCCGAGTTCTATGAGTATATAGTAGAAGTAAGCTTAGTGACGACAACTTCTCTGAAATTCTTGGGTAACTGCGCGATCAAGGGAACAAGAACTACACTTTACCCATCGAGTTGACTTAATCTTAGTAAAGTCTACTATGAATAATGAAGTCTACTACTAAAAGTTTAACGTCGGTCACTTGCAAAACTAATCTCGCAGACTGTACGATGAAACAAAAAAGTGCTTCACCAAAATTTAGAGAAAACACATCGATCTAGCGATGTTGCTAAACTACTTTTACTTTGGTGTGACTTTTAACTTTTGACACATAATTTATATTCAGTCTACTACGAATCTTAGGGGACCAGGGGTTTACTGGGAGTAGAATTTGTGTAAATTTTAAAAAAATTAAAAGTTAAGAGAATTATTAAATTTATTTATAAACACTTTTTGTTAGATTTGGAAAGATTGTAAATTTAGAAAATCAATCAAAATATTTTATTATAATGGATTTTGAGAATCTAAGGGTTCTAAGTAGTATTTTGAAAGTTTTGTTTCATGAGTTAGTTTGTTTAAAATTCATTTCCCAATATAAAAGATTTTAACAATTCATGAAATCATTCAAATTGCAAATTTTTTGAATAACAATGGATTATATGTGGATTTTAAAAGTCATCAAACCAATAACAATGGGATTTTAATAAGATTGTCAAAATCCATTAATCAATAACAAGGGATTTTGCAAATTTTAATAATCAACACAAATTCTAGTCTCAATAAACCTCCCCTAGTCAATATATTTGTTCCAAAACGATTGGAGCCTTCTGGAAGAAAAAGTATTATACTTTTCCTGTATTTACCTTTTTTTTTAAGGCATGTATGTACATTATTTACTTTTTTTATTTGTCAGGATATGTATGTATATATTATGGTAGCTAGGTTTTTGTTTTTTTATAGGTGGGTCTTAATACAAGTTTTATTCTCTGTTCGATCAGGAAACTAAAAAAACAGTCATGACTTCAGATTCCATCCCGAGTGAACTCATTACCGAGGTATTGTCGAGATTGCCTTCAAAGTCAATCACGAGGTTTCACTGCGTGTCGAAGCAATGGGAATCAATGCTTAGTCGTCCATATTTCAGAGAGTTGATCCTGACCAGGTCCTCGGCTCAGCCTCGTATCTTATTCGTCATCGAAGGGAAGGGTTTGTGGAGCATCTTCTCTGTGCCTCAGAATCCGTCGCCATCGTCGTCCCTTGAAGTAGCTGCCGAATTTCATATGAAGTTTCCTCCAGAGAATATGCGGATCTATGATAACCGACAATTTTCATGTGGCTATGCCTCTGGTTTGATCTATTTCGGTATGTTGTCGTTCCCAGTGGAGGAACATGGGAGAGTGTCTGTGATATGTAACCCTAAGACGGGAGGGTATGAGACCTTACCTTTCCTCTCAAGGTACAGAAAGGCGTATAGCTTTTTCGGGTTTGATCCGATTGACAAGCAGTTCAAGGTATTGTTCATGGCTTATCCGTTTGGTCCTGATAGACATAAAATTATGACCTTAGAAACTGGAGAAAGGAGGTGGAGAACGATTAAATGCTCCTTAAGACATGAGATTGTGAGTCAAGGAGTATGCATCAACGGGGTTTTGTATTACGTAGGTGACACGTCTGATTGCTATGGTGATCACGAGTCTGATTGTGTGATAGTTTGCTTTGATGTTAGGTCTGAGACATTCAAATTTATTTACTTGGAAAGCTTTTGTGATTTGATAAACTATAATGGTAAATTAGGTGTGATTTATTTTGAGGATGATGATGATAGAGTCGATGCTGATGCCATTGAGTTGGGTGTGTGGGTCTTAGAGGATTTGGAGAAAGAAGAATGGTCGATATATGAATACACTTTGAAGGATGATAAATTCATGTTCGCTGATGTTTATGTTGTTGGAGTGACTAGTACGGGTGAAATTATTTTGTCCATGAGATATTTTAGACCCGTACGACCGTTTTATGTTTTCTACTTCAATCCTGAGACGAGGACTCTCCAAAGTGTTGAAATCAAAGGTTTTGGAGATATCGGTGAAGGGTTGGCGGGACTTGACGTTTACACCTTTGTAAACCATGTAGAGGATCTCAATGTAAACAAGGCAAAGCTACTCAATTCAAGCATCTATGCTCCATATGTGTATACAGACTTAACAAAACAAGTTTGTCGTGAGGACTCAGAATCAGAAGAAGAAGAAGAAGTAGAAGAAGAATCATCAGAAGAATCATCAGAAGAAGAAGAAGAAGAAGAAGAAGAAGAAGAAGAAGAACGAGAAGGAAAAGAAGAAAGATAAAGATAGAGACGATAACTGAAGTTAGACGATAAAGATGTCATTTTTTGCTCTTATATTTGCGTTGATGATCTTTATAATTATGCACACTTTCTTATAATTAATTTAATAAATCAAGTTTTCTTTAAAAATTCTATCTCTCCCCTCAGTTCTAAATCAATAATATCATCCGTGCTCTATTGAATACAAAAACAGCGATTGTACAGTTTATATGTTATATGCACATGCATACATCTATTATACAAAAACAGCGATTGTAACGTTTCTTGCGAAAATGAAAATGGCGCCAAGACTTTCACGTGCCAGATTCATCCATAAATCATTATAAAATCGTAGCTTACAGTGAATAAGATCACAGTCACAAAGAAAAATCTGAAATTAAACGACAGCAAAGCCTTCGAATAAGAACCCTCTGACCATAGTAGAGTCTTTTCACCTTTGGACTAATCGAAAACATCCAAAGCTCAACTGAATGCAAGCCTAAGCTTCATCCCCAAGCTTGACTCAAATCGGACCTGGTGTGAAGTGTAATAACATAATCTCAACAATTGATTCTTCGGTTCCTCTTTTGACCATTGATTATTAGAGTTTAAATACTCCGGAATATAATGACCGACTTTGTGGATCCCCACATATCAGTTAACTCTATAATCCTGGTTCAATGGGTGGTAGAAATAATCTTAGACACTTTCATTGTCATCTTTCCCCACCAAATAAAATCAATAAACCAAACATTATTTGTATAATTACATAGTTGAATACGATAGATAACAAGAATCATATATAATCATAAAAAGCAAAGAGTAGGCCAAGGGCTAGAGAACCTAGCATGTATAGTACTTTTGGGGACAAGCGATAGTGGAAGGTGATCCATCTTACGCATGAATGCTACTGCTCCGCTTGATTTGAAACTCTGATATGCATTTCAACTCTCATGTTCCTTTATTTCTAGTGTAATATCAACAATCTTTATGTTCGAACCTTCTCTTTAATCGGTGCTTACCCCCACTAAATATGATATGCATTTGAATTTTATCTTTTTCATTGTTTAGTTAATACAATAGCCCTTTTCTTATTGAGTATCCAGATACATCTTTGCATCCTTGGTCGTATATGATCCAAACCAAATGTTGTTACTAGGAGCGACACTTGGGACGTGACCATATTACATGCTCTGATGCTCTCGGGCTTGGAATAATGTACGGGTCTCAGTAAAAAAATTAGTCATAAAATATGTATAAGATCTTATTCTTAATAGTATTTTTCCTTAATCCACTGTGGACGGAAAAAAACTGAGCGTGTAAATGCATGGGCCATGTATAAACAAGAGAGCAGACATGCAAAAGTTGGGAACATATGGAAGTATGAATCACCTTGATTACATTAGATACTCAGACATCATAAAACATCATCATTCCTCTCTTTGAAGTAAAATTTCCACACATTTAAGACAATGCAAATCAAATGAAAGCTTCACTCTTTTATTGTCTTTATAAATACTGAATAACATCTTTCTTCTTGTTTCCATCTTCTGATAAACTGATCTCTTATCTAACATAAATATTTTTTTTTGTTCTGTTTTTCTTTTCTTTTTTACATATAACTTTCTCGATTTGGTCCGTGATTCATGGGCATGTCGAACAAGTCTGTTTCCACATCTATTTTTTTCCTTGCATTGGTTGTTTTGCATGGAATTCAGAACACAGAAGAGAGACAACTGATGAAAACTAGTTCGTTAAACATGGAGGGAATTTATAAGAAACGTGCAGCTGAGATCAATCCTAGCATTGTGGTCACATATACACGACGTCGTGTCCTTCGAAAGGAGGTCATCACCCACCCCACAGACTTTAGGCCTACTAATCCCGGTAACAGCCCAGGCGTTGGACACTCTAACGGGCGACATTGATTTGATCATATCATACGTCATAAGTTATATCATAAACTTATATATCTTTTCGTTTAGACTTGTCTTCTGATGCTAAATGGGTGTTTAGACATCACTTTAGCATTTTGATGTTTTGACAGTAATATGATCATCATGTCTTTGTCGTGGGTTTGTTCCACTGTCACATTTGTATCAGATATTATAATAAATAAATCGCTTTAAAAAATATATATACATAATTGATAAATTTCTTGTTCTACTGTCACGTTTGCATAGATATTTTTTGGAGAAGATATCTATATGTGAAGACTTGTTCTTTTTATTTTGAAGAGGATTTATATATTGTTTTGTTAATCTAGGGTCAGTTCGGTACTTAAATTTCAAAATCGATAAAATTTGGAAGCAATTCAGTAACATCCGATTCTGTTAAAGTTTGAACGTAGTTCGTTTAGGAAAAATGATAATATTCACCAAAGAAGGATTTTCATTAAGGATTCTCTTAAGAAGAATTAAGGTCATTCCACTTTAGTAGTAGTATCTGTTTTTCCTGAGAAGAAGTCCAATTTCACGCCTTTATAAAAAATTTCCTTCTTCGAATGTGGCATTCCCTTCATTCTTTTTACGTCTTCTCCTCTCTTAATATCTCAGTGAATTTGCCGTAAAGAAAAAGGGTGTAGCATGATCATTGACTACTTCAAAAATTAGATAGACCTTCTTTGGGCTTATTGATCAATGGGCCTACGGAATATAATTTGGATCTGTTTTGCAAATCCGACACCAACAATTATTGCATTTGCTAGCCCAGAGACAAAAAATTACAGAAACACTTGAAGTGATTGAGATCAGTGAGACTCAAATTCCAAAAACAATAATTTTCATAATCAATTGTAAAATAAATTATGAAAGCATACAAAGTTAAAAAAAAAAAAGATAGACACCTACAAACAATGCCTTTTGAGCTCACCTGTTTCTACTTTCAAATGTTAGTTTTGCAACAATTTTTGTAGATTTTTGTCTACCATTCATTCTACTCTTGGTGGTTTATTTGCGACAAATTCCTCCATCCATAAACAGAAAAGCGTATCAAAAAAAGAAGTAACAAAATAGCAAAGTACAAGGAAAGTAAAAAGAGTCAGAAAAAAGGGAAAGTACATTCTGTCAAACAAAATAATATGGAAAGTAACATCAAGCGTGTATCTAAAAAGTTAACAAGTTAACAAAAAAGAAACAACGGTCAGGATCTACACAACTCTCCGTACAATCCAACGGTTATCAATGAAACTAGGTTAAACCTAGCACACAAACCCGTAAACCCGACCCGTATTTCGCTTCCCGTCGGCCCGTCCCATGAAAAAGCGGATAAAACCCCTAATTTCGACCTAAACTTTGCCATTAATAGGAACTCTCTCAACTCTCTCAACTCTCAACTTCCTCTCTGCTTGGTCTGAAACTAGACTAATCACATCACAGAGGCACGCACTCTTAGGCGAATCTAATGGCCGACGTCAAACCTCAATCCGACTCCTCGGATTCTCAGCCGCTCGTTGACAATCAACCACCTTCGCCGCAGTCGCCGTCTCAGCCACAGCCGCCGCAGTCTCAGCCGGAGGTTGTGGAAGAGGTAAAGACTCAACCGAAACTAGCTCCGGTGCCGGTGCCACCGCCGCAACAGCCACAGTGGATCCCGATGAGATATCCACCGGCGGTTGTAATGCCGCATCAGATGATGTATGCTCCGGCGCCGCCGCCACCGGCGTACTCGCCTTACCATCAATTCTCGAATCACTACAATCAGTCTCGCGGTAACAAGTATCAGAACGCATCCAACGCTGATAACAAAACAATCTGGATCGGTGATTTGCATCACTGGATGCACGAGAATTATCTGAATTCTATCTTTGCTTCCATGGACGAGGTTTGCTTTTCTCTCTCTCTCTCTCTTACATGAACATTTATGTATGTCGTAATTAGTGTTTTAGCTTGCTTCTGTTTTCGTTGACTGTGAATGATTTGACTATCTGAAAAAGCTGTTTTATTTTCTGCTTTATTGCTGTGTTTTTTTTTTTAATTCTGCTTTATTGTTGTTTGGACATTTATGGTTACAGAACCTGAGGCTGTTGATAAAATCGGTACCTCTTAAAGGAATCAATTTGCCTTTATAAATTGGTAACTTCAACCATAGATAATTTAGCTTTTAATGTTACCTTTTTGAATTTGTTCACATCATCTCTGTGTCTTGTGGATTTGGTTCAAAATATGTGTGTTACCTACTTACCTATGTTGAATAAAGATTGGTTTGGTCAAGGTTGTTCTCAATAAGCATAATGTGTAAATCCTGATTAATGTTTTGTTACTTCAGTTTAATTTCGTTAACTTTTAATGTTTTGAAATTGACCTTAAAAAGTTTTTTACTTTGTGTGCTATGGAAGGTGATGTTTGTTGATAAATAAATGGTAGCTTTTTAAGTAAATCTTTTTGCCTCTATTTGTTCAACTTCTATATGATTGTGATTTAGCTTTTAAAGTAATAAATCTTCTTTTATATATAATTCACATTTATCTGTATTTCTTGTGGATTTGGTTCTAAATATGTGTAACGATGTTTATACAGATGGCTACGCTCAAGGTTATTCGCAATAAGCACACTGGTGCATCTGAAGGCTATGGATTCGTGGAGTTTGATTCCCATGATGCGGCGGATAAGGTTTTGCAGGAGCTCAACGGAACAACCATGCCGGGTACTACTGACCAACCTTTCCGTTTAAACTGGGCTAGTTTTAGCACCGGTGAGAAGCGGTTAGAGAGCAACGGTCCTGATCTCTCTATCTTTGTGGGGGATCTGGCGCCAGATGTCAGTGATACTTTGTTGTTCGAAACGTTCTTAGCCAAATACCCATCGGTCAAAACTGCGAAAGTCGTCTTTGATGCCAACACCGGCAGGTCAAAAGGCTACGGCTTTGTGAGATTTGGAGATGATAGCGAGAGGACCAAATCAATGACGGAGATGCACGGCGTGAAATGTTCGAGCCGAGCTATGAGGATCGGTCCTGCAACACCTAGGAAAACAACTGGTTTTCAACAACAAGGTCTTTCTTACTCATGCACTATTTTAATTAATGATCTACATTTGGTTCCTTGCAGTTTTGAAATTTGTGAATTCATTTTCTCCTGGTAAAAGCTTGTCTTATACGAAGTTTCTATTGTCTTAGTTATAACTAAACCTGTATTACCAATATATTTCATTAAAAAGCAGCAGCTACCTAGTGAGAATGTCCAGAGGTTCTTGGTACTTAACTATCTATTGGGTTTTGGCAGGTGGATACATGGTGAATGGTGCGATGGCACGTCCTGATGTGGACTCGGTGAACACAACAGTAATATATGCTCCTTCCTATCTCCTTGTTTTCTCCTTTTCATGTGATTGTGACAGAGCATAGGAGAAGGTTAATCTTTTTTTTTTTTATTTGCTCTTTAAACCATGTTTTGTAACATAGATATTTGTTGGAGGACTTGACGCTAATGTCACTGACGAAGATCTAAGGCACCCTTTTGCTGAGTTTGGCGAAATAGTTTCTGTCAAGATTCCTGTTGGCAAAGGATGTGGTTTTGTTCAATTTGTTAACAGGTATAACACATTTAATGCCTTAGTGTAAGATAGCAACCATGTGTTAAGTAAATGATATTATGTTCTGTTACGGTATTTAATATTCAACATTTGGTTGTAGACCAAATGCAGAGGAAGCTTTGGAGAAACTTAATGGGACAATCATTGGGAAACAAACCGTTCGTCTCTCTTGGGGCCGTAGTCCAGCCAACAAGCAGGTAAAAATTGTAATCTTTTCTCTTTAGTTTGTATGTTTCTGGCACTAGGGTTTCGATCTTAATATTTTTGGGGTTGTGGTTGCAGCCAAGAGATAACTATGCAAACCAATGGGTTGGACCGTACTACGGAGGGCAGTATTACAATGGGTATGGATGCATGGTACCGCAACCACATGACCCGAGAATGTACGCCGCTGCGCCTTACGGAGGGTATCCGATGTATGGTGGTCATCAGCAACAAGTAAGCTGAAGAAACTAATCGGAACATCTAAAGGCAAACAAAGAAACTCACTCGACTATAGGTAATGTTAGGAGGTGCAAGGCAAAAAGGAATTGGCTGGCTTTTTGTCTCTCCTTGGTTTTAGGGCTTATTTATCTTCTAGTGGAAGAAGAGTTTTGATGGAAACCTTAGCAGTAATTTAGGGGACTTGGATTTGATTGGATTTATTGGATTTGTTTCTTGAGATGCTTTTCACTTTTGAACTTATTGATCAAAAGAAAGAAGTGAGTTGCATTGATTGATTATTATGATCCTGTTATGTCTTTTGTTTGAAATTATAATGTTTAGCTCAACGCTGAGGAACGAAACCAAACACTTATTCATTCTAATATGGATTTAAGTAAAATAGCGAAAGAATTTGGATGAAATGAGTGAAACACAACCTGTAACAATTACAAGATTTCAGCCCGGGATTGTAGTGAAGAAATAGGAGAAAATAGAGCTGTCTAGTATCCATTTCGGAATAAAGCTTGAATAAGAGCATCAAGCACAATGGTAATGTTTAGAAATGAAGGATTTTCACTAGGATGCTCTGAGGAAGAAAGTCATTCCAGTTCAGTCACCTATAGAACTCGAGTTTCCATTATGGAGTAAATATGTTTAGTATTAGTCTGTGTTTTTCTTGAGAAGTTTATTTGCAGTGATGATTCCTCCTTCCTTTTATATTGTTATCCTCCTTTGAATGTGGCATTCCTTTCAATTTTGCAACGTTTTCTCCATGGTAATTTATTGGTGAATTTGCCATCAAACTATGGTTAAATATGATCATTGACTACTTCAAATTTGTGTATAGACTTTCTTGGGCTTAGTAATAAATGGGCTTGTAGACTGCATTTATTAGTCCACAAAACAATACATAAAGTGATTGTAGACCAGTTGACTACCAAAACAATTCCAAAACTTTCATACATTTTTGGAAATTCAGTTTTTGTGTAGATGTTTGTCTTACAATCCATTATATTCTTAGCAAATTCCTCGGTCAAAATACCAAAAAGTATAGCTTAAAAAGAAGTTCAAACAAAATATTTGTAAAAAGTGCAAGGAATTAAAAGAGACAGAAAAAAAAGGAAAGTAAATAATGCAGGTCTTCAAAATTAATAGTCATAATATAGCAACAAATTAACGAAAAAAACAACGGTCAGGATCTACAACTCTCCGTACAATCCAACGGTTATCAGTGAAACTAGGTTAAACCTAGCACACAAACCCGTAAACCCGACCCGTATTTTGTTTTCCAGTTCCATGAAAAAGCGGATAAAACCCCTAATTTCGACCTAAACTTTGCCATTAATAGGAACTCTCAAAACTCTCAACTTCTTCTCTGCTTTGGTCTGAAACTAGATTTGATCAATCACATCACATCTCATCACAAGCACGCACTCATAGGCGAAAAATTTAATGGCGGACGTGAAACCTCAATCCGACGCCTCGGATTCTCAGCCGCTCGTTGACAATCAACCGTCTCAGCCACCGCCGCCGCCGCCGCAGCCTGAGGTTGATGAACAGGAGAATCAACGGAAATTATCCCCTGTCCCACCGCCGCAACAGCCACACTGGATGCCGATGCGATATCCACCGGCGGTTGTAATGCCGCATCAGATGATGTATGCTCCGGCGCCGCCGCCACCGCCTTACTCGCCTTATCATCAGTTTCCGAATCACCACCATCAGCACCATCAGTCTCGCGGTAACAAGTATCAGAACGCATCCAACGCTGAAAACAAAACCATCTGGATCGGTGATTTGCATCATTGGATGGAGGAGAGTTTTCTTAATTCTTCTTTTGCTTCCGCCGGCGAGGTTGGCTTCTCTCTCTCTCCCACACACTCTCTCTATCATTCATTCTCTCTCTAACATGAAACATTTATGTATGTCGTAATTAGTGTTTTCGCTAGTTCTGTTTTCGTTGACTTTTAATGATTTGACCTTCTTAAAAAGGTGCTTTATTCTTCTATACGTTTGTGTTGTTTAAACATTTATGGGTCTGTTTGGTTACAGAACCTGAGGTTGTTGATAAATTTGGTACTACCTTTTAAAGTAATCTATTTGCCCCTATAAATTGTTAACTTCAATCACTAATCATTAGCTTTTAAAAGTACTTTTTTTTTAATTGTTCACATCACCTCTGTTTCTTGTCCATTTGGTTCCAAATATGTGTAAATTCATGCTTAGGAAATATTTGTTCCGGTCATTATTATTCCAAATTAGCATGTTGTCTATATTGTTGATTAGTGTTTTGCTGCTTCAGTTTTACTAAATTTTAATTTTTTTAAAAATGAGCCTTTGAAAAAGGTTTATTTTTATTTTTACTTTGTGTGCCATGGAACATGAGATGGTTGATAGAAACGGTATACCTTTTGAAGTAAACAATCTATTAGCTTATAAAGTGTTACGATGTTCATATATTCTCTTGTTTCCATTGTTCACATTCTTGTTCACTTGGTTCTAAATACGTGTAACGATGTTTATACAGATTGTTTCAGTCAAGGTCATTCGCAATAAGCACACTTGTATGTCTGAAGGCTATGGATTTGTGGAGTTTATTTCCCATGATGTGGCCGATAAGGTTTTGCAGGAACTCAACGGAAAAACCATGCCGACTACTGACCAACCTTTCCGTTTAAACTGGGCTAGTTTTAGCACTGGCGAGAAGCGGCTAGAGAACAACGGCCCTGACCTCTCTATTTTCGTGGGGGATTTGGCGCCAGATGTCGTTGATGCTTTGTTGTACGACACGTTCTTAGCCAAATACCCATCGGTTAAATCTGCCAAAGTCGTCATAGATGCCAATACCGGCAGGTCTAAAGGCTACGGCTTTGTGAGGTTTGGTGACGATAGCGAAAGGACCAAAGCAATGACGGAGATGCACGGCGTGAAGTGTTCAAGCAGAGCTATGCGAATCGGTCCTGCAACACCTAGGAAGACTACTGGTTTTCAACAACAAGGTCTTTCTTTTCTATACAGTATCTCAACTTATAATCTATTTGATTGCTCTGCATTCATTGATCCTGGTTAAATCTTGTCTTCCATGAAGTGTCTATCGTCCAAAGGTTATTGTTGTTGTGGTCTTAACTTTCTGTTGGCTTTGGCAGGTGGATACATGCCGAATGGTGCGATGGCACGTCCTGATGCAGACTCATTAAACACAACAGTAATTTGCTTTTCTTTTATATCCTTGTTTCCTCCTTTTCATGTGATTGTGTTTTACAACAAAACACAGGAGAAGGTTAATGTTTTTATTTGTGCTCTTTAAACCATGTTTTATAACATAGATATTTGTTGGAGGACTTGACGCTAATGTCACTGACGAAGATCTAAGGCAGCCTTTTACTGAGTATGGAGAAATAGTTTCTGTCAAGATTCCTGTTGGCAAAGGATGTGGGTTTGTTCAATTTGTTAACAGGTAACACATTAAATGCCGTAGTTTAAGATAGTAGACCATAAGTTTCGTAATTTTGTTATCTTTATTCTGTCACGTTAATCAGTTTGATATTCAACACGTAATGCCTTAGTTTAAGACAGTAACCATGATATAAGTAGTTATATTATCCTTGTTCTGTCACGGTAATCGACTTGATATTCAACACTTAATGCCTTAGTTTAAGATAGTAACCATGAGATAAGTAATGATATTATTCTTGTTCTGTTACGTTTATCAGTTTGATATTCAATACTTAATGTCTTAGTTTAAGATAGTAACCATGAGATAAGTAATTATATTATCCTTGTTCTGGTACGTTAATCAGTTTGATATTCAACACTTAATGCCTTAGTTTAAGATAGTCTCCTTATCCTTGTTCTGCACGGTAACTGATTGATATCAACACTTGGTTGCAGACCAAATGCAGAGGAAGCTTTGGAGAAACTTAATGGGACTGTCATTGGAAAACAAACAGTTCGTCTTTCTTGGGGCCGTAGTCCAGCCAATAAGCAGGTAAATTTTGAAATATTTTCTCTTTTCTTTGCTTGTTTCTCGCACTAGGGTTTTTTTTCTTGTTCAATCATCCTCGATTTTGATAGTTTTGGGTTGTGGTTGCAGCCTAGAGATAAGTATGGAAACCAATGGGCTGGACCGTACTACGGAGGACAGTATTACAATGGGTATGGATACATGGTACCGCAACCTCATGATCCGAGGATGTACGCCGCTGCGCCTTACGGAGGATATCCAATGTACGGTGGTCATCAGCAACAAGTAAGCTGAGGAAACTACAGGGAAACAAAGAAACTCACTAAACTTTAGGTAATGTTAGGAGGTACAAGGCAAAAAGAAAATTTGGCTGGCTTTTTGTCTCTCCTTGGTGTTTAGGGTTTATCTTCTAGTGGAAAAAAGAGTTTTGATGGAAACCTTAGCAGTAATTTTAGGGGACTTGGATTCTATTGGATTTATTGGATTTGTTTCTTGAGATGCTTTTCACTTTTGAACTTATTGATCAAATGAAAGAAGTGAGTTGCACCGATTGATTATTATGTTTCCTTCTTTTTTTTTGGTTAGAAAATTAATTGCGAACTTGCGATTTGTTATATTGAAAACACAAATCTAATAATATAATTAACAAAGAACTCACAATGTTGCCAATATACTCTCGACATAGCAACAAACAAATATAGCGTTGCATATCTTCTGACTCCTTCACGAAGTTCATACATCCATCTAATTGTAGATCCACTTCAAGCAAAGATCCGCTTTCACGGGCTTATGATCGGAACCATTGACTTGGTCTACTGAATCATAAGAATGAAGAACTGCTTGAATATTGTTAGTATCTTGGATCTTGTACAAGATCCTATCTGTCCAAGCTGGAATCCTTCCCTTTTGGCTTGTATCGTAGTTGCTGCTTCCCACATTGTATTTGTAAGTCGGTTTAAACCCTAGAGTTCCTTCGGAGTAACCTTCGAATATTTCGCCTCTCTCAGCTTCTTGCAAGAGCTGATCTTTACTCACAAGAACCTACATCAAGTGATAATAATATCAATACGAGTCAAAATAAAATAAAAAAAGTCAAAACCAAAGCGAAATTTATTTTAGAAACAAATTGTAACGAAATCAATGCAACATAAAGAAATGGAGCTAAAAAATCAAAATTTAATATTTATGCTTAAACATAATATGTCAAAACAATTATACAGTACATCAAATTAATTAAAATTATTGTGTAATTTATTTGTATTTTTGTTATTTCTGATCTAAAAGCCAAACCTGAAAACCGAATCCAACCATAAGTATCAAGATATGGTTTGCGTTTTATGGAAATGAGAGAAGAAAGGACTCACAGATTGAAGATGGTTATGAATAAGGGATCGAACAGGACGATTGGAGGCATCTTGGATCCTGTAATTGAGATCTCCAAGCCAGACAGTGAGGTCACGTGTCCTTTTGTCTTTTGATAATAGTGAATTTGATATGTGTCTCAACTCTTCATTTCTTTGATCTACTTTACTTCCGTGAGCTGCATCCATTGTAATATTAGTATTTGTAAATGTAATTAACTGTGAATTGGCATAAATAAAAAAAAGAGATGAGAACCAAATTAAAGTAGGTACCAGCGAGATGACAAGTGATGAAAACCATTTTGATGTCATCGTAGTCAATACGAATAGCAACAGCTCCTTTCTTTCTTCCAATTAAACCTCCTAATCCTCCAACGGAATGTCTGTCCGCCTTTATTTCTGAAATTAATTGTACACCAACCATTTAATTTTTTTGGTTATAAAATTTGATATACATCATATCAAAGTTTTGTTGGCCAATTTAGAAGCGAGTATGAATCTAGTGAAGATAGATTAAGAACTACCTTTTAGTAATGTTTGTGAATTCTTTGGTCCAAACAAATACAGCTGTATTGATTGCAATTTCGCCTTCCCAAGAAGCCTGGATGTCATTTTGAACTTTACAATATCAAGATTATAGGGCATAGAAGAAAAGGAATACTGGTAATTCAATAATGGATACAACTGATAGAAAGAAAGAGTAGAGAGTACTTACACGTGAGTTGGAGATGAAGCTGTTTGTAGAAATTGAGCAACATTGGTTTTTGGTGCTTCTTGCAAGCCAACGACAAGCAAATCGAATTTCCTGTCTTTGCCAAGAAGCTCAGCCAAATCCTCATACGAAACCTTCACATGTATTAATAACGATTAAAACGATAAATCATAGTTGAATCTAGTAATGAAAAGCATGAAAGATTTACTATACGTATATAATAAGCGTGTAAGTATGTACCTTTCCGTTCATGTTCCATGTGATGATACGGATGCAAATATCTGATTTTCTCGAAAGGCTACAACTCTTAACAGCTTCAATTGTTTTAATACCATCGTGAGATGAGTTGTTCCTAACTAAACCTATCGGAGGTTTCTTGTAGTTGGAAAACCTATAGATGAGCAACATCACACGTTAAATTTTATATAAATAACTTGGTATTTAAGAATATATAAAACAGAGATTGTTACCTTTTACACTCACACATCGAATTTGTATTTCCCATTGTCTCTGCATGCACTGTTTCTCCGTAAAAGGCAATATATAGAGAGAGGGAAAGAGAGGGAGGGAGGGAGAGATGAAGAAGTGGGCAAATTTAAAGTGAATTGAATTTCACTGAGTCACTTCATTCTATATGAATTGATTGGGGTTGCATATGAAAACCTAGGCATATGCAATGTTACGTGGGTTTCTAGGAAGTTAGGTGTATGTTGTTTGACCATGTATAAAGGCGTGTACGTTTTCAAATGGACGGTCCAATTTGATAATGACTTGGTTAATCTTTTTTCTTCGTCAGGAAATCTCTAGAGGAGAATATTATACTACAATAGAATCTAGTTTTGATTTTATGAGAAATTCAATGCTTATATTATAGTAAATATATATGCGGATGATACGCATATTCACATCGACATCATCACATGTCATATAAAACAATTTTGTGTGTGTGTGCCTATCATGGCAACTATCTTTTCCTTTAATTTTGTTTACTTTAATTTGTAGCACGAGTGATGGAATATCTATTTAATTTCTTTTAACGTAAATTCTTAGATTTTTGCAAAATGTAGTTGAGTTAATATCTCATGAACTAAACAACCATTTGCACCCTGTCTGTTTTAAGTAGCTTGACTAATTTTAGATTTAGTTGGTTTTATAGATATTTGAAATTTACAATTTTATTTGTTCATCCTTTTATTTGTTCTTCTCTTTCGTATGCTAGTCAGGTGGTGTCAGACCACGCTTCTTCAACTCCAACATGGGAGAGTTCGAACTCATCAAAGGGTGGATGGTGAGTGGTGACGTTGAAGATTCAACCATCAAACTAATCAACTTTCGTCCAGTTGGTTTGTTTGTCCTTTCAACTTCTGTTTGATCATCCCAATCCTTACATATATACATCCAAATATTAAATACGCATCCAAATATCATATATGCATCCAAAATATCATATATGCATCCATTATCGTTTCTAACGAACTTCCAAATTTGGAAATTAATAAATAAAATATTTGTGTCCACTAATCTTGGAGCTTCAACAAAGTAACTCAAGTCCCCCCCCCAAACTACATGATCTCCACAAATTTGGTTGGTGGTGTTCGATTGATGTGAATGTCTCAAAGGGTCTGAGGACTTCAATTTATGATGTGAATAATACCTCAAAGACTCATTTTTGTGGGCCATGAGTGCTCATCCACTAGCCGAATTACTAGCACCTAATATAATTTTAGAACACTTTTTTCCGGGTGAAATCTAAAATTTGTAGTCGCTTAGTTTCTACTCGTTTTAAAAATTGAATTATGTTGTTCTACAAGACATTTTTGTTAGGAATCCCACATCAGAAATCAGAAATGAGTCGGCCAAATACAAGACATGGAACAATTCACTTATTGTCACGTTAGCTCGGAGTTGCAAACCCATAAACCTTGACATGAGATAAACAATTTCATTGTTGGTGAGTTTGGCCATAATTACGTAACATTGTGCAAGAGTGGTGACTGGTGAGCTTACCAATATTTTATCTTTATGTTTTCCAGCTTTTCAATGAATTGATAATTAACAGGTGCGACTATTTTAGCATATATTAGTACCAAATATAATTTCCTGTGGTCGGTTCATTGTCCCTCCAATCAAACTTGACCGACATGCATTACCTTTACTATCTTCTTTTAACTTTAATCAGTGTATAGGAATTGTCACTAAGAATCCAAGTCTGATTTTTTTTTTGGTATGACCAAGTCTGATTTTTGTTTCTTAAATATCTGTCAACCTCTAAATTTGTATTTGTTAGATTAATAACCGTTACTACTCGTTTGGAACAAAACTAAAAAATAAGAGGAAAAAGAGTATACTTACTTGTGTAGTAGAAGAAGAAGTCTTCATGTAAGTAACACAGTAGAAGAAGGGATTTAGCACAATACGGCCGAAAGGAGAGGAAGAAGAAGTTGAGACTTGAGAGTGAAAAGAGTCGGCCCAATTAATGAGGTGAAGAAGATGGAGGAAGAGACACGTTTTGAAACAAAACAAACTAAGCCATCACGAGACTCTTTCGTTGCCTTAATTTATCACCTCTTCGATTTTTTTGTTTGTTTGTGAATCATTGTTAGTAGAAAGTCCGGATTATAGGTAAGAATAATTTTCGACATTTGCAATTATCACGACAAATACAATTGATGTTTTCTTTCAACAAATCTTAAATGTTAGCTTGGCCACTAGCTAATGCACCGAATACCTATGAAAAGGAGTCCTGAGCTCTCATTTGGACACAACTCTAGAAATGAGTCTAGAGAAAGGTCATACAGATATCAACGTTTAAAAGAAAGAAAAAACGCGAGAAAAAGAGTAAAAGTGACCAGTCGCCGGAAATTTCATGGGAAAACAAGAAAACGGATTCAAAAGGGTCATATTCTAACTAGATTGGCTAAGGCGCGGTGTCACTGATTTTCTCCTTTTAATTTTACTTTGGATGTTTCCAAGTAACATTATTCTGAATATTTTTCGGTTATAAAAACTAAAGGAAAAAGGAATTAATTTAATGTACTTGGGGATTATTTGATGTTATTGTCTTTGTGACCTTTGTTTTAGGCAAAAGCGCTTTCAAATTAAATGCAAGACAAATAGACAATTATTACATGGATATGAATGTATCGTCATTTAGAGTGGGAAAGTTGCAAGAAGAACTAGGGAATCTAAATAATTAACCCTCTAAGGACTTATGAAGTCATGATACCACGGATCGCGACAGCCATGATTTTCACGTTCACCTGCTATAGACCATTGCATTCTTGAGCTTTTTGTGAAGGCTTGACTTGAAAAAAATAGCTTAATCCTCTCCTTTGTGACTTGAAGTGTGCTATGGATTTATCAGTAGAACGTGGCTTTGATTTTGAAGTACTCTGTGGCATGTTGTAATAAGTCGTGTAAGAAAAAGGCGAACCAAATGGTAAAAGTATTAACCTTCGGTTGGTATACGATTTATGTGGCCTATTCTGAATTGTTATTTGCCATTTGTGGTTGATCGTGGCAAAATGGAAATTGGTTGCATGAAAAAGAAATTGCATGATTTATAATATAATGGATAGACTTTAACAAACAAACAAAAATAATGTATGGATAGATTTAGATGGTTCTTTAATTTATCTTTAGCATGTGGGCTTTGTTGTTTACGCCTTCTTTGTAATGCATATGAAGAGAAGAATAGTAGTTCAGAGTAGGACTCGCGAGAGACTATTGAGACCATTAGGGACATGTGACATTTCTGTTTCAAAATTTTATCAAGACTCATATAGTTCTCCGTAAAACACCTTATCTCCGTGCTCAACCGTTCAAGAGATCAAGAAAATATATTTATGGATCCGTGCTTTTGCACATGTTGAATTTCTTAGAAATCGGTGCAAATGTCATTACTCATTTACATAGAAGTGTAAAGCCTTATCCAATAATTATTTCGATTAACAGTGTCTTTAACTTAATACACCACCTTCTTACACGTAATTTTGAGAAGAAAAAAATCTTCCAAGAATTCAACAGTCGACTTTTTTTTTTGTTAAACGTTAAGTAGTTTAAACTAATTTACTATTGACAACTCAAAATTTTGACCAAATGGCCATTGTCACCATTTGCGCCTAATTTAGGACTCGAGTATTTTTTATTGAGCTGGAATGTCTTAATTGGTCTATCAAATTCTGTCTCTACCATCTCTCTTTTCTACTATGCCACGCATGTCTAGCTATGTGTCCACAAAATCTTAATAACTTGTACGAGTCGATTAAATCTTTCATAATGATAAGATATAAAACACAAACCGGATGCATAAAATATGGGCTATCCGGCCTTCGTCTTCTTTATCTAAGTCCAAAGCCAAACTAGAGCTCGAATCTGAATCCGACTTTGCTCCTTTTTTCATAACACGATCTGAAAGATATCCTCATTATTTATACTAGTGGGGTTTTTTCCAAAACTTCTAATGTGAGAAACAAAATTACTTTCCTCATTCAACGAATTCTAATTTTAAAATCTGAGTAAAACTTGAAATTATAATAGTGTTTATGTCGATAAATTCGTCGCTCTCATAATCTGGTCAATTCTTAAATAAAACTTACCAGAAAGTTCTCCAAAAATATACTATTTCACAGCATATTTTAATTGAGATTTACCAGTTTGAGACGTTACATAAGCATTCTTCAGTCTATATTCTAAGTACATATAGGTCCGATTGGTGACGTTGTGAATAGTGGTGTGTTACAGAATTTTCAGTGGTACGAAAGATGATGGTAAGAAAAACAGTGGTACGAAATATAGCAGTACAAAAAGAGATAGTACAAAATAATGGTACAAAAATAAGTTCCGATTGGTAACAATACAACAGTACGTACAATGATAGGTAATATAATTAAAGAAAAATAATGAAAAATAAATAGTTTGATAAAAAACTGATTTTTATACTTAAAAGTAATTTCATTTAAATTAAACTGGAAGTCTTATAAAATAAAATATTGTATTTTACTCTAGAAAAATAAATGACCAAGTATTTAAAGATTTATAAAAAAAATTTGACTAGCCAACTACATTTCATACACACAAGTAAAAAAAAAGTATTGCAAAAGATTAAGAATCATAATATAAAAATGAAGTATGTAAAAATCACAATTTTGAAATTTAGATATATAAGAGAGAGAGAAATAAAAATACAATGTTTAATGAAAATTCAGATTTTTATACAAAAAGTTGTGAATTATCTAATAAAATAATTGTTGTACCACTTGGTAATATTCTATACCACTATAATTTGATGGTTTACTTTGTACCATCATTTTACACTTTGTAACATCTTTTTTAGTCGAAGAAAAAGTGTAACATCGTGTTTCAAGGTAATGATGTGTTTTGTAATACTATTCTGTAATGTTGAATTGATTGGTTACATTATAGATAGTACAATTTGTACCATTGCTTTTAGAAGTTACCAATCAAAGCCATTTTCTTTTTGATTGCGTGCAAACGGAGTTGATGCGGTGCTTTGCTACTAGTGGCAATGAAGGTGGTAGATGCATCGAAAGTTAATGCGCTCGCGACTTGGACTCTTTGTAGCCTCAAGATTTGCAGAAGGAGAGTTACGGCTACTTGTACTGAGCACTAATTATGGGTCCGATTGGTAACATAATGAATAGTAGTGTATTACAAATATTTTGATGGTACGAAACATAACGGTACAAATAGTAGTGTTATAAAAGATAGTATTACAAATAGCAGTTTTGTAAAGTGATGGTACAAACGTGAGTTCCAATTGGTAACATCAAAGCAGTACAATAGTAACTATTATAATAAAAATATGAAAACAAAAATAACATTTCATTTTCAATTTTATTTTGAAAAGGATAAATCACCAACACATTTGAGTTTAAATACATTAAAAAATTCCACAAAAAGATTATGATGATAATTTTTTTTTTTTTACAATTTGATGTACTATTATATTACATATATGCCATTACATAAACTATTTACCCCTGAATATATTTTTTTAACTGATATTTACTAACAAGTTTATTATAAAAATATTAAAACATTGATATTTGTTTTTGAGCAAAAAAACCATTGCAAAAAATTATGATTAAGGCTCATTTGGTTTGTGAGCAAAGCTCTACCACTTGAATTCGATCAAGGCTGAGAGGAGAAGAAAAAGAAATATAATTAAAAATAATAATAAAAAATGTGTGCAATTCATTTAATTTGTGTACCACTATGAAAAGGAGCATTACATCTAAAGATGCATTACAACTTATAATGCAGGTAACATCCATTGTTGTACCATCAGTTTTGTAAAGTTTATGTGATTGGTTACATAGTCAACATTAGAAGTTGTAATGCTATATTAATTTGTTACCAATCAAAAGCTATGTCTTGAGCTTTGATATCTGCTCCACGTGATCAATATCACTTTTTCTTTATTCGAATAATTTTATGTGAAAATCTCAAATAATTTTGAAAAATTATAAACTATATACATGACAATTTATCAAAAATTCTTAAGCTCTAATTAACCTTTTATGTTTTGGATTTGCATATTTGCAACAAATTTGTCGTCCCTCATATGTATGACATTTTGAATTATAGATATAGAAGTTAATTACTGTTGTAATCGTATGATTAACAACTATGTTACGTGTCAGCTACTATGAGATGCATACCATTTTATAAAGAGGCCAACTCTCTCCATATTTTTGACATGTGGCAATAAGCTTTTTATTAAAAAAATTGACTTTTAATAAATTCAAAAATTTATCGGGCATGGAATTAATATATAAGTCGTCTTTACAAATTCCTCTCTTTTTATCTTTTAATCCCCCGTAATTATAATATCAACCTCCAAGGATCATCTCTTTCATATTCCTTTCTTTTAAGATGGAGCATATTTATAAAAGGGTTTAACCTTTTCCGAATTTTGGACATGTTAGCACTCTGTTAACTAAATGTGGGGAATCAGAGTCCATTTCATATGGTCGTAAGTAAACAAAGGAGTTAGGCATAAAATGAGAGATATGATGTAAAAATATACATTTGAAAGTCTATCGCTAACCAAGTAAGTTAGATCTAAAACATAGGTTTTATTGTGTTAGAATTTATAATATTACATATCATATCAAAATATTAATCACAAATATATAACTTTTTTATAACATTTTAAAAAATTATAACAATAAAAAAACCCGTGCGTACGCGCGGGTATTAGTAAGATATGAATCCACGACATTACATGATATTTATCTTCAAATATTCAAAATAAAAAAAAATTACATGTCGTCTTAAAAAAAAAAAAGAACATGCTATTACAAATCGATACACGTACTGTAGTCTGTAGGTGGCTGCAAACTTTCTCTGTTGACGTCAATTATTGGATTTTCTTTTTCTTTTTCTGTTCTGATAAACGTTTTCCACCATTTAGAAAGTTATTTTCGTCACTAATTTTTCCTCTTTTCTTTGTTGCAAATTAATAACTACCTTTTGTAATAATCTCCGAATTCTGTGATACGAGTTTAAGTGAATAATTTTCAAGGCAACGTTTTTTTTTTAAAGGTAAACAAAATGATCCAATTATTTATTTTAGAAATCGTAGTCTTCATTTGAATTTTCATTCGCTTCGTTTGGTCATTTTTGGCGAATATTTATATAATATGTTTTTGAAAAATCTCATGTCAGACATTTCCATACTATTCATTTTGGTACCTACCACCGTTTATATTCTCCTTTTTATTTAAATTCCATGTCCGAAGACAAATAGACAGTGCCAGAGAGCAATTAAGGCAAAAGCTTCTCCCAAATCGAGAAATGGGAAAGGATAAGACTTTGCCGTTGCTCGACCCTCGTGACCCGCCGGAACTTACCGAAACCAAGTCGGCGTCGAAAGTATGGGCCAAAGAGTTCGGCCAAGAGTCAGGGCGGCTCTGGCAGCTAGCTGGACCGGCGATCTTCACTGCCATCAGTCAGTACTCTCTCGGCGCACTCACTCAGACTTTCTGCGGCCGTCTCGGCGAACTCGATCTCGCCGCCGTCTCCGTCGAGAACTCCGTCATCTCCGGTCTCGCCTTCGGTGTCATGGTGCGTACCTTCTTCTCCACACGTGTCATTTTCTTGTTATGTTGTTGTGTTCTAAGAAAGGCCACGCAATGAAAAAATCAATACTTTAAGGGAATCTTTGTTTGTGTGCTCGTTCGTCACGAAGTAGATCTTGTTCACATTATTTTGCATTTTTCATTTCGTTTTTTTTTTTTGTTAAAATGCATTTTTCATTTCGTGATTATAAAATGTCAAATTTTTAAACCAAAGAAGGCTAGTTCTTCCGACCATAATTAACCGTTGAATGTTGATACTAAACTAAGTTAAGCGCAACGTATTAGAAAAAAAAGATTAGTATTTCGCCAAATTAACCATTGATACTGAAGTGATTTAATCCAAACTTAATAGTAAACCAAAATATAATTGAAGTTAGACTCACAGCTAGGTTCAGTGAAGAATAGTCAACCAACCCAAAAAATCATATTTTAAGAACTTTCTTGTGTGCATTGATTAGAAAAGTAGAGGTCCTCATGTATTTAAAATAATTCACATCATTATGCATTGTTATTGTGTGAATATAGTAAAGGTTTGTTGGCCAGATCAAGTTATTTTGCAGCCTAATTAACCATTGAACCTGAACTAATAACTTAGTGGCAGCGTAGCAATTATTAGCCCAAAAAATAAAAGAAAATTAGTGTTGGCCATACTTAACCACTAATACTGAAATAATGCTCCATTGTTGTAGTCCCAATTATCAACGTAAATTGACATATTTGGAATTTGGAGAACATACAAATTGTAATAAAAACCTCATGCCAAGCATTATTTTATGAATGTAGGACCATCCATTTTCTTTCCCTTAAAGTCTTACATTTTTTTGGGTTTTTCCCCTCCCGTTACTAGACACGTTTCACTCTTTGCAACCACTTGCTTTTCTTGGGTTTATTGCCTTTATTAATTAACTTCCAATTTTACAGCCTATCACCACCAAGAAATCAATAAATTCTGTGAAAGAAATAAGTTCAATACTTTTTCGTGTATCAATTAGCACTATTAATAACGTAGATATGATTAAAGTTCTAAAAGTAACCTCGACGAATCCTGATGAATGCTCCTTTGAAAAGCTTCCCATCTTTCAAAAAAAAAGAAAAAACATGTTTAAGAGGTTTGGGTGTTTGACCAAAAAAAAAAAGGTTTGGGTCGGATATGTTTCTTGTCAAGAACCATTAACAATGATACCAAACTTAAACCAAGAACTAATACTGAAAAGAAAGCTTAGAGATCACGCAATAGTAGCACAAAAAAAAAAAAAGCACATTTTTAATATTGTGGAGGTAATGGAAATTGTTGCAGTTAGGGATGGGGAGTGCGTTGGAGACATTGTGCGGACAAGCATTTGGAGCAGGACAAATAAGGATGCTTGGAATATACATGCAACGTTCTTGGGTCATTCTCTTTACCACTGCTTTATGCATACTTCCCATCTACATTTGGGCTCCTCCTATACTTTCCTTCTTCGGCGAAGCTCCTCCCATCTCTAAAGCCGCGGGTATTCGATTCCTACATCATTACTCTTTGCGAATTGGTTTAGAATTACAAAGTTTATGACACACGTCTCCATGGCTTAACCTTTTACTTTTACAGGGAGATTCGCGTTGTGGATGATCCCGCAACTATTTGCCTATTCAGCCAACTTTCCTATACAGAAATTCTTGCAGTCACAGGGGAAAGTTCTTGTGATGGCTTGGATCTCAGGAGGGGTTCTTGTTTTACACGCAGTGTTTAGCTGGCTCTTCATACTTTACTTTAACTGGGGACTTGTTGGTGCAGCCATCACTCTCAACACCTCGTGGTGGCTTATTGTTATTGCTCAGCTTTTGTATATCTTGATCACCAAGTCAGACGGTGCTTGGAGTGGGTTTTCTTGGCTTGCGTTTCATGACCTCTACGGATTTGTCAAACTGTCTTTAGCCTCTGCTGTTATGCTCTGGTACCAAAATTTTCTTTCATTTTAGATAGTCTTTTGACTTGTATAAGTTAAGATTTCGATTAGTAGTGACCGGTTTGTGCTTTGGATTCTTCAGTTTGGAGTTCTGGTACTTGATGGTTCTTGTCGTTATCACGGGTCTCCTTCCTAATCCGTTAATACCAGTCGATGCCATTTCCATTTGGTAACTGATTTGTGCTTGGTTCTTGTTTCAATTTCTCTGAAAATATGTTTGTTGTTAAGTTTTAGAATGTTTTGGGATATTGCAGCATGAACATACAAGGTTGGACCGCAATGATTTCAGTCGGATTTAACGCTGCGATAAGGTAAGATCGGTCCATTTTAATTTCATTTTTACTTCTATAGAGCCACGTAGGAATTAGGAAAGCTAACTAAAACTCTCATGATGAAATGTGATTCAGCGTGAGGGTATCGAATGAGCTTGGTGCGGGAAATGCAACTCTTGCGAAATTCTCGGTGGTAGTTGTCTCCATAACATCAACTATTATCGGTGCGGTGTGCATGATTGTTGTCTTAGCCACAAAAGACGTCTTCCCTCATCTTTTCACGTCTAGTGAAGCTGTGGCAGCGGAAACCACGAGAATAGCAGTCTTGTTGGCCTTCACTGTCCTCTTGAACAGCCTCCAGCCCGTCTTGTCAGGTACCTTATGAGCCATGATAAGTAATCTAAAAACGAAAAAGATGATCAAAATGTAAAATGTAGGAATTAGAGAACAATGAGTTGTGATCACTTTTGGTTCATATTTTCTTAGGTGTTGCGGTTGGAGCTGGGTGGCAGTCTTTGGTGGCTTACGTGAACATTGCGTGTTATTACATTATTGGACTTCCTGCTGGTCTTGTTCTTGGATTCACACTAAACCTTGGTGTTCAGGTTAGGTTTTTCAGCAACATGATAAACCAAACGAATTCTTAGGAGTTTAGTTTACTTTGGTTTTGGATAAGTTGGTTTGTTAAAATGTTAGAAATAATTGAGTTTTATTACAAAAAAAATATACTTTTATTGTGATGAATTTTGGTTTCTTTTTAATGGTTGGGTGCATCACGTTTGATTTCAGTACAGTTTAAGTTCGGTTTTGTCGAGTATAAAATTGTTTTTAATTGTTCTGTTTGGTTCGGTTATTATATCCAGCCCGGGTTAAACCGGTTTGTATTTGCATTGTTTTTCTTTTCAATTTTGGTGCTAATTCATTTGTTAACTTTGTAGGGAATATGGGGAGGTATGGTAGCTGGAATCTGCTTACAGACACTTATATTGATTGGAATCATCTACTTCACAAACTGGAATAAAGAGGTCTCTTACTTTTTCTCCGTATCCTCTTAATGCTATGTTCCTCCTCCTTTTCTGTTTGGTTTGATCATTTCATTAACATTTGAGTTATGCAGGCTGAGCAAGCCGAGAGCCGCGTTCAGAGATGGGGAGGAACGGTACGGGACTGAGATCAACTCTCGTGGGACAAGGATCATAAGTTCTTGATTTTTTGTGTGTCAATTATCAATGTTTAAGCAAATGACTATTCTAAGAATAATTACATTTCTCTCCCTTTAGATCTAGTATGGTTACTAAACCAAAATTCTTGCTTAAATAAGGTATGAGATTTGATCTTTAATTCTTCATACGTTCTTTATTTTGAGACTCTTATCAATCGAACATATAAAAATGAGAAAGCAAGAAGAAAAGAGCGAAACATGACTTGTATCCATATCAAATGCGATTAAATAACAGCTGTCTTCAGTTTTGGTTCCATCAATTTTTTTGCATTGAATCAAGAAGTCTTCTCATTTCAGTTACCCCAGGAACGTTTTCCTTAGGGTAAACTTTGGCTAGGAGCTGCACGACGCTCTCGTACTTGTCCAAAAACTCCCTCTGTTTTAGTTCACACAACACATTGAGCTGATGCATACTTTTTAATTAACATTTTAAAAAATTCAGTGAAAACTGGTACCTTGCATTTATCCCATAACGGTGGAAGCAACTCCTTCGATGCTAAATCATTCTGCAACTTTGTATACATTGCTTCAAACGATTTGTCCAGCTAAAAAAAAAAAAATGTTGGAAAGCTATATGTTTTAGAAGGTCTGAGAACAATGAACACACACACACACTCTTAAAGTCCTAATTAAGGAACATCTGTTTTACCTCTGACAAGTTTGCTTTTATCATCATCCGGAGTTCTTTTTTTGACAAACCGAGCTGTGATGGTATCTGAAATGTAAGAAAGTATGTGTATCAGGTTTGACCATATAAATACCTAAAGTACAACGCTAATATGTAGATAACATGAAATGGTTTACATAATGAGAAGTGTAACTAATAACTTACCTCTTCAGGTGTGATAGTATACATACAATCCTCAATCTTTCTAACAAACTGGAAAAGTCTTTCGAATTGCTACATAGACAAAAAGAACACACCAAGTAAACACAAACGGCTTTACCCTTAACAACTCCAAAAGAAGCACAAAACAAAAGCTATTCTATTAGTAGCTGCAAACGGGAAGCAACACTTACGTAGTATATTATCATGCTAATGTGGCGGGTACAAGCGTCTTCATATGCTGCACTTGCCTGGTGATAGAACGTGGCTAAAGTGGGCACAACCTTAGCCAGGTCATACAGGCTGCACAAACACACACCAAAATGAAAATACAAGGTTAAGGAAGAGGAAGACAAACCGAGAGAGAGTGTAAGAAAAAGATCTACCTATTCTGAAAGGCAGCATAATTTTCCAAAAGGACAATATCTGCATTCTTAGGATCTTGCTGTGCAATTTTCTCGAGGGTCACAAACATTTTGCTTACGAATTTTGTGTATGCCTGATCAACCAAATACCTAGATTGCCCTTGTATATACTGTTCCATACGAGTAGTAAGTTCTGCAAATCTATGAAAATAAGATAATAATGTTAGGACAGCTAGCCTCAAGTGATACTTGACTAACAATCTTATTCGGAGAAATGGTATTGGTATTGATTGTTCACAAAATGGAAGGAGATACTATCTATTAAAATGGCATTAAAACTGTATTAAGCAATTTGAATATCTTGATTACCTTGGAATATACGGCAAGACGCCCACCTGTCCTACATTACTTTCATTTATTTCAATCTGGTGACAAGCTTCATCCACAAACTGCAGTTGAATTCAACTTGGAAATGATTAGTAGGAAAATTATGCCAGGAATTAAAACCGAATATGAATAAACGTACGCGGCTGAATTGCATATAAACCCTCAAGTCAAGATCTCCAAGCAAAAGGCCAACAAATCCTGCAGCATCATCTTTTTGACCAGATAGGCATCGTTGCGTTATACCATGCATTGATATGCATCGTAGGGTATCTATTTCATTTGCCCAGTCAACAACAGGATAGAAATCCTCCTGCAATGACAAGAACACATACCTCTCTTTTTAGTTTTCAGAAAATAAACAAATGGGTTTTTAATGTAACATATAAGCAAGATTATTCTACACTTATTTGGAGACAGATAGCCTTTTACTTTCATGGTACCTTTTACTTAAAGAAACATCAGTAAATAAAACCAACTTTGGATCTCTGTACTTGTGTTATCTAGTGAGTCTTTGCGTACACAGAGATCTTACCTGAATACCATCATGTAAAACTTGAAGACATTCATTCAATGCCGTTAGGTCTAGGGAGTTTTTACCTACAGAATTGGACAATTGTTTCACTTTCAGAACCGTTAAATTAGACTCTATAATTTGAGGATGTAGTGAAAAGCTTTTGATTGGAGGCTGTGATTACCAGTTTCCTTGTCAGTCTCATCAAGAGCTGGCACCTCAAAACACATGAAGTGCACAAAAAAGGAACTCTGTAGTATTAAGCAAGAAAAGGTTTAAGTACATACATCAGTTGCATGTAGGCCATAAATAGGGATAATTAACAGTTACCTCATCTACAAGAAGCGGGATAAACACTGTTAGCATCTTGGCATAAGCATCTGATACTACAGAGGTGTCAGTATTTGCATTCTGATCAGAACCCGTAGATCCCTCTAGCCAGACAGTAGGCTTTGGTGATACGTTTGTGCTTGCACGAAGCTCATTCGCGAATTCACGAGCCTGTATGTTTTGAAGAAACAAATCTTTGGTAACGTGTGCAACGCTCTAATGGGACCAAAATAAAATAATATGTTTGCTGCATATATATCCATACGTTTTTAACATTCAATAGGTTTTTAGCAGCCTCTGATTCAAATTCAGAGCTCCAATAAATTCAGTGGTCAAATTGATAAAGGAAGAGGAATGTTTGTTCCTCACCTCCTGGCGAAGGAGCAAGTTCAGGGAGATGCAGTATGCTTTTCTTAACGGTCCCAAAGAGTTCTTATCAAGAAGCTGCACAAATAAAGGAGACAAGTAATCAATGTACTGCATTGAGCCTAAGTGTTATTTCTAGTTTTTTTTTACCTTTAAATGTTGCAAAAGAGGAGCATATGTTTTGCATTTATACCGCAAATCTGCATGGTCTGGCCTCTTCAGCTGACCTCTCTGTGTTTAGAGGCGACAATACGTATTCAAAGTTACAATCACTAGAGGTCATTTTGGAAAGATAGAAGAAATTTACAAAAAGTAAGTACCTGAGAAAAGTAACTTTTGTCGCTGATCATGAAATCTACCAAACTAGTAAAGTAGTTTCTCAAGAACTCATACGCTCTCTTTACAAAAGTAGCTTTTATTTTTTCTAGCTCTGCTCGTTTCTCTTTTACCTGAAGAAAATACAGCCAAAAGTAGCCAAAAGTCAGGTCTAGACATTTTTTGTAATGACTGATGCAGAAAAATATTAATGTTCTTTTCTAGCCACAACACATAATGAAATAGACAAAGCTGAATTTAGCGGAAATTAGAAATATCTTAAGTGCATAGGCATACAGCTTGCATATTAGCATAGATCGGGTCTATGTTTGGCACTTCAAGACTACTCAAAGCTTTGGCTAACCACTCGCAAGCCTGAATATTTTGGAACATGTCTCCTTCATCAAATGAGTCTCCTGTTAGGGATTTTGCATACTACAAACAGGAAACAAGACTTCTATAAGTGAATCAAGTAGACAGGTCATGAGAAGCAAGCACACAAGTAAAAAATAGTCATATGGTTAAAAAACAAAATGAAAACAAACCTCAGAAGGCACAAGCAGTCGCTCAATAACTTTATCAAGTTCCTCGATGAGAGCTTTATTGTTTACAGACTCCATCTCTAACTTGTTGTTTCGAGTTTCTACCAAAGTAAAAAAAGTGAGAATGTGTGCTGATAAAGCTAATGACCAGCCCAATTCTTGGATTCAGTTTCTCTTTTCTCTCCTACTCTCGCAGAATTCAGAACTAAAGTAGTAATGCAAATGACAGGAATGATCATTCATAGGTGGTGCATCCTACCAATTCAATAAATTTATAATCTGACCAAGTGATTAGTTTGTTTTATAACTGTATCAATGTCAAAAAGTCAAGTACGATCGATTTTTCTATGTAATCTCGGCATACAAAATAATTTGATCCAACACTATAATCTATTAAAAAAAAAAATGAAGGTACTAACTCTTTCAATATTACAAAAATCAGAGATTCGTTGGACTAGATCAATATATGTAGTTCTGCTAGAATTGGTACAATAGGGTTCATATGTAAGTAAACTGATATTTATTGGTTAAAATGATGCCAGTGGTCATCAGTGTGATGTAGTTTTAGTTTTGACCTTGTTCATCGAATCACAAGAGACAGATTCACTAGACTTAATCCTTATTAAAACGTCACATTTTACCTGACATGGTCGCATATGTTAAAATGTAGTATTAGCATATGTTAAATATTTAGAAACTGGAGACTTTAACTTATACCGATACCGACCAAAATTTGTTACAAAACAATGTGAAGAGGTAAATATTCAAGAGAAATCCGATACAATCATACATGAAGTGATGCTGAAATCTAAAACGTTATCCACAATACCTCTTTTTCTAGAAAAAGGTTAAAAAATGTTACAATAATGCCTTGCCACGTAAAAATTTAGAACATATTTACCGTAATGGGAACACAAGAGAATTCAATTCAACTTTGTTAATCGCAAGGCTTAAAATTTTCTCTCTGGCTTTTCTTTCTTTTACCGGTCATCATCACCACCACCTGCTGGATCCGCCGAGTAAAAGAAGAAGAGAGAAGCGCGACAAACAATGGCGAAATCAAGCGCCGATGATGAGGAGCTCAGGCGAGCTTGCGAGGCAGCGATCGAAGGAACCAAGCAATCGATCGTCATGTCGATACGCGTCGCTAAGAGTCGCGGTGTTTGGGGCAAGTCTGGAAAATTGGGTCGCCAGATGGCCAAACCTAGGGTTCTCGCTATTTCCGGTGATACATCTCTCTCTTCTTATCCATCAGATTTTATTGCATTTCTGAAATCACGCCTTATTTTTGTTACCTTCAATTACTGGATCTTCGCTCTATTTAGCTAGCTTAAGCATTCAATTTTGGTGTTCTATGCCATTAGATCGCAATTTCGTTTGCACTGGTAATAGTTTTACTAAATAGGATAGAGAATTCAAAATCCTTAAAATTCCACTGTTCTTGGCCCTTCCTAAACTCGTAAGAGCTCAAAATGGTTATCCTGGCGACAAAATTGATTTGGTAGTGTCTACTCTTAAAATTAGGTGAAATAGTCCAGTGAACTCGGGGAGAAACTGTCTTGTGTGAAGAAAAGCTCTGATTCGATTGGAAATCATGTTTCCTCAGATCTATGTTTATAACTTTCCGGTGAAATGGTTCTTAAAGAGTTGTAATCAACTGAGTATGCTTTCTTATTCTGCTTTTTTACAGTTAAATCGAAGGGTCAAAGGAAGAAAGCGTTTCTTCGAGTTATGAAGTATTCAAGTGGAGGAGTACTTGAGGTAATCTTCATTTTCTTTATTCAATTTGCTCACACGAGTAACGTTTCGATTCCTCAAAGATCATGTTGACTGATGAAATGATGTTTTGAAAATCCTTTGTTCATCCAGCCTGCCAAAATGTACAAACTCAAGCATCTTTCAAAGATGGAAGTCATAACTAATGACCCAAGTGGATGCACTTTTACCCTGGTAAGCTCACTTGATGATACTTAATGAAGTGGTTAATACGTAAGATGTCATGAAAAAATGTATGCTTTCTGAAATTATTTGTAGCATCTAGTGTAACTGTGTAGGAAATGACAAAATCTGAGTGTGTAGTTGTAAAATACTGTCTCCTCTGCTTTTGCTGATGCAAAGTCTTTTTAGGGGTTTGATAATCTCAGGAGTCAAAGTGTTGCTCCACCTCAGTGGACTATGCGTAATACTGATGACAGGTACTGCACTTAGGACATACATATGAACTCCTATAAGATGTGATGGATAGATGATAAGCCATCATATTTTTTTTTGATTTTTTTTTTTGCTCATTTTATAAATACCTTCCTCTATTGTGATTATAGGAACCGGATTTTAGTTTGCATATTGAACATATGCAAAGACGTATTATGCAAGCTTCCCAAAGTCGTTGGTTTAGATATCGTTGAGATGGCCATTTGGGCTAAGGTGCGTATTACAATTTACAACTTCTTTTCTCTTCAAATTTTCCGTTTAAGTCTCTTATTTCCAAAAAGAAATTGCTTTTGTATCTGCTTGTGATTTCCCTCCTTTCATATTGACAAGTTCTTTTCATATAACAATTTCATCTGCTTTTTTTTTTCTTTTTTTTTTCATATTGTTTGTCTAGGATAACACTCCAGTTGTCACTACTCAAAAAACCACAGAAGATGGTGAGCCTGTTACTGAAGCTGTAACAGAAACTGACTTGAAAGTTACTGTTGAAAAAGAACTAGTCTCTCAGGCCGAGGAAGAGGATATGGAGGCTCTCTTGGGAACGTATGTCTTATTCCGTTCCAGTCATCATTTCGGTTAAATCCTCTTTTTTTTCACGCGTTTACTCTTTTTTTTTTCCTTTCTGTAAATCAGTATATGTCTGACGTATGAGAACTTCTCTATCTACTTTGCGTTATTGTTATACTGTATGAAGAGATAAGAGTATAATTACAGAGGCCCGTGAATCTTAAGCTTGTGACACTAGGTTTATGACTAACATAGAGTTGCATATTTATCCACCAAGCTAAGTATAGAACCATTCTTTACATTTGTCCTCTTGAGTGTATTTAGTTTAAAATATTGGCAATATTTCTTTGAAATCTAGCTTGCGGGGGATAAAAGTAATGGAAATGCAGTTATCTTTGAAACTTAGGTTTGTCAGATTGTTCACTTGACTAATATACCTGACATATACAGTTACGTAATGGGCATTGGTGAAGCTGAGGCATTTTCTGAAAGGCTGAAGCGGGAGCTCCAAGCTCTTGAAGCGGCAAATGTACATGCAATTCTGGAAAGCGAACCTTTAGTAGATGAGGTAGTTCCTTTTTGTTAATTATTATTCTTAGGACTATCTTGGTAAGTGGGCAGTATATTGGAAGATCAGCGTTTATTTTTTTTGCTTATGTGGTCATCTTCATGTTTTTCAGGTTTTGAATGGACTAGAGGCAGCAACAAATATTGTTGATGACATGGATGAATGGTTAGGAATATTCAACGTGAAACTTAGACACATGAGGGAAGATATTGAATCGGTAGGACCACGGCACCAGCTATAGATGATAATTCCTGGTCATTTGTTTTATTGTGAGGATAGTGTCACTGCATTTAAAAATGAGTTGCTGTATGTTATTAAGAAACTCATATAACTACGAGATTAAGAGAGAAAGAGAAATTGATTCCAAGTATCTGTGGTGTTGGACTGATCATTAGCTTTGTCAGCATATATTCTCACTCTCTTTTTTTGTGTGTGTCCAGATAGAAACACGAAACAACAAGTTAGAGATGCAGTCTGTAAACAATAAAGCCCTCATCGAGGAACTTGATAAAGTTATTGACAGACTGCGTGTGCCTTCTGAGGTTTGTTTCATTATGTTTAAATCATCTGAATATATTTTTGTGCTTGCTTCTCATCTGTCTACTTGGTTCACTTATAGAAGTGTTGTTGATTGCAGTATGCAGCATCCCTAACAGGAGGCTCATTTGATGAAGCAGACATGCTCCAAAATATTGAGGCTTGCGAGTGGTTAGCCAAAGCTTTAAGGGGTCTTGAAGTGCCCAACTTAGACCCGATCTATGCTAATATGAGAGCTGTATGCCTTTGCACTTAGATATTTCTTATTAGCTCTTTATTATTCTAAATTTTCCGCTAATCAGCTTTGTTTATCTCATCATGTCTTGTGGCTAGAATAACATTTTTAATTGTCTGAGTTCATAAAAAATAACTTGTTTTTGTACAACTACCTGAATTTCTGCTACTCTCGCTGTATTTTCTTCAGGTAAAAGAGAAACGAGCAGAGCTAGAAAAATTAAAAGCTACATTTGTAAGGAGAGCTTCTGAGTTCTTGAGAAACTACTTTGCTAGTTTGGTAGATTTCATGGTTAGCGACAAAAGTTACTTTTCTCAGGTACTACGTTTGTAAAATTTTATCTTTTTCAATATGAAATCTAATGATTATAATTCTGAATACTTATTGCCGCATCTTATATACAGAGAGGTCAGCTTAAGAGGCCTGACCATGCAGATTTGCGGTATAAATGCAGAACATATGCTCGTCTTTTGCAACATTTGAAGGTAAAACCGAGAAATGACTAGGTAACATTATAAAAGCTTAACACAGTACACTGATTACTTGTCTCCTTTCTTTTGGCAGAGTCTTGATAAGAACTGTTTGGGACCATTGAGAAAAGCATACTGCAGCTCCCTGAACTTGCTCCTTCGCCGGGAGGTGAGGAACAAATATTCCTTGCTTTATCAGTTTTACCACTGATTTATTGAACCTCTGAATTGACTAGGCTGCTAAAAACTACTGAATGTTAAACGCATAATTATCCAGCAACACACATTTTTTTTTTCCTTTCCCATAAGAGTGTTATACATTCAGTTCAAATTACCAAAGATTTGTTAAACGTACAGGCTCGTGAATTCGCAAATGAGCTTCGTGCAAGCACAAAAGTATCACGAAATCCTACTGTCTGGCTAGAGGGATCTACGGGTTCTAGTCAGAATGCAAACACTGACACCTCTGCAGTATCAGATGCTTATGCCAAGATGCTAACAATATTTATACCGCTTCTAGTAGATGAGGTAACTGTTAACCCTATGATTTCCTGTTTTGGCTTTACGTGCAACTGATGTATGTACTTAAACCATATTTGCTTCATACTACAGAGTTCCTTTTTTGCACACTTCATGTGCTTTGAGGTACCAGCTCTTGCTCCACCTGGAGGTTCTGCCAGTGGTAAAAAGCCCAACAATGATGATGGCAATGATGATGACGATTTGGGGATCATGGACATTGATGAGACTGACAAGAAACCTGGTAATCACAGCCTGCAATCAAACCTTCACTACATTCTCAAATTATAGAGTCTAATGGTTCTGAAAGCAAAACAAATGTCCATTTCTGCAGGTAAAACCTCCCCAGACCTGACGGCATTGAATGAATCTCTTCAAGATTTACTTGATGGAATTCAGGTTCGACTTCGGATGTAAAAAATGTTTCCATGGTGGATGAAAGACCCAATTATTAATTTTGTGGATACTAAAAGAGAGATCTGTGTTCTTGTCACTGCAGGAGGATTTCTATGCTGTTGTAGACTGGGCATATAAGATAGATCCCCTACGGTGCATATCAATGCATGGTATAACTGAAAGGTACCTATCTGGTCAGAAAGCTGATGCTGCAGGATTTGTTCGCCTTTTGCTTGGAGATCTGGAGTCGAGGGTTTCTATGCAATTCAGCCGCGTATGTTTATTCATAAAGATTGTTTGGTTTTTATTCGTGGCGTGGCATAATCTTCCTACTAATCATTTCAAGTCGACTTTATCTGCAGTTTGTGGATGAAGCTTGTCACCAAATTGAAAGAAATGAACGTAACGTAAGGCAGATGGGCGTCTTGCCATATATTCCAAGGTGATAAAAAAAAATCTAAATTGTTTAATACAGTGTAATGCCCATGTGAATCCTTATTTCCAAACGGGATTAGTATTTACGGTTCTGTACATTTCATCACAATAAGATTGTTGGTCAGATGGACTATAGGTGATCCAAGAAACTGTTCTAGTATTTACTTGAGGCTATCCTAACATTATCATCTCATTTTTCATAGATTTGCAGCGCTTGCTACTCGTATGGAACAGTACATACAAGGCCAATCTAGGGATTTAGTTGATCAGGCATATACAAAATTCGTAAGTACTGATATCTCTATTGAACCCGCAAAGTTAGCATAATGTTCTATAGACCTGAGTCTGACTAGTGGTGTTTTATAGGTGAGCATAATGTTTGTGACCCTCGAGAAAATTGCCCAGCAAGATCCTAAATATGCAGATATTCTCCTTCTAGAAAATTATGCTGCTTTTCAGAACAGGTAGATCCTTTTCTTACTCTCTCTCCCTCGGCTCGTCTTCTTCTTCCTGACTGTTCATATGTCCTTAACCTTGTATTTTATTTTGTGCTTGCGTGTGCAGCCTGTATGACCTGGCTAATGTTGTGCCCACATTAGCCAAGTTCTATCACCAGGCAAGTGAAGCATATGAACAAGCTTGTACCCGCCACATTAGCATGATAATATACTACGTAAGTGGTGCTTCCCTTTTGCAGCTTATAGCATAACTCTCTTCTTCTTTTTGGAGTTAATGGTGCGTAAGTGGTGCTTCCCTTAAGTTTGCTTCACATGTTCTTTGTCCCTGCAGCAATTCGAAAGACTTTTCCAGTTTGCTAAAAAGATTGAGGACTTTATGTATACTATCACCCCCGAAGAGGTTAGTTATTAGTTAACCAGTTGCTCCGTAGTTACACTTTTCATTATGCAAACCATTTTATTTGATGGTGTGGTACTTTAGTATCTAGGATTATAAGCCTGATACGCACATACTCTATATATTTCAGATACCATTCCAGCTCGGTTTGTCGAAAATGGAACTCCGGAAGATGTTAAAATCAAGCTTGTCAGGGGTAAACAGATTGTTCATTAGAGTATAGTAAATTCTTCATAGATTTTCTAACGTAAAGCGTTCCATTTTCTTTCTTTTTTGGGTTTAGGTGGACAAATCGATTGCAGCAATGTATAAAAAGTTGCAGAAGAATTTAGCATCGGAGGAGTTGTTACCATCGTTGTGGGATAAATGCAAGGTACTAATTTAAACTGAGTTCATTTAAAAGTTGTTGAAGAGAGTATGCATCAGCTCAATGTGTTGTGTGAAATGAAAACAGAAGGAGTTTCTGGACAAGTACGAGAGCTTCGTGCAGCTCGTAGCCAAAGTTTATCCTAGCGAAAACGTTCCTGGGGTAACTGAAATGAGAGGACTTCTTGCTTCCATGTAAAAAGAAAAAAAGTGATTAGAACCGATAACTGACGGCAGCTGTTATATAATGATCGCCTTTTGATACGTTTTTTCCGTCATTTTATGGATACAAGTCATGTTTAATTCTCTCTTTTCTCTTTGCTTTCCAAGTTTGTATATGTTCGAATGATAAAAGTCTGAAAAGTAAGAAAAAGTTTGTGTTCATTCATTTTGAGGCACAAAGCTTGTATCTAGCCCAACTTGCGGATTTCTCGTAACAAAATCTTTAAAGAGCAGAGAAGCTAGGGTGACCCAAATTTTATAAAATTTCATTGTTTTCAGAAGCCTGATCTTTTTTTCAAGAAATTGTAAAATGGCCCCAAATTTCGTCTGGTTATAACATACAAGTTGTTTTGTTATTGGAAAATGGCCACTAAACTCGTATTCCATTCTTGCTGGCACATATCTGAGTCTGCCTTGGACAACAAACTACATCGACCAGACTCGAGAGTTGTTTGTTCGATCGAATTTTTGTTTTTACTCGGCTTAACTTGATTTGATATGGTTATTCGATGATTAATTAGTTTAGGAAAACAGTTCGAATATTTTGAGTATATCATGGGCTCTACAAAATACAAGTCCGTTTTGTCCTGTCAATTCTGCAGGTCCAATCATTTTGACAAATTAGGATCATTTTTAAGTTTGTTAAGTCCAATAAATCCCAAGCGGGCGATGCTTCCAAAATGCACAATGTTGGTTAATATTTCCGGTTAACAAGACAGTCCAAGATCGTGAATGTTACAAGCATTGACTAAGGTTGGTGTAACAAACGAGCTACGAACAATCACGGCCCAAATCATGGTCCTGAAATTCCATCTTATTAAGATGCTTTTGAACATCCAACTTATTAACATGCAATCTAAACACTTTTGAAAATCCACAGTTGATTAAAATTTTTCTAAACCAAACAAATCACAAATCAAAAATCAAAAGCTATTCTAAAGCCGATAAATATCAATATCAAAAATATGGAGAAGAGACAGACTCCAGGATAACTATCTTTGACAAATTCCATAGACAAGTACTACCTAAAGCAACCCCAAATAAGGTGATAGTGATGATGAGAACAAGAAGAGAGAATTTGTCAAAATGATTATCATGTAATAGGTGAGCATAAGTAGATCGAAGATCCTAATAATCCAGAGAAAAAAAATTGACAATAAACACGTGGCTCAGAAGTGCTTGAAAGGTAATCAAGAGATTGAAAAATCTCATTCATGAGATAAAAGGTCATTTTTTCTTCATCACCGCCACAACTTTTGTTTTTTTTGTCAAAGAAGAAATCAAAAGAAACTGAAAAACAATCACATAGTAAATCTACAGAACAACAAATTGTACTTTCATCCTTGAAAAAAACAAAACAAAATTCGGATCTGTAGGATTTAGTTTAGACTCTTCACAGTACAAGATATCGAATGATATATATAGTACACCCAGAAACTAGGGTAACACTCCAGTATCCTTTACGGTAAAGACCAAATTAGCCCTACAAATGTTCTAGTATTTCGAGACTACCCTCGTAATTTCCTTGGCATCTCCGCCATTTCTCCAAAACTCCACAATCTCAACCAAAATGCAAAATCTTGATCAAAATTTCTACACCTAAAGCTTGATAAACTGATACAATAACGATAAATCACTGGAAAATCTCGAAACAGAAATGTTTTTTCCCGTTGCAACAAGCTCTGTTTTGAACCCAAAGCTCACTTTTCTCCATCACCACCATCTTCGTGACACGAACAGAAACAGAGTATCCAAATCTGTCAAGATGATAAACTCGGTGAATCACGAAAACCCAAGAAAGTAAAGTTCCTCTCTTCGTAAACAATCTCATTTGTTCATAACTTTTTTTTTCTTTCAGTAACGAAATTGTTCTGCAGGTGCGAGTGTTTTGATCTCTACGACCAATTGGTTCCATACAAGAAAGCCTGGTCATGGCAGAAAAGCATCGTCAGCGAGAAATTAGCTCTGATCGATAGAAACCAAGAGTGCTCAGACACAGTGATCTTACTACAACACCCTCCTGTTTACACAATGGGAACCGGAAGTTCAGAGGATTATCTCAATTTCGACATAAAGAATGCTCCTTTCGATGTCTATCGAACAGAACGTGGCGGTGAAGTCACTTACCATGGCCCTGGTCAGGTATAAAAAAAAACAATCTCAACAATCACATTCGAATTTCCTCTGTTTTCTCTTATGAAACTCACCAGTGAATGTGATTGCTTTTGAAAATGTAGCTAGTCATGTATCCTATAATAAATCTCCGGAATCACAAGATGGATCTTCATTGGTACCTTAGGAAGCTCGAGGAGATTGTCATTCGTGTTCTTTCCTCTGCTTTCTCCATCAAAGCTACTCGTCTTGATGGTTTTACTGGAGTTTGGGTCGGTATGTCCTTTTTATACATTCTTAATGTGATTTGATCTGTTCTTGGCAGTGTTTTGATCTGCAAAATTGTTTGTATAGGCGACCAAAAAGTGGCGGCGATAGGTATTCGTGCGTCGAAATGGTTGACATATCATGGTCTAGCTCTAAATGTCACAACAGATTTAACACCTTTTGACTCGATAGTACCGTGTGGAATAAGAAACCGCCGTGTTGGAAGCATAAAGGGTTTGATTGAGAATGATAAGCTCAGCGATTTGCAGTTGATAGATTTAGCTCATGAGTCATTACTCAAGGAGTTCTCCGAAGTTTTTCAGATTCAAATCGAAAAGAAACAGAATTGTGACTTGGAATGCTAAAAAGGTACATTCTTTAGCTATGTTTTTGCACTAATGGTGCAGAAAGTTTGTAACTTTACTTTCTGGTTACTCGGATAATAACTGATTTACCTGATTGTTGTTAAAGCAGGAAACTTTTTTGTGGACCTAATAAGAAAACAGAGGTTTTGTTTGGCTGTTTGTGGCCTTGTCTGCTTCTTGTAGATATATGTGTAAGAGATTGTTCTCTGAAAGCTTATCTGCTTCTTGGATTGACCACAAGGTATGGCTCTGGAGGCTGCTTTCTCCATGAGCTTCTGCTCCTTCCCCAACGCAATCTCCTTTGAGAGAGAAACCTTATCCTTTAACCGAATCATAACCTCAAGAGCAAACGGAAATGCGGGTGAGTGTAAAGTTCAAAGCTTTATGGAACCCAAGAAGAGAATAAGCTCTGATCTCAAGAGGGTTTACAAAGATGGTGACAGGGTAACAGCAAGAGGACCTTCTGGTCATTCGACAAAGGTTAGAGAAGATAAGGAGGAGATTACAGGGGAGAAGAAAGCTATGTTAGATAGAAGCAAGGCCTTAATAAAGCTGAAATCTTTAGGGAAAGAAGTGAGAGAGGCAGGCTATGTACCAGAGACCAAGTATGTTCTTCATGATATCGATGAAGAAGCTAAAGAGAAAGCGTTGATGCATCACAGCGAACGGTTAGCTATTGCGTTCGGGCTTATAAACACGGCTCCAGGGACGACGATCAGAGTGATGAAGAATCTGAGGATATGTGGAGATTGTCACAACTTTGTGAAGATATTGTCGAGTATTGAAGATAGAGAGTTTGTTGTGAGAGATAACAAGAGGTTTCATCATTTTAGAGATGGTAGTTGCTCCTGTGGAGATTATTGGTGAAAAAAAATACAAACAAAAGTGTATGATAAGGTTTTGAATTTCAACCAATTTCACCATCCTGTATTTTGCTTCTCTTTTCAAACCAAATTGTAAATATTCAGAATAATTAAATATATATAAAAAAATTTGGAAATTAAGTTTTTTTAATCAGATATAAACAAAAATTTACTGAAACGAATAATATATTACTATGTAGGTTCTGATTTTTAATTTATTAATAAAAATTAAATGTTATTTGTAAAAATTAAATTATATTTGTAGAAGTTTAGAAGAAAAAAGTATATTAATTAATATTTTTTTATATAAAAATCTGAAAAAGTAAATTTTCTGTAAAAAATCACAGTTGTAATCTTTATAAATTTTATTTTTCCTGTTTTTAACAAAATAAACTTACTAGAGCTAATTACCTTAAATTTCTATAAAAAAACCCCTAAGATTGAGAGGAAAAAATAAAACAAAAACCCTTACTGCGACGGAGAAAGAGCATCGAGAACGTGCGTATATCTCCTCCGGTCTCGTTGATATCCATACAAAGTTTGAACATATCTAGCTCTATCTCTTTGTTCGACCAAAAAAACGACCATGAATTCAGATTCCATCCCTACAGAACTCCTCAGGGAGATATTGTCGAGATTGCCTACAAAGTCAATCGCGAGGTTTCATTGCGTGTCAAAGCAGTGGGAATCACTATTTGACCATGCATATTTCAGAGAGTTGTTCCTGACCAGATCCTTCTCGGATCATCCGCGTATCTTGTTCGTCATTGAAAAAGAGGGTTTGTGGAGCATCTTCTCGGTGCCTCAACGTCTTCGTCCATATGAGAAGCCTTCGTCGTTGTCTTCTCTTGTAGTATCTTCTGAGTTTCATATGAAGTTCCCTCCAGAAAATATGCGGATCGATGCTGGTAGAGGCGGACGATTTGCATTTGGCTATGCCTCAGGTTTGATGTATTTCTCTGGTATGAGGATCAAAGAGGAAGATTACCGTCGCATGCCTGTGATATGTAACCCTAAAACGGGACGGTATGGGACCTTACCTTCTTTTATTAAGTACTGGTACACAGTGGTGCATAGCTTTTTCGGGTTTGATCCGATTGACAAGCAATTCAAGGTATTGGCCATGGAGTATCCCTTTCGTCATAATCATCATAAAATCATGACGTTAGCACCAGGAGAAACGACATGGAGAAGAATCAAATGTTCCTTCAAACATGAGAAGGTGAGTGAAGGGATATGCGTTAATGGGGTTTTGTATTACTTAGGTGAAACGTGTGAGGACAAGGTTGATGACGAGGATGAGTATGAGAAATTTGTGTTAGTTTGTTTTGATGTTAGGTCTGAAGAATTCAAGTTTATTTATCTTGAAAGGTTTTGCGAGTTGATCAACTATATGGGAAAATTAGGTGTGATTCATTATGATTACGTTGATGATGCCATGGAGTTGCTTGTGTGGGTTCTTGAGGATTTCGAGAAACAGAAATGGTCCAAATACGAATACACCTTGAAGGATGATAAGTTCTTACCTTATCACGTTTCCATCGTTGGAGTGAGTGCTACGGGTGAAATTGTTTTGTCAATGGGAGATTATACATCTGAGCAACCGTTTTATGTTTTCTACTTCAATCCCGAAAGGAACACTCTCCAACGTGTTGAAATCAAAGGTTTTGGAGAGTACCATGAAGCGTTGGACAAGCCTAGTAGAGTGCACGTGTTTGTAGACGATTGTAGTAGATTTTACGCCTTTGCTGACCAAGTTGAGGATCTTAATGTTAACGATCACATGCTACTCGAGTGAAGCATCTATGCTCCATATGTGAATACACGAGAAGACTATCCAGGAAGAGAAGAATATTATTCTGAAGATTCAAATGTAGATGAAGATGAATATAAATATGAATATGAAGATGAAGAAGAATATGATTATGATAATGGATATGAATATGAAGAGGAAGCAGAATATGATAATTCAGTTTGTTAATTATGAAGAAGAATGAGAAGAAAGGAGAGGAAGACGAAATAGAAAAGGACAATCTTTACGTTTAGGTGAAGGCGATAAGCATATGTCATTTTGTGCTATGGGTTTAAGCTCGTTAGATATGTACCTTTTTTTTTGGTGAATAGATATGTACCCTTTTTTATCATTAACTATTTTAATAAATCAAGTTTTAATCTAACACTCCATTTCTCTGCAGTTCTAATCAATAATAACCTCTGCTTAGTCATGAATATATAAAAAAGGCGATTGAGTTTATATGTAAGTATATTAATATATATATATATATAACTACATATTGATGCAGTGTTAAACAACAATGTATCAAAAAGAACTACATAATTTTGTGCTCCTAATCATTTGTTTTTTTTTCGTTATTAATCAGCTCTTTTTATATTATTTATTAAACAAAACCAATTGTATATTTTTCGTTTTTCCGTTTTCTTTAATTCTAATCTGAATGGAACTTGATGAACTGAACTGAACTGAAGAGTATCAAAATAATTGGTCATCAAATCAGCAAAACAAAAGTTCGAAAAATAATTGGTCTTCAATGTTCTTCCTTTAATAAATAGAGGATTGTAAAATATTCAGAATAACTAACACTATATATAAAAAAATTGGAAATTAGGATTTTTGATCATATATAAACATTAAACAAAAATATACTGAAACGAGGTTCTGATTTTTGATTTATTAATAAAATCAATTATTTTTGTAGAAGTTTACAAGAAAAAGTATATTAATTAATACTTTTTTATTAAAAAATGGAAAATAAAACTTCTGTAAAAAGTCAGAGTTGTTCAATCTTTACAATTTATATTTTCTTGTTTTTAACAAAAGGAAACTTACTAGAAGTCTAGAACTAGCTACCTTATAATTTCTCTCAAAAACCCTAAAACTGAGAGAAGAAAAAAAAAAGACAAAAACCTAAATCCTTCTACTGCGACTGAGAAAGCATCGATAACGTGCGTCTATATCCTCCGGTCTCGTTGATCAGCATACGAAGTTTTCATATATCTAGTCTATCTCTTTGTTCTATCAGCAAGATAAAAAAAACGACCATGAAGTCAGATTCCTTGCCGACAGAACTCATCATGGAGATATTGTCGAGATTGCCTTCAAAGTCAATAGCGAGGTTTCATTGCGTGTCGAAGCAGTGGGAATCACTATTTGGCCATGCATATTTCAGAGAATTGTTCGTGACCAGATCCTCGGCTGAGCCGCGTATCCTGTTCGCCATTGAAAAAGAAGGTTTGTGGAGCATCTTCTCGGTGCCTCAACGTCTTCGTCCATATGAGAAGCCTTCATCGTCGTCGTCGTCTATTGTAGTATCTGCTGAGTTTCATATGAAGTTCCCTCCAGGCAACAGGCGGATTGATCCTCGTAGAAACAACGGACGATTTCCATTTGGCTATGCCTCGGGTTTGATGTATTTCTATGGTTTGAGGAACAAAGAGATGAATTACCATGGATTGCATGTGATATGTAACCCTAAAACGGAACAGTATAAAATCTTACCTTTTCTGGCTTTCAGGTACTTGTTAAATAAGGCGTATACCTTTTTCGGGTTTGATCCGATTGACAAGCAATTCAAGGTTTTGTCCATGCAGTATCCGTCTCGTGGTGTTCATCATAGAATCATGACATTAGGAACTCGAGGAACGATTTGGAGAAAGATTAAATGTCCTTTGATGCATAAGACTATGAGTGAAGGGATATGCGTTAATGGTGTTTTGTATTACTTAGGTGAAACTTGTAAGAATAAGAATAAGAATAAGAATAAGAAGAAGAATAATAATAAGTATGAGTATGAGGATGAGGATGAGGAGGAGGAGGAGGAGGAGTATGAGAAATTTGTGATAATTTGCTTTGATGTTAGGTATGAGGAATTCAAGTTTATTTACCCTGAAAGCTTTTGTCAACTGATCATTTATAAGGGTAAATTAGGTGTGATTCATTATGATAACGTTGATGATGCCATGGAGTTGCTTGTGTGGGTTCTTGAGGATTTTGAGGAACAGGAATGGTCGAAATACGAATACACCTTGAGGGATGATAAGTTCTTACCTTGTCACGTTTCCGTCGTTGGAGTGACTGCTACGGGTGAAATTGTTCTATCGATGGGAGATTATACATACAAAGAGTCATTTTATGTTTTCTACTTCAATCCTGAAAGGAACACTCTCCAAAGTGTTGAAATCAAAGGTTTTGGAGAGTACCATGAAGCATTGGACAAGCTTAGTAGAGTGCACATCTTTGTAGACGATTGTAGTAGATTCTACACCTTTGCAGACCAAGTTGAGGATCTTAATGTTAACGATCACGAGCTACTCAAGTCAAGCATCCATGCTCCATATGTGACTACAGAAGAAGAACACTTTGCAGAAAACTATTCAGGAGGGGAAGAAGATTATTCTGAATATTTATATGGAAATGAATATGAATATGAATATGAAGATAGAGATGAATATGAATATGAATATGAATATGAATATGAATATGAAGATGAAGAAAAATATGATTACGTATATGATTATTCAATTTGTTAAATTATGAAGATCAGGCCCGGCCCGTAGCTAAAGCGGGTAAAGCCCACGCTTTAGGCGCCAAAGTTTTTATAACGTTTTAGGGGCGCCAAAATTGTAAAAAACGAATGTAGCCTAATGGTTTATGCCTTCCTCTTGTGCTCCAGGTCTGCAGTTCGACCTGGATTGATGCTTTTGTAATATTTTTTTTTTTTTGGCTTTAGGTGCCCCACCAGTTCGGGCCGGCCCTGATGAAGATGATGAAGAATCAGAAATAAGAAGGAGAAGGAGAATCAAAAAAGTACGTTCTGCGTAGTATCAAAAGAAAAGGCATTCACAATGAAAGGATATGCAGAGATTGGGGATGATTGGTAAGAGCTGTGGTTGCTCTCCAGAGCACTAAATCTCTGTACAGCAATTCAAAATTACCAATCAAGTTCTCATTTTATCTCTTTCCATTTTTGAAACGCAGAGCAATTTTTTTTGTTTATGGAAATTTCGTGGTTTTGGAAAGCAATTTTTCTAGAGCACAAAATTAAGTGCTCTTAGAATTTTTTCTTTTCTCTTTCCTTATTATTTTTTCAACATTTATTTTTTAATCCATTGTTTCTATAACTTATCTTTTTTGTTTTCATGCTATATTTAATGCCACAATCTACAATAAAAAATCTTACATCACTAAAATCTACAATCACAGCAAAAAATTCTACATCATAAATTCTAAAGCAAAATTAATTTGCTTTGGGCGTGCGTGCGGGCGGAGATACATCAAGTTTTGGGAATTAGCAATGTGGGGGGTGTCGGGAACTATCTTGGGATTCCAGAAAGCATTGGGGGCGCAAAGACAAAGATTTTTAGTTTTTTGGTAGATCGACAACACCAACGAATGAACGGTTGGAACTCAAAGTGGTTGTCAAAAGGGGGAAAAGAAGTTCTTATTAAGTCAGTGGCTTCATCGATGCCTATGCACGTAATGTCATGCTTTCGTCTGCCCAAAGGGATTACGAATAAGATGACTAGTGCAGTCTCCAATTTCTGGTGGAGTAATAATGGCCAAACTCGTGGTATGCATTGGATGGCTTGGAAAAAGTTATGTCGGCACAAGAATGATGGTGGATTAGGATTTCGGGTTATTGAGGACTTTAACACGGCTTTACTTGCCAAACAACTATGGCGGCTAATAGACTACCCCGAATCGTTATTTGCACGAGTTTTCAAAGGACGGTATTACCGGAACTCTACTCCTTTAGACCCTATTAGATCATACTCTCCTTCTTACGGATGGCAGAGTATAGTATCGGCTCGACCTCTGGTACAAAAAGGACTTATTAAAAGGGTTGGTTCAGGAACATCTATCTCAGTTTGGGATGATCCATGGATTCCAGCTTCTAGCCCGAGGCCAGCCACATGAGATGGGATTAATTTTTACCCTCATCTTCGGGTGAGTGAACTAATAAATCCCATCACAGCAACGTGGAATTTTCCACTATTGAATCAATTGTTTGACAGTACGGATGTCTCCATGATCATCGGGATTCCCACATCACATGTTTCCCGACCAGATTCCATGGGATGGTTTTTTACGAAGACAGGTCGGTATACGGTTAAATCGGGATACGCGCTAGCACAAAAAATGCTGGCGAATGATAGCCCCAATTTCTTTGGACCCGATACACGGAGGCTCCAATCACATGTGTGGAAAGTACGATGCACTCAGAAATTACAACATTTTATTTGGCAAGCTCTGACGGGCTGTATAGCAGTCGGAGCACGACTACGGAGTCGTGGCATGCAGATAGATCCACAATGTATGCGTTGTGGAATGGCCCCAGAAACAGTGAATCACACTTTGTTTGAGTGTCCACCGGCATTACAGGTTTGGGCATTATCTCCAATCCCAACGGTTCCCAATCAATTTCCGACAGAGGGGCTGTTTACAAATATGGCACACCTGTTCTGGCACTTACCAAAAGATGAAAGGATGGGGATGTACCCTTGGTTAATTTGGTACATTTGGAAAGCTCGAAATGATAAGGTTATGGAAAATGTGGACTGGGACCCAAATGAGATAATTGTTAAAGCGGCAGCGGAGAGTTTGGCATGGGCAGCGGCCCAGGAACGACGAGCGACGGCGCATTCCCACACAGAAACCCTAGTGCAAACACCGATATCAGGTGACATTTGTCAGGTGGACGGGGCTTGGAAAGACACAGAGTGTAGAGCTGGTTTAGGATGGTACTTTTTCAACACGGATTCTCCTGATAAACTTATGGGAACATGTAATTTGAGGCGGGGAATATCCCCACTTCAGTCAGAGCTGGAGGCTCTCATTTGGGCCATGCAATGCATGATACGGCATAACAAATTGGTAATGGTGTTTCAGACGGACTGTTCCGATGTGGTGAAGATGGTGTCTAAACCAGAGGAGTGGCCGGCGTTCTCAACACTACTTGACGAGGTTGACAGATGTAAGAGGAGATTCACCTCTTTCAACATCATGCATATTCCAAGGACGAACAACACGAAGGCAGACAAGTTAGCACGAAGTGCTCGAGATCTACCTACAGATGTGTATTATGTAAACTCTATTTCACCAGTTTGGATTCCCGAGCTGTTGTAGAAATAAAGGCTGTTGACAAAAAAAAAAAAAAAAAAAAAAAAAAAAAAAAAAAAAAATTCTAAAGCAAAAAGATCAAAGCTAAAGCCACAACCAATCAGACCCATTGTCACAACTTCATATCGAGTATTGAATCTATTGATGATAGAGTTCATTGTAATTCAGATTTTTTTATTAAACATAAATATAAAAAACAGAAAACGAAATTAGTCGCCGTCTGAGGGTATCGAACCCTCGACCACGGGATTAAAAGTCACACGCTCTACCACTGAGCTAAGAAGGCTTCTTCGACAGAGATATAAGACACCAGATATATAAATAGATATAGAAAAGAAAACATCGGAATTGGGCCAGGGCCTAAACCCTCGACGCCGAAAAACGAAAGAAACCGTCGACGGCGATGAGCTCCGTCGAAGCTAAAGAGACTTGCAATGTGTCGAGAAGATGAAAATCGTCGCGCCGAAACCGGTCCGTAGCTAAATCCCTGGTCTCGGCGATAACTCGTTTCCAGCTTTCACTTCCACTCTCCTCCCGTCTCAGGAAACGTCCGTTACTATAATTCCTTTTTCTCTTCTTCCCCTGCTTTTACTTGGTATGAAGCTCTGTGCAAACGGATGATTTTTCCGAGAAGGTAAAGTCTAAGATCACCGGAGGTATGTTTCTCTTTTTTTTTTCTCCAAAACGAATCAGTGACTTATGTTTAGCACTGTTCTTACAAGGTGTGTTTTTCTGACATGACAGAAGTTGATTCCAATAATAACAACTGCTTACGGTGCCCTAGCGGAGAGTCACAGAGCAAGCTATCTTAGGTGTTTTGAAACTTGAGCATCAAGTAAGACGTAAAGCCAAGGATCATGCTTTGTTGGCTATAGAGAATTGGCAGAGAGCATTTGAGCTATTTCGCTCGGAGAAACTTCTTGATCTTCTTGGACCTTCCAGATGGAAAAAATATATCATGTAAGTGCTCTCTATTCAGAGACTTGTAACAGTTCGACAATTCATTCATAAGCTCTTAAATGTTGTCTTTTCTTTTTTGTTTTCAGATGCTTAAGTTAGAGTTCTCTTTTCTTCTTGAAGCCCGTCACATTTCCAACGCAGATGAGGACTTATTAGAAGGAGGACATATCAAGGGTTTCTGGGACCAACTGCAGAAAGTTGTGAAGGAAATGGCAATGCTGAGAAAAGGAGCACCCAATGGTAAAAAACTGACAAATCTATACAAAAAATCACTCAAAGATCCAAATAGGCTCGGCGACTTGAATGGAATGCATTCTTTGTGGACATCAAAATCTTAATGTGTCTTCTTTTGCTTCCTAGTATGATTCTTGTCTACATATTCTACTAGGTAGTGACCCGCGCAAGTGCGCGGGATTACGCTCCGGTTCCCTTTCTCTTCGTATGTGTGTGTGTGGGGTTTGTTTTGTGTTTGTAACACCTGTCTTTCTACAAATATAACAGCTGTGTCTGCCTTTTTTTTTACGAAAATATTAAATAAAATCATGTGGTCAATTATTTTCCAGTGAAGAACCGTATCTAATTCACTTTTCTTCTACCCCTTTCCCCTTTCTTGATTTGAAACTATTGGATTAATCTCATCCTCTGTAATTCTAAATCTTTGAGAAACAATAGTTGATTCGTCGATTGATCAATCTTTTGATTGGTTTCCATTCATTGATTATTTGAGTAAGAATATTCAAATTCTAGTTTAAGATCCTTGTTTGAGAATTTTATCGATGAAGCCCATAATATACTTCCAATTCTTTTTTTTTGAGCTTTCTTAACCAACGGTGTTCTGGAAAATGATCTACTTTTGCTCCTCTGAGTTTTCTTTTGGATCTCGGTGGTTATCGTCGGCGGAGATGTCGGATTTCACTAAAAGTTTTGACTCCGGTGTCGCATGCAATTAATATCTGTGATTATTGGGTTAGTTTGCGATTTACTCATATCTTCAATTTAATGGTTCCTTAATTTGATTTTATAAGATAATATTTTTGAACAAAAAAAAAAGATAAGATTTTTGTGTTTGGATTGTTTAGACTCAAATCAATGTATGTTTTTTTTTGTTTTTCTACGGTCAAGGTTTATTCTGGAAAGCTCAAATCTTATTCTGGAAAGCTTAAATCGCGGTTTTGGTATAAGTTAAGTATATTACGATCTCCTATTGCTTTCTTGTTACATATCAGAGTGCATTCTTGTGATCTTATTATTTCTTTTTCTTGATACACAGAGTCGCAGGACTTGGCTTTATGTTTTCACCTAGTATAATCGGCTCCCTGGAATAAGGCAAGTTCTTTTCCAATAACAGTTATATTGTTGTTCAATTTCCATTAGCTCATGTGATTTCATTATTGGGTTTCTTCATAGATTGTGGTATGCTCTCTGCAAGGGTGAGAGCCAACCCATCATCTAGAAGTCTACACAATGAATAACATATTAGAGTATGAATAACATCATGTCATAGTAATAATCTATCATTCGAACTTACAGTTCCTTGAACTCTTCAATTTCAGGATGGTTTGGATTTATTTGCAGGAGGCTGGTTGAGAATGCGTTTGAAACACTTTTAACACCTACACCAAGAGCTAATAAAAAACAGTATAACGTAATGTATATTTAAAGTTATTTTCTACTTTAATATTTTTTGCAAAGCTCACACCTTTGAATTCCCTGATTTTGGAAAACCTTAGAAGGCATATGACACTTTCATCTCCAGCACTATGGTATGCTGCAGACGTCTCCTCAGCCATTGAATTCCATAAGGTACAGCCTAAACGCTCATCACTACAACCAATACAATTAAAAATAATTTTGAATTCATTATCTATGTTATTCAAGTTATATTTTCTTTACAGAGAATTTAGACTAACTTACTTTTCATCTAGGAGTTCAAATTCCTGCTTCTTTAATGGTTTTGTAGCCGTATCTAGAATCTCCAATTCCTTGACATTGATAACTTGTCCACGTAACTTACTTTTTCACGAACTCCTTTTTAACACCAGCATGAATCTTGGTACCCTGATTATGGAGCATAGTTTTGAACAATATTGAGAATTTTCTACAACAAAAAAGCTTTTCCAAATTTACCGAGAATGTTTTTATATGAAACATGAAATAACTGGAAATAATCTTCTTAAAATTTACCTCTTCATCGGCTAAGATCATCTCTATTGTCTCTCCGGAGACGGCAGTAAACTGCTTCCATGAGTGAAGAATTTTGACTTGGATCCTCCAAGAAGTTTTGAAAGGTTTTTTTTTGTTACTATTGACAACTTGTTTGGACTTATGGCTTATTGATCATCGGTTCACCTATTATATAGTAGTTGGGTTTTTCAAATAATGGAAATTTCGCATATATCATTCGATCATATTTGTATTATTAACAAATTTGTTTTTGAAGATTATCTTTTCTTTAATATCAAGATTCCTTTGATTTCTTATTATCGCTTCATATTTTTTAGAACATTTCCTTTTTGCAGATTTTACAACAGATATGGATTAAGCGTAAGTTTTCTTTCTTTTTTGCAGGTATTCAAGCGGATTGAACCGAGAATTTTGAAGAATAGATTTTCGGTTTAAGAAAACCATTAGAGATCGGTTTGATTTAAGTTTTCTAAAGGATCCGCGTCCCATATTGTGGATATCCGGGTCGGTTTTTTTCTTTCTTCTGAGTTGACTCAGTTGACTCGGCCATTTTTTTACTAAATTATCCCTTCTTATATTTGTTGCCAAACACTTTTTCTTCATAAAGGATTGGTTTTTTGGTCCAAAAATTGTCAATGTACTTCTCAATTAATAATAAAGAGATTATGACAAGATTGCTGCGTATATTATTATTAAGGCTCTGATTTTTTTTTGGTTCGTACTCTAGTCTCTATATTGTATATCTGATTAATGCTCCAGTTTCTTTTCCCTAATATGATTTGATTGTAGATCTATAAGATGTTGTTGCTTAATGCTTATTTCTTGGTTCTCTATTAGAAAACTTACTGGCAAAGTCTTTTGTAATGCCTAAGTCAACGATGGCTATCAAAGAAATTGACCATTACGGAATTAAGTTTCAATGATAAATACAGAGGACGAACACTAGACCAATCAAGCCTTTATGCATGTACAGAGAGCTAGGATGATATTTGTGTGACTCCCAATATATTAAGTTGCCCAAATGCCACAGCGGCCAAGTGCAGCAGCAAAGATCTTTGAGATTTCCATTGGAAACATTACGTAGTACATGCTCCACAGTCCACAATCAGAATCTTTTCGTCACTCATAAACTATGCATATACTCAATCTGACTAATTATTAGAGAAAAAACAAATTAAAAAAAAAAACTCTTTGAGGTATTTGGAATCCCACTTTTATTGTATTCCTGAAAACTGTGTAATAAAATGTTTCTGCACCAAAAAAAAAAAAAATGTTTTGTTTAATTTATATTTTGCTTACCAACATCAGCAAATCCAACTCTTACTTTCAACCAGTGAACTGTTTCCTTCATATCAGCTTTCATTGTCTTCCACTCCTCCTTGTATATAGCAAAAAGATCCTTCATGGTTACATCACCTTCTTTGACAATGCTTGGATTTTTCATGTCAGCTATCATTCTCTTGAACTCCTCCTTATATATAGCAAAAAGTTCCTTCATGGTTACATAATCTTTGTTGACAGTGGTCGGATTTTTCATGTCAGCTATCATTCTCTTGAACTCCTCCTTGTATATAGCAAAAAGATCCTTCATGGTTACATCACCTTCTTTGACAGTGCTTGGATTTTTCATGTCAGCTATCATTCTCTTGAACTCCTCCTTGTATATAGCAAAAAGATCCTTCATGGTTACATCACTTTCTTTGACAGTGGTCTTCTTGGATAACCTATATGAAGATTTAATCAAATCCCCTTTTGTTTTGTTGGATGACTCAAGAATCAAAACACAAACGCACACACACATCAATAAATCTATATATCTGTACGTACCATATGTTTGCTGATGAATCTTTCTCCGAGTAGCGATCAATCTCGAACAGTAAAGGCGTTTTAACATCCTCCATGTTTTGAAGACGACTTTGATATCTCTCTCACAAAACTTGTATGCTTTGTCCATAGCCGGAATATATAATAAACTTTCGTCATAATCCTAATTCGAAAGAAGTAAGGAATTTATAAACCTGAAATTTTTTTAAAAAAAAAAAGAAAACAAATCTAGTCAGCTCTCTCCCGGTGTATCCTTTAACCGGAGAAACATCGTGAACAGTTCGAGAAAAAGTAGAAGCATACCTGCGGAACGATCTTGAGAACATATCTAGCCACCGCACCAACAGCTCCTGCATCAAGCCGGTGATAGAGAAGATCATAGCTAGGCACTTACGACTGCACTTGGGCCACCGCACCAGTATCATGGTTTCCATTTGGGTTCTTGAATTGAAGAACAACAAAAGAAGCTATGAAGAATCAACCAACCAAAAAATTAGTGGAAAATTTTATTTTCCTTGCGTTACTACATATAAATTAGAGAAAAATGTACTTTGGTTTCTCATCTTTTTTGTTCCTTCTCATTTAAAAGAAAATCTTGAAGAAATTTACAAATCTTTATAGAAAAGTATATTTCAAAAAGCCTGGCCTCGGTTGGGAGTCCTCGTGGCAACAACGATGAGGACTCAAGTTCCTCGGAACTTCGGCAACAACGCAAATTTCCGGGCTCTATGTTCAGAATCGGTGTTTCTACTCTGGGATCTGCTCGGTTTGGCGTGTGCTTAGCTTGTTGTTCGTTCGCTTTCGTATTTTGCTGTTGTTATGAAGTCTTTTCTTGTAGTTTTTTTTTGTCTTTCTGCTTTCTTGTTTTCATTTTAATTTCTGTCAAAAACTGAATAACTGAATTAAAAAAAAGTATATTTCAAAAGTTGTGCTTTTGCTTATTGTAGCTCTTATTAAGTTAAGATAGTACTTATGAATACAGTGCACATATTTAATGAAATAATATGATTTAAACCAAAGCCTAAATATCATGGGGTAGGTTATCTAACGTTTGCAAACCCAGCAGGCCTCATCCTTTTCCCCTTCTTTCCTTAGTACCCATGACGAACATGCACATGCACACAACTCACTACCTCAAGACGAGCTTAATGCAATGAAACTAGTAGAGAACCCGCACGTTTGTGCGGTGTGATGTTGCGGTTTTGTGAAGAAAATCTAATATCTTAACCGTTATAACTTTAACCTCATATTGTATCAGGTCATAAAATCCTACCAATAATTTTCATGTAATTAAATAATGTTTAAGTAAAATAGCATGAGTTAAGTCATTCATAAAGTAATTAGAAATAAGTATGTATTATTCATTTTTAAAACAAACTAAAACATTTAAACATTCCTGAAGTGCGGTGAAAAAAATAATGATAATATTATAAATAGTGAAACACTATACATAAAATTAGATATGGAACTTTCACCGAAATTCAAACTTAAACACATTATAAAAAACTTGTACAAAATCGTTCCGGTTTTTATATCTTTAATAAATCCAAAAATCTGAAACCCGTAAAAATTTTAAAACCCGAAAACCAGGAAAAACCATAAAAACCCGAACCAAAATTTTTAAAAAAACGAACGATTTTTATATCTCTAAACCCGAAAACCCAAAACCCTAGAAACATGACATGTACCCGACCTGAAGTCCAAGACCTACATAAAATCATATAAAAATTGTTTTAGATAACATAACATTTAATACATAATTTAAATATTAACAAATTGAAACTTTTAATTATAAACGACTTTTCCACTTAAATGAAGTATTCTAATTATCATCACCTTAATTAAAAACAAATAATAAATGATCATATATATCGAGCACTACAAATAAATAGTAAATAATTGTAGATATTAAACTCTATCTTACTTTGGTCTGATGGTTTCCTTTGTCATTTTGTAGTCGCAGGACACGGGTTCAAATCTCAATAGTTATATGTTTAGTTTTTGACTTTTTTTAGTGAATTGGCAAACTACAAAAATACCCCCATCTCTTTCTCCTTTCCCTTCCCTCGACTCTGCAAAACCTGATTCCGACATCACTATTCCCGGAAATCTCATCTAATCTTCTCGTTCAGCAATCTCGGTGGCACTCTCGATTTCCTTCCTATAACCTCATATCCTTTTTTGTATGAATGTTAAATCTCAAATTCTTACTCGTCAGATTTTATCACATGCTCCTTCTCCTCCCCGATCAAAATCTCAACAATCCGAGTATAATCCGGATCGCAGTGTTACCGGATTCAAAAATTTAGATTTTGAATCAATTCTCGATCAATTCAGTTGCTGGTACCCGATTTCCAGCGACGCTGATTTCATAAAAGCAGTAGCTTTAGAATATAATTGGAAAAAAGAGAGGCTATGAAGATCTATTGCTCCCTCATCCTCTTCATCTCAAGCTTTTAGCAAGCGATGATTGTTCCATCATTGTTCTAGATCTATTCAGGTACAGAAGCTTCGACGGAGATTTGGTAGGTGGCATCACATATTATATAGTAGTAGTTATGTAGGGTTTCTATCGATCATATTTCTTGATTATCAAGGTTTAATAATATCGATAGATCATTATGTTAATTTTTCTTTTTTGCAGATGTTCTTAGATTGGAAAAGTGAAAGTTTTCTGATTATGGCATTATCGATGGGTTTCCATTTCTCAATTTTTGGTTTAGCAGAAAATACTTTTTGGTTTAATAGAACCAAATTGATAAAAAAAAAGCAACGAACTCGGTTTGATTTAAGTGAATAGACCCGCATCCCAAAACCAAGACATTCGGGTCGGATATTCCCGAGTTACTGAGTCAACTCAGTCGATTAAAACCAAAATTGCCCCTTATTAAACCTGTTGCCAAACAGATTTTCTTTATAAATAGATTGGTTTTTTGGTCCAAAAATTACCAATATACTTCTCAATTAATAATAAAGAGATATGTCCAGCAAACACGAATTAAGATGTATTTAACATGATATCTCAAAATAATTTTAAAATTAAGATTTTGATTAGACTTACATTAATATATATTTACTGAAACGAACTATATATAGTATGTTGGTCTGATTTTTAATTTACTATTAAAATCAATCACTATTTTAAAAGTTTACAAGTAAAAAGTATATTAACTTTTTTTAATCGTTTTGAAAATCAAAAATAAAATAAAAAATGAAAAAGTAAAATTTCTGTAAAAAATCAGAGTTGTAATTTTGTTTTTTTTTCGTGTGTCTTTAACAAAAAAAAACAATCTTTTACTATAACTTTTATATAACCTGTCCATCACTCGATTTCTCTCAAAAACCCTAAAATTGAGAGAAACCAAAAAAAACTCATCAATCCTTCTAGTGCGACAGAGAAGCATCGAGAACGTGCGTAGATCTCCTCCGGTTTCGTTGATCCCCATACGAGGTTTTAACATATCTAGCTCTATGTCTTTGATCGATCAGGAACAAAAAACGACCATGATTTCAGATTCCATCCCGACAGAACTCATGATGGAGATACTGTCGAGATTGCCTACAAAGTCAATCGCGAGGTTTCATTGCGTGTCGAAGCAATGGGAATCACTATTTGGCCATCCATATTTCAGAGAGTTGTTCCTGACCAGATCCTTCTCGGATCAGCCGCGTATCTTGTTCGTCATTGAAAAAGACGGTTTGTGGAGCATCTTCTCGGTGCCTCAACGTCTTCGTCCATATGAGAAGCCTTCATCGTCGTCGTCATCGTCTTCTCTTGTAGTATCTGCCGAGTTTCATATGAATTTCCCTCCTGACAATATGTGGATCGGTCCTCGTAGTGACGGACGATTTTCATTTGGATATGCCTCGGGTTTGATGTATTTCCATGGTTTGAGGATCAAAGAGCAGAATCACTATCGATTGCCTGTGATATGTAACCCTAAAACGGGAAGGTATACGACCTTTGCTTCTTATCTCTTCAGGAGCTGGTGTAGTGATGCGCATAGCTTTTTCGGGTTTGATCCGATTGAAAAGAAATTCAAGGTATTGTCTATGGAGTATCCACGTCGTCATCATGCAATCTTGACATTAGAAACCGGAAAATCAAGAAGGATAAAACGTTCCTTAAAACATGAGAACGTGAGGGATGGGATATGCGTTAATGGGGTCTTGTATTACTTAGCTGAAACGTGTGAGGATGAGGATGAGAATGAGGACGAGGATGAGGATGAGGATGAGGGTAAGAAATTTGTGATAGTTTGCTTTGATGTTAGGTCTGAGGAATTCAAGTTACTTTATCCTGAAGGTTTTTGCCAATTGATCAACTATAAGGGTAAGTTAGGTGTGATTCATTATGATTACGATGATGATGCCATGAAGTTGCTTGTGTGGGTTCTAGAGGATTTCGAGAAACAGAAATGGTCGAAATACGAATACACTTTGAGGGATGATAAGTTCTTACCTTATCACGTTTCCATCGTTGGAGTGAATGCTACGGGTGAAATTATTTTGTCAATGGGAGATTTTACATCTGAGCAACCGTTTTATGTTTTCTACTTCAATCCTGAAAGGAACACTCTCCAACGTGTTGAGATCAAAGGTTTTGGAGAGTATCATGAAGCTTTGGACAAGCCGAGTAGAGTGCACGTCTTTGTTGACGATTGTAGTAGATTATACGCCTTTGCAGACCAAGTTGAGGATCTTTATGTTAACGATCGCAAGTTTCTCGAGTCAAGCATCTATGTTCCATATGTGAATACAGAAGAAGAACAATATTGGAATGACTATTCAGGAGATGAATATGATTCTCAAACTTCAGATGAAGATGAAGCTGAAGATGGAGAAGAATATGATTTTGATTATGAATATGAATATGAAGATGAAGCAGCATATGATTATTCAATTTGTTAATCATGAAGATGAAGAAGAATCAGCAAGAAGGAGAAGAATCAGAAAAAAAGACAACCATTACCGTTAGGTGAAATCAATAAGCATGTCATTTTGTGCTCTTGTGTATCCTCGTAAGTTATGTAGTGCCCTTTTATAATTAACTATTTTAATAAATCAAGTTCTTGTTATAAAATTCCATCAAATGTATATATAACTACATATTGATTATGTGTTAAACTAAAATGTACTAAAAAGAAAGATATAGTTTACGTACAAAGTAATCATTAACCACTAAGAAGTCTTTTATCTCAAACACCGAAACATTAACCAGGGAAAAGGAGTGCTACATACTTTTGCATTAAGAAGTTAAAAAAGTTAAAAAAACTGAAGACAGGACGCCGTCTGTGGGGATCGAACCCACGGCCACGGGATTAAAAGTCACGCGCTCTACCACTGAGCTAAGACGGCAACGTGATCTTATGGGTCTATACCTTTATTATTAACTTGAAATAAATAGCATCACAATTATACACGCATATTACATTTTCATCAGTTAAACTCTCATTGTTTCACTTTGGTTTGCTTGTTCCCTTTTCTTCACAGACTTGTACAAAGAATATACATAAGATGCAAACCCAAGAATCCCAGCTAACAAAGCTCCTCCTTTAAACCACTCAATGTCATCATCCATAAACCGAAACGCCACCACAACGAGAATGTTCGCTAACGGCGTCGCGCAGAAGCTGGCAACATTAGAGAAAAGAGAAGAAGCCAAACACACAAGACCCACAAGCCCTAAAGACATTACTTGCCACGCAAGTGATAATCCGATTAGACTCAAAACGTAAAGTGGTTTCCCCTGCTTAAACGTCTCATAATCTTCCTTGATATCTTTGAATTCGCCGCTTACGAACAATCCAACCAAACATATCAACGTCGCAATCATAGAAGCGTTGGTTTGCATCAGCATCACGACGGAAACTCTACTCTCTCTCTTAGGTATGACCTTTTCAAACCCTAATTGCATTATACATAGAGATAAAGAGAAGGCTACCGTGCCAAAGAAGGCACACCAAGCACCATCACTCATTTTAGAGCCTTCACCTTCGCAGGGATAATAGGCATCATCAGAAGATGTAAGTCCTGTTGCAGCCCCAGAAAGGACGATGGATAATATGATCCAACGGTTGAATTTGTGTTTGTTGATAATTACTGTGAACAGTGAAGTGAAGATCAACTGTGTTGTAAAGATCCAAAAGAAGAACACACAATGTGTTCTTCCAATTGCATAGAGTTGGCTATAAGCAGCAAAGAGGATGCCGAGAGAGATGTAAAGAAGAAAGAGTTTGCCAAAAGAAGAAGAAGCAGAAGAAGAGAGAGATTCTCTATGGGTGGAGAATAAAGAACGCCATAAGAGGAGAAGGAAGGCAGTGAATGGAAACGCAGCGTTTTGGATCATAGATTGAAGCCATGTGCCTTTAAATTGTTTTGGGTCGTCACAAACATCTCGTCCTGTTTGGATGAAATAGAAGTTTAGAAGAAGTGTGGATAAAACTTTTCCTGCTACGACCAAACCCGAACAGACATAGATCCAAATCCACCAGTCTCGTGTCTTGAGAATTTGTGACCGGTCAGGAATTGTTGATGTCGTTGGTCTTGGTTCATCCTCAACTCCAATATTAGCTTCTTCTCCTTCTAAACCAACAAAAAGAAAATTTATTTAGTTTATACGAATTATGAAGTTACCTTTGTGACATGAATGCAGACATACCTTGTGTACTTCGGTCCGGAGATTCGGTGTGTAAACCCATGAAGCTTCTTGTGGAGATTATTAACAGATTATAGATGAAAACTTTACCTTGTTTTTATTGATTTATACAGAAAAGTGTAAATGAAATTTGCTCATATACCACTATATAGTTAGGAAGATTGCAGCAAAAATATAAATAATACCATGACTTTGCATCACATAATACAGATAATGCTATCGATATACAGTCAATTAAGTAAGATTAAAATATAAATAGTCAAATATGCCAGCCAATACAATGATGAGCGATTACACAACTGGAAGAGAACTTCAACACGGCGCACATGATCTCTATATCCTAAATTATTATTTTAAAAAGATATGTTCGCAGTTCGTAATGCTTCGAACCAATCCAAACAAACTATCTCCCACACGAAATTGAATATATTGTGGAAGACAAAACAAAAATAATTAAATAGAAGAAAATGTTTCTCAAATCATGGAGCTTTTCTACGTTCATTAAGTCGTTTCTAACACAATTTTGAATATGCATAAGTTTCCTTGACCAGTTTGTTTTGACGTCGGACTTCCAATTATTGTGTTCCAGAGCAAATGAATAATGATATGAGTTATCTGTTTTGTTTTGTTTCCACTACTCATGCTCCCTATATTTAACAGCTCAACAAATTTTGTTTTTGCCAAATCGATAATACAGTACAATTTAAAGTTTTTGTTCTTGACTTTCAACCGGCATTTTCTAATTTTTTCAACTAACATTGCCACAATTCGCCCATTTACATAGGTTCTTTTTACATTTTTGGCTAAATTTTTTACAAAGGTCCTTTAAGCCAGTTTCGGTGTCCTAGATTATTTCAAGATATTCATACATTCATCTTTAAGTGTGATTCATGCAAATGAAGGGAAACATTATAAAAAAGAATAAGATATCTTAAAATCTGATTCTTGAAGTCAAAATATTTGATCAGTGGGAATATAATATTGATGTAATGGGGACCTTTAATAACGAGACGGAGATAGAGTAATTTTTTTCCGAACGAAATGGTTCCTTGGAAGTTATTCTGTGAGGAAAAAGATATTTTTTATTGGAACACTATAGACACTTCGCCTTGTTCAGAAGCCAAAACTTTTACAGCAATTCTTAACAATATACAACATCTTTGGAGTCTTGAAATTGAAGGACCTATAATGAATAGTTACAAGAGAATACATTATACATGTGGAGCTTCACAACTAACAGAGAAATTTACAACTTACAAACCAACTTCATGATCTCAAGAATCAAGGCGCTGTATAAGCATCATTGGGATCGTGGTCGGCACTACCATCTTGTTTTTTGCTTAAAAACGGCAAACCAAACAATAGTTGGAACACTGATCTAACCTTGTTTGCGCGTCTGCGTTGGCGTATGCGCCGTAGAATTACTTCCCGGTCTAGTGGTTCTGCGGTAGTACGTTTGAGGTTAATATGAGTGGACACGAAATCTGGGGTGTCAGAGTCTTCACGGATCTTGATCTTTATCTTGATCTTGCCTTTGTCGTTCGGTTTGGCCAGTGAAGAAGCCATGTAATATATAAAATAACAATTTATGGTTCACTAGCGGCAATTCTCGTCGGTGAGGGCAGTGAGGATGTGTATGAACAATATTTTTGGGGTTATTTATACATAGTAAAGTGTTTAGGCTAAATTAATAGTCTATCTGATATATATTCATATGTGTCGGCCTTACCATCTTCTTTATCTGATCATATTTTTTTTATTAGATGATACTCGCTAAGTGCACACAGAATCTTAGGTAAAGGTATATCGAACTTCATGAAAATGGACTTTGAAATGAAAGCGCATCAACTCTCCAAGTCTCCATCAAAGATGCTTGCTTTTTGTACAGTAAAGAAAAAAAGACCTTACAAGTTACATCAAATTACGTTTTTTTTTTTTTTGGTTAGATTTTTTTCTAATTTAGTTGCATTATGAAAATCCAAAATAGTTCAATACAAAAATTATTTAACAAAAGAGAAAAAAATGAAAAATTATTATATGGTTGATGGTTAAGGTTTTTTTTTTTTAATGGTGAAGTTATTGAAAAAGTGTACGTACTTCAGAAATACTCTATATTGAAGATCCAAAAGGTAACTCTATAATTAAAGCATTTCTACCATTGTTTATGGTCGCAAAGAATAACTAAAACATGAAACAATGGTAGAAATGCTTTATTTAGAAAAAAACAATGGGTGAAATTAGATGATCGTGTGTGCACGCTCCAAAATGCTAGTGAAGATATCCATATTTGGGTAGAAGACATCGGTTTCTTTCTTGCAAAGTCCCACAGTGGTTGGGCCAATACAGTATAGGTTGCTCCACATTGACAATACAAGTGATCCAATATATATAACCAAATTTTTTTTTGTTGCTATAAGTTATGATCCAGGAATGGTAAACCTACGAGCTATGGATTGTGGTATCACTCGGCACGTGTAAAGAACTAAAGATGATGAAACATCAACTATGTGTATATACTACGTTGGGTCCATATCGAAATCGAATTCCGGAAATCTTTGTTCATCAGACGATTATTTGTAAAACATGAAAACAACAAACAATTAGTAGAAAATATAATGGTGTGTGGACTCGTTCTCATAACACCTGTAAATGCATCCACTATCCCAAAAGTAAAAAAGGGATGTCTTACAGTGAGCTATGTAACATTCTAGTAGCCTTATCATGCTCAAACTTAATTAGTACGTTCTTATTTAGTTAAAAGTTTCACTTTACTTGAACTGTTGAACAACGAATGATAACTTCTCTTACAAAAAGGTTAAAAATCCGAAGAAAAAGTCGTTTCATATAGTATACGTGCCATCTTATTATTAGCGGTCCCCCCACTTACTTTAACATTATGACGAAGAAAAAAATATCAGATATAAAACAATGTTATCATATGAATTATACATTCATGATTCATTCCCTATATAGCTATATTTAGCAATAAAGGACAACATTCATAGGTACACTTATAGAGATTATTTTAGTTATAAGTGGACAAAACAAAACAAATTTACAATGTACTACGTGTCCTACTCTCATTGCTTAAACTACCTTCTTATAATGCAAACTACTCTCCATATCCGAAGCTCTCTCATATTGTCTGAAACTCTTAAGAAAACTAATCATACTTTACATTTTACAATACACTTTGAAACCAAAAATGCCCCGATCCGACCCGAGCTGGGAATATTCTTGGAATCAAAGCGAAGAAAACCGCCTGATCGGGTCCACTGTTCAAGAAGAAGGGCACATTTACTCGTTAGCTGCGACGAATGATCTTCTTTTCACAGGATCGGACAGTAACTACATTAAGGTTTTGAAAAACTTAAACGAGTTTAGTGAGTTTAAATCGAACAGCGGATTAGTGAAAGCGATTGTCATTTGTCGTGAGGAGAATAAAGTGTTTACGGGTCATCAAGACGGTAAGATCCGGGTTTGGAAAACCTCAACCAAGAATCCGAGAGTGTACACACGCGCCGGGAGTTTACCGGCTTTGAAAGACGTGTTGAAGAAGTCAGTGAAACCTAGTAACTACGTGGAGGTGAGACGACGTCGTATGATGCTATGGATTAAACACTCCGACGCCGTTTCTTGTTTGAGTCTTGTGGAAGATCAAGGGCTGTTATACTCCGCTTCGTGGGATCGGACGGTCAAGGTTTGGCGAATTCACGACTTGAAATGTGTAGAGTCTATTAAAGCTCATGACGACGCCGTGAACTCCGTCGTCGGTTCCGCCGCAGAGAGTCTTGTGTTCACCGGTTCGGCTGATGGAACGGTTAAGGTTTGGAAACGGGAGGTTCGAGGTAAGCGTACGTCGCATAGTCTGGTTCAGACTTTGCTGAAGCAAGAATCTGCGGTTACGGCTTTGGTTACTAGCCACGTGGCGGTTTATAGTGGCTCGAGCGACGGTGCTGTGAATGTCTGGGAGATGGGAGAGAAGAAAGTGTTAAAGCATTGTGGTGTTTTCAAGAAGCATAGGCTTGCTGTGCTCTGTCTCGCAGCCGCCGGAGAATTGGTGTTTAGTGGTGCGGCGGATAAGAAGATATGCGTGTGGAGGAGAGAAGGGAGAGCTCACACGTGTGTGTCGGTTTTGACCGGTCATACCGGACCGGTTAAGTGTTTGGCGGTGGCGGAACCATCGGGAGGAGAGGATAAAGACGGAGGAGAAGATGGGAGGTTGGTTGTGTATAGTGGAAGTCTTGACAAGTCGGTCAAAGTTTGGAGGGTGCCACGTCACCAGATGTAGGAAGGACTTGGTTTCGAGATATTAGGGATGTATTTACGATTATTATGAAATTTATATAGTAGTTAAATAAATCTATGATATTTTGATAGAGGAGGATTAATTACCGTTTGCTTCCCATATTGCGTAAAAAGATCAACATAGTGGAGATATTTCAAATTTTAATTCATTGAACCAAATGTTTTGTGGCCGAGTGGTTTCACAGTATTGCAGAGGTTGTCATGTTGGTTCAGGGGATAAATGTTCTCAAGATAAAATTTCAGCTCAGTGCTCTGTTTCACTATTATAAACATTTTAAGTGACAATAATATCCACATTTCTATATGTCTGGAGGATTAGCATGATATTCAATCCATGTTATACTTCTAGAACTAGCTAGCTTCTAACAAGTATGTGTAATGTACATTAGCATTGATTATGTACATAGCTTTGGATTAGCCACGAAATATTTGTGGCTATCGTGTAGCTATGCGAATAATTTGACTAGTGAACAGATATGAAAATGTAACATAAGCTTGGTCGGATGAATATAAACTCTAATGTTAGTACGAAAACAAAACAAAAACAGTATACGAGTTATAGAGATATAGTAAATGCGACAAATGTCAATTAAGTTTTATTGTTTTAAGGTAGATTACTGACAAGAAAGTCGGAAAAGCTACGTATCAATATTACAGTTACATGAAAGTGATGGGTGGTTATAACCTCATTGTGACCGTCCATTACTTTTTCTTTTCTCTTTTCTTAAATTTATTTCTCCAATAGTACGTTTCTTTGGGCAATGCTTCTTTTTCTTTATAGTGCTTCCTTCGTGAAGAAAAGGAAACAAAAGGTACGGTCTACATGAGCTATGAATGTCAATGTTTTTACTCTAAAAATGTTGTAGGATCTACATAGCTTGTTTGTGTTTTCCTCTTCCCAATGACCCACGTCTAGTTCAGTCACCTGTCAGGCTGTCACCGATGAGTCTTTGTTAGTGCCTATCAAAATATTAAAATTCTTCTTTATTTTGTAATGATCACCATTAATTTTTTTTATCATCACAAAATTTTAAATTTTAAACGTCATCTATGCCTCAACATTTTCCAAAAAAAAATCATCGTTCAGAAATAGAGGGAGTAACTTTTTAAAGCCAATAACTCAATCCACAAACAAAAGAGAAGCGCTTTGAATACACATTCGGACTTGGAACTTTCAGTTTACTAATTGAGTAATAGTTGCTCTCCATTTCCAAAGTCTTCGAAAATGGAAGCAATTATAAGCGAAAATTTCAAAAAGAAAAAGAAGGCATTTGGACCGTTGTCTTTGGGCTCTCCTATATATAGAGCCCACGACTGTTTACTAGAACAAAATCAAGTTACGTTAGCAATGGCAACTCAAAGCAACAAAGAAAATTTCTTGACTGGACTTGCAAACGCCTTGGAAGATCAATGGCTAGTTGACGTACGGCTCAAGGCAGGGGATAGTGATGAGGATTCAGCTATCTCCGTCCACAAACTAATTCTGGTTTCTATCTTTTTCTTCGTCTTCTTTCTTTTATATTCTCTCTTACTGATCATCATCAGATTTACGATAATGATTACTGAAATAGTAAAACATTTTTTTTTGTTTAATGAAGTTTCCTTAACAAATATGTTTGGATTTTGAATAGGGTTCAAGATCAAAGGTTTTTAGGAAGATGTTTGAATCAGAAGAGGTTAAGACTTCGGCTAACGATGTGGAGACAGTAACTCTCTCCGAGATGAAACAAGAGGAGTTGGAAGCATTAGTTGAGTTCATGTACAGTGATGGTTCACTGCTTTCTGCGAAAGGGAAGCAACATTTTCGATCACTCTATCTTGTGGCTGACAGATACGAGGTTCTGCACCTAAGGGACCTATGCAGAGACGAGCTTATCTCTTTTCTGAATTCGTCGAATGCTCTTGAGGTCCTTGAACTTGCCCAAAACCCTTTTGACAAAGTTCTCAACGATGCAACCTTCAACTATATCAAAAAGAATATAAGTACGATTGCTAGCTCTGATGAATTCAAGATGTTCGTCGCCAATAATCCAGATCTTTCCGTGGAGATAATGAGTGCTTCTCTTTCTCTGGCAAGTATCAACGACGATGAAGAGGTGGTTCAGGTCAAAGAGGAGGTGGTTCAGGTCAAAGTCGATGAGGTGGCGGTGGTGAGAAGGTCAACGCGACTAAGAAAGCCAAATAGAAAGTATTCTGATTGATGAAGTCATTATATATGTGACTTTTTTTTTCAGTTTTTTTGGTAAGCTTAAATAAGGGAAGATAGTTCTCCACAAATAAGGGCTACATCCTTATTTCTTCCTATTTATATCGACTAATAAGAAAAATCAAATAAAATTAGTCAAAGACTATCAAATCTCTACTACTACAAACTATAGACACGTTAGTGTTATAAGAAAATGAGCATTACCTTACCATTGAGGTCAATAAGAAAACCTTTATACGAATCTATGTTTATTGCCACAACGAACTAAATCAGCCAATGATGTAGATTAGTCTGGCCCTTCATAGGCTTATAAGAAAACAGAGAAAAGATTATAAGCTCTTGTACATTTTTTTGTTTGGCTTTTAATGGAGTTTCATAATTTATTGAAATAAGATAAACAAAGCAATAAATCATACTCCAAAAACACGTCGATTGGTTAGCATAGGTTTGGTTTTAATAAATTTCCCAAGAGAGAAGCGCATTCAGTACATTCGGATTTAGGGTTTTCAGTGTGCTAATTAAGTAACTGCGTCTCTTCCATTTCCAACCGAAAATTGAAAGTGGAGAAAACGTTAAAAAGAAAAAGAGGTCAGATGGCCCGTCGTCTTTTGGTTTTCTATATAAAATTCGATCGTCTACCAGAACAAATTAATCTTAAGATATTGCTATGGCAACTCAAACCAACAAAGAGCGTTTCTCTTGTGGACTTGCAAAGGCACTGGAAGAACAATGAAAAAAAAATAAAAAAATTGGCAAGTTAACGTACGGCTCAAGGCAGAGGACAGTGATGAAGCTTCAGCTATTTCCGCCAACAAACTAAGGGGTGTATTGAAACTGGAATTTGGATATTAGTTTGTTGGCGGAAATAGCTGAAGCTTCATCACTGTATACAACACTAAGGGGTGTATTGAAACTGGAATTTGGAGTGATTTAGGTGATTTATATTAAAATTACAAATCCATTGTTATTTAAATTTGAATTCTAAAAGCCCTTTTAAAATCCAGTGTTACTGAACTTGTGATTTTAAAAGAGATTCATTATCAAATCCAGTGTTATTGGAAATGTTCTTAAAAGTAGATTTTAAAAAATTAGATTTGATTTTAGAGTGATTTGGTGAGATTTCCTTGTTAAAAATAAGAGACATCAAATCACATGGTTTTACTTTTATATGGAATTTTAGAATGATTTAACTAAAATCACAAACTTCTATGATTCACACAAAATCATCCAAAAGCTCTCTAAAAATCAAATCACCTTATACCATTTGCCCGAGAGTATCCCATCTTTATCTTTATTCATATTATCCGATAGGCTTATCTATACAAAATCATATATTGCCTAGCAACCACTTTACATATTTGATAATTGGAAATCTACTTGTTTAACAATAAGGAAATATACACAGATATCAACTTTCCGTTTAAATCCTCCTAACATGGTGTCTCCTCCACCATTTCCAAATTCTGACCGGTGTTGCTTGATCCTCTATATAATCTAACCATCGTATCACTAGATTACAACTCTAAACTCCCCTACAACAATGGCTTCAGAGACCAATGTCAATACTTTTTTTGGTGGATCTGCTTCGATCTTGGAAAAACAATGGCCATGCGACGTACGGCTTAGGGCAAGGAACAGTGCTGAGGGGGCCTATATCTTCGCCCACAAACTTATTCTGGTCTCTATACTTTCTCTTAATTCTACACATGAAACAATTTTTAGAAATGTTACATTCTTTGTTGTTTTTTTCCCAACTGAGTTTAATTTGGGGACCTTACTTGAAATTCAGGGTGTTCAATATGGATTTATGTTAAAAAAAAAAAGAAAAAAGAATATTTAGTATCCTAAAGAAAACTTCAAAAAATATTCATGGTATATATGGTAGTGCTTTCGGTTTTAGTTTTGTCTGGAGTTAGGGTTTGATAAATCAAATATATCTTTAATTTTTCTTATTTTTATTATTTGTCTAGATTGATGCTAATTTCTAAACATAAATGGAATTTGAATAGGCAATAAGATCAAAGGTATTTAGGTTCATGTTTGAAACAGACGAGTTCAAGGCTTCGTCTAGTCAAGAGATAGTCACTTTCTCGGAGATGAAACATGAAGAAGTAGAAGCTTTTGTTGAGTTCCTCTACAGTGACGGCTCTACGCTATCAGCAAAAGGGAAAGAAAACGTTCAGTCACTCTTTCTCGCAGCTCACAAATATGAACTGTTGCATTTACGGGATCTATGCATAAAGGAGCTTATATCTTCTCTGCATTTTACTAATGCTCTTGACATTCTAATGCTCTCTCAGGAGACTTTCGAAAGAGACCTCAACATTGCTGCCGTAGATTTTATCCTAAGGAATTTTAAGACGATTGCTAATTCTGAAGAATTCAAGTTGTTTCTTTTCAAGACGCCAGGTACTGCCCTGGAGATAGTGAAGCTACTTATTAACAATGCGGGTGTTTCTTATCGTGATAGCGCCGTCGTCTAATCATGCATCTATGTGATTTCAAATTTTCTTCTTGTTTTTGTTTGTCAGCACTTTCTTATCTTTCAAATCAGACAAATTTGTTACCATTTCACTTGTTGAATAAAAGGAGTGACTTTGTCTAACGATTTTTTAGATTTAACTGCAATTTTGTTCTTTTGCTTTTCATATATGCAAAAAAGGCTCTATTCAAAATGAGAGTTTCATTGAAATTTAGTCCTTTTGTTTTCCATGTTAGTATAAAGAAGAAGCTCTGTTGCGAGAGAGTTTAATGACACTGCCCAAATCAATAATTTCTTAAAAAGATGTTTGATAATATTTCTTCTACAAATAAAGATCAAAGTTTCATGTAACAGAATCCCGAGAAAGCAAAGTGTAAGTACTTTGCAAGAGTTTTCCATAAACAAAAAGCTCTCTGCCTAAGAGCAGTTAAAACTGTGTTTGGTCTCTCTCTCTTGGAGTGGAATCAAGAAGACGGTCTCTGACAGAGGACGAAGAGTTGACAACTGATGACAGCCATCACCAGAGAAGTCACCAGCTCAAACCCGACTACTTTAGGGAAATGCCATCCCATCACTCTCCTTAGATAGCTTATGATCGAAGGCATTGTCGCGATGATCATTGCGCACGTGTATATGATTGGGATCAGAGACTTTGGCTTGTTCTTGCGTAGCCACATCAACGAACCTAGCGCAGCTAAAGATATCGTAAACACCTGAATTTTGACACAAAAAAAAATGTTTTTGAGTAAGATACATGTTTCTACAACTACAAGTAAGATTTGGTATATACATACCAGATTTGCATTGGCTTCAAGCCCTTGCAGGACATAATCCCATGTGAACTCCAGTCCTCTAGCACCAACCCAAAGAGGAGCCAACCTGTGCAACACAGAATCTGCGAATGCCCATCCTGAACAAACAAAAAGAAGGCATCTCTTAAATAATTTATGATCATTGTTCCATGATACAACCAATCATTGAAGGAAGTCTAGAAATGGATGAAAACTTTAATGGAAATGGCTCATGGGAACTTCTCCTCTAGAAATCATGAAAAATGTGTTTTTTGTTCATGAACGTGATAAAACCATCTTTGTAACATGTTTTCAGAAAGTCACAGCCAAAGTTAACAATATTTTTGTAGCAGAAGCGATCCACTTACCAAGGCCAACAGCTTGAAACTTATGATTTTGGGAGATGTTCCTGTGTGTCAGCTGAGCCAGAGCAAAATAGAGACCAGCAACATCTATGAAGCCAATCATTGCTTTCAGTGCTTCCTGATACAAAGAATATTGGACCCATACTTAGTCCTCTAGTATTGTAGCATAACAAAACGAGCTAAGCAATTATAGAACCGGGCAAAAGGAAAAAACAATCTGCATCTACAGAATTAAACAAACACATTATCAACTTCAGAAAACGAAGGAAATGCAATAAGTGGCCAAAAAAAGATAAGTTACAAGACACTAATGGAGTAGCAATAAAGATGACAAATTTTTAGTCTTTCCATCGAGAAATAAACAACAGACTCATGACTAAATGAGCTTAGCTAACAGAGTTGATCTTAGCTTGAAGAAGATACCTGGTATGGGTCAAATACTTCAGTCTCAGATACTTGCAGAAAAGTTGCCAAACAAACAAGCTGCCGAGAAAATAACCAATGAGCTTAGCTCAAAGAAATGCAGATACAAAATCAAGTGAAAGATTTTGCAAAAGATTGTGACTGTTGACCAACCTTAACCAAAGCTGTAGCAAGATAAACAACAGCAGCTTTCACGGAGGTTCCAAGTGTATCATACTCAGATCTGCAGATTCACTTCCGATTATAAACATAAATCCTAATTGCGAGCAAAACGCACAGCAAATTTGGGAATTTTAATCAGCTAGTGGAGTAGATATCAATCTATACTAAGCCAAAGATTCTAGATCAGTGAAGTTTAGAGGTAAGCGATTACTGAATGCGAAAGAGGATCTGGATTGTGTATGACTAAACCCAAAAATCATTAGCAATTTGAAATCACAGATCGAGAAAAAGGGGTTTGATTTTTCGTACAATGGAGTAGCGGAGTAGTAGACGGCGTGTGGACCAAATGTGAGAATCGCACAGTTGAAGAAGTGAAAAAGCGTCATCGTCGTTAACCCAAATCAGTAGCTACAGCTCCGGCGACTCAAAGACGACGACGACGACGTGAAAGCTCTGAAAAATTGTTCTTAGCTCTGAAATCTGAAACTCAATGGAATTTACAAAAAGAAAAATATGTCAAAAAGAAAAAATAGAATCTTAATGGGCCCTATAATCACTAATGTAAGCCCAATAATCACTAAATCCAATATTTATGAGTCTCCGCTTTAACTACATGGTTGCTTAATGCTTCATCTTCATTTGTAACCATTCATGTTTTGAGGATTAAAAAATTTGTGGTCGTCATGTATAATATAACCTTTTAATTCATTTTTAACGAAAGAAAAACAAATTATTAAACTCCACCACTACCAAGTTCAACCAGTTTCTTAGCAGGATTCAAAATATAACTCACAAAAATTGTCAGATTAAAATAACAAAACAAAATCATAAACTGTATAAAAACATATTTAATGCAGGTAGTTTAGAAAGGTGCTAAGGGAATCTTGCATTTAATTTAAATCAAAAACTTATTTTTAACCAAGCTTCGACGCCTATTTAGTCGTTATAAGCGTCGGAGCTCCCGTTCATCACGAGTCTTTTTTCTTTATTTCTGGATTTCCCTTTTCTCTTTCTCTCTCTTTGCAAACTTTTTATATTAAAATATTAGCTAAACGCACTATTAAGCGTTCTTGCGTTATACATGCTCTAATAAGCGTAAGCCTATATCTATATGTAACAAAAATGTAGCCTATATAAAACCCACATCACCACTCTCACAACATCCCCTTCTCTTTCGCTTTGTTTCTCTCTCTCTCTCTCTCTGTTCCCATAAATCTCTTTTGTCGTTTTCCTCATCATCTCAACACAATGCCGTCGGAATCAGGCCTGAGCCAGACCCGATCCACCAGAATCCAGGGCTCATCGGCGGCTTACCCACCGCCGAATTTAGCCGAGCCACTGCCTTGTCCTCGCTGCAACTCCGTCATCACCAAGTTCTGTTACTACAACAACTACAACCTCTCTCAGCCTCGTTACTTCTGCAAAACTTGCCGCCGTTACTGGACTCAAGGCGGTACTCTCCGTGACGTTCCCGTCGGCGGCGGAAATCGCCGGAGCTCTTCAAAACGCCCCCGCTCTTTCTCCTCCTCAGCCGCAACTGCCTCTTCCTCTTCCTGCGCTTCTTCCGTCATCACCACGATGCACGAATCAGAACCGACGATGAAACAAGGAAACGCAGCGAACGAGATGAAGGGTAGTAATGTAATTTCTGGTTATGGGAGTTTCGCGTCTCTGTTGGCGGCTGGGCAGAGCGACGGAGGAGCTTTTCTGGCGTTGGGAAATGGAGGCGGTGGTGGGTTGGATTTCGGGTTTGGGTACGGGTACGGATACGGGTACGGGTTGGAGGAGATGAGTATTGGGTATAGTCTTGGAGGTGGTGGTGGTGGTTCCGGAGGAGAGGTTCCGGTGATTGATGGTGGTGGTGACACGTGGCGGAGTGGGGAGATGGAAGGCAAAAGTGGGGACAGTTTGATATGGCCTGGTCTTGAGATCTCAATGCAAAGCAACGATGTTTAGTGTGAAACTGTTTCGTCTCTCTGTCTCTGTTCTGATTCTTGTCTCCTTCTTCTTCTTCCTCTGTTCTGTTTTTGTTTGTTTCCTTTTGGAATTTTCTTTTTGGTTTTTAGAGAGAAGAGCAAAGAATCCACATAGGAAAGGGAAAAGAAACAAAAAAAAAAAATAGGAGAGGTTTTAATGTCTTTTTATTTTTAAGGTCCAACAATGGCGTTTTGTAAATCCTCTGTTTCTGGGTCGAACATATTGGAATGGATTTCGAGTAGTTGGTGAAGAAAATGGAAAATATTTCTTCTTTTGATTTGGTTCGTTAAATTTACTGATCCAATGAATTAGTAGTGTTTTTTTTTTTAACTGTTTGAAGGTCCAAAAATGGCGTTTTGTAAATCCTCTGTTTCTGCAATGAACATATTTAGAATGGATTTCTGAGTAGTAAATGGGAAAGGAAGAGAGAAAAAGGAAATTTTTGCTTATTTTGATTTTGGTTGGTTAAAATCGAGTGATCCAATTCTATTGGAAATAAGAAAAAGACAAACTTTTTGGCTCCGATATTTTTGAAATAACGAGTCAAAATAGTGGAAAAATAACGAATGGCTCCAAAAAGGAAAAAGTACAGAAGTACTGTTGCAGAATGAGTAACAGAGACTGTTGCTACATGTTTTGAAATGAGGAAATTGCGTTGAACTTAGTTTTGTTTTTATTATAGAGATAAACATTAACAACAACATTGTTCATTTGCAGTGATAAAGATTTGGTATATCAAGTCATGTGAGTCTAATGTTTAAAGCATAGGAGACAATTAATAAGAATGCTAGCAACTGAAATTTGATACAATGTTGTTCACACTTGAAGTAGAAATTTATCAACTAAGTTGTGCTTTTAGAGTGTAGGGATTATTCTAGCGAACAGAGATTGTCGTATAGCCTCCTATTGCGGTCAAAGTCCCAAAACAAACTGTGATAAGTATAAATGGTAACAACATTATGATACAAGGACAGAGACAATGATGCTCAGGTTTTGTTACCAACTAACAAAACTTCTCGCCTACATAAATCAATAAAACTTGTCGAGTCAAAGCGTGATCAGCTCCATTTGATTGTATGTCAAAAATTGAGTAACTTTGCCCGAGTAGTCAATTTTCTTTATCCTAAGATTCTTAACTAATTGTCAACAATCTTAACTAATTTATTTTTGCCTTTTGAAAGAGAGAATGCGATGTCCAAATCAGTCCACATTTCAGAGATAAGCTTAAAATCCACTGATATATATTGTTGACATAAATATATTTTTTCAATGAAACAAGCTTTATGGCCAAGTTACTTTTGATTCTTGCTCAATCCATTCATTAATTAACTGATTTCAAATAAACAAGCTTAACTGCAAAGTTACGTTTGAAAGTTATATACAGTATTAGTTAAAACAGTTTTCACATGTACTACTATTATTACTGATTCTAAATCATTTTTTTCTACTTGAAATATTCCACATGATTAATCGAACGCTTTAAAGAAATAAATCTAGGATAGGATTAGATAATTTCTATTATGAACGCTTAATTGTATCTTTGGTATTCGAAAACATACACTATTAAGGATCTGGTGGCATGCCATCATAACATCATTAGAAAATCTAAAGTGTTAAGCCTGTTAATTAACTATTCTTTAGTTTCCAATGAACTTATTCTATACAAAATAAGATTCTTAATAAATTTAACACCGGAAGTGGGTGTCATTGACATTCAATCGTCAATCTAAATTAGAGATCATCATGAGATTTGAATCATTTGCAAAACAAAAAGAAACTTATAATCCCCAAAAGAATGGTTATCTATAATGATCCAAAGGTTGTCTATAGTGATCAACAACCCAACATTTGTTTAAATATGTCCATGATTACAACAAATATGATGCCGTTACCCAATTTGTGGCTTCTCACATCATTGCCTCTAAGCATGTGTGTTCTCACTTCTCTCGGCTTATCCCTACATCAATTATTGTTATGTTCCTCTATTTTTTTCTGACCCCCAAACTAAAAGGAAAATATCAAAAAAATTCCACAATTGTTATTATATGATTTCTAACTGCGATTACCAAATAAAATGGAAAAGAAAAAATGTTGTAAATGACAAAAACATAAAAATGGTTTTATTTTATGACATTTTCCCTGATAGATTTGGACTTGAAAAACAGAAGATTACATTTTTTATACAGTAAAAAAACTTGTATCAGAGGCCGAGGATTGTTAAGAGAAACATAATTGAGACTTGTGTGATACCAACCAACTCAAGCATACCTTCAAAAATTCATAAATTTCATACTGAAAAAAAGCTTACTGAATAAGTGAATATATTACACATTACATTGTACCAAATACAAAATCAAGCCACTCTTGAAACAAAACACAGATACTACAACATCTCTTACAAACTTAAAACTTGTCAAACAACCAAAACAAAACCACTGACTTAAGACATACATAACTTAATTGGGACTGAAGAACTTAAGCTTAAGTCCTTGAGTAACCATACTCCAAATCCCACCAATGGAGAATGCCAAGCTGAATGCAACTCCCAACCAACCCAACCCCCAATGGAAATACCAATTGAAACTATACTTGGCCGGTTTCTTGATCAAAACCCACATGAAGCAAGGATAAGCAAACGTCACCGGAAGCGTGAGCCCACCGAGCAAACCAGCGAGACTAGACAGGAAAGGGAGTGCAACACCGATGAAAAACGAGACAAACCCGAAGAAGACTCGGAAACCTGATCTAACCCATATGGAACAAGGCTTGTTGGTCCTGCTTGTGTAGCCAGCCTCAAAGCTGTCAAAGGCGGGCATCGAGTATATCTGAAAGCTGCTCAAGCAGTTGAAGACTACCAAAAGAAACGCCGTCGCTAACAAGCCTCTCGGTATGTCGTGAATGTGGAATGCATATAGAGCAGCAAGCATTCCTCCTGAAGGCATCTATAAGACCAAGAAAAGTTATACATCAACAGTTTTAATATATTTTGCAAAAGAACCAAATCCATTTTTATGCATACAGTTTCTTGACAAGCAAGACATAATAAACCAAGAATATAGTAAATGGAACTTACAAGGTTGCCATAAGCCCAAAAGCCTCCAATGGTGATTGGAAAGATACACAGAGCAATGAAGAAGTAAGCAACTTTAGCTCCTCTCCACATTGGTACATGAGCTGGATGCTTAAACGTTGATGGCATCGTCGACTACAAAGTACTCAATACTCAGAACACAAGTCCAATGCGCATTACATATAAACAGAAACATTTTTCAGTATTTACCTGAATTTCCAGAGCCAAGTTGTGACCTCTGAAGGCAAAAGCTACAATGCCAAGAGCATTCAAGACAGAAAACATGGAACCAGAAACCGAAGGCATAGAAAGAGGCTCGTAGGAGATAGTAGCTGGTCTTTCTTGGCTCACGGAGAGAACCCAAACCATCGTGGAGTAAGTGATAGCAGTCACTGCTCCGATCAAGGAGAGTCCCGCAATGGAATTGAGATTCGGAAGCTGAGACAGAACGATGCACAGAGATGTAAACACCAGATACCATTCAACCGTTGTTAACGGGTTTGAGGTGCACAATGGACCGCAAACTATCTGGAAGAAGAGTTTCATCGTCTCTCCACCGATCAGAATCAGCGCCGTCGCGGTTCCTGCTGATAAGTAAACCGTAGGAAACAAGGCAAGCCAAACTCCCAATCTTTCTCCTGTTTTTCATCAAATCAAGATTTTAGTAAAAAGACAAAGTTAGTATCAATGAAAATGTTAAATTTTGATTTCTCTGTTCTTACCAAATGCAGCTTGTGCAAGCTCGACATATCGATTGTAACGCTTCCCTGGGACTGCTTCGTGTAGCTGAACAAGAATCCACAGTGTGTATAGTTGCCAAATATAGGCTATTGTCAATGATAGTATTCCCCAACTCCTACACAATAATAATCCACAGAAACTGGTTTATTCTCAACTTCTTGTTGATTAACAATCTTAATTACTTGATCTTCATAAAAAAAAAAAATCCATCATTAAGACACTGAACTAACTAAATACTCAACCCTAAAGCTAAAACAAGTTACTAATATATGCTTTAATTTCAGATAAAAAGTATTTATGCTTTCTCATTTCCATATTAAAACTATTACTCTAGACGATCATAATGTTTAAAAGAAGAACAAAAACCCATCCTTTTTGACGTCACATATGCACCTACTACTTATAAAAGCAAAAAGATGGAGGATATATATTAGAAACTAAATGTATATTTTGCCGAAAATTAACAAGAAACAAAATAGACGATAAAGATGGCTCTGTCTTAATCCAAAGTAAAGCAAAAAGTATGTCTGTGAGTGGCCACATGTGTAATGATGGAAGCATGACAAATGAAAACTAATTCAGAAAAAGAAAATCTCTACTGCAAAATTTGAAGTGTTTCCATAGTTAAAAAGTAAATTAGTCAATATAATCATCAAAACAAACAAAATTAGTCAATCAAAGAGAAAAATTAATCAATCTATTATTGTTAATTCCAATAATTTAAAAAATCCATTTTGCCCGAAAATGTAAACCTGAAATTGGATCTGAACCCTCGCCGTTCACTAAAAATTATCTTGAAAAGATTGAACACAAACATCAAGAAAAAGCATCTTCTTGGAAATGAAAGAAGATTGAGGTAAAACGCAAAACGCACCAGCCAAGAAACGCAAACGCGACGGGAAGAACGAGGGCTTGAAACCCAACCCCAGCGTTTAAGTTATGAAACGCGGCGTAGTGAGCGTTTCCATTACGAGACTCGGTGATTGGAAGCCAAGCGTCCTGCGGGTTGAGCTTAGTGAGATGACCCACTTCTTCCAGATACCCTTTCATGTTGACAAGAACTCGTTTCATTGGCGTCCCAATCGGACTCAAGAATCTCGGGGAGATGAAAGAAGTCGGAGTCCATGCCGCCGACGAAGATTTGGTGGCCGGACGAGGCGATCTTTGACCGCACGGAGTTAGAATCTCCGGTGTGGAGACTCGCGGCGTTGCTGGCACTGATATTAGCTCCGTCTCGGGTCTCTCGTCCATCGCAATGAGCTTCTCTCTCTTTCACTGTATCTGAGCAGGTGAAGCTTTTGCTTTTGCTCACTATCACTCTCTCACTCTCTATTTTCTAGTCTTCATTGGGAGAGGGGATTTTTATTGGGACGTATTTGTCTTTTTTTTTGTACTTCCGACAAGAGAAGAAAAAAAACAATTAATTAGGACTACTTTATTGGTATTGAAAAAGATGTTTCTTGTTTAATTACAATATAAATGACTGATTAACTAACGCAAAATTACAAACAAATGACGATGTAATCTCGTATAATCAAGAAAATACGGCATGTTTCAAGCTTGTTGTACTTGTCCTTACTACTTCCATACACCGTGGCATGTTTCATGGTGTCAAACACAACTTACAAAAACGTAACATCAATGACTCTAGATTTTCAATATACTTGAAATATCCGAAAAATAACTACATGAACTACTTAAAAAAATTGTTGTCATTATTACTACTACAGTACTAATAAACAGATAAACTTACCAAAGAGTCAAAGACTTGACGACTTATCATTATGACAAATTAACGACGAATTTTTATCTTCACTCATTTAACAAATTATAGACAACTATTCAGGGACTGGAAACATGATACGACACAATCATGGGAAGAAAATACTCGGTGGGTTAATATGATTCGCTCAATAGGAGTGCCTACAAAAGATATTTTACTTAGATATAATGAAACAAGGATTTGGGGCTCGCACAACAGTGAACAGATGACTTAACAAAAGCAAAAGTACAAGAAATGACAATGTAAGCTCGTAGTAATTTATTGACGACAACGCCGTCTGTGGGGATCGAACCCACGGCCACGGGATTAAAAGTCACGCGCTCAACCACTGAGCTAAGACGGCTTTGACATGACTGTTAATTCTTAAGTATCTAATTTTGTTTATGATCAAAAGATTGTTACAAACTTACAACTGAGATCCATGTTCATCAATCTGCAACGCTGGCTTCAGTAAATTAAGTTGGTTATTCTACTATGCACACTTGTAAAATGAACTTAAATCAAATCCCTTAGATGGATCAAAGTCGAACCATATGATTCACAAATTTAGAGAAATTGAAACAATTATCAAATTCAAACGAGGTAATAAAACCAAATTTGTACTAATACATTCTTAGATGAACATCACTATCTCTAATAAATTCTAAACATCATCAGTATCATCATCAAGAACTAAATTCAAGTTAATTTTGCAGGAAAGAAACGGATATAGAGAGAGGCCACAAAACACTTCTACGCAAAATGTGCAAACATCCTCTCCATCTTCATGGCATCCTCTTCTTCATCTTCAGACAGCATTGTCATCGTACAAGGAGACATCAGGAGCTCTAGCTACAAACAACTCGTCCTCCACTTTATCTAATTGAGCTTCCAAGTCTGTATACTTCCGCTTCAACGGATGAAGTTGGTCCCTTATTTCTTGAAGCCGTGCCAAACAAGCCTCTTCTTTCTCCTTCTACTCCTTTACTTTATCAAGCTTCTTCTCCAACCAACCCAACTCAAACCCTGAATCTTTCAAATACGACAGAGCAGCATATTGCCCTGCAAGATCATCCTTAGATATCTCCTGAGGCGACTGACACATCGTCTGAGTTAAGCTTAGCAGAACATTCATGCACGCCGTCTTCAGAAACGGATTCTTTGCACGGAACTTTGATGCAATGTCAACGTGTCTTTCAAACAAACGCTTCACAGACTCTACCTGCAAGTAAAACCCCACAAAACCATATCTTCAGTGAGAGACACTTACAAATTCGTTCCTTTCCAAACTTATTCTAAAACAGAACACAATAAAGTTTGTATTTTTCCTCATAGTTTCTGACCTGACAAGGAAGGACTTGAAACCCATTCACATCTATGGTCTCCATTACCGGTGAAGATTCTTCCCACACATCTAATTTCCCTACAACCTCAAGAACATCAACTTTGACAGCAACAATGACATCTCCATTCACCAAAAACCCTTCTCCCGCATGAAGTTTGGTAAGGCTAATTATATTTGTAAAACCCCAGTCTGGTGTCTTCTGATCATACCATTTCTGCAATTCTGCTAAATCACAAAACAGGTATATTCAATCTCATAAATGTTCATGACAATATAAAGATTAAAATCTCGCAGCAGCACAAGACATAATTAGAAGAATCACCTTCAGTTTGGGACAGTTGATCCGAAAATTGATTCACTATTGTAAAGGAGAATTTAGCGTGTCTTCTCCATCCAAGAGGCAAACTTTTAGAATCAGCAACGACGAGGTACAGAGATAAATGATTAGGCTTGTTGTTTCCCTTGGGAAAGGCCATTAGACGCCTGCAAGCAGAACAAAAAATTAAGAAAACAATCAGAAAAAGGAAAGAGATTTATCTAACATTGCACGAAAAAACAGTAGCAAACACACTTTCTCTTCTTACCATCTGCAGCCACTAACCACGAATTCATCAGAAAATATCTTCTTGGATGTCAAAGTTGAGAAATTTTTAATCACCCAAGTAATCTTCTTATCAGTTTGGTTCTCCATTGATCTTGTTGATGACGACTCTTACTCAGCTAAAGTTTCCTGTTAATCGGAAGAAAAATAAAATCAAGAAACAGGACCAAAAATGAAGATTAAGATACAGAAATGTAAAAGGTTTTGTCTTTCAGAAGTTACTACGTTTTGTAAGGAAACGCAAAATCAGAGTTTGAAGGCAATAAAATCAGGGTATTTACAATGTCTTAACGATTCTAATATATACAAGACAAGGAGGGTACAAAGTACAAACCCTAGGGACGAGGACAGGTGGCAACATCAAGCTGTGCAAGAATCATCAAGGGTCTTAAATCGATTTGCCATTTTGAGGTTGAAAGCTTTGTCCGTACGTACTCTCTCATTTTCAAGCTCTGGTTTTGTCGTTAAGTGAGGATTGAGGAAGCTGGTTGGGGAGAGAGAAGACTATTTGACCCACGTGGGCTTCTTGTTGTTGTTGTCCGTGGGCTTTGGCTTCTTTCGGCCCATCTAATACTGAATGCAATTTTACTTGCTTTTAACAAAGCAACTATTGCTTCTTCTTCACGTAAGCCTTCACAAATCACAAGCTTCGTCTTTAACCAATCCAACATAACAAACCCTACATCTTCTAGGTCAACAAGCTTGTGTTTACTTTTTCATCTAAATATTAATCAGCGTGCTCGTGAGCACAATGTTTCATCATCATGAACTATATTAAAGGTTGTGCAAGGAAAGCAGCACAGATAAAGAATATCCAATACATTTCTATGCAACATGTGGGAAGTTCTTATACAAGAATCTTCATCTTCTTAAGTTGAAAGATTCTCATTTAGAAATCAAGACACAAGAGCAAAAAAAAAAAAAAAAAACCACCTAGCAGAACCTAAACCCTAAAAAACCAAAGTGCCTAAGAACTTAAATCTTCAGAGACATCATCATCATACAAGGAGAGAGAAGCTCTAGCTGCCAGCAACGCTGCCTTCTCCTTATCCATCTCAGCTTCCAAGTCTGAGTACTTCCGCTTCAGTGGCTTAAGTTGTTCCTCCATTTCTTGAAGACGTGCCAAACAAGCTTCTTCTTTCTCCTTCTTTTCCTTGATCTCATCAAGTTTCTTCTCCAACCAACCCAACTCGAACCCCGCTTCTTTCAAGTATGCAAGAACAGAATATTTCTCTGCAAGATCATCCTTAGAGGTCTCCTTAGGGGATTGACACAGCGACTGGGTTAAGCTTAGGAGGGCATTCATGTACGCCGTCTTCAAATATGGATTCTTTGGACGAAATTTTGTAGCAATATCTTGGTGCTTTTCAAACAAACGGTTCACAGAGTCTACCTGTGAGTAAAACCATAGCATTGTACACCCACAAACCATATCATCAGCATGTAACTAAACGATCTTTTCAATTTCTATGTGATCAAAAGTACCTTCCTAAACTTATTTGGAAAGGATAAACAAAATACCAAATCTTGTAGAACAAGAAATTTTTTACCAACCTGTGAAGTAAGAACTTGAAACCCATTGACATCTGCGGTTTCAACTACTGGAGAAGGTTCCTCTGATACATCTACTCTACCTTCAACTTGAAGAACCTCAACCTTTACTGTAACTACGACTTCTCCATTCACCATAAATCCCTCTCTGGCTTTAAGTTTGGTGAGTCTAATCATTTCTGAAAATCCCCAGTCAACAGCCTTGTGATCAAACCAGTGTTGCGTTACTGCAAAATCAGAAAACACATTATATAATGTTGCATGACAATATATAACTTGAGACATACTCCAATGGACTTAACATCAATGATCACTACCCCAACAAGCCATGCACAACATATAAAAAGTCGAAGCAACATCAATGTGTAACTATTCAGCCTTGTTGAAAGAATCACCAAGAAAAAAATCACCTTTAACTTCCGACAGTTTCTCTGAAAACTGATTTACTACTGTAAGGGAAAATTTGGCGTGTCTTCTCCATCCAAGAGACAAACATTCAGAATCAGCAACGGTTAGATACAGAGAGAAGTGGTAAGGTTTATTAAGTCCCTTGGGAAAGGCTAGAAGACGCCTGTAAAAGAAAAAAAGGAAAGGGATTTATCAACTAAAACCTAACTTGCACGAGAAGCATTAGAAAACAACTTATCTTCTTACCATCTGCAGCCACCAACCACAAATTCATCAGAATATACTTTCTCCGATTGCAAAGAGGATAAATTTTTGATCACCCAAGTAATCTTCTTATCAATTGGCTTCTCCATTGATTTTGATGACGACTACTACACAGCCCAAGCCGGAAAAGAAACAATTCAAAGAGAAACAGAACCAAACTCAAGGTTAAGAGATTCCACTATGGAGCAGCAATCTGTAATGAATCAGTGACGCCACAGCTTCGAAGGAGTCCAATAAACTGATTACCAAGACGTGAGAAACCGTAAATCTTCCACTCCTTATTTATGCCTTTAATATTTCCTTTTTTCTGATAATTTGTTTTTCCTCATTAATTTAAAAGTATCCCATCAGTTTACTCACCGACCCAAATTGAACCACTAAATTCCTAGAGAAAGCCCAGTAGCCCAATTTCAAGAGAACAAAAGAAGATGCAAAACATTTAGAAATTTAGAAATCAAGACACAAGACACGAGCAAAAACAAACCAGAACACCTAAACAGAAACTAAAACCAAGTTTTATAACAACTCAAATCTTCAGACAACAACATTGTCATCGTACAAGGAGACATCAGGAACTCTAGCTGCCGACAACTCAGCCTTCACCTTGTCTATTTGAGCTTCCATGTCTGCGTACTTCCGCTTCAATGGCTTAAGTTGTTCCCCCATTTCTTGAAGCCGTGCCACACAAGCTTCTTCTTTCTCCTTCTTCTCCTTTATCTCATCAAGCTTCTTCTCCAACCAACCCAACTCAAACCCTGCATCTTTCAAGTATGCAAGAACAGCATATTTATCAGCAAGATCATCCTTAGAGATTTGACACAGCGTCTGGGTTAAGCTCAGGAGGACATTCATGTACGACGTCTTCAGAATCGGATTCTTTGAACGAAAGTTTGTTGCAATATCCACGTGTCTTTCAAACAAACGCTTCACAGATTCTACCTGCAAATGTAAAACCAAAAACTTACTTTAAAAACAGATAAAACAAAATCTTGTTGAACAACAAAAAAGCTTTGTATATCTCTCATAATCTCTGACCTGTGAAGGAAGAACTTGAAACCCATTCACATCTACGGTTTCCATTACTGGTGAAGATTCTTCAGGCACATCTAATTTACCTTCAACTTCAAGAACATCAATTTCGACAGCAACAATGACTTCTCCATTCACCATAAATCCATCTCCGGCATGAAGTTTGGAAAGGCTAATCATATTATGAAACCCCCAGTAAGGACCACACGGATTAAAACATTTTTCCAATCCTGCAAAAAAATCACAAAAACATATTTCATCTCATGATTTTGCATTTCTGAATAAACCATGACAATATATATTAAAAAAAAACGAGACACACTTTTCACATCAAAACAAATCACCTTTGACTTGGGACAGTTTGTCCGAAAACTGATTTACCACTGTAAGTGAAAATTTAGTGAGTCTTCTCCATCCAGGAGGCAAAATTTGAGAATCAGCAGCAGCGAGATGCAGAGAGAAATGATTAGCGTCATAGTCATCTTCATTATCATTTCTTCCCTTTGGAAGGGCCTCAAGACGCCTGCAAGCAAAAAAAACGTAAGAAAACAATCATAAAAAAAAACAGAGATTGAGTATTCTGTAAAAACCCTAAATTGGACGAAAAAACCAATTTATCTTCTTACCATCTGCAGCCACTAACCACGAATTCATCAGAGTATATTATCTTGGATGGCAAAGAGGCGAAATTTTTAATTACCCAGGTAATCTTCTTCTTATCCGCTTGATTCTCCATTGATTTTGATGACGACTACTACTTCGCAGCCAAACCGGAAAAATAAAAATTCAAGAAACAGAACCAAAATTAGGGTTAGTATTCGACTATGGAGCAGCAATCTTTACTGATACAATGTAGCAACAGCTTTGTCTGCTTTGAAGGAAATCCAAAAATTCGATTACCAAGACGAGAGAGAGGACTGTGAAGTGTGAACCGCCTCGAGTGTCCTTGTGCCTTTAATTATTTTTTGATAATCTGTTTTTTTCTTTATTAGTTTAAAAGGTTAGCAAAAGCAGCCCATCCCTTTATTAAAATATAATTAAACCCAAATGAAACCAATATATTTCTAAATAAGGCCCATCAGCCCAATTAGTTAAAAAGAAGCCTCAAACACAAGATCTTGATCGTTCTTGAATCATGTCTAATATCATTTACTACTCCATGATCTTGAAAATGGCTAAAATGTCTAATTATCATTTAGTACTCCATGGCTAAAAGTCTTTTTCGGAGTTGAGAATCTTGATAAGTCCTTGGAGACCCGAGCGCACGTGGAGTTCCTTGTTTCTTCTTGAAAATGGTCATCTCGATAAGGTTTAGGTAGGAGTTAACCAGTTAACAATAGAACCGAACAAGTTTATCATCTTCCTTGTCCTGATAATTGTGTCGATGTCAAATCATTTTCTTTTGGGGGCTAATTAGTCAATTATTAATGTTTTTGGCTAATGGTGATATGATAAGCTGAGAAACTTCTGATAGCCTTTTCACTAGTGGCAATCAGCTCTTCAAGTAGTAAACTCCCATTCTTCATCAATACTTGGTGACTCTATAAACTGAGTAATGTAAATATGTAATGGTAAGAGCGTGAAGCTTTTCTGGAGGCACCATTGCAATTGATTATGATCAACTTTCTGATTACTTTGGCTCCACGGTAAGCAAAACCCTAGGTCAGGTGAAATTTGAGAATCGCAACATTTTGGTGAAGAAGAGTGATAATTAAAGAGACTCCAGCAAGACATTAAATTTAAAAGATCTCTCACTTAGAAACCAAGACGCAAGCAAAACAAACCAAAACACATAGCAGTACCTAAATCCAAATGAGTAAAAAGTTTCAACTCAAAATTTCAGACTGCTTTGTCATCGTACAAGGAGACAGGAGCTCCAGCTGCCAATAACTCAGCTCTCACCTTATCTATTTGAGCTTCCATGTCAGTGTACTTCCTCTTCAATGGGTTGATTTGTTCCTCCATTTCTTGAAGCCGTGCCAAACAATCCTCTGCTTTCTCCTTCTTCTCCTTTACTTCATCAAGTTTCTTCTCCAACCAACCCAACTCGAACCCCGCGTCTTTCAAGTATGCAAGAGCAGCATATTGATCTGCAAGATCACCCTTAGAGATTTCCGTAGGCGACTGACTCAGCGACTCGGTTAAGCTTAGGAGGACAGTCATGTACCCCGTCCTCAAATATGGATTCTTCGTACGAATTTCTTTTGCAATATCTTGGTGTCTTTCAAACAACCGGTTCACAGATTGGACCTGCAAGTGGAAAATGTATATACATAAATAAAGTAAACCCATAGCATCATAGCTTGTGACTATTTAAGAGAGTGAACTATATAGTGAGAGACTCTAACGATTTGTTCTTTTCGATTTAATACGTTTTCAAAAAACTTTTGACATACCACAACTTGTAGAGCTCATGATGACATCTATCTTGGTTGGAATTAAAAAAAAAAAAAAAATTGCATAAACAACGAAAGGTTTTGTATTTCTCATAATCTCTGACCTGTGAAGGAAGAAGTTGAAACCCATTGACATATGTGGTTTCCATTGCTGGTGAAGTTTCTTCTGACACATCTAATTGACCTTCAACTTCAAGAACTTTAACATTGACAGCAACTATGACTTCTCCATTCACCATAAATCCTTCTCCGGCATGAAGTTTGGTACGGGTAATCATATCTTGAAACCCCCAGTTAGAAAGATTCTCACCAAACCAGTGTTGCTTTGCTGCAAAAATCACCAAATGTATTTCATCTCATGATTAGCACTTCTGGATAAAGCATGACAGTATAAAAATGAGTACTCCATTGGATTTAACATCAAGAAACAACCTTCTCTAACTAGGGACAGTTTATCGGAATATTGATTTACTATTGTAAGGAAAACTTTAGCGTGTCTTCTCCATCCAAGAGGCAATAATTCAGGATCAACAACGTCGACAAACAGAGAGAAATGATCAGGCTTATTGTTTCCTTTGGGATAGGCCAGAAGACGCCTGTAAGAAAAGAAAAACGTATGAAAACAATCAGAAAAATGAAAGAGCTTAACCCGTAACCCTAATTTGCACAAAAAAAAAAAAAAAAAAAAAAAACAGAAGAAAACAACTTGTCTTCTTACCATCTGCAGCCACCAACCACAAATTCATCAGAATATATTTTGTTGGATGGTAAATCGGTGAAATTTTTTATCACCCAAGTAAAATTGTTATCCATCTGATTCTCCATTGATCTTGATTATGACTCCTACACAGCCAAATATTTTGTTAATCGGAAAGAAAAAAAATAATAACAAATAAATAAGTCAAGAATCAGAACCAAAGTAGAAGGATAATATTGTGAATTGCATTACCCCCTCCGAGTCGCTTCGAAAGAGAGAGATACAAGAATGCTGTGTACTCAAACGGTGGAATGTTAATCGCTTCGTGGCGCAGCCTAGTTGTTACAAACTCTGTTCGTCGATGCAAAGGAATAGCCGAACAAGAGCGACTTCAATAGATCAACTGCTGTTCTAGTTACGGATCGGAGGCTATAAATAATATAACGTGAATGAAAGGTGAACCCTAGAAGTTTGTAAAAAGGAAAAAACCAACTAGAACTCCGAACCTAAATACCAACTTAAAAAATCATACGATAAGAGTATTTTTATTTATATAAATTATGTTATAGGCCTCCAAAAACTATTCAGGAGGTATAAACCAATCCAACTTGAACCCTTCATCGCCCAGGTCAAAAAGCGTGTCGGTGTCATATAAGTCTTTATCAGTCTGCTCTTGAGGACCTCAGTACAGATTAGGTCGTGGAGCAAATCCATGTACGAGCCGTTGTTTCTTTGGACGATGCAATGTCTGATGTGAAAACAGAGTTAAAATGACTTACCTGTAAAAAAGGAACATGAAACCCATCGACGTCCAGTGTTTCATGATCATCAGATTCATCACTATTTCTAAACATTATCATTTGAATCATCATCGCTAGGAACCAAAATTGAAGTTGAATTTGCAGGAAAGAAACGGAAATAGAGAAGCCACACAAAAAAAAAAACCCCTAGTATGCAAAATTTGACATACTCCTCATCTTCTTACATTCAAAAGAGCTCTCATTTAGAAAACAAGACGCAAGCAAAAATACAAACCAGAACACCTAGCAGAACCTAAATCTAAGTTTTTAACAACTCAAATTTTCAGACAACACTGTCACCGTACAAAGAGAGATCAGGAGCTCTAGCTGCCAACAACTCGGCCTCCACGTTATCTATTTCAGCTTCTAATTCTGTGTACTTCCGCTTCAATGGCTGAAGTTGGTCCTTCATTTCTTGAAGACGTGCCAAACAAGCCTCTTCTTTCTCCTTCTTCTCCTTTATTCCATCAAGTTTCTTCTCCAACCAACACAATTCGAACCCCGCTTCTTTCAAGTATGAAAGAGCAGCATATTTATCTGCAAGATCATCCTTTGAGATTTCCTTAGGGGATTGACACAGCGACTGAGTTAAGCTTAGGAGGACATTCATGTATGCCGTCTTCATATATGGATTCTTCGGACGAAATTTTGATGCAATATCTTGGTGTCTTCCAAACAAACGGTCCACAGAGTCCACCTGTGAAGGAAGAACTTGAAACCCATTGACATCTATGGTTTCCATTACCGGTGAAGATTCTTCTAATTTACCTACAACTTCAAGAACATCAACATTGACAGCAACTATGACTTCTCCATTCACCATAAATCCCTCCCCAGCATGAAGTTTGGTAAGGGTAATCAAATCCTTATATCCGATGGAAGGAACCTTCTGATCAAACCAGTGTTGCGTTTCTGCAAAATCACAAAACATATTTCATCTCATGATTTGCATTTCTGAATAAATGCATGACAATAAGCCCTTTAACAAAAATAAATTAAAGCATGACAATAAGAAAAAATGAGACACACTCCAGTGGATTTAACATCAAAATATTAAACTTATCCGATCATCAAGAAACAATCACCTCTAACTTATGACAGTTTATCCGAAAATTGATTTAGTATAGTAAGTGAAAATTTAGCGTGTCTTTTCCATCCAAGAGGCAACAATTCAGAATCAGCAACGGCTAGATACAAAGAGAAATAATTAGGCTTATCGCTTCCCTTGGGAAAGGCCCGAAGCTGCCTGCAAGCAAACAGGTAAAAAACAATCAGAAAAACGAAGGAGATTATCACCTAAAACATATAAAAAAATATACGAAAAACATTAGAAAACAACTTCTCTTTTACCATTTGGTGCCACCAACCACGAATAGATCGGAATATAATATATTGCTTTCCAATGAGGAGAAATTTTTAATCACCCAAGTAATCTTCTTATTATTAAATCGCTTCTCCATTGATAATGATGACGACTCCTATACAGCCAATTATTTTGTTAATCGGAGAAAAGAAAAAAAAAAATCAAGAAACAGATCAACCATTATAAAGATGAAGATTCCACAATGGAAGAACAGCAATCTAAACAATCATTTTTCTTACAAGTTACCACGTTTGACAATATTAACAGAGTAGAAGGATCAAAATGGTGATGCATTCTTTACCCCTATATATGAGTCACTTTGAAAGAGAGATACACGAATGCTTTGTACTCAAACAGTGAAGCAATAGCTTTAAAGGAATCCAAAAGTTTGAGATCTAAGACTAGAGGAATGTGAATCATTACGACTCCTTGATTCTCTTTCTTGATAAAGCTCTCTTTAGTACTAAGTTGTATTCTTTGCTAATAAGCATATGTGATGGGGGAAGAAATACAAAAATAATGAAACTTGTCAAAAAATAGTTTCATTGTATATCTAAGAGGTTTGATGCTCACTGCTCAGGTAGGGTTTGCTCTTTACACTGATGAGACTACTTTTGATGAAATAGTGGAGAAGTTACGACACTGTATGAGATGGAATGTGAGGACGTACGATGTCTCCGACAATTCAAACGGATTAACCCTAGAAATTATGTGTGGTGGAAAGTAGTTATTCTCGTGTATCCACAAAAATAATGTACAACTCAACTTTAACCTACTCAGTATTTTAGGATACAAAATATTCTCAAATCTAGACAATATATACGAACTTCCCGGGATATCAAGGAAAATATCCCAACGAGAAAGTCTCGCTAACTCCAGACGATTCGTTTTACTTCTCTGATCCAAGTGCTACTATCTTGCTCTTGCTTTTTCTTCACGTAAACCCTCACAAGCTTCATTTTAACTAATCCAATTAAACCCTACATCTTCCATGTCAAAAAGCGTTTTTCTGCTTCACTTAAATCTGTATCATTGTGCTCGTGAGGAGGACCAGCACAAATTGGGTCACAAAGCACATATACATGTACAGTGTTTCTTTCGAGTGTGCAGTGTTTGATGTGAACACAGAACTAAAATGACGTTGACTGTTTCATCTTCATATGCATCATCATCATGAACTAATTAAATTAAAATTAAGTTTTGCAGGAAAGGAACAGAAACACAGAAGATGCAAAATGTAGGAGACTCCTAGAAGTATCTTCATCTCCTTAAAATTTAAACATCTCTTCTTTAGAAATCAAGACGCAAGCAAAAAAAAAAAAAAAAAAAAAAAAACCACTTAGCAGAAAACCCAAGTGCATAAGAACTCAAATCTTCAGACAACATTGTCATCGTTCAAGGAGAAATCATGAGCTCTAGCTGCCAACAACTCGGCCTTCAATTTGTCTTTTTGAGATTCCAAGTCTGTGTACTTCTGTTTCAATGGCTGAAGTTGTTCCTCCGTTTCCTTAAGTTGGTCCTCAATTTCTTGAAGCCGTGCCAAACAAGCTTCTTCTTTCTGCTTTGTTTCCTTTATTTCATCAAGTTTCTTCTCCAACCAACCCAACTCGAACCCTGCATCCGTTAAGTATGCCTGAGCAGCATATTTACCTGCAAGATCATCCTTAGAGGTTTCCTTAGGAGATTGACATAGCGACTGGGTTAAGCTTAGGAGGACATTTATGTACGCCGTCTTCAAATATGGATTCTTTTGCCAAAATTTTGTTGCAACATCTTGGTGTCTTTCAAACAAACGCTTCACAGATTGGACCTGTAAGCGAAACAAATGTATATGTAAAGTAAAACCATAGCATAATATAGACCCACCAAATAAAATACTGTACATACTCTTACGGTTTGTTCTTTTCATTTTCTAAAGTACTTTTTAAAAAACTTATTACTCCAAAACTTGTAGATCTACCTCATGACGGCATCTATTTTGGTTGGAATTTCAACAAAAACAACAGAAAGTTTGAATTTCTCAAAGGTTCTGACCTGTGAAGTAAGAACTTGGAACCCATTGACATCTATGGTTTCCATTACTGGTGAAGATTCCCCTGACACATCTAATTGACCAACAACTTCAAGAACATCAACCTTGACAGCAACTACGACTTCTCCATTCACCATAAATCCATCTCTGGCACACAGTTTGGTAAGTCCAATCATATCTGACAACCCCCGTCTAGTACTCTTCTGATCAAACCAGTGATGCATTTCTGCATAACCACAAAAATAAATCTGCTTATGATATGCATTTGTGAAAAATGCATGACAATTAAAAATGAGACAATACTCCAGTAGATTTTTAAAAACAATCACCTTTACGGGTGGTTGACAGTTTATCAGAAAATTGGTTTACTACAGTAAAAGAAAGTTTAGTGTGTCTTTTCCATCCAAGAGGCAACGATTCAGAATCAGCAACGGCTAAATACAAAGAGAAATGACTAGGCTTGTTGTTTCCCTTGGGATAGGCCATAAGACGCCTGCAAGCAAAAAAGGTAAGAAAAGAATCAGAAAACCGAAATCACCTAAAACATTAAAATTTGACGAAAAACATTAGAAAACAACTTGTCTTCTTACCATCTGCAGCCTCCAACCACGAATTCATCAGAATATATTTTCGTAGACTGCAAAGAGGAGAAATTTTTAATCACCCAAGTAATCTTCTTATCAATTCGCTTCTCCATTGATCTTGATGACGTCTCCTACACAGCAAACCTTTTGTAAATAAATTAAAATCAAAAACAGAACCAAAATAGAAATTAAGACTCCACTATGGAAGAACAGCGGTGTCTTTCAAAAGTTACCACGTTTGACAATATTTAACAGAGTAGAAGGATCAAAATGGTGTGAATTTTACACTTCTAAGTCGCTTCGGAAGAGAGAGATACACGAATGCTTTGTAGTCAAACAATGCAGCAATAGCTTTAAAGGAATCCAAGTTTGATTACCAAGAAGAGAGGAATGTGAATCGCTTCGACTCCTCATTCCTTTATTTTCTTTTTTGTTAATTTGTATTTCTTCATTAATTTAAAAGGTAGCCAAACCAAAGTAGCCCATTAGTTAATAGAAAACGATAACTAAACCCAAATTGTACCAAGAAATTTCCAAAGAGTGTGATGGCCTCTTAGTCTCTTACTCTTAGTAGTACCAAAAACTTAATCAAACATTATGTTTTGTTGTGAAAAACAAATTTATGTAGAAAATCTTCAAACTATTTGTTAGTCCATTGTACCACTCTAATTATGTGTGCGTTCAATACTAGACCACTCTACAATAGGTTATGCCAGTCAGGTATCATGTACGTCTAACCTAATCTCCATTATTTTCACTGTTATCTAGTAATCACAAGATAGTATCTAAATTAACTGATACACATTTTTACCGTATACCCGATACTACTCATAATACAAAGCTCAAAGATCCCTACTTTGGCAATCAATTTGTTGGATTTAAAACTTTTTTCATACTTGGTTCACATGTAACTTGAGCGAATGTGAGTAGCTTTTGCTCATCGTCAGATACTCTACCATAACTACGAATTAATAAGATTGCATGACCGATGGATATTACTGGTATCGACGCAACCTAGTCTCTTGGCCACACGACTCCTCGTGTGCCACACGACTCTCTGTTCAGAGACACAAAGACGTTTCCCACAAATTGTTGAAACCTCCAACACAAGTATCTAAATCCTGTGCAAACTCCACGTCTCCTTCTCATTCACCTGCTTGTTCTCAAAGTAGAGCAAAACTAGCTTCTACTTTGCTTGTGCACCTCTTCTTCGAGTTCTCTAATTAAAGAGTTAGTGTATTGCTCTTGCTTCTTCTTCACGTAAACTTCACATACTTCATCTTAAATCCATCCAACTTAAACCCTATACATCTTTCAGATCGAGAAGCGTGTTTTCTTCTTCATATAAGTCTTCATCAGTGTGCTCGTGAGGCGACCAGCACAAGTTAGGTCCGGATGCACACTCGTGTACGAGCCGTTGTTTCATGGTCATCATTATTTAAACATTTTCATATGCATAATCATCATCATCAGGAACTAAATTAAAATTAATTTTGTAGGAAAGAAACGGAGATAAAGGCCACAATACACTTCTATGCAAAACGTGGGAACATCGTCTACATCTTCTTAACTTTAAAAGATCTCTCATTTAGAAATCAAGATGCAAGCAGGCAAACAAACCAAAACACCATTGTTATCAGACGTAAGCAAACAAACAAACAAACGGGATCCAAGTTTTTAATAACTCAAATTTTCAGACAACACTGTCACCGCACAACTACAAGGAGAGATTAGGAGGAATCGCTTTAAACCGTGCCGGCGACCGGCGACCTATTACCTATTTCCCCACCACGAAGTTTCGGTCGTACTATATGCGGCCCAATAAATGACCTCGTATCACTTCCCCATCACTTGAAATTTAAACATCTATTTTCCCACCACTATAACTTTAAATGTGCATTTCTCCACAGTGGGGAAATAGGTCGCTCTTCAAGCTGTAGAAAGAACATCCACAATGATTGCTTGTTGGAGACGCAAAGCCACAAGGGTTTGACATGTGTAGAGTATTCTAGGTAACGGTATTTAAATACAGAAGCTCAAGATGACGCATGCTTTAACCCAGTTTTCATAAACGTCAGGTTCATAATTTCTTGAAAGGTTGAGATGCAAGGTTTCAAGAACCGGAGCGTTGCTTTGCAGCAAAAAAAATGTCAATGATCCATGGAGCTCTTTTAAGAGAACAATCACTGAACTCAAATTTTGGCACATGTTTCCAAAGAATTCCCATCGTTTTGACAAAAGACATTTGGCCACATCATTTTCTGCTGGGACGATTGACAATATCTTTACGAGCAAATCATCATGCTAATCATTGATACTTATAGGATTGAACAAACCTTGTTAGATTATTGAATTTAAAAACCAGAGTAAGAAGAAACGAGACAAAACAGAGTAAGAGATAAGATTTTCTCTTCTCTTATGAAGAAGACAAGAAGAACGAAATATACACTTTATGGATCTGAACCTTTGTTAAGTTACATTGTTTCAACGTGTTAAATAGTTTTATGCCAAGAACACAAGAGTTGTGTCTTTCTACTTGTGTCTTAAACACAACCTAAACCAACCGTCACAACTCTTACAAGCACCCTAATAACTTAATTATATCATATTACCAAACTCAATTAAGGTTTTTAGACTGATTGTGGAATATCGAGACAATCTGCTACAAATTTTGGAAGACAGGCGACGACGATGGTTTCTTCTGGATACACTCAAACATAAGAGACAAGTTAGTTATAAGATCACCTAGGGATTAGCTAGAGAAAACCAAAGCGAAAGTTTGGAATCAGAAAAAGAATAGGAGTGAAAAACCGTAATCAAATCATGTGTCGCTGTTTGCAATACTGATTTCCCAAACAAAAAAAAAATGAAATCGTAAGAGAATGCACAAGAAATCGTAACCTATTCTTAACTTTTCTCATCCATGCCATCTCCTCTGTTTTAGTCAATAGCCAAAACCCTAACCTTTTGTTTTAAATCTAAGATTTTGTTCTTAGGATTTTCAAACACATGTTTTTCGTTTTCTCAAACGTGAGGTGTTTGAGGAATACAAAATCTGGTATCTATTAAGAACGACCCTATTTATAATTTTTGAAAAGTAGCGACCCTTGCTCTTTAATTTTTTAAGAAGCTTGGTTCAAAGAACGTAGCAAAGGACATGACTTTTCTTTTTGATTGCATCTCTATCTTATACCTTTTCGGTAAAATTAAAGTGGGTTTGCTAAAGCGTTTGTTCGCAGTCTCGCAGAGGAAAAGCTCTTCCTTTGACGAAATCGTTTGATGATGTCACCCATGTAAATCCTGTCCCTTAGATCACAAAAGTCAAACAATCTCAACCATTGGATTTTTCTTTTTTTTTCCTACAAAAAAATGCTGATGTCAGCGAACCCAAAAATGAGTTTGCTATTATATATTGATTGATTCTTTTTATATTTTGTTATTTTTGAATTTAAAATGTAGCAAAAATAACCCATCAGTCTATAAAAGATCCGCAATGGAAATGGACAATTAAAACCAAATTGAACCCAGAGGTTCCCAAAGAGAGCCAGCTTCTACTTTGTTTGTGTATTTCTCTTGCTTGTTCTTCACGTAAACCTTCACAAATCTTCATCTTGAACCAATCCAAGTTAAACCCTACATGTTCCAGGTCAAAAAAACCGGTTTTATGCTTATCTAAATCTTCATCAGTCTGCCCGTGAGGACACCAGCACATCTTAGGTCGCGTAGGACATCAGTGTACTCTGTTTTGAGCCGTCGTTTCTTTGGACACAGTGCGGTGTCTAATGAAAACGTACTTAAAATCAGTTAATACTTAAGTGTGAGAAAGGAAGATGAAACACAATGACGATCCACTGTTTCAACATCAAATCTCATTTAGAAATCAAGACACAAGCAAATCAAACAGAGAAAACATGGCAGAACCTAAAAATCCAAGTTTCTTAGAACTGAAAATTTTCAGACGACATCGTCATCGTATAAGGAGATAGGAGCTCTAGCTGCCAACAACACCGCCTTCTCCTTATCTATTTTAGCCTCAATGTCTTTGCACTTAAGTTTCAATGGCTGAAGTTGTTCTTCCGTTTATTGAAGTTGTTGCTCCATTTCTTGAAGCCGTGCCAAACAAGCTTCTTCTTTCTTCTTCTTGTCCTTTACTTCATCAAGTTTCTTCTCCAACCAGCCTAACTCGAACCCTGCATCCGTCAAGTATGCAAGAGCAGCATCTTTATCTGCAAAATCATCCTTAGAAATTTCCTTAGGCGATTGACACAGCCACTCGGTTAAGCTTAGGAGGACAGTCATGTACGCCGTCTTCATAAATGGATACTTTGGACGAAATTTTGATGCAATATCTTGGTGTCTTTCAAACAAACGGTTCACAGATTTTACCTGGAAGAGTAAAATTTATATATTAAAAGTAAATCCATAGCATCATCGACCCACAAACCATATCTTCAACTTGTTATAAGAAACTAAACTATATAGTGAGAGACTCTTACGATTTGTTCTTTTCATTTTCTACGTTTTCAAAAGTGTTTTCGTAAACTTATTACCACAACTTACAGAACTCATGATGGTACCTACTTAGCAACAAAACAACAATAAGTTCAATATTTCTCATAATTTCTGACCTGTGAAGGAAGAACTTGAATCCCGTCAACATATATGGTTTCCATTACTGGTGAAGGTTCTTCTGATTTACCTACAACTTCAAGTACATCAACTTTGGCAGCAACTATGACTTCTCCATTCACCATAAATCCCTCTCCGGCATTAAGTTTGGCGATGGTAATAATTTCTGAAAACCCCCAGTCATTACTATTCTGATCAAACCAGTTTTCCGATTCTGCCAAATCATAAAAACATATTTCATCTCATGGTTTAAATTTTTTGAATAATGCATGACAATATAAAAATGAGACATATATACTCTAGTGGATTTACGTCAACGTTAACAACTAAACAAGCCATGCACAACACACGAATTTAAATTCTCACAGCGGGCCAAGGTATTAAAATATAAGAGGGATTAGGGAACATGAAACTTTTCTGCCTTAATCACCAAGAAACAATCACCTTTAGCTTGGGACAGTTTATCCGAGAATTGATTTACTATTGTTAGCGAAAATTTAGCGTGTCTTCTCCACCCAAGAGGCAAAGTTTTAGAATCAGCAACGGCGAGATACAAAGAGAAATGATTAGGCTTATTGTTTCCCTTGGTATAGGCCAGAAAACGCCTGCAAGCAAAACAAAGGTAAGAAAACAATCAGAAGAACGAAGGAAATTTTCACCTAAAACATTAGAAAACAACTTCTCTTCCTACCATTTGCAGCCACCAACTATGAATTCATCAGAGTATGTATCATTTGATTTCACAGAGGAGAAATTTTTAATCACCCAAGTAAACCTCCTATCAGTTTGATTTTCCATTGATATCGATGACGTCTCCTGAACAGCCGAAATTATTGTAAATCGGAAAAAAAATAATAATAAATAGTAATAATCAAGAAACAGAACGAAAAGAAAGATTAAGATTCAACTATAGAACATTGGAAACAGTTTTGTCTATCACAAGTTACCCACCACGTTAGAAAGAGAGTAGAAGGATCAAAATGGTTTAGGGTTTTTAAACTGGAAAGAGAGATATGTGAATCGCTTTGAACAGTGCAGCAAATAGCTTTAAAGGAATCCAAAAGTTTGGTTACCAAGACTAGAGGAATGTGAATCGCTTCGACTCCTCATTCCTTTAATTTTTTTTTATTACTTTTTATTATGTTTCTTCACTAATTTAAAAAGTTGCAAGAGTAGCCCATATTTATAACAAAGTAATTAATGTTGGTCACGTCTAATAATTAGGCTACAATCGACTTCATCATTATTAAGATGTAAATAAATCCCAATTAATCGTTAGTTTGCCATAAAGAGTCAAACAAACTCACTCTTTTAATTTACTCAAAAATTTTAAAAATAAATAAATACTCCTCCTAATAATCTATACTATATAAAAGTTGAGGCTATAAGCTCTGAGAGCGTCCACATCAGCTTTTAAGAAACCAATTAAATTTGCCAAATCAGCATTTTAATTTTAAAATCGAAAATTAAATAATTTTTGAGAAAAATTACATTATTGTATTAAAGAATGGAAATTGTACTATTTTGAATTTTAATACTTACATTACGACACCAATTACCTTAACCATTATTTTAAATAGTTTAATGGAAATTCAACATAAAAAGAGTTAAACTAACAAAAAGAACATATTATTGGAAAAGCTAAACTAACTAATTAAAATAAAAAGGAAATTAACAATTTAGCTATTTCAATGTTTGACATTGGCTATAAATAGTCCTCTAAACTTTAGAATACACATACAAGAGTTCTAAAGACAACCATATTCTTCAAGAGAGAGCGTTTATTAAAATAGCTATGTCTTCTTCCAGCTCTTCTGTTTCTGAGAGTTACGGCGTCCTTTTGTTTTGGATGAACTCACTAAAGGATTTTGTAAGAAAGAGCTGCTTGCTAGAGTCATCCACTTTTGGGAGGCAAGGAACCCTAAAAAAGGGTCTGCTTATGGATATGAACTGCTTCTAATCGATCAAAAGGTAACGACACCAACATTATTTACCAATTACCAATAGAAAGTTAAATCATCATCAGCTTATAATACTCTTTTCTACCATAATTTAATACAGGGAACTACAATCCAAGCATTCATACCAGCTTATCGACTAGGAGACTATGAGGAAAAATTAAAGGCTGGTGAAGTTTACAAGTTTAATAGCTTTCTGGTCATCAACAACAAAAAGGCGGGAGAAGTCTACAACATTGGTAGTTTTTTGGTCATCATCAACAAAACGAGCTACAAGTTCTCCTCACACAGATTTCTCATCCAATTCATTCCGGAAACAACAATGGTGCAAGCCGACCATGATGACTACACTATTGAGGGTCAAAACTTTGGGATTCGTTCCAACGCCGAGTTTAATGAATCTGTTGACAAGAACGAGGACCTTTATGGTAATAACTCTTTCATTATGAGTAGAGTTCAATCAAAGGAAGACATTGAGAAAAGTATGTTTAGACGATGGATGGAGAGAAACGAAGAATCATAAGGCTGATGAGCGGTTAATAATTAAACAGGATACGAAAAAGAAAAGTTTGGAATATATGAGACTTTTTAACTATCAAAACAGTGATTTAAAAATAAAGAGATGAATTTATTAAATAGGAATTGAATGCAAAATAATTAAACTAAAAAATATATATAAATAATTAAGTATAAATCATAAACTTAGAGTTGGAAAAGCTAAACTAATAAATAAAATTAAAAAGGAAACTGGCAATGACCTTTAATGGATATAAAAAATTAGAAAGTGTCTAATGAATAGTAAAATTAAGGGATTAATTTAAGAAATGTGAGAATAGGGTTGTTGTATGTTTTTTACAAGAAATATGTTTCTAAAAAGTACCTTACTTATTATGACTAATTGTAAAATAATTAATTTGGTAATAATTAAAAAGTATATTACAAAGAAAAGTTTGCAAAAAAAAAATGTGAAGCATTTGTAATTTTTTTTTAAATATAATAGTTAAAAAATTTATTAGAACAGATCTGCGCGTGCGCGGGTCAAATACCTAGTTTAAAAATAAAATAAGTGGAAAACTCATTTCATGTGACGCTGCCACATCATTTAAAATAATCGACAATCGGAAAAATTCAATGGGCTTCACCGGCATTTCCATACAGACAGCCGCGAAACGGTCGTTGACGGTAACAGTTACGGCGGCGTAAAATCAACCTGTCGCAAGACGATGTCACTCCGCTCTCCTTTCTCCGTCTTGCTCTCTCTCTTCATCCAAGCCCTTACTCTAGCCGTAGCACTCGATCCTTCGCAGCCGGACGAATCCACAATCACCCCAACCCCAATTCTACAGGTAAAACCAATCTTCTTCACCGGCGATATTCTTATCTCGATCGTCTGAAACCAATCCTTCGCCATTTCTAGGATGTGTTGAAGGAGATATCAACGAGGCAGAAGTGGAATCTGGACGAAATCAAATTCTCGAAATTGGAAGTTAAGAAGCTTCGTACAGGTCCCGGACGGAGCTTCGAGATCCGGATCCGATTAGGTAAGACCCGATTCGTTTTCATCTTCCCGGACGAAGTCTCCGATTGGAGAAGAATCGGCGGAGGAGGAAAACACGTGGAGTTGACAGAAATAGTCCGAGAAATCAACTCGACTAAGATTCTCGATCCGATCGTATTGAAAGGTCCTCTTGAGCTACGAGTCGCCGGCGATAACCATCTCTCCCTTGCCTTGCCGGTACTATCTCGCTCCTCTCTCTATAAACCGCTTCTAAATTACATAAACAAAACGAGATTGCTATAGATTGATGGTAAATGGTTTAATTCATTGCTTGATTTATCGGAGGAATTAAGAAACTTAGCTCTTGTTTAGTGAATTTATGGAGTTCTTAGTTCTTGATTCTTGATTATTGGTTCTTATGGTTTGGTTTTGCAGATGAACATATCACACAACGGAATCAAACGAGTTCTTGTGAGTGAGGGGATCTCAGTAGAGATAAGTAAAGCTAAGGAAGTCTCACTATTCCACTCGTCAAATCGAAGATTCGCTGCGACTTTAGAACCTGTAGATACTAAAGAAGGAAGTTGCTTATGGTCGAATCTAGGTGATGTGTGTGTGCCATTGCCTCCCATAGAAATCATAGGAGCAGCTTCATTGGTTGCGTTTAGGACTTCTAAGAGGGATTCTCAAATCAAGACTAGTTACTTATCCGATGAGACAATCATCCAGTTACTTCCGGAGAAATGTTATGATAAAGGTTACAGTTACAAGCAGGAGAAGCTTCCGAGTGATCTTCTTGGCTTGAAGATTAGCAAGTTGGGGAAAGTTTTAAGCTCTTTAGCGAGTAATGGAGAGAAACCGGTGAGCTCTGTGACAGCGAAGTTAAAGGCGTCAGGGATGGTACGGTTTCAGTTAGAGATCGAGAGAAGGATCGGGAGGAATGAGAGTGTGGTAACGAAGAAGAGAGTAGAGTGGAGAACGAAGCCGAAGATCGAGCGGGTTTGGTACGAAGTAACGGCGAGAGTGGAAGGGGAGAAGTTGAAAGCGGTAGGGATGAGGAAAGTGGTGCCTTTCATTGAAGTGGATACAGAGGCGTGGAGTAGTTTGATGTCTAATATGTCGTTCACTAAGTTTCCATCAATGCTTGTTCCTCAGGAAGCTTTGACACTCGGCGTCAAATGGTAGAGGCACACAACATAAACGAACACTTTGTAAGTAAAATATGGAGCAGCTTTGTCTTTTAAATTAAAAGCCCTTTTGTTTCTGTTTTTGTTTCAAGCACAGAGAGAGTTGTAATCATTTTCATGCACTGTTTTTTTTTGTTCTCTCCACTTGTAATGTGTATATATACTTTCTGGTTAGCTATAAATGAATATTTATCACGAAAATTTGGTGAAAGGAGTTATTGTGAATCATTTTGGATTTTGAGCAAGTGTTAAAATGTTACATATTTTGTTCCTTGGCCTCATACTGAAAGTCTTAAACCAAGGAATAGTCTAATTATGTCAAATATGTAATCCAAATTTTAGATAAATAAATCAGCCGAATGATGATTTATTTAAAAAGACCATTTCCAAATCATAATTTTATTACTCGGGTCTTTTTAATATCATAGATTGCATAATTTTGACTTTGTATTAGAGATGACGGCAATCTTTTTACGGTTTGGTTCCGGTTCCATTTTTCTTTCTTTCTCAATTTCGTTTCGTTTATATAAAAATGAAAACATAAAAGACAATTTGTGATATGGTTTTTAATCTTTGCTTACACCTAGAGGTAACACAACAAGTCGTCGATAAGCAAAGCACATATTCACAACACTTAGCTTTTGTTCATATAAATTATAGTTCGTCATAATCTCACATATCAAACTCAAATTTTATCTCCCCTACTGTTTACTTGTCTTATAGCCGATGCACATATTCACAACACTTGAGCTTTTGTTCATATAAATTCTCGTTCGTCATAATCTCACATGTCAAATTCAAATTTTGTTTCTCTACTGTTTACTTGTCTTATAGCCGATGTGTCATCTTTTTCGTTTGGCGTTTCGACGCGTGCGGTGCGCGTTTTTATTCTCATTCATATAATATAATCTTTTTATTTGATGTCAAACCATATTACATAATTAATTATTACTTTCCGAAAATAAATATCTCAAATCTCAATCGTCTCTCCTTTGTACTCAGTAAACTCGTCGACAAGTCATCACCACCACCTCCGGCGAAAATGGACGTGAGAGAATCAATCTCGATGCAAAACCAGGTCTCGTTAAGCCTCGCCAAGCACGTGATCACCACCGTCTCCAAGAACTCCAACGTCATCTTCTCTCCGGCGTCGATCAACGTCGTCCTCAGTGTAATCGCCGCCGGATCCACCGGCGCATCCAAGGACCAGATCCTCTCTTTCCTCAACTTCTCTTCCATCGATCAGCTCAACTCATTCTCCTCCGACATCGTCTCCGCCGTCCTCGCCGACGGCAGCGCCAACGGCGGCCCGAAACTCTCGGCCGCTAACGGCGTCTGGATCGATAAGTCTCTCTCCTTCAAACCTTCCTTTAAGAAGCTCTTGGATGATTCCTACAACGCCGCTTCTAATCAAGCCGATTTCCAAACCAAGGTCATTCTCAATTTGATTTTCATTTTCAATTTTCTGTATTTGGATTTTGTAAAACCTAATCTTAGCTCTTATCGCCAATTATTTACTACGTTATGATTCTGTGGACTGTGTTAAGATTTATGTTGGACCAAAACGTGGATTTGTTCTGTTCTTGATGTATATGTGGTTTATTATGCATCTTTTGGTTTGTGTGAAATTGAGTTTTATTTTTACTGATTAGCTTTATTGTTGATGATTTGTGTTTGAAGGCTGTTGAAGTGATTGCAGAGGTGAATTCATGGGCTGAGAGAGAGACGAATGGACTCATCACTGAGGTGTTACCAGAAGGATCAGCAGATAGTATGACCAAACTGATATTCGCAAACGCATTGTACTTCAAGGGAACATGGAACGAGAAATTCGACGAGTCGGTAACGAAAGACGGCGACTTTCACCTTCTTGACGGTGCTAAAGTGACTGCACCGTTCATGACCAGCAAGAAGAAACAGTACGTGAGCGCTTACGATGGTTTCAAGGTATTGGGGCTTCCTTACTTGCAAGGAGATGATAAGAGACAGTTCTCAATGTACTTGTATCTTCCCGATGCAAGCAACGGATTGTCTGATCTGATGGAGAAGATTGTTTCTACTAATGGGTTCTTGGAGAGTCACATTCCACGGAGGCAAGTGAAAGTCGGCGAATTTAAGATCCCCAAGTTTAAATTCTCTTTTGGGTTTGAAGCTTCGGATGTTTTGAAAGGATTGGGGCTGACTTCGCCGTTCTCTGGTGAAGATGGACTGACTGAGATGGTTGAATCGGAGATGGGGAAGAACTTAAGCGTGTCGAGCATTTTCCATAAAGCTTGTATCGAAGTGAATGAAGAAGGCACAGAAGCTGCTGCTGCATCAGCTGGAGTTATAAAGCTAAGGGGTTTGGCTATGGAGGAAGAGATTATTGATTTTGTTGCGGACCATCCGTTTCTGTTGGTGGTTACGGAGAACATGACTGGAGTTGTTCTGTTCATTGGTCAAGTCGTTGATCCGTTGCACTAATCTAATCTGGTTTTTGTTTACTGAGAGTGTTCAATAAAAATGAGAGTTGTTTTATGAGTTGTGTTTTGACTTTTGAGGACTCAAATATGTGTGTGTAACAATAATAACATTCTCTTCTTTTGTACTCTGTTTTAAAAATGCGTTTTAACCTTTTTTTCTTTGAAGAACTCAAAAACACGGTAAGTAAAGGATAAATATATGCAAAAAAAGGTATTTTAGAATACCTTTAATAGTGTCACAATACAGTAGAAACTCTATAAGTTAATAATAATGTATGTGAAAGATCATTTGGTTTTGGTTTCGGTTTCGGTGCATGCTATTCGAACCGTGGTGAGAAAGAGCAACCACTCAGGAACTCTCACCACCAAGCCGAACGAATAGCTGCGGTCATAGACGTTGCTTAAAACATATATACGTTTGGTTTTAAAAGCGAAATAAATCAATACAGACAGCAATTAAAATATTGGAAATCTTATGATCCTTTTCTTGTAAAATGTATGAAACGAGTCTGGTTTTCCTCATGAGTTTTCAAGTTTAAAATGAGAGCCACTATGAGTTGTGATTTTGAGGACTCAGATCTTTCTGCTACATCCTTTGTTGATTTTGAGGTTTTTTTATTATTATTTTTTTTACATTTTGAGTGTTTTTGATTTTCATCTCAACAAAAATTTATATGCAGTTAATTATAGAGAAGAGAGAACTCAAATTTATAACATATACCTTGATTTATATGCAGTTATTTATAACATAAAAAGAAAAGCTTTTCTGACTGACAAAAATATTTTTTTTTAAAAAAGGTATTTTAGAATACCTTGATTAATGTCACTTATATTTATTCTCCCTCGTTTGTTAAGTGCATGTCTACTCGAACCCTGATGGCATTCCACTGACCCATGAAATATTTTACCACCAAAGTAGACGAGTAGTAGCAGGAAAGGGGGAACCATCAAATACATATACCTTGATTTTTTTTTTTTTGACGGCACATATACCTTGATTTATAAAGTACATAAAAAGTTTAAACATTGATCTATACCTGTTCTGAATTTCCTGTCCTAATTTTCTGATCGCGTTCAAATATTACCCACTTAAACTATTTAAGTTATTTAAACGGATAAAAAACAGCATGAAAATAATTTTTTTGGTTCGGTCAGTTTGATTTTATTTGGTTTGGACCTAATGCCCAAACTTACAATATGTTACATCACATGTCGCATTTGTAACTGTTTGTACTGCAAACACACATCCATTTTACACAACCGTGCAAATCCAAATTTCTAACGTCCATGGAAAAATCTGTTTTGTAAGAAGTTACATAATCCAAATATGATTACATAAGTCCCAGTATATATATTTTAATAAACCTCTTTGTGTGCAGCTATTTGTACGGTTCAGTGGTCAGATCATTCATGGGTCAGTGGATGGCCACCACTGTTCGAATAGCATGCACTCCTGAATCTGATTCAATGCTCTGTCTATCACACATATATATATATATATATGTATGTATGTGACTTTAATCAAGGTATTCTAAAATACCTTTTTCATTTTATTTTTAAGCGATGACTGTTTGAAAACAGCAAACAGGTCTTCTTTAGAAAAAAAAACAAAAACAGAAAAAGTTAACAATTGATTAAAATGCACAAAGTAAAGGATGTGAATTGAAAAAGAAAGGTATTTATGAAGACTTCAAGGATGGCATGGTGCTATTTATGAAATCTGGAAAGAACGTAATCGAAGACTTCATCTTGGAGTTACTTTATCTCAAGGAAGAGTTTTTAATCTAATTCTTAGCTCTGCTAAAGATAAATGAACAGCTATGTCCCTTTTATGCTCTTCTTGTGCTGATCAAATCCTTCTTCAGTGGTCTCACGTTAATGTTCCTGGTTGATCTTTGACCTTAGATCTTTGATCTTTTTTTCTCCTTTTCTTCCTGGCTGTAAGTTCTTTTTTTCTTTTGTAACTTGTTTAAATTAATATAAGCAAACCCTTTAACAAAAAAAAAAGAAAGGTATTTAATAATATTCATAGTTTAAAAATAATTGAAAAGAAAGGTATTTAAGAATACCTCGATTGATGTCACATATATATGTATATAGAGAGATACGTGCACAAACACACACACACACACACACACACACACACATACATATATGTGATATATACATTTCACGTTTCAGTGCATGCTACTCGAACTGTGGTGGGCAATCACTGACCCATGATTCACCTCACCACTGAACCAGAAGAGTAGCTGCATGCACGCTTCGAGATTCATCATATATATATCACTTTGATTCATGACATTTATATGAATTACACAAACGACTCTCCGTGTGTGTGTGCAGAGTAGCATTTTCAGTATAATGTTGGCAAAAGGCATAATAAAGCTACTTTTTCTATATATAGACGGTTTTAAAGTGATGTAATGTAACACACTTTGCAATATAATCTCAAGAACATATCGTCCTAAATCCAATCAGCAAGACGGCTGCTACGACCTGTTTCTTCATGATCGTAGCCTCTCTTGTTTGCGTTTCTTTGGTCTAGCATTTCAAGTTGTCTCGTAACCCAAGCTGGTGTATCTGAGCTACAAAGCCAGAGAGCTTCACCTGTATCTCTGTGCTTGAAGTCAGGCTGCTTCGGGTTCGTCTTATCTCTCCTATTGTCCCACCACTCGCGCGGGTTCGCAAAGAAGACTTGCCACAAGTGAATCTCAGCACTGTTGGTTTCTTCTACACCGTCTGCTGCTTCTCCCTGGTCGAACGATTCAAGTTCTTTAGTAACCCATTCCGGTGTATACGAGTTAAGCCAGAGAGCTTCGTCTGTATCTTTGTGAGTAAAGTCAGGCTGCTTTGGGCTCTTCTTGCTTCTTCTCTTGTCCCACCACTCGTCTGGATTGGCAAACAAGGCTTTCCACAAGTGCTCATCGTTCTTTGTTTCTTTCTCGTCCAACGATTCAAGTTGGCTAGTGATCCACGCCGGTGTATCTGAGCTATCAAGCCAGAGAGCTTCACCTGTGTCTTTGTGCTTGAAGTCAGGCTGCTTCGGGTTCGTCTTGTTTCTCCTATTGTCCCACCATTCGTCTGGATCCGCAAACAAAGCTTGCCACAAGTGAATCTCATCGTGCTTTGGTTCTCTCTGGTCGAACGATTCAAGCTGTTTAGTAACCCAAACAGGTGTGTCTGCGTCAAGCCAGAGAGCTTCATCTGTCTCTTTGTGCTTGAAGTCAGGCTGCGTTGGTTTCTTATTGTTTCTCCTATTGTCACGCCACTTGTCTGGATTTGCAAACAAGTCTTGCCACAAATGAATCTTATCATTCTTGGTTTCTTCTACACCTTCTTCTTTCACCACTTTAAGAGACACTAAAACACACAAAGAAGGTCATGTCAATGGGAAATTTTCTCGTCATCTAAAATGCATACAACTACCAAATGAAACATCTTTATATACCCAAGTACCTAATCCAGAATATATAAACCTGTTTCAATGTGGATTCAGCTTTATATTCACTACCATTACAGAGGAGAAGATGATGAGTGGAAGATATAATAACCTGTTTCTGGTTTTGGCTTTTGGGGTATCTGAGAGTCTAAGGCATGACTTTGTGGAGCCATCACATAATTCACTTCTGTCACTTTAACCTGCAACAATGATCGGAGCCTATTAAAGACTAACAATAACTTTACAGAGAAATGAAGTTGCTTATAACATAGTATATGTCAATGGATCTTGACTACACAAAGACGAATACACAATTCATAAGGATCTTTGCTAGTCTAGAGACTGATATAAATGTTTATGGTCAAGAACTGAACACAAACCTGGTAATCTAAACCTAATCCGCTATTTTCGTTCCTGCAACAAGAATCAAGACGGCCTGAGACATGTATGAAATCATTTGGCTTCAGATGCTCAATGCACTTCCTTGCCGTCACGTCCCACATGCTAAGAGCTATCCTGTAATTGGATTCTATAGCAAATCAACAAAGAGATCTTACCAAAAGAAAGGCAACTTTAATCAATGTTCGAGCAAATGCTAATAGCAATCAGAAATCGAATTCTCATCATTCCTCAAAACGAATGAATCTATTGGAACCTAAGACTTTGGGAATCGCAAATTGCAATAAACCATCGCATAATTCATCACTATGCGCTAAGCAAACACAACTATGAACACAATCGAGACTACAAAGTCGAGCAGGAGACTTCAATTTTGAACAAACCTGACCTAAAGCTCCGATTCGGATCACGAGGGTCTTTCACTCTAAGCAAAGTAGAAACACCGAACCTATCAGACTCGGTATCGAGGACTCGAAGAGGTCGATCAACGAAACCCATAAGGCTTATGGAGTTTGAGAGATTGGATTTGAAACGGGTCGATAGTGGTTTCCTGAACAAACGCGCGTGGTGATAAACCGGACTTTCGCCGTCAGTGACATTGGAGAAGAGACGAGATTTAGGAATAGAAGAAGAAGCAGATGATTCGGAACAGCGAAGGGATTTAATTGGAGAAATTTTGGAAGCAGTGCTTCGAATCAAGCTTCCGAGTTTGAGCGTGTTCATCTACTGGAAAGATACGGATTCTACACGGCGGTGACGGTTAACTTGGCGGGCAATTTTTTTTGTTTCTCGCCGATGCCGTCGTCGGAGACAGAGGATGTCTCTGGGTTTTGGCTTTTTTTTTTTACTGTATTATCATAGGCCCATTATTGCTTTTACAGTTTTACCCAATTTTTTTAGATTTTTTATTCTTTTAATTTATTTCATAATCTGCATTTTATTTTATTTTTCATTTCTGAATTGGGTCTAAAAATGGTAAAGGAATTAGAAGAAAGGGGGATGTGACGGAAGAAAACTCACCGTTGGTTACTTGGTTTAGAATTTTCAGTGATTGCTTCACTGCCATCGGTATGTTAATTTCAAAGGTGATTACGTTTGTTTTCTTTAATTTTTTACAAGAGTTATTTGTTCTTTGAGGTGAATTTCATTACCCTCTCAAGTCTCAGTGACTGAACCGAATTCATGAGGTTTGTCCTCATTCTAGTTTTGCCTTCTTTGTCTTCATTGCAAATATATGTTTTGTTTGTATAATTTGTTTGACATTTTTTTTCTTTGTAACATGCATTTATCTATGGGAAGAATGCCAATAAAATCCTAATTTTCAAATTGTGACAAAAAAATTCATGAACTCTTGAAAAGTTATATCAAACCCCAACTTTTTGTTGATTTTTACATTTAATCTTAAATTTTTGTTGACTGAGCGCATCATCAAATGGTTTGACAGTACGATTTAATATCGTTAATTGCCTTATCTTAAATTTGATTAAACTAATACGACATTGTTGAGCATGCTATCTCAAAAGAGTGATTATGATGATGATGTATATTTGGTTGATAGAGAAATTAATATATGCAAAATCGATTTCTAAAGTTTGTGAAATCGATTTGAGATTTTTGCTCACAATAACCGAAAAAGGAAGAGGCAAAATCGATTAGGAATTTTAGAGTTTCTGAAGTTGATTTGGGATTTTAGAGTTTGTAAAGTTGGCCAACAAGATTAAAGTTGGTCAACAAGAGTTTGTGAAGTTGATTTGAGATTTTGGAGTTTGTTTAATAGAGTTTAAGATGGCCAACAAGATTAAATCATCTAATCAAAGCATGTTGTGTCTATTTTGGCTCAGTCAACAAAAATTTATGACTAAATATAAAAATTTGGGGTTTAATATGGCAGTTTTCCCATTTATCTATATTGAAAGCCTTTTGGTCAAAAAAACATGCATTTATATAATTTACTTTCTTCCTTTCCCTTTAAATATTCCCTATTTATTTCCTTGACAAATTAAAAAAAAAAAAAAAAAAAAAAAAACTAGAATTCTCTTCTTCTATTTAAATGCAAAAAAGTATTACAAGCATGAAGCATATGACTTTAGTGTCACATTTATAGTTTGAGAGGCAAATAGGAAAAAAACAGACGAGAAAAGTCAAATCTATAGAGAGGGGAGTAGAGAGAGTTAGAGAAGAAGAATAATAATACGAGGCAGTTACAGTAACGTTTACAACGACTAATGCAATCGTCGTGGTCCATTCCATCTTTTGGACCTTCTGCGTACGTTTGACTGGCCGTTCCTATTAGAATCCTATTACTGGATGTATATAACCCATCTCCTAACTCTAGTCTCACTCGACCAAAGACTGGTGCATTCGCCGCCGTTCTAAAAGGTAAATATTGTAATCTTATTCCGTCGCCTATTATATTGGCTCCGCCACTGTTTTTTCTCCTATCAACTAGGTTTAAATGTGTGTGTTTAATTAGTTTGGTTTTGGATTTTGATTGATAATATCGAACCATATAAAAATGATCACCAAAGTTTGGTGTATATAGCGTTAAAAAAAAAAAGAGTTAAGCATATCGATCACTTGATATAAATAGGTTAATTCTTGTGTATGAATTAAAGAGGGAGCGATAGAGAGAAAAGGGGCACATAAGATACGTGAGTCTCCTACTCCTAGTAATCCGATAACCGAAAACATGCCTCTCTGCAATAATTCCTCCGGCAACCTCGCCGTGGCCGTTATTCTCCTCTTTGCCGGCGCCCTATATATCAGCTTCTCCTCACGTTCAATTTCCAATCCTCTCTCCGTTCTCCAATCTATTGTCAACACTCCCCAATCACTGGTAAGTTGATTCATAATGTTATGTTGGACTCTAGAGTTAATATACATGTGATGATATTAATATATTCAAGTGGTGACAGAAAAATATTGAGTTTCCGGTGGAAGAGCTAGAGGCGACGCTGGACAGAGCGGCGGCAGGAAACAACAAGACGGTGATAATAACGGTGGTGAACAAAGCTTACGTGGAGGAAGTTGGAGGAGGGAGGACTATGTTGGATCTGTTCTTGGAGAGTTTTTGGGAAGGAGAGGGGACTCTGCCTCTTCTTGACCATCTAATGGTGGTGGCAACGGATCAGACGGCTTACGATCGCTGCCGCTTTAGGAGGCTCCATTGCTACAAGATGGATACAGAAGGGCTTGACCTAGAGGGAGAGAAAGTATACATGTCAGCTGATTTCATTGAGATGATGTGGCGGAGGACTCGCTTGCTCCTTGACGTCCTCCGCCGCGGCTACCATCTCATTTTCACGGTTAGTTTTTTTTCTTCTTTTCAACACTTTTTTTTGTTCCCATTATCAAGAGGTTCTAGGACAAAACCCGTATACTTTGGTCGAGTAATATAGTTATGTCCCAAGCTTTATTGTGACCTATAGGCTTGGTTTTGATTATTTTTTTCTCAATCTTTTTACGAGAGGTGGAGTTAAACTCTTGTGATCAAAAGATCATACATTTTTAGAGTTTTGGGACTACATTTTTAGTGGTGATTTATAATTTTTCAGGACACGGATGTGATGTGGCTAAGGAGCCCCTTCTCTAGGCTAAGCAACAATGGGAGCTTCGATATGCAGATAAGTGTGGACAATAGCGACGTGGGAGGACACTTGATCAACACGGGATTCTACCACGTCCAGTCTAACAACAGGACCATCTCCCTCTTCCAAAAATGGTATGACATGAGGCTTAACACGACGGGCATGAAGGAACAAGACGTCCTCAAGGACCTCCTCGACTCTGGCTTCTTCAATCGTCTCGGCCTTACCGTTGGATTTCTCAATACCACCTACTTCAGTGGCTTCTGCCAAGACAGTCCTGACATGGGCGCTGTTACCACCGTCCATGCCAACTGCTGCCGCCACATCCCTGCCAAGGTCTCTGATCTCACTCTTGTTCTACGTGACTGGAAACGCTACAAAGCCTCACATGTCAATAGCAAGTGGAGCCCTCATACTAAGTGTTGGGGTTCATGGAATGACACTCTCTATGTCCCCAAGATCTGACCCTCTTCCTTTATGTTAATGAGACTGCCGCAACATACCTACCAAGGTCTTTGATCTCACTATTGTTCTAAGTGACTGGAAACGATACAAAGCCTCACATGTCAATAACAAGTGGAGGCCTCATGTTAAGTGTCGGGGTTCATGGAATAACATTGTGTCCCCATATCTGACCTTCTTGCTTTATGTTAATGAGATTGCTATATAGAGATATTATACAAAACGTAGTTAACTAACTGCATCTCTTCTTTCTTCACTTGGTGATAATTTTTGTTTCTTGCTCTACAATCAGAATTTATCCCTAATGACTGTAATTACCAACCATCTTTTAATCGTGGTAGAAGAACATGTTGTTTATACATAGCTCTTGGTACTTGGTTACAGCAAAGCTATTGTACACAAATAACATCTACCACCTAGCTACATGTAACGAGAGTTACGTTCCCAATATAAATGTTTGAAGACGCAGAAGTTCTTACCAAAAAAATAATTAAAAACTATCATACTCTATGATAAACCACAAGTTTTTAATGAAGATGATCTTTAATGCTTTGTTGAAAAGAAAAGCTCCAAGTAAGTCCCTCAAGTTGCCTTTGTGATATCTATGATGAGAACCCTGACCATCTATCTGTTCCTAAGATGTCAAGTAAGTGAGCAGCAATGGGATTTGGTTCTAAAAACGTTAGGTTACGATTCATTTGGCTTTCACACTTGGACTGCAATCATATCTTATTAGGATCTTCCTTGTTTTTTATTCTTTTTTTTTGCCAAGGCTGCTCCTATCTCGTTTAGCAATTTGTAATATTTTACAAACCTTCTAATTTTCAATGAAATTCAAATGCTAAGAAAAACAAAGAAAATCCTTTGTTGAGTAGGCAGTGAGGAATATATAACCGTTGTAAAAGAAATTTTATTTTATTGTTCACTAATTTAGTATTTTTATAGCCCAACATATATATATATATATATATATAATTCAATTTTGCTTGAGAGAAACTGATCTCTAATCTAGAGATTCTAGACTTATAAACGGGCTACTTGACGGTTACACTCAACCTCAGGATAGTAGTTAAACATAGGAATCACTCCCTCTTTATAAAAAGAACCAATAAAAAAACAGACACATTGACTAAGCCCTCTCAGAAAAATAATCAGCGATATGCAAGAAAATAAATAGTGAGAGTGATGAAGATAAAGGAAAAAAAGACCAAGTCGGCTTCTCTCGGTGTTTGGGTCGGTATTTTGGCCAGGGCTGCTCACACAGTAAAAAGTTGATACAGAATAAAGTTACCTTGAATAATGGCACAAGATATACATTTACAGCGTTTGAAGCAAAACGCAAATTTTTAACCATCCAAAACTTTTGGTAAGTGGTAAGCAAGTAGAGAGGATAAAACAAGAAACAAACAAACATGCAAAGAAAAAGAAAAGAAAAGAAAAAAAAGAAGAGACAAAGACACACGGGAGAGAGAGCGAACACAAATTCGTTCTTTTTCCCCTTTGGCTTTTTCTCTCTCACTCTCTCATCTTCTTCTGATTCTCAAAACTTAAACTCATAACTTAAAAGAAAAAACCAAGAAAAAAAAAACAAATCTTCCAAGTTTCAGTCAGAGGTGGTTCACACAGTGAATGCTGAATCTTGCTTCTTTGCGGCGTTGAGCATAATGGTGAATCCAACTGAATTTCGTAAGTTCTATTCCCCAGAAACTCTTCTTCTCTCTTAAATTGAACTTTATCTATCAAATCTTAGATCCTAATTAGTGTCACCGACTACATTATCAAGATTATGGAAATATTCCGCTTTTAATTTCTTGAATTCCTTCAAATTTGTAAGATCTTGAGCTAGGTTTGTTTAATTCTTAGTCTTTTCTTGCTTTCCTTTAAGCTATTTTTGGCAGATCTGGAACACAAAACCTTATAACAGACCATCATTGTCGAGTAACTCTTTAATCTCTGTAACGATACCTTAAATGTGTTTATAAATTGACTGTGCAAATTGTTTTAAAGCTCTACACTTTTCAAGATTTACTACTTTGGGGAATTGCATTTTAGTTTTTTTTTTTAGATTTACTAGATCTTACAGTTAATTACTTGGGCACACACAAAAAGTGATTCATAATTAGAAAGCTTTTGGATTTAAACTCAATGCTGTTTAAAGTTAGGTTTCATGATATCAAATTATCAACTGTTCATCATAATTAGAATCATTTGCTCTTTTATTTTTTTGTTTAGTCAGACTCAAATTAGTTGGAATGAGTTGTTGAAGCTTTGACTTGTCTCCTAAGCTCGTACTTAATCTATCTGTATCATCTTCTCCTGTCTCTTTAGTCTTTACCTTTATTAAATACAATCCACCTACATCTTTTCTCCTTCATCATTGCTCCTGACATGGTTGCAACTCTTTTAAGAACAAGACTTTATATTATAACACTAAACACCTGCCCACATATGATCTCTGTATATTTGGGTAGTAGCCCAAAAGAGCTAGATTCTTTAGTGTGGATTTTGGTTTAACAAAGATTTTAAGATCACAAAACAGATACTCAGATGAATCAGTCTTCTTTATATTAAGATGAACAAGATGTGACTAATATCTTTGCTTATTTTCAGGATGCATGCTTTATTATATTTATGCTTCTTGTATAATCTGATTGAAGCCGGCCAAAAGTGATTGGTGCTGACTTTTATTATATATAAAAAAAGAAATCTTTTGTCATTTCAGTCTCTTAACTTCTATGAAAACATAATGTGGCAGAGAGCTGTTTGCTTTGTGTACCTTTCAGAATCTTTTACTGATTGATGTTTTCATACAGGATAACCTCTACTGAGGCATCCAATGTTGAAGGGAAACGCAGAGCCTAAGCAGAAGAAAGGTAAGATTTTGATCTGAGCTTTGTGTGATTAATGTGAGACCAAAATGTTCTGATCATCTGAGCAAGAATTTTCTGAATGAGCAGGTTGGTCTGAGTCGCTGCTAGAGTTTAAGTCAGAGTTTGGGGAAAAGATGAAATTTGTGTCAAAGAAACGTTGGAAATCTCTTGCACCTCTCCATCTGAAAAGCAAATCGGTTGCTCGGTTCTGCTTCTTTTCGAAGTTGAAGTCAGGCAACCACGGTTCAGGCCGTGCACCGGTCTATCTCAACGTCTACGACTTGACTCCTATCAACGGATATATCTATTGGGCAGGTCTTGGCATATTCCACTCTGGTGTTGAAGGTAAAAGCTTTGTGTTTTCTTGTTGATATATTGTCTCTTAAGTATCTGAAAGATTAGCTAACTCTGAGCTTATCCTTGTTTCTTGCACAGTTCATGGTGTAGAATATGCTTTTGGTGCACATGATTATGCAACAAGTGGTGTATTCGAGGTGGAACCACGGCAATGTCCAGGATTCAAATTCAAGAAATCGATATTCATTGGAACTACGAACTTAAACCCTGCGCAAGTGAGAGAGTTTATGGAGGACATGGCTTGCAGCTACTATGGGAACATGTATCACCTGATTGTCAAGAACTGTAACCATTTCTGTCAAGACGCTTGCAACAAGCTTACCGGTAAAAAGATCCCCAAATGGGTGAACCGGCTCGCAGAAATAGGTACCGACTAAACCGACTAAACGAGGTTTTGCTGCATTTGCAAATTCTTGAAGACTTTTGCTTTCTTCCTTGCAGGTTCTGTGTGCAGCTGCATACTTCCTGAATCTCTCAAGATCACAGCGGGTTGCCATGACCCGGACGGCCAAATCCCGGAGGAAGAGAACGAGAAGAGAAGTCTTAGAAGCTCATTCAACTGCTTGTCCTCCATCTCCATGAGGCAAAAACAGCTCTCTACATCGTCCTTGTTCCTTCAATCCCCTCTCAGAGGCTGCTTGCCTCCATGGCAACTCAAAAGATCAAAATCTAACAGCAGCTCCTTGAAAGAACGGTAGTCATTTCTCATTAGCAACCACCACGGCCATGGATTCATCTTTCTGTCTTTATCTTTGTAATGGAGTTCGAAAACAAGTTTCTTCCTTTTGTTTTTGTTAACAGGCTTCAATAAGCCATTCTTCCTCCTGTTTGTATTGCTTCCAAAATTTCGATTTCATGTATTGCCTCAACTCTGTTTATATCTAAATTAGCTGTTTTAGTTGAAACTATAAGCATTGAGCAATGAATCAAACATTCATAAAGATGAAACCTTTATTTGATTCGAACAATGAACTTGACAAATGATGATGATAATCAACAAGAAATCCAGTTCTTATGAGTACTGATAAGAGCTGAGAACAAACCTGCAGAAGAAATCACATTAGGAGCTGATAAAACTCCTTTACCATCTCTAAGATCTGCAATCGTCATTAACCCATCAGCGAGATCTTGAAGAATCGACAACACCTTCAATGTCTTCTTCTCCTTGAGCTTCTTCATCTTCTCTTCTTCTCCATCACAAGAAATCCCTCTCGAAACAGAGATCTCAATCGTCGAAGCAACGCAAGTCTCCTCTTCCTTCATCTTCCCCAAATCCCTAATTTTCAACGAAACGCTCCCAACGTATCCGATCAATTCAGCCCAGGCGCTGAGTCTCTGCAGCCATTTCGAGTGTTTCGCGTCGATCAATCCCGATTTCGCCAGCCAGATGAATTGCTCGACGAAGTAGTAGAATCCTTCGCCGCCGTAGGCGACGATCAGTATCAGGAGCTCGCGATTCGAGTCCCATGGAGCGGCTCTGAGCGCGTTGATGTCTTGCACGAATTTCCCGAGACGGAAGGCTTTGCGGCTGACTCCGACGCTCGATTCGAAGCTCTTGAGTTTGGTGGTTAGGGATCCGGATTCTGGGATCAGTGAAGATGCGAGGATGATTTTTGTTGCGTAACGAGAGATCTTCAGGAGCTTGTCGACGCCATCTCTCTTGGCGAGGTATGTTTCGAGATGGTTTAGAAAATCTCTGTCTTTGGGTTTTGTGATTTTGTTCTCTGAAGGTTTCGACTCCATGGAAATGAGATTTGGCAGAATTTCTCAGACTTTTGGTACGCAAAATGAAGAAGATGACGAAGAAGAAGAAGACGAATAAGAAGAAGAAGAGTTTGATTAAAATTGGTTTGCGTGCCAGCCTTTTCCGGTTCATTAATTGCGGCCGGTTTGTGTGGCCGCAATGTCCGGTTGATTAATTGCGGATGGTTTGCTTACCAGCATCGTCCGGTTAAGTAATTGCGGCTGGTTTGTGTACCAGTATTGGTTTTTTTTTTTCTCCTAAAGTTTATAGTTAGTCAATGTTGTCAAAGTTTACCATTAGTAAAGAGTCAACAGAGTGATATTTGATATGGAAGACGATACTTTCTTTGATTTTCTGAAGTTTATAGAGATTGTACGTTCATGAATCCGTTTACTTTTTTGACTGGAATCGCCAAATCACATTGGAAATGAATCACAAGACGATACGTTTATACGTATATATATATATATATACCATCTAACTGCGTTGTGTTTCGAATCAACAACAGTAATATTTTTACTTACAAAAAAAACAACATATTAGAAAATGAAGAAGTTTTTGGTAGCGTTTCTTCTTGTTCTCGCCATCTTATCTGCTGGTAAATTCTCACTATTGTTTTTTCTTGACTTATTCACCGAATTCACAACAATATAGTATAATGGTTAGAGACTAACATGAGAAATTTGAATATCTTGCAGATGTGGAAACAGGAAACGGAAAAGTAGTGATACCCATTGTACCATTTCCTAGCGGAAAATGGTGTGGATACTCAATACCAATGAAACCATGCATGGACGAACTTTGTGATAAAACTTGTATAAAACAAAATACGCATGGCTGGCGCGATGCTCATGGCATGTGCACCAATATCCCAGCCTACAAAGATTGTTATTGTATCCATTCTTGTTAACTTCTTTCACTATATTGTTGTGATGTGTAACAAATTTTTGTTCCTCTTCTCCAATAGAAAAATATAGTGAAGCACTACGAAATTAAAATTGTTCTTGAATTCATGATGATAATGATACCTCCTCTCTTTTTTTTTTCTGAGCAACTCCCGCTTTATTTTGTTTAATTTCTCCTGATAAAAGGTACACACAACACACATGTAGCTGTTTTTTTTAACTTCTTAGGAAACCTTGGTCTATATATGTCTTAACAAAGTTTTGTTTTCTCTTTTAATGGAACCATGAACAATCGCTAATTTATGTAGATCTGTTACAATGCTTGGAATAATATTTGCATTAGACTTTTTAGTGTTAAGTCAATGCAAATAACATGCCGTCTTGACTACTTAAGAGGCAGGTATATTTGCTGACACTGGTTGGATAATGGGTGTTCTTCAAAAGAAACGAAAACGGTGTAATTGAGGCACTTGTTTTACACATCATAATCAGCCTTTACTAAGATTAACAAGAGAAGCATCTTGTTTGTCCTGTGCTGATAAAGGCGTGTGCTTATGAGATAAGATGTAAACTTGGTTATGGGATCGGCTTTGGTGACATAGGGTTTTTGAAAATTTGAGTGGAGAACGAATTAGCTTAATATCCTGACGGTTCTGACACAGTGTAAGGAACATTAGGGCATTGGTCTACAACAATTTCACCAAAACCCTTCATACTTTAAGGACCAAACTGTAGAAAAACATTGTGTGTGTTTGCAAAAGTCGAAAAGACTAAACAAGACAAACTACAATGGTCTACGTGTACGTAATGTTCATTTCTTAAACTTCGAATAAGGTAAAACATGCCTAACGTTCCAATCTTTAAACTTCAAATTTCTGCTTTATATCTTTTACCTTAAAATTACAACGAAAGAGTAATGAAACGAATGAGAAAATTTATCTATCATAACGTTGCGCGCATAAGGGAAGAGCAATTCAAAAGAAAAAAGAAAGCCATAGTAAAAAACAACAACAACAAAATGTTACAAAGACAGTAGACTCTCAGTGTGATTCGGGAAAGCATGGACTTCATACGTATCGTCTCCAACTCCATTAACGAGGCATAATTCGTCGTTTGCAATTCCTTTAAAACCTAACCTTCCAAAGCTGTTTCTCACTGGATCATAAGATACAATATATGACGATTTTTGATACGAGTGTGATCCAAAAATAAACTCACCAGCATGAGTGAAACCTTGTAGTTTAAAACACATTGTGAAACGCTGATCCCAGTGACGTAAAGGCACTAGAAAGTCTTGACTAGACCACTTGTGTTTCTCTGCATCCTCCAAAATCCACAATCTTCTGTCATTGTAGGTATCAGTACAAGCTATCCTCCCCTCATAGTTTATCAGCACATCGACATCAATATTCGATGGTTTTTCAATCATATCGAATTTTTCATATCTGACATCAAATCTCATTACAACATAAGCAAACGTCTTCCAGTTACATGCTATATAATATATCATTCCATTGATGCATCGCCCACAAGTGTAAGAGTAAACGCGTTGCTTAATATTTGTTCTCACCGTTCTCCATGATTCTTGTGATGATCCCAGTGTCAAAACTCGGCACACGTAGGAAACCTTTTTTGAGTGAAAGCACACAAGTTTGTGTTTACCTTCGACTGGATCGTAACCTAAAAAGAGTGTTTTATATGTCCAGCTCTTATGGTTGTTGGGATTGGGTAAGGTTAAAAGACTTCTCATGCTAGGGTTCCAAACTACGGGATTTTGCGAATCTTCAAAGCAGATCAAGCCGTGGACAGATTCCGTATGGTAATGAAAACCATATCCTGGGAGTTTCATATGATAACGCTCAATAGGCAGAGAAGAAGAGTAAGCCTTGTCCCAATCCTGAGTGTGTTGCGGAATCGATAAAACAGACACTTTGTCGCCCTTTTTGAAGCAGAGTAGAAGAAGACTTCGCCTTGTTTGGAACGAGTTAATGAAATATGGATCGGTGGTGATTGATGACCAAAGCTTCGAAACGCAACGAAACCTCACAACAGATCTCGTAGGCAGCCTTAAGAGTATCTCTGAGGTTAGATCAACAGGAAAGGACAAAGTTGATCCCGATGGTTTTCTTCTTATTCTTCTTCTATTGCCTTTTGATTTCTTCTTTTCTTGGTCCCCCATCTTTGGTCAAACCCTAATTAAGTTGTTCAGGCCGTGGTGTTATATACCGACCTTATGTTCTCACTAATTTTACATTTATATACTTAGGTTCTTTTACTTATTGTTAATTCAAAAGGTTTCTTGTGTGTTAAGTCAATGCAAATAACATACCATCTTGGCTACTAATATTTCGCTGTATCTCACATCTTGTTTTACACAGTACTATCACCCTTTACTAAAATTAACATGATCATCTTGTCAATTTGTCCTTGTTCTTCAACAGCTTTGATACAGAATATAACTATATTTCCGGTACGGCGCCCAAATTTTCTTAAATATTAAAACGTATCAGGACAAGCATGTCCAGCGACTATTGCTGATGAAAGCGTACATGTGCTTATGAGACAAGGTGTAAACTTGCTTCTGGTGACCATTTGAGTGGAGAATTAGTTAAGCTGAGTTGAGAACGAATTAGCTGAGTCTTCTAACGGTTCTAACCGAGGACATTGGTCCACATCAATTTTACCAAACTACTTCAGTTTTTAAGGACCAAACTGTAGAAATATATATATTGTGTTTGAATCTTGCTACCAACTGGCTCAATGGTTTGCTTGAAGCTCTTACTCAAGGACTTAATTTCAAAGAAAACCAACATAAGAAAAGAAACAAGTTGTAATAAACGATGTGGGTAGAATTACAAAGAACTGGTAATGAAAGGGGATAGAAGTAGAGTAAGAAATGAGAAACTACTAAGAAAAAGAAAATCATAAAGTTGCATATGTATTGAGTTAAAACATAAAAAAACAACCAATTACTACAAAGACCATAGAGTCTCAATGTGATTCGGGAAAGCACGGAGCTTATCATTGTTTTCAACTCTAACTCCTTTAAACTCGAACCTTCTAAAGCTGTTTCTCACCGGATCACAAGATAAAATATATGACGATTTTGCAAAAAAGCTGGCTTCTTCAAAAATAAACTCACCAGCATGCGTGAAACCTTTTAGTTTGAAAATGGCATTCAAACTCTCATCCCGGTGACGTAAAGGTACAAGAAAGTCTTGACTAGACCACTTGTGTTTCTCTGCATCCTCCAAAATCCACAATCTTGTATCTTTAGACCTATCAACACAAGCTATCCTCCCCTTATAATTTATCAGCACATCTGTATCAATATTCGATGGTATTTTAATCATATGGAACTTCTCAGATCTGACATCAAAGCTCATTAAAGCTGAATAAGGACTTCCATCAATACCGGCTAGGTAATATATGACCCCATCGATGCATCGCCCATAAGTATAATGGTAAGCGCGGTGCTTATGATTTGTCTTGACCGTTCTCCATGATGATTCTTGAGCTGATCCTAATGTTAAAACTCGGCATACGTACGAGACTTTCTTATAGCGAATGCACACAACTTTGTATTTACCTTCGATGGGATCGTATCCTAGAAAGAGTGTTTTATGTTTCCAGCTCTTATGCTTATTGGGATTGGTTAAAGTTAAGAGCTTTCTCATGCTAGGGTTCCAAACTAGGGGATTGCGTGAGTCTTCAAAGCAGATCAAGCCGTGGACAGATTCCATACGAGGAAGGTAACTATAATTTCCTGGGATTTTCATGTGATAACGATCAGTATGTTGCGGAAACGAGGAAACAATTAAATTGTCACCTCTTTTGAAGCAGAGTAGAAGACTCGGCCTTGTTGAGGACCGAGTTTGGAACAATTTGATGAAACATGGATCGGTTGTGACTGATGACCAAAGCTTCGACACGCAACGAAACTTCACAACAGATCTCGCAGGCAGCCGTAAGAGTATCTCTGAGGTAAGATCGAGAGGCAAGGACAAAGTTGATTTCGATTCTTGCTCCATTTTTGGTCAAAACCCTAATTTTCTTATTCTTTCTAACTGAATAGCTATCGACCTTTTCTTATTTATTTATATACATGTCACATGCCTAGGTTTTTTTTCTTACTTATTTTTTATTTTCATTTTTTTTTTAATTGACGGCTATTAAAATATGTACACTAAAACGGAGAGATCTTACTCACCAAAAAAAAAAAAAAAAAACGGAGAGATCTCATGAGATTATCACACAATCAAGCTGATGGATTTCTTCTGTAGTATTACAGTTGCAATCCATTGGCCAAAGTCCAGAGGGAAAGAAGACTATAAATAAAGTAATCAGAGCGACCAAAAAGGTTGACACATTTTATCTCTCTGTTCTAGTGTTCTGTATAGTACGGAGTTGCACGAAGTATGTGACATGAAGGGTTTTTTTCTTTTTTTTTCTATTGAACTTCAGAGCTACTTTGGCCTGTGTCTTGACTATCACAATCCTTTAACTTAGAAATAACCGTAGAAGCACAACTCTTTGTCAATGGTTCTTCTTTCATCGGTTTACACTGATTATGTTCTCATCAATCTCTTCCTTCTTTATTGAAGATTCTGTAAAGATTGTACGTTGTAGAAAGGGATCCTCTCCAGGTCATCAATGTCGCCAACTCTGATCAGCAACATCGATTCACGCTGTTGAACATAAGCCTCCGCTTCTCCTTCTTTGAAACCATCGCTAATTTTCTGAAGATATAATATTTTGCATTTGCTTTAAGGTGTTTCTTGTGTGTTAAGTCAATGCAAATGACATGCCGTCTTGGCTACTATTTTTTCGCTGTAGTTGAGGCATCTTGTTTTACACATCACTACCAGCCTTTACTCAAATTAAAAAGAGAAGCATCTTGTTAATTTTATCCTTTGTTTAGCTCTTGTTCTTCAAAGTTGCAACAGCTTTGACGCAGAAGATAACTATATTCTGGCGGTTCTAACCGAGGACATTGATCCACATTTTTTTTACCAAAACCCTTCAGACGTTTAGGACCAACCTGTAGAAAAATACTATGTTTCTATGTGTTTGAATCTTGCTATTAACTGGCTCAATGGTTTGCTTGAAGCTCTTACTAAAAAAGGACTTAATTTCTCATGGTAGAATGAATAAGAACGATGCGTCTCTCCGATCTCTATAACTGATCATGCCTTCTCTATTTATGAACACTGGGATAGTCATTTCAACGAAGAACCATTCTAGTGTAATCAAGGACCATATAGTGGTTAGCTACGAAAATGCATTTAATGAGACTTCTAGTGGTAAGATTTTGCGTCCTCTTCTCTCTTAAACTTCAAATAAGGTATATGCGTAATGTTCCAAGCTTATGTATTTATAACTTTTTTACTTTAAAATTACAAAGAACTGGTGATGAAACGGGATAGAATCAAAGTAAGGAATGAGAAAGTTATAGGGGGAAAAAAACATCATAACGTTGCATAAGTGAAGAACCATTCTATTGAAAAAAAAAAAAAAAAACAAAAACAAAACACAACCAATTACTACAAAGAGATTAGACTCTCAATGTGATTCGGGAACGCACGGAGCCAAAACTTATAACCAACTCTAACTCCTTCAAACTCGAACCTTCTAAAGCTGTTTCTCACCGTATCACAAGATAATATATATTTATTTTTTTGAGAAACCGGTTCTTCAAAAATAAACTCACCAGCATGCGTGAAACCTTTTAGCTTGAAATCAGTTGCCAAACTCTCATCCAGGTGACGTAAAGGTACAAGAAAGTCTTGACTAGACCACTTGTGTTTCTCTGCATCCTCCAAAATCCACAATCTTTTTTTATTATCATCGTCAACACAAGCTAACCTCCCCTTATAGTTTATCAGCACATACTCATCAATCTCCGATGGTAATTTTATCATATCGAACTTCTCAGATCTGACATCAAAGCTCATTAAAAAACAATCGGAATGATCACGGGCTAGATAATATATCACCCCATTGATGCATTTCCCACAAGTATAATTGCGAGCACGGTGCCTCTGGTTAGTCTTGACCATTCTCCATGATGATTCTTGAGCTGATCCCAATGTTAAAACTTGGCATACATATGAAACTTTATAACCGCGAATGCACAAAACTTTTGTGTTTACCTTCAACGGGATCGTATCCTAAAAAGAAACTTCCAAATTCCCAGCTGTTATGGAGATGGGGTAACTTCAAGAACTTTCTCATGCTAGGGTTCCAAACTATGGGATTTTTCTCCTGAAAGCAGATCAAGCCGTGGACAGATTCCATAGGAGGCAGGTAACTATATTTTCCTTTGATTTTCATATGATAACGATCAATGGGAAGAGAAGAAGAGTAAGCCTCGTTCGATTCCATAGTATTTTGCGGAATCGAGGAAACAAGCAAATCGTCACCTCTATTTAAGCAAAGTAGAAGAGTCGGCTTTGTTGAGGACCGAGTATTGAACAAGTTGATGAAATATGGTTCGGTGGTGATTGATGACCAAAGCTTTGAAACACAACGAAACCTCACAATAGATTTCACAGGCAGCCTTAAGAGTATATCTGAGGTTAGATCGACAGGAAAGGACGAAGCTGATTTCGATTGTTTTCTTCTTGTTCTTCGGCTTCTGTTGCCTTTTCGTTTCCTCTTTTCTTGGTGCCCCATCTTTGATTAAACCCTAATGAAGCTGTTCAAGGCCGTGGTGCTATATATATCGACCTTTTATTCTCACAAATTTAAAATTAAAAAGGAAAGAATAAAAGGTAAACACATGCATGTAAGCTGTTTTTAACTTTTTTTTGTTTATATGTCTCGACTCTACCAATGAAAGCTGTCTTACCAATTTGTGTCATAAGTTTGTTGAGTATTTTCCTTGGTTTTCAGCTATACAGAAGATAGGAGTAAAGTAGTAAAGTATGAGTTTACAAATTTTTTTATTCACAGTATTTGCATTCAAACATCGCCAAGTAAGAGGATTGTAATTAATAGAGCAAAAACATTTACACATTCTAGTGAACAAGGCTTTCTAACATTTACGGGAAAATAAAATCAACAAGCCAAAACAACTGCGTTGTGTCGTCAAAAATGCAAAAGAGTTATAGTTGAAGCCACATAATATACGTCCTTGATGTGTTTTTTATTTTGTTCGACTGGTCTTTAAACAAATTGTAATAACCGATATGGGTAGGATTACAAAGAACTAGTAATAAAAGACGATATAATTAAAGTAAGGGAATGAAAAAATACTAAAAAGAAAGAAAAACATATTTGTGTGGGAAGTCTGTCGGTTGGGTCTAGGCCCAATTGGTTTACTTGATAATTAGAAATGCATGCGGCCTGATTACCCCCTAGCATTAGTCGGAAGGCACTCCAAACTCGGGATAGGCGGTGTGGTAGTCCTTAGCTACGATGCACGGAAGCGCCGATGAACACACGGATCCCGCTCCGGAACCGGAATCGCGAGGAACCGGAATCGCGAGGAACCGGAATCATTAAGCAATCATGATTCGGGAAATATGGAGTTTGGGTACGCAGTGGAACCGCACGAACCGGAGTTGGAAGCGAGATCTTGGTAAATTGGAAGCGTTGAATCAGTTTTCTAAAACCATAAAACCAGATCGAATAATAGATTTGGAGAAGATGAAGTGTCACGTGTTCTTTAGTTTTGCGTTTTTAGTTCTTCTTCTTTAATTATGGCCCATTTGTTCTCAGATTTGTTTAATTATTTTTTTTTTGCTTGGATTTTTTAATAGACTTTAAATGTTTCTAATATTATAAAATCTAATTAGAAAATCCTTTAACAAACACATAATTAGTAATTACCTATTGAATTCAAAGAAAAAAAATATGAAACAGATATTAGATTACAATATTTAAACTACTGGATTTTGTAGAATAAACTTTAAAACATTTTCTTGAAAATATGATTATATGTTTGGTGTTGTGATATATAAATATATATATCTATGTATATATAATATAGTATATATATATACTTCCAATACGTACCCGCTTCCTAAATTTTTAGAAAAACTCGCTTCTCCGTTTCCAAACGCTTCCGCTTCCGTGTACCCGCTTCCGATTCCATGCAGCATAGGTCCTTAGGATGAGTCCACTTTGTAGTACCTTGGTGCATTCCTACCGGGGCTAACCGGAAGCCGATAGGATCTATCAAAAAAAAAAAAAAGAAAGAAAACCATATAGTTGCATATTACAAAGACAATAGACTATCAATGTGATTTGGGATAGCATGGAAAGGATTGGGATCAGCCGTTCCATCTCCAGCTATATGATCGGGCCAAGATTCGCCCCCGCCGCCGTCTGCCAATCCTTTAAAGTTGAATCTTCTAGAGCTGTTTCTCACCGGATCAAAAAACAAAATGTAATTCCATCTATGAAACGTGTCTGGTACATAAATAAACTCACCAGCGGGAGTAACACCTCTTAGTTTGAATTCGGTCCTCAAACTCCGACCAAAAGGTGAAAGAAAGTCTTGACTCGACCATTTTTTTTTCTCAGCATCCTCCAAAATCCACAATCTTCCATTGTTATCAGTACAAGCTAACGTCCCCTCATAATTTATCAGCACACCGTTATATATACGAAATGGTAGTTCTATCATATCGAACTTTTCTGATCTGACATCAAAGCTCATTATAACAAACTTAAACCAACCAGCTTACAAGTGCGGGCTATATAATATATCACCCCACTGATGCATCGCCCATAAGAATAAGAGCCAGCACGATGGTTATGATACGTTTTGACCGTCCTCCATGATTCTTGCGCTGATCCCAGTGTTAAAACTCGGCATTCGTAGGAAACCTTTTTATGGCGAACGCACACAACTTTGTGTTTACCTTCTATCGGATCGTAACCTAGAAAGAGTATTGTTTTTTTCCCAGCACTTATCGTTAGTGGGAATGGGATTGGGATTGGGTAAAGGTAAAAAACTTCTCATGCTAGGGTTCCAAACTAAGGGATTTGGTGAGGATTCTATAGGTTTCCAAACTAAGGGATTTGGTGAGGATTCAACGCATATCAAGCCTTGGACAGATTCCGTCAGATGATGAAAACCATATCCTGGGACTTTCATATGATAACGATCAATAGGCAGAGGAGGAGAGTAAGCCTTGTTCGAAATTAGAGTATGTTGCGGAATCGAGGAAACAAACAAATCGTCACCATTTCTCAAGCAAAGGAGAAGAGTCGGCCGTGTGCACACCGAGTATTGAACAAGTTGATGAAATATGGATCGGTGATGATTGATGACCAAATCTTCGAAACGCAACGAAACCTCACAATAGATTTCTCAGGCAGCCTAGAGAGTATCTCTCTGGTTAGATCGAGAGGTAAGGACGAATTTGATTTCGATTGTCTTCTTCTCTTGCATTTTCGCTTCTTCTTTTCTTCTTGAGCCATATTTTGGTCAAAACCCTAATTTTGTTTAGGCTGCGTTGCTGTCGACCTTTCTGATCATTAAACCAAATTACAAGTTCTAATTTAGTTTTCGAAGAACATTGTTTAAACAAAATTAAACGGTCAAATCACTTCCCCGGCAAGGAGTTTCCTCTGCATTAAACTAAACGGTTTTATGCTTGTTTATAAGTTTTACAATAAGTCAGTTTGCATTTAGACCATTTTCTAATTCCAGGAGTTTCTACCACCGTTCTCGCCACTTCCTAACACTTACGGAAACAAAGCAACAAAAAAAGAACTGATAATGAAACGGAACAGAATCAAAGCAAAAAAAATGAGAAAGTTATAAGAAAAAAATCATAAAATATTAAATGTCATTCTAAAAGAAAAAAAACAAACAAAAGGAAAAAAGAAAGCAACAAATTGTTACAAAGACATTTGACTCTCAACGTGATTCGGGAAAGTATGGAGCGCATACCACTGGCCGTTTTGAACTCCCTTATTAAGATGAGATTCGTCCTGTACCATTCCTTTTAACTCAAATCTTCTACAGCTGTTTCTCACCGGATCATAAAGTAAAATATAATACGATCTATGAAACGTGGATGGGACAAAAATAAACTCACCAGCATGAGTGAAACCTTTTAGTGTGAAAATGGCATTCAAACTCTTATCATAGTGATCGAAAGGTAAAAGAAAGTCTTGAGTCGTCCAATTGTGATTCTCTGCATCTTCCAAAATCCACAGTCTCTTACCATTTTCTTTATCAATACAAGCTAACCTCCCATCGTAATTTATTAGCCTATCCCTATAAATATCGGATGGTAAATCTATCATACCGAATTTTTCTAATCTGACATCAAACCTCATTATAACCCAAACACCCTTCTTATATATATCGGCCACATAATATATAACCCCCTTGATGCATCGCCCGGAACTATGATAGGACGAACGATGCTTATGGTTAGTTTTAACCGTTCTCCATGATTCTTGAGCTGATCCCAATGTTAAAACTCGGCACACATCGGTAGTTCTTCTTATAGGAATGCACATTACTTTGTGTTTGCCTTCGATTGGATCATATCCCAAAAAACGGATATACGCTCCCAGCTCTTTCTTGGTTTTGGCAAGGTTAAGAACTGTCTCTTGTTAGGGTTCCAAACTATTGGCGTTACTGATCCTTGAAAGCAGATCAAGCCGTGGACAGTTTCCGTAGGGGGCAACAAGTAACTAAATTCTTCTTGGAGTTTCATATGATAACGATCAGTCGGCTGAGAAGATGGATAAGAATTTTCTGATGATTTTGGATGAAGACTGTGAGTATGTTGCGGAATCGAGGAAACAAACAAATTGTCATCTTTTCTGAAGCAGACTAGAAGACTCGGGTGTGGGGACCTAACTCTGAACAAATTGATGAAATATGGATCAGTTGTGATTGATAACCAAAGCTTGGAAACGCAGCGAAACCTCCCAACAGATTTCTCTGGCAGCCTTAAGAGTATCTCTGAGATCAGATCGAGAGAAAAGGATTTTGCTAGTGTTATTCTTCTTCCTCTCTTGCCTTTTTGCTTCTTCTTTTCTTGTAGCTCCATCTTTGGCCAAGACCCTAATTAATTTCTTCAGGCTGCGTTATATATACACGTCAAATGGTCTAGGGTTTTTGTTTTTTTTTTGTTTTTAATTTACAGGAGGTTTTGGCCTAGACCCTACATCCCTCAGCGACCACCGTTTGCATAAGTTTTTCACTTATTGGCAACTTTTAAAATATGTAAATGAATAAAAAAATATATTCAAGGTAGTTTCCAATTATCGAAGAGCGAAAAGGTGTAGGTTATATGAAATTTGGTAGAATTAAGGGAGTCATGTGGATGTGGGGCAAATCGTTTAGTTATGAGCTGATAGAAGATTCATATGAGAACGAGAGATGATTACTTTTGAAATATTACTAAGTTAAAACTTATAGTATTTGCATTAGAATAGTTCAAACATGTAAACTTACTTAGCTAGCCATCTCAAGACTATAGTTACATGTATTAAATTTTCATGTTGGGAATAGTATCAGCTAAAAGAAAAATGGTTATAGATCCATCAGAAGAATATGACCCTTTGACTTTACATTCAGTATCAGATATAAAAGGGTAAAAAAAAAGCGTTTGATTTTCCTTACAGCCTAGGTGCCCATAAGACACGAAGAATGCTGAAACAAAATACAAATAGCTGCTGGTTAAATTTAATTGTTTTCTGCCAAACAGGAAAAGCCTTATTCCACTGGATTTGAGGAATTCTCATGACACGGCTCTGGACACATAGATCTTCACACAATTCACACACCCAAACAGAAGAGAAAACCTAAACTCAACTCAGTAATGTTCTAACGTTTTTTACACAAAAGATACACTCAGTTAATTAATCGAAATGCAAGGAAGCCTACATGACTGAGTTCCAGTGTGATCTAAGCACTAAGCTTGATTCTAATCGTTTGCTTTGGTGTCATCTGCTAACTAAATAGAAAACATAACCGTGAAGGCAAATAAATCTCTACAGAAGCCTTAAGAGTATAATGTTCTTGCACATAAGCAAGGAGACTCATCATGTTTTGTAGGTTGTTTACTTTCAATCTACAAAGATCAAGCATACTGTAATCAAACGGGATAGACGCAAAGTAAAGACTATTAAAATTTGAAAAAGAACTCATAAAAGTTGCAAAAATCAAGTACATAAAGTCTAGTTAACTTTACATTCGATTCTTCTACAGCAGTTTCTCATCTGGTACATAAATAAACTCACCATCATGAGTGAAACCTTTTAGGTAGAAGCCGGTACTCGAGCTCATATCATTTTCATATAGAGGTGAAACAAAATCTTGAGTCGACCACTTGTGTTTCTCTGCATCCTCCAGAATCCACAATCTTCTATCATTATTATAATTCTCGGTACAAGCTACCCTCCCCTTATAATTTATCAGCTCAATGCCATGAATATCATGAATACCCGATGGTACTTCTATTATATGGAACTGTTCAGATCTGTCATCAAAACTCATTAGATCATAAACCGTACGATTACGACCAATGCCGGCTATATAATATATACCCCCTTAATGCATAGCCCAGAAATAAAAAAGTGAGCAATATGCTCATGTTTTGTTTTGACAGTTCTCCATGATTCTTGAGCTGATCCCAATGTTAAAACTTGAAACTCATCACAAAATATAAGTGTAGACATCCACACTACTTTGTGTTTACCTTCGATTGGATCGTATCCTAAGAACACTTTTACATCATCTTCAAGATAATCCACGCTCTTTTCTTGTTTGGGTAAGGTTAAGAACTGTCTCTTGCTTGGGTTCCAAACTATCAGCGTTTCTATGGTGTCTACAAAGCAGATCAAGCCGTGGACAAATTCCGTAGGGTAGCCGAAGTAACTACTGTCTTCTGGGAGTTTCATACGATAACGATCAATCATCAGAGAAGAAGAGTAACACTTGTTGGAACTCGGATGAAGAGAGGGAGTGTGTTGCGGAATCAAGGAAACAACCAAATTGTCACCTTTTCTCAAGTAGTGTAGAAGACTCGGCCGTGGGGACCGTGTTTCCAACAAGTTGATGAAATATGGATCGGTTGTGATTGATGACCAAAGCTTCGACACGCAACGAAACCTTGCCACAGATTTCTCAGGCAGCCGTAAGAGTATCTCTGAGGTAAGATCGACAGGAAGAGACAAAGTTGTTGATTTCGATTGGGGCAGCAGCCTTAGGAGTGTCTTTGAGATAAGATCGACAAGAAAAGACAAAGTTGATTTCGATTGGGGCAGCAGCCTTAAGAGTGTCTCTGTGATAAGATGGACAAGAGAAGACAAAGTTGATTTTGATTGTTGCTCCATCTTTGGTCAAAAACCTAAACTATTCACGCTCCGTTGCTACTTGTTATAGACCTTTTTTATTATTAATTTGACATCTAATTTTCTTTTTCAAGGAAAATATAAAAATGAAAAATATCTAAATGGGGAAAAAGGTAAAAAAAACCAGTTCGAGAAAGTTAATAAGAAAAAATCACAAAGTTCCATATATTAAGGGGGCTATTGGGAGTATAATTTATGTGGATTTTAAAAGTTAAGAGAATTGTTAAATTTATAAAGAGTTTTTGTTTGATTTGGAAAGATTATGTAAAAATTTAGAAAATCAATCAAAATATTTGATTGTAAGTGACTACGAGGTAGTTGCGCGGGTATGAGTTGTTTTTGAAAATAAAAATATCTATAAGCAAAAACTAATATTTTTCATAATTTAAACGTTACAATAATTTTTCTAAAAAACTGAAATAACAGAAAACTATCAATGGTTATTAAAATAATTTAAATATTCAAATCATACCAAATGTTTATAAAACTTCATTATATTAATTGACTTAATTTACTTTCAGATAAATATATCTAGCACTAAGTTTGCTTGATGAAGAAGATGGTCTAATGAGTTTTTTTAATGATTATTTTCCTTTATTTTTTGTTATATTATTCTCAATTTTATTTATCGTATTTGATATGTTTTATTTATATTATTGGATAAAATATCATAATTTTAAAATTTATAATTTAATACGCAAGGTTTTTATTTAATGATATGATTTGAACAAAAGATTAAAAATTAAGTTGTTTTGCTATTTCTCTTTTCATTAGAATTTTCAAGAACTAAGGATTTAAAAAACGCACAAAAAACTAAACCCTACTCCCACCAATATAAACCCTACATTCTAAACCCTAACCCTACAATAAACACCTCACCCTCTCCCATCAGTACATACACCATAACCACATAATAGACAAATGTTTTTTATTTGAATTAAATATTTTTGCTTAATTTGGTGTAATTGTTGTTGTTGCACAAAATTTCATATGAATTTTAAGAATTCAAATGTTATTATTTAATCGATATGATTTGAACAAAAGATTAAACAATTTAGTTGTTTTCCTATTTCGTTTTTCATTAGAATTTTCAAGAACTACAGATTTAAAAAGTGCACAAAAAACTAAACCCACACCCACCAATATAAACCCTACAATAACCCCACAAAAAATGGAGCCTTGTGCACCTTGTGGTCCCGCACTTTGTGCGAGTACAAAGATTTTAATAATATAAGTAGTAGAATTTATGATTGTATTCATCGTTTCTGTTTTCGCCGACTTTTATTTTTCTAATCTTAATGTGTTTTACTTTTGTCTTTTTTTTAATCTTCTTCATTTGCTTATAGAGATACAAAAGATTTTTCACTTCTTGTTTTCTTCTCCCTATTATTCTTCTCCAATTATTCAATTTTCTTATTTTCTTCAATTTTGTATTCGTTCTCATTATGTTTTTCTTCTTCTTATTTTTCCAATTGTTGTTTTTCAATATTTTCTTGTGATGTCTTTATATTCTCTAACTCACTATTTTTATTGTTATTTTCTAATTTTCTTTACATTCTTTTTCCGGTTTTTCTTCTTCCTCATTCCCCTCTCTCTCGTACCACATCATATTATTCTAGTTTTTATTGATCTCTTCTTTGTCTTTTTTTTTCTCTTCACATTCCATCTTTTCTTCTTTGATTTTTATTTCCTCATGTTCGAGTTTTCTTTTCTTCTCCAAATTTCCATCTTTTTTTTCACCGTCTTCTTTTCTTTTACTCAGTGTTATTATTCGTTCTTTTATACGTCTTGTATTTCACCTATCACTTCATTCGATAGTTTAGATTTTCAAAGATTTGTAAAATAGTTTTTATCATTAGATAGTCGAGATCTTTTAAAAATCTATTGGTTTTGTTATTTTTTATTCTGAATTTGTTTTAATTATTTTAGTTTTTTCTATTTGTGAATGTAATTTAGAAATGTAGTATATAATAATTCAAAATTTTAAGAATGCACCAAAAACTAAACCCTACATCATCCTATATAAACCCTAAACCTGAAACCCAAATCCCACAGTGTAACACCCCCCTCCCCCTCCCACCACACCCTATAATATAAACCCTAACCCCAAACAATACACAATAACCACATGATCGAACACTCAAACCACCATAACCATAAAAAATTGGCAATGTTATTTAACATTAACGATTTGTTAAACCACTTTTGCTCTTTTATATCAACTATCTATAATAATACATTTTGGCACCTAACATAGATTTCTTTTGCTTCTCCTTAACATCTTTCTTTTCTTTATATTTTTCTCTAACCTCTTTTTCGTGTTCTTCTCACATTATATGTCTATATAATTTACATATATATTGAATTTTATAGATTAGTAAGATGATTTGATATTAGTTTTGATTTTTGTAAATTACAATGACTGTTGGTTTTGGCTCGACTATTGTTTAAGTCTTTGACCAGGCATTGATGATATGAGGGGATGTGTGAGTGCACTCTTCTCAAATTTTAATATTGACCATCACTACTTAACTATTAGGGTTGATGTTGAAGAAATATTTATCCGTTTCAAAGTATGGTAAAAGAGTTATGTTAGATCCAGTCTGTTGACAACATTGGCTATGGTGGTAGGGAGTTGTTTTGCTCTTTCTAACTTCAGAGGGACTTGACGACACTAAATTATTTGTAACTTAAAGTTAGAGCTGAATTCTTGTCTAGACTGTTACAGTGGCTCATTTAAGCCTTATCCTTGATATAGGCAAGAAATCTTACCGGGCAAGTAAAGAAGAAGAAAAGGCTGCAGCAAGTGTAAAAACAACATATTTAATAGCATTGGTGCAGCCTAAAAACAGAGCTACCTGATCTAAAGCAGAAACAAACAAAACCTTAATTCAACGGGAAGGTTCGTCTCCTCTCTCATATAATCCACGCCACCGAGAGACATGCTACCTTTGGGCTTTGGCATCTACTATACTACGATCTAATTTACTGGAGTGACTTTGATTCCAAAATGAAACAACGATCATTCTTAGAGACACCGACTCTAATCCAAGTTCCGTTTATATCTAAGGAGTGATACATGTTATGTTATTCTTTCAGCTATTGGGTTTGGAGAGCTTTGGCTATGGAGATTATGGGTCTTGGCATTTACTGTTTTTTTGTTTTGTTTCGAGCTCCTTTAAATTAGCAGCTCTCTTGTTTCCTTGTTCAGATTTGGCTGCGAATTATATTGTTGAGGCCATCGGCTGAGTTTTTCTTCTCCAACATCATTTGCAGGTATTTGCCTTGTTTTTCTGTCCGCAGTTTCAGTTTTTCTCGAAACTCACTTTAGAATCACTTTCACTGTTTCCACTATTTGCAGCTTCATGAATCCAAAAATCTTAAACACATACATATAAACCAAAGCTATAGGAAACACATTTAGGATATAGAAAAGACATACCTCGAGCTGGTTGTAGTGCTGTTTCGGTACTTTGCCACAGAGCCTCTGCTGCTAATACCTATACCACAACTATTACCATTGTAGTATATATAAAAATTGAGCATCAATAACTGAACGAAAGAGGCAAACATTATTAAGAACCTGAAAATGGTTTTTGACATGATACAGAGTTGTGAGCTTTATCACTGATCACCATCTTTCATCAGCTACCAAGAATCAGAGCCATAACGTACTCAGTTAACAAATTCCATGACCCACACTAAGCAAGGAACATGATTAAGAACTAAAACAGATCAGGTCCAAAACAAATCTCCAAAATACACGAAATATCCATTAGTGTAGATTAACCAAAAATTAAAATTCCAATGGCCTCACCGGAAACTCAAAGGCATACACACATCCCTCCTGCCCATCATAGAGAAAAGTTAAGTCGCAATTATGTGTGGATATGAGGGGATGCTCCAACGTATGTCCAAAAACTGTATGCAGTCTTGTGAACAAACTAAGTTAATGAGACAGCTGACAATACAAATAATTAAATGTCTTATACATACCACTACCAAAACTTCATGCTTGGAGCTAGATTAGGGTTCCTTGGCTTCAGGTATAGCCACTACCAACCCTTTGGAACCATAATCCATACGTTCGAGATTACATGAGAAATATTAAATACTGAAAAGTATCTTAATACCTCAATTTTACATTTAATCAACTAAAACAATGCATACCACGATAGTGGAATCATATCCCATGTCAGTAAGAGTTCTCGCCATGGATTCATGAGTATCCAAGATCAACTTCCTGATAATAATCTTTTGCATCTCATAAGCAAACTTTTATTTAAGAATAAGATAATCAATATGATAAGCAGGGAGACAAACCTTGAATCCCTTGGAGGAGTTGCATGCTAATTCTCTTAACAAAGAAGAGCTCAGGAGGAGGTAATTCCGCGGCTGAGATTTAACGTGGTGGCTCCATTCGAAATTCTGACTTCGCAAATAATAGTATGATGAGAATCTAAGGGTCATAGATACTATTTTGAATGTTTTGTTTTATAAGTTTTTGTTTAAAATCATTTATCAATTCATAGAATCATTCAAATTGCAAACTTTTTAAATATTGAATTTCATATGAATTTTAAAAGTCATAACAATGTGTTTTAATAAGAATGTCAAAATCTATTAACCAATAACAACAAATTTTGAAATTTTAACAATCATCACAAATTATACTTCCAATAACTCTCTAGTGTTATTTATAACCCCCCTGCTCCCAAAAATCATCAATGGTGGTTGTTTGGAAAAAAATGATTTTGTGGTATTTTTGTGATAACAATTGTGGTTGTTTTGGGAAAAAAAGGTATTTAATGGTATTTTCTGAAAATTAGTTTTGTGTTATTTTTGTGGTATTTTTGTAAAAAAAAAATTAGTTTTGTGGTATTTTTGGAAATTAATTTTTGTATTTTTAGAGAAATCTATCCAAATAATTGGTCACCCTAATTTTCGTAATCTATACTCGATTACTCGTCGGCTCCATCGTCCTTTGGCTTCTTCTTCCAGCGAGATTGAGTTCAGGTACGGGAAAGCTAAAATCCATCTAACTTAGTTACGTTTCTGCGCTTAATCTATGCTTACAACACTTAAATTTGGAAATTTTCATTCCGAATCTTTTAAGTTTTGATTTGAGATCTCAGGCTTAAACACTATGGAGATTGAGAGTCACGATTCAGTCCCTGAGAAGAATCTGGTTGAAGTCGCATTCCGGCTAGGGACAGAGAGCTACACCATTGATGCAAACAGAGGCGATTCTGTCTTGGACCAATTGGTTTCGATGAAAGAAGAAAGTATGAGAATACTGAAGGAGTTTATTACAAAGCATAATGTTCCAGATCATGTCCCCGACGAAACCTTGTCTGGTGAAGAGAGTGATGAGGATGCTTCTTCGCTTGAAAAATGTCTTGTGAAGCCGAAGAAGACGAAGATTTGATGGCTTTCCTTTTGAAAAAAACTTGTTTCATTTTATCACTTGCTGGCTTTGTTTTAGTTCCATGGATGATGTTGCATGTGTTATTAGCTCTTGAATTGATATACAATCAATAGGTCGATCTTGAACCTTTGTCAAATTTGTCTTTTTTATGCAACAGTTTTGCTTATCTATGAAGAAGTTGTGTTTTTAGGGTAAGTGTTTGTGTTCATGTCTGTTAGATTGATTCATGAACTATAATTGCTTCTTCTTCCATGGATGTTGCATATGTTAGGTGGTGATATGATTTACAGCAAGTAGTACTGTAGTAGTAGAACTTTGTCAAATTTGCTGTTTTGTGGAACAGTTCAGTTTTATCAAAGTAGAGTAAGAGAATAGTGGAAGAGATGTTCAAATTTTTGCATTTGCTTATGCCAAGTCCAATATAGAAATGGTGTGAGTATGCGAAATGAAAACAATTTTTTTTATACAGAATTCAATGTCTGTAACAATAGTAACCTCACTAGCTGAAATGAAAAAATCACAGACAAAACAAATTCTGGATCAGAATCATTTTATATCCTTCTTCACCACTGTATTTTAACTCAACAAAGTGAAAACATCTCGAACAACCAAAAAGACATCTGGGCAAGCACTCTTAGCTTCTGAAGAAATGCTCATCAGTCATCACTCTAGCTTCTCGAGTTCTGACATCCTTTCAATGATCGCCTGCAAGTTGGAAAATTTGTTCCAAACAGTTAAAAAAAGTTGAGTTCTTGAATGAGAGAGAGCATGTGTGACACAATTCAGTGAAAGAGAAGAGCTTGAAACAACAAAAAATCCAAACCCTTTTGCTTGTTTCTTGAAGCTCCCCAGCAAGAATAAACTCATCGAGAATCAAGTACACCTATTAATCCAAGCCAAAGGGAATAATTAGTAGCAATCATATGAGTATAAACAAAGATCAAATACAAGAAACACAGTAGCATCTACATAAACAGCAGAAAGACAAAGCCATATCACAAGTCAAAAACCATATTTTAAGGAATAAGAAGAAACAAAGAGTTGTTTTTGGTTCGGTACCTTGTGGAAATTAAACACCAAATCAAGCTCACAGACATTGCTGAAGAAATGATCCAATATCTCCACAAACAGATGGATACTCTCGAGGTAAGCTAACTCGTTGTCCGTTATATCGACGCACACGGAGAAGAACAATCCAGCGTAGCGCCTGTATATCACCTTATGTGTTCTAAACTGAAAACAAAAATGGTTGCAGAACAACAAATTAAGGTTATGGACTTCTCTATAAAGATTACTGATACCATATAATAACAAGAAATGAAGACTAAGAAACTCAAAAATCAATGCTTTGGTCTACATTTCCAATTTGACCCAATTGAGGAGAATTTTCAGTTTTTAACAAAGGCAACGTTTTTTCAAATCGGTTAAAATAATGCAATTGCCTATACTTAAGAACCCTAGTCTCGTTTATGGATCTGGAAGAGTGAAAATTTAGGAAATGAAACCAACAGACCTCAACGAAGTTGGTGAATTTGGCGTCGCGATTCACCACTAACCTATGGACCTCGTATTCGACCTTGTGTTTCTCTGATTCCTCGAGAGGAACGTAGTACTTGGCAAGACGAGTCTTCCCTTGTCTGTTCTGCAGTAATATGAATCGGATCTGCAAACAGAGACCAGAAATTGAGAGAGAGAGAGGGATCAAAATTGAGAATCAGGCATCAAAAAGGAAGCTAATTGGGTAAAGAGACGAAGCAGTAACCATTTTCTCTGGAGAATTTAGGAGCAATCGGAATAGAAGTAACCCTTTTTAGCCCGATTCCTTCGACTCTGCTCAACTTTAGTTTTTCTTTTGTTAAAGATCGCGATTTGATATCTCACGGTGGCGAAATAGACCTCCGAACAAAAAAAAATTTCAAAACTGCCGATTGGTTCTTATCACCCAAACCGAAATGGGAACCGAATTTCCTAAAACTCGGTTCGATTGTATACGGTTCTTTTCTATAAAGTGTTATGTCTCAAAAGTCAAAACACACCTTCATAATTGTGTATTTGAGTGATGAATTTGGATATCTAGGAGTGTACTTGTGCTTCATCATCAAACCTTTCATATTAGTGTTCTACTTTTACAACACAAAAAAAAAGGATACATGAGCGTAATAATGGAGATTAAATGGAATAGAGTGTGTGCGTACAACAAATATTGACGGGTATTGCCAAGGATGAAGTGTTTCTCGTTTGGTTAATTTTTTTTATAAGAATTATAAATTTCTCGTACATCAGCTTGTTTTCTTGGTTTCTTTATAGTAATGCAATGAAATCTCTCTAATAAGGTAAACACCAAACCGTGTGCGTGAATGTGAGTAGTAATTGTGATGTGTGCGAAGTTTTGACATTAAGATCAGCTCAAGAAACCTGGAGAAGGGTCGAAACAAATCAAAAGCATCGTAATTCCATACATCATATATACTTATGGGAGATGCATCAAGGGGTTTATATATATATTATATAGTTTTGGGTATTATTAAAATATTTTTGATTGTACGTACAATCTACGTATTACTTTCTATTTTGGTTTTGGATGATCATATAATTTTTCCTCTACTTTTTAACAAAGGTTGTTAGCAATGAAACAGATCGATGGTCATTTACAATATCAAAAAGTTAACTTTGAGAACAAAACAATAATATTGACATATAACAGTTTGCATAATACCAATTTAGAATATATTTATTAAATATCAAGTTTAGACATTATATTGCAAATATCAAACTCCACAAGAATTTCCTCCTGGACCACCATAACTAAAAAAGAAACCCAACTTTGCACTATAAAATGGAATGCTTTTACCAATTTTTAATCCGTAACATTTGGTACTATCTATCAATTTCTCTATAGGATAAGAGTCGATCTTAAACTTTTTAAATTCAGAACTTAATACTTCAACATTTGCAAAAAGTGCTGATTCCTGAAGGTTTCCAGACGGAAATTTACCATTACCCATTGGAGGACTTAAACCAGAAGGTGAAGCCTGAACAACACCTCCAACTCCAGCCATATTTCCACCCTCATCTAAAAGATCAAACAGTTCTTTTGGCCAATAACCAATATCTACATCAGGAGCCGAATTTTGTGTAATCCACCAATTTCCTGTTTTTGAATCCTTTTTGTGTATATTAAGATTTTAAACAAAAATCCTTTGTTAGGAAAAAATAACAATAAAGAAATTACTATTCTGATTCTATAAATAATTAATCATAAATCTTTCACAAACTAGGTGAGAATGATGTAAAGAAAAAACTTGCATAAAAGCTAAAAAAAAGAATAAAAACTGTTACTGAAAATGAAAGTCGAAAGAAGTACGGTTGTATATTATAAGATTAGGAAAAATACCTGATGGATGGAGCAATGCAGCCAAGCAGGTTTCCCTGTCTGAAGGTCAATTGGTTCGGCTAATGGAACTAATCGCGATACTTGAACAAATCCTGGACATGCTGTATTGTAACATCCTTTTCCACCTTTACCCTATAAAATCATATTTAATAAGTATTAACATGTTTTATAATTTAAAAATATCAGCATATATATATATATTGTATGCACAATTTTAAATGTATAAATTATTTGCACACCTTCCAAAATCCGTATGACCAAACACGTATATCACCAAAGCTTCCTGGATTTATCTGTTAAAAACACTCGCAATACTTTAAATACTATCCATAATATCAATTGGATTAAGGAAAGAGTAAGAAAATAAATTGTAATCTCTACCATGAACCCCGCTGAGAGAAAATTAACTTTTTCATTAATTCCACTGCCTATATATATTTCACTATATGAGGCTTGATCTTTTCCGACAATGTTTAGATTATATTCACTAAACAAAGCTTTTACACCACGAAAAGGACCACTCTGCGCCCTTACTCCAGCAATCTATAATGACACACATATATATATATACATGTTACATTGGTTAATACTTCAAATATACATATAAGTCATTAATAGACTTAAAGTATTAGGAAATGGGTGAATGTTTTACATGTGTTCCAGGTCTATCAGTTGTTAACGGATGAAAATGCTTCTCGGTGAAAAGTCGCTCACTGGTGATAAAGTCTTTTGTATCTCTCAATACAGGAACAGTTCCATATGGACAATTTATTTTCCTTTTATATGTTGTATTGTTGCCAGTATTCTTCTTTACTTCAGGTCTTGAAACTGATGGTTTCATCTTTTCAGAAAATAAATGTATAGTAAAATTTTAAAATCATATATTATATTAAACAAAAAGAAAAAAAAAAGAAGAGTAATGTTGACAAAAAAAAAGTACATATGAGACAAAAAAAGATAAAGGATGCACCTGAATTGTGTGGTTTCTTAGAAGCGGGTGATCAAGTCCCGGTTGCTTATAAATATCTATGCAATCATATATTACATTTTCACTTATCTGCCAAAGAGAAAGGGAAAAACATGAGATATTAAAATAAGCAAGATGATTGTTTTGCTTTAGTTTCATAACAAAAACAAAAAACAAAACCAAGACGATGTTGAACTTAGTCCATTATAGAAAAAGAGCGAGGATGTTGGATTAGTTAAGCAAGTCACAACTATATATGCAAGGTAGGCTTGTGTCTAAAGTTTTTGTTCAAAAAGCTGACCTTGAAAGATTTGAGAGGCTGGTCACTTTGATCAGAATGAACTAAGGCTGCCGAAAACAAAAGATGTAAAAGATTCATAACAAAACCCATACTGACTCCGATAGACATTTTCTTAGTTTTAGTTTTGTTTACTCAAAAACTGAAAACACTCTGTAATTTATATACCTATTAATATTATCAGCCGAGGAGGGAGACAATAAAATTAGCACTACATTTAATATATGTGGTCAACAAAATGAAATCTACAGGTACCGTCTTACCATCATAGCACTACATTTATTTAAGGAAATAGTATTCTAATAAATGAAACATATTTGACTGAATTTATTACGGTCTAGTATATGCAAGAGCAATCAAAAGAGAAGTAACCCTTTTAAAAGAGTCCAAAGTCATGAGTGGAGAGAGCGGAGGCGATTCTAGGGTTTTGGAGAACGTTCACGATGCGATGGTTACGGACGCTGGAGATGGGTCGAGACCGCCAGGGGATCCGCCGGATCCACAAGGGTCATGGGCTATGAAGGTTAGAGGTACGAACGCGGGTGGGATGCCGACGCCGGAGAGTCTGATAGATGATGCATTTGTAGCAGCGAGATTGAATGTGGAATTTCCAGAAGGGGAGGACGGAGAACCGGTGATCACAATCGGGGAAGAGGTGATAAAGGCGATGCATGGAATGTGGAAGCAGTGCATGATTGTCAAGGTGTTGGGGCGTAGCGTGAGTATGCCTGTCTTGAGTCGGAAGCTGAGAGAGTTGTGGAAACCGAAAGGAGCAATGTATGTGATCGATCTGCCTCGGCAGTTTTTCATCATTCGCTTCGAGATGGAGGAGGAGTACTTGGCGGCGCTAACCGGTGGCCCCTGGAAAACGTTTGGGAGCTACTTGATGGTGCAAGCATGGGACCCGGATTTTGATCCGCTTAGACATGATATCACCACAACCCCGGTGTGGGTGAGGCTAACGAACATCCTGGTGACGTTCTATCACAAGGCGATACTAATGGGCATAGCTAGAGGGTTGGGGAAGCCGGTGAAAGTGGATCTCACAACCCTTAACTTTGAGAGGGGTCGGTTTGCAAGAGTGTGTGTGGAAGTTGATCTTGCTAAGCCGCTAAAAGGTACGGTGATGATAAATGGCGATCGATACTTCGTGTCTTATGAAGGACTAGCAAATATCTGCGCTGGATGTGGGATGTATGGGCATATGATTCATAGTTGTCCTCAGAAGACCCGAGAAAATGTCGAACAACAAAGAATGCCGATTGTAGTGGAGAAGACGCCGACCAGAGCAGTGGAGGACGATGGGTTTCAGACAGTTCAGAGTTCCCGGCGGCGAGCGGAGGCTCCGGCAACTCAGGTGATATTCACGGCAGGTACACCCGGCGGTGGAGGAAGAGGAAATCTCCGGGACATCTCAGCAACTAGCTCACAAAGGAATATTCCAATTTCGAATAGATTTGGAGATCTTACGATTGATACGGATCTCCCAGAATCTCGGGGACAAATGGAATCAGAGGAGGCGAATAAGGAGAATGTGGATTCTCAGAATATCCACGGGAGAGAGAAGAGTGTGGGACAAGGCATAATGGGGTCATCGAGCGGGAGTTTTGGAACAAAATCTAATGTGAACGCAACTGGGTCTAAGGCGAAGCGGGCCGGAAAACTGAGAACCAACGCGGCCCATAAACAAATCAGTAAAGGAGGCGTTAATAGGCCCATGCGTGGACTGATCTTTGGCCCGACTAAGGGAGAAGAGGAACGCTTGTCGTCTGGAAAGAGACCGCGAGTGGATCACGGAACTGAAGGAAGATTGACCGATGGATTCGAGAAATCAAGAGTTCACGGCGAAGGACAGATCGGAATGCAGATTGACCTCACGGCGGCGTCACAGGAGAGAGGCCCGAGCGTGGAGGAAGGTGGGAGATCAGGAGAGAAGGCGGAAGTTTCGAATCCGGTGGAGGAGCCACAGGATTCGTCGGCGGCGTAACAGGAGGCCCCGGTAGTTCAGTGGAGACGATATTTTAACAATCTCATGAATTGTATGCTATGGAATTGCCGGGGGGCGAATAAACCCAATTTCCGTCGTTCGATTCGATATATTCTGAAGAAATGGAGAACCGATATCTTGGCGCTCTACGAGACGCATGCTGGAGGAGACAGAGCGGCTACGATATGTCGGGGGTTCAAATTCGAGAACTCATTCAGAGTGGATGCAAGCGGACAGAGTGGGGGGTTATGGCTTTTATGGCGGACGGATGTGGGAGTGGTGACTGTGGTCAAAGGAGACACAATTCATCTATGCTACTATTGTGAAGGATGGTGAAACGATTCACCTAATAGTTGTATACGCGGCACCGTCGGTTAGTCGCATAAGTGGAATCTGGAGCCAGTTGGACGATGTACTACAGAACCTGGATGGCCCTATTATAGTCGGAGGAGACTTTAACACCATAGTACGGTTTGAGGAGAGAACTGGAGGGAATGGGCAGCTGTCTCCAGACTCGTTAGCTTTTGGTGATTGGGCGAATAGTAATGCACTTATTGATATGGGATACATGGGTCCGCAATATACTTGGAAGAGGGGAAGAACGGAGAGGTTCTTTATAGCGAAACGACTGGACAGGGTGTTCTGTAACGCACACGCACGGCTGCGGTGGCAGGAAGCAGTGGTGAAACACTTGCCCTTCCTGTCGTCTGACCACACCCCGTTATACGTCCAACTTGAACCGGGAGTCAGGGGAGACCCAAAGCGACGTCCGTTCAGGTTTGAAGCTGCCTGGCTGAAGCATCCTGGCTTTGGGGACTTAGTGAAGAGTAAGTGGGATGGAGAAGTGGACACACCGCGAGCTCTGGAGAAGAGAGCGGTACTCAGAAGGTGGAATCGAGATGTGTTCGGGGATATACAGAAACGGAAAGAGAGACTGTCCTTGGAGATCGAAGCGGTCCAGAACCTATTAGATATCACACAGACAGATACTCTACTGGAAAGGGAAGAAGGGTTGTTGAAAGACTTAGACGTACTACTGGAACAAGAAGAAACGCTGTGGTACCAGAAGTCCAGAGAGAAATGGATTGCTTTGGGGGATAGAAACACAAAATATTACCACACGTCCACGATTATCAGATGACGGAGGAATCGAGTTGAAATGCTGAAGGATGACGGAAACCAATGGGTCTCACAGGCGGGGGAGCTAGAGAAGATTGCGACGAACTACTATCGCCGTCTCTACTCTATGGATGATGTGGATCCGGAGGTGGAGAAATTGGCACCAGATGGCTTTGTACAACTAACACGGGACGAGCTGACAGAGTTGAATAAGCCATTCCGAGAAACGGATGTGGAGAAGTCCATGAGGAGCATGGGTAAGTACAAGGCGCCGGGCCCGGACGGGTTTCAACCAGTATTTTACCAGGAGAGCTGGGAAGTGGTAAAGGGATAGGTTTCACGCTTCGTCTTAGATTTCTTCAGGAGTGGAATCTTGCGTGCTGGGATTAATGATGTTTTACTGGTCCTCATCTTTAAGGTATTGAAACCGGAGAGAATCACGCAGTTCCGGCCTATAAGTCTGTGCAACGTGTTGTTCAAAACAATTACCAAAACGATGGTGATGCGCCTGAAGAAGGTAATGCCGAAGCTCATTGGACCTGCACAATCAAGTTTCATTCCGGGAAGGCTAAGTATGGACAATATTGTCTTGGTACAAGAGGCAGTACATTCTATGCGTAGAAAGAAGGGTGTAAAAGGTTGGATGCTACTAAAGCTTGATCTGGAGAAAGCTTATGACCGTATAAGGTGGGATTTCTTGGAGGACACACTTCAAGCAGCTCAACTTCCGGAGGCCTGGATCAGTTGGATCATGCAGTGCGTGTCAGGACCGGAAATGAGCGTACTTTGGAATGGAGAACGAACTGAAGCTTTTACTCCTAAACGTGGACTGAGACACGGAGATCCCTTATCTCCATATCTGTTTGTGTTATGTATGGAGCGCCTGTGCCACTTAATCGAGACAGCTGTTGACCAGAAACAATGGAAACCAATTCGGCTATCGCGAGGAGGCCCGGCTTTATCGCCTGTGTACTTCGCTGACGATCTGATATTGTTCGCGGAAGCCTCTGTCACGCAAGTACGGGTGATTAGAAGGATCTTGGAGAAGTTCTGCATCGCCTCAGGCCAGAAAGTAAGTCTAGAGAAGTCTAAAATTTTCTTCTCTGAGAATGTGAGCAGAGAAATGGGAAAGTCGATTAGTTATGAGAGCGGTATTAGCTCCACGCGGGACTTGGGGAAGTACCTTGGAATGCCAGTTCTCCAGAAACGTATCAACAAAGACACATTTGGTGAGGTTTTGGAAAAAGTCTCATCGCGATTAGCCGGATGGAGAGGCCAGATGCTGAGCTTGGCAGGTCGCATTACCCTCACCAAATTTGTCGTCGATTCCGGTTCATACAATGAGTTCTATTGTCCTACTGCAATCTCTAGTATCTCGGCTGGACAAGGTAGCACGAGCCTTCCTTTGGGGGGACACGGAGGAAAAGAGGAGACAACATCTGGTATCCTGGGAGAAAGTTTGTTCACCAAAAGGAGAGGGAGGAGGACTGGGGATACAGAATACACAAGCTATGAATAAGGCTCTTGTGGCAAAACTAGGATGGTGTCTTCTACACGATACAGAATCCCTCTGGGCTAAAGTCCTACGCAGTAAGTATGGTGTAAAGGACGTTCGGGATAATACTTGGTTCAAGAAATCAGGGAATTGGTCGTCCACTTGGCGAAGTATATTACGAGGCATGAGGGAGGTCGTGATCCCCGGTTTAAGTTGGGTAGTTGGAGACGGGCAGAACATTCGTTTCTGGCAGGACAGATGGATCTCACAAATGCCACTAACAGATGAGGCGACGATGGCGATACCTCAATGGCTTGCGAAGGCGTCAGTAAGTGAGTTATGGATTCCGGGAAGTGGCTGGAATATGCCTCAGCTGGAGCCTTATACCAAAGAGGTCACAAGATTGCAGTTGAGAACAGTGGTATTAGACGAGGTTACTGGAGCGAGAGACCGAGTGTCTTGGGGACATACCCAGGATGGAGAGTTCACGGTTAAATCCGCGTATACATTCTTGACCCGAGAGCACACTCCCAAGGCAAGTATGCAGGCTATCTTCACTAAGATCTGGCGCATTCTAGTTCCGGAAAGAACACGGGTCTTCCTGTGGCTCGTAGTGAATCAGTGTATTATGACTAATATGGAGAGACAGAGGAGACATCTGAGTGATACAGGGGTCTGCCAAGTGTGCAAAGGAGGAGAGGAATCCATCATCCATGTCCTCCGAGACTGTCCTGCAATGGCGGGGATTTGGAACCGGATAGTTCCAGCAAGGAAGCGACAAGATTTTTTTGCTACACCGCTCCTTCGTTGGGTCTATGAGAACTTAGTAAACGATGTTGACATGGGTGGATATTCCTGGCCCACTATATTCGCCATGGGTGCATGGTGGGGATGGAAGTGGCGTTGTTGGAACGTGTTTGGGAGTTCTGGAAAATGCAGGGACCGAGTCAAGTTCGTAAAGGATCTAGCTTGTAACGTTACGGTGGCACATAACAAAATCAGAAAACAAGCTGGAATGGTGACTAGGGTCGAACACCAGGTAGCATGGAAACCACCCGCGAGTGGATGGATGAAGATTAATACAGACGGAGCTTCAAGGGGGAACCCGGGTCTAGCTGCGGCTGGTGGCGTTCTACGCGACGAGAATGGTACATGGGTGTGTGGTTTTTCTCTAAACCTTGGCGTTTGCTCGGCCCCTCTTGCTGAGTTATGGGGTGTTTACTATGGTCTTTACACGGCATGGGAACGGAGAGTGCCGAGAGTTGTGGTGGAGGTGGATTCCGCCATAGTTGCTGGTTTTTTCAATACAGGGATTAGCGATGCTCATCCGCTGTCTTTCCTAGTACGTTTGTGCTACGGCTTCTTATCCAGGGACTGGTTAGTCCGAGTTACGCATGTCTACAGAGAGGCAAATCGTGTGGCGGATGGCTTAGCGAATCACGCTTTTTCTTTGCATTCGGGTTTTTCCTTTTTCTCTTCTGCACCAGCTGAAATTTCAGTCTTGTTGTTAGAAGATGCGGATGGCTCTTCACGAGCTCGTTTTGTAAGAACTTAAGTTACTTTAATAACATAAGGGGATCTTTTTCCCCCTTCTCCGACCAAAAAAAAAAAAAAAAGAGAAGTAACCCTTTTTGGCCGATTCCTTCGACTCTGCTCAACTTTTGTTTTTCTTTTGTTACAGATCGCGATTTGATATTTCACGGTGGCGAAATAGACCTCCGAACAAAAAATTTCAAAGCTGCCGATTGGTTCTTTTCCACCTAACCGATTTTCCTAAAACTCGGTTCGATTGTATACGGTTCCTTCCTACCGATTGGCACGGCCTTATTTTAGTCTTTCTTGAGAATTAGAAATTTCATTTATAAAATTATGTTTATGATTTGTTTTGATTGGTTCTTTCGATTTCAATTTTTATGATGAGGCATTAACTTTGTATAACATAAAGAAAAGTCGATGTATAAAATAAGAAGTTAAAGTGTCTTACGTTTTAATGATGGATGAATTAGTGAATACATATAAACAAAATACATATAGTTTGTACCAGGTGAAAATAATTAATTAGTAGATTGTTACCCAGCACCGTAGTAGTAAAATTAGTGCTGGCAAATAAGAGGGCATAAACTCTGTTCCTACTACTTCTTGATGGCAGAAAGTTATTTGCAGCGCTAAGTACTTCTCAGAAACATATTGGGAAAGAGGCAAGACACACACACACACAAACACACATAAGAAAAGCCACTTACTAAAATTTGACACCCCTAGGTACACACATGTAAGTATGTAACGTAAGAAAAGAACACTTATTACTCTTTCCATTTTAATTTAAATATTCTTAAATTAAATAATAAGTATATAAATGTTAAATTAGTGAGAAGAAAAGGTCGATATATAGCAACACAGCCTGAACAAATTAGGGTTTTGACCAAAGATGGGGCACCAAGAAAAGAAAATAAGACAATGAAAATCAACTTTGTCTTTTCCTGTCGATCTAACCAGAGAGATACTCTTACGGCTGCCTGGAAAATCTATTGCGAGGTTTCGTTGCGTTTCGAAGCGTTGGTCATCAACCATCGCTGATCCATATTTCATCAACTCGTTCGAAACTCGGTCCTCAACAAAGCCGAGCCTTCTACTCTGTCTCATAAAAGGTGACGATTTGTTTGTTTCCTCGATTCCGCAAAATACTGTGGATTCGAACGAGGCTTACTCTTCTTCTCTTCCCGTTGATCGTTATCATATGAAACTCCCAGCAAAATATAGTTACTTCCCTCCTATGGAATCCGTCCACGGCTTGATATGCTTTAAAGATTCGCCAGATCCCAAAGTTTGGAACCCTAGCATGAGAAAGTTCTTGACGTTACCAAATCCCAATAACCATAAGAGCTGGAAAAAGCAAACACTCTTTTTAGGATACGATCCCATCGAAGGTAAACACAAAGTGTGTGCATTCGCTATAAAAAGTTTCATACGTATGCCGAGTTTTAACATTGGGATCAGCTCAAGAATCATGGAGAACGGTCAAGACAAATCATAGCACCGCGCTTACGGTTATACTTATGGGCGATGCATCGATGGGGTGATATATTATCTTGCTATTAGTAAGACGTTTGATTTGCTTTTAATGAGCTTTGATGTCAGATCTGAGAAGTTCGATATGATTAAAATTACCATCGGAGATTGATAGCGAAGTGCTGATAAACTATAAGGGGAGGATAGCTTGTGTTGATGATTATAATGATAAAAGATTGTGGATTTTGGAGGATGCAAGAAACACAAGTGGTCTAGTCAAGACTTTCTTGTACCTTTACGTCATGCCAATTTCAAACTAAAAGGTTTCACGCATGCTGGTGAGTTTATTTTTGGAGAAGGCTGGTTTCGAAAATCGTCATATATTTTATCTTGTGATAGAGAAACAGCTTTAGAAGGTTCGAGTTTAAAGGAGTTAGAGTTGGAGACTATTATAGGCTCCGTGCTTTCCCGAATCACATTGAGAGTCTTTTGTCTTTGTAGTGATTTATCATTCCTTACTCTTCTTCTATCCCCTTTCATTACCAGTTTTATTTTTTTGTAATTCTATCCACATCGGCTATTACAATTTGTTTATTTTCTTATGTTGGTTTTCTTTGAAATTAAGTCCTTGAGTAAGAGCTTTGAGCAAACCATTGTGCCAGTTGATAGCAAGATTCAAACACAGTATTTTTCTACAGTTTGGTCCTTAAAAACCGTCGGGTTTTGGTGAAATTGTTGTGGACCAATGCCCTCGGTTAGAACCCTCGGAAGACTCAGCTGATTCGTCAGCTCGGCTTAACTGATTCTCCACTCAAATTTTCACTAAGACCGATCCCAGAAGCAAGTTCACACCTTGTCTTATAAGCACATGTACGCTTTCATCAGCAACACTAGTCGCTGGACATGCTTGTCCTGATGCGTGTTAACATTTAAAAATCATTCTTGTTTCACTGACAACGTTCAGCTCACAATTGTTTGTCTACAAAGAAAACTAGGCTGTACCAAAAATATATTTATCTTCTGTGTCAAAGCTGTTGCAACTTTGAAGAACAAGAACTTTAACATGTGTTGACTTAACACACAAGAAACATTTAAAAGCTAATGCAAATATTATATCTGCAAAAACTAGCGATGGTATCAAGTTGATACTATCAACGAAGGAGAATCGAGAGCCAAGTACCAACTCCGGTAAGAAGTGGTAGTTTGAAACACCTCTTTTCTTTTTTGTTTTTAATCTATTGCTGGTTATCTTTAATCTTCTCTTAAAACTTACTCTTATATTAAAACCTGAACATAAACAAAACCTGCAAGTGCCGTCTTTATGTAGGCAACGTATCGAACTACCTATTTATCCTATAAACTAAAACATAATTAAACAAAAGGAATTAGAAAGTATTTATAAGCTTTTATCAAAAAAAAAAGTATTTATAAGCTGAGTTATCTTCTCAGAGAAAATCAAGACAAAGGAAACAAAACAATAACATAAACGTTGAAAACTTGGATCCAATTCTGTTTTACTGAAAGGTTTGTTCTCTTTTCTTGTTGAACTTGATAACTTCAATGTTTGTTATCTGTCATTGCTTCTTTTTTGTTGAACTAAGATTCAACTTGACATTTTAATTAGTTGTCTTTATGTCATTTTTTTTATGCAGATGGACTCAGTGGCGGATGTATTTTCAAACGTAACTTTCTAATTTTACTTGATTTTGTTAAGAGAATTCAAGGTTTTAGTTACTTATTTAAATTTTGAACAAAAAAAAAAGTTACTTATTTAAATATTTTTCTTGAAACATAAACAATATATTACGTATTTGCATGTCGAAATTTTTATTTTGATATGTATTGTATAAGTGAAATATATACTATCTTTATTAATTTGTTACATATTTTGTTGAAAATAGATTGTTCCATTTTTTCTTTCTAATATGTTAGTAGAATTATCTTTTAATGTCTATCTATAACAGAAAAAACATATTAAAAGCCACGTATCTGAATATTTGCTGAATATTTTCTGAATATTTGCTGAACATTTGCTGAATATTTGCTGAATATTTGCTTAAACATCTATATAATATTAAGCAAAGCTTGTATTATTAAAATAAATCTGAGCATAAGCAAAGTACATTTCAAGAATGTTGTTGTTTGTGATTTGTGAAGACCCAAAGGAAACAAGCCACTTTTACTTCTTGCACGTCGTTCCTTCTGATCCGGTGCTTCACAAACCACAATACTAATCCGATCACCAGGATAAGAAGAAAAGCAAGATAGAGTTTTGTAGAGGTCGCAAATTGAAATACACGTCCATCTGCTTGTAGCAAAAAATATATGACATAAAGACATGGGTTGACGTTAAGTTCAAAGTTCAACAAACAAAAAAAGAAAAAGAAGGAAGAACAGAAAAGAAAACAAACCTTTCAGTTAATTCAATGGAAAACAGGATTGGATCCAACGTGTATGTTATTGTTTTGTTGTCTTCTTGATTTTCTCTGAGTTAACTCTGCTTATAAATACTAAAGTACAATAGCAAAATAGAAAAGTAATAAGTTGGATACATAAGTAGAACACAGCTTTAAGTAGATCTACTTGAAGCTGTGTTCTACTTATGTATCCAACTTCTTACTTTTCTATTTTGGATACATAAGTAGAACACAGCTGTGCTCGATCGATGGCTGTGTTCAAAAAAAAGTTAACTTTGAGAACAAAACAAAAATATTTTTTTGACGTATAACAGTTTGCATAATACCAATTTAGAATATATTTATTAAATATCAAGTTTAGAACATTATATTGCAAATATCAAACTCCACAAGAATTTCCTCCTGGACCACCATAACTAAAAAAGAAACCCAACTTTGCACTATAAAATGGAATGCTTTTACCAATTTTTAATCCGTAACATTTGGTACTATCTATCAATTTCTCTATAGGATAAGAGTCGATCTTAAACTTTTTAAATTCAGAACTTAATACTTCAACATTTGCAAAAAGTGCTGATTCCTGAAGGTTTCCAGACGGAAATTTACCATTACCCATTGGAGGACTTAAACCAGAAGGTGAAGCCTGAACAACACCTCCAACTCCAGCCATATTTCCACCCTCATCTAAAAGATCAAACAGTTCTTTTGGCCAATAACCAATATCTACATCAGGAGCCGAATTTTGTGTAATCCACCAATTTCCTGTTTTTGAATCCTTTTTGTGTATATTAAGATTTTAAACAAAAATCCTTTGTTAGGAAAAAATAACAATAAAGAAATTACTATTCTGATTCTATAAATAATTAATCATAAATCTTTCACAAACTAGGTGAGAATGATGTAAAGAAAAAACTTGCATAAAAGCTAAAAAAAAGAATAAAAACTGTTACTGAAAATGAAAGTCGAAAGAAGTACGGTTGTATATTATAAGATTAGGAAAAATACCTGATGGATGGAGCAATGCAGCCAAGCAGGTTTCCCTGTCTGAAGGTCAATTGGTTCGGCTAATGGAACTAATCGCGATACTTGAACAAATCCTGGACATGCTGTATTGTAACATCCTTTTCCACCTTTACCCTATAAAATCATATTTAATAAGTATTAACATGTTTTATAATTTAAAAATATCAGCATATATATATATATTGTATGCACAATTTTAAATGTATAAATTATTTGCACACCTTCCAAAATCCGTATGACCAAACACGTATATCACCAAAGCTTCCTGGATTTATCTGTTAAAAACACTCGCAATACTTTAAATACTATCCATAATATCAATTGGATTAAGGAAAGAGTAAGAAAATAAATTGTAATCTCTACCATGAACCCCGCTGAGAGAAAATTAACTTTTTCATTAATTCCACTGCCTATATATATTTCACTATATGAGGCTTGATCTTTTCCGACAATGTTTAGATTATATTCACTAAACAAAGCTTTTACACCACGAAAAGGACCACTCTGCGCCCTTACTCCAGCAATCTATAATGACACACATATATATATATACATGTTACATTGGTTAATACTTCAAATATACATATAAGTCATTAATAGACTTAAAGTATTAGGAAATGGGTGAATGTTTTACATGTGTTCCAGGTCTATCAGTTGTTAACGGATGAAAATGCTTCTCGGTGAAAAGTCGCTCACTGGTGATAAAGTCTTTTGTATCTCTCAATACAGGAACAGTTCCATATGGACAATTTATTTTCCTTTTATATGTTGTATTGTTGCCAGTATTCTTCTTTACTTCAGGTCTTGAAACTGATGGTTTCATCTTTTCAGAAAATAAATGTATAGTAAAATTTTAAAATCATATATTATATTAAACAAAAAGAAAAAAAAAAGAAGAGTAATGTTGACAAAAAAAAAGTACATATGAGACAAAAAAAGATAAAGGATGCACCTGAATTGTGTGGTTTCTTAGAAGCGGGTGATCAAGTCCCGGTTGCTTATAAATATCTATGCAATCATATATTACATTTTCACTTATCTGCCAAAGAGAAAGGGAAAAACATGAGATATTAAAATAAGCAAGATGATTGTTTTGCTTTAGTTTCATAACAAAAACAAAAAACAAAACCAAGACGATGTTGAACTTAGTCCATTATAGAAAAAGAGCGAGGATGTTGGATTAGTTAAGCAAGTCACAACTATATATGCAAGGTAGGCTTGTGTCTAAAGTTTTTGTTCAAAAAGCTGACCTTGAAAGATTTGAGAGGCTGGTCACTTTGATCAGAATGAACTAAGGCTGCCGAAAACAAAAGATGTAAAAGATTCATAACAAAACCCATACTGACTCCGATAGACATTTTCTTAGTTGTGTTTACTCAAAAACTGAAAACACCCTGTAATTTATATACCTATTAATATTATCAGCCGAGGAGGGAGACAATAAAATTAGCACTACATTTAATATATGTGGTCAACAAAATGAAATCTGAATTTATTACAGTCTAGTATATGCAAAATTTGGGTTCGCATACTATGATGGAAAGAGGGTATCTCTAGGTTTCATTTTGTTGACCACATAATAGCTTTGTTTTTTCGTCAACACAGTTATTACAACTTACAATTTGGTTGTATAAGCCTTGATTGGTCATTTATCTTTATCTTCGACTTGTGTTACCATAACTAACGATGAAAAAAATGAAACAAAGTCTTATACAATTTATCATATTATAATGTACACAAACAAAAATCGCACCAAGTACATAGAGATACTCATGAAGTATATGTATCAAGTACTAGTAAATGGAGTTAGTGGCGGCCAAAAGAGCAGCGCCGAGACCAGACACGTCTTTAGTATGTTTGATCGCAACGTGACTTGCAAGGCTATGGCCAAGAAGCTCGACTAGAGCATCTTGCATATACCGTCGATACTGAGGGTACTTCTCGTATAGTGCACCGTCCATAGCCACAACGGTTCTTTGACCTGAAGCCATTCTCTTGGTCTCTCTCTCAATCTTCTCAAGAATTGCAACTATACCAGCTCCTGCTAGACGCCCTCCGCGTTTCACTACTGTGTCACACACTTCCACCACTCTCTTCCTCTCCTTCAGATTCGCCTCTACCTGAATTGGACATCTCGGTAGAGTTATTATACAATCCATGGATGTGATTCTTTTCCTTTGAATATATGTTTTAATAACTTACCTCAAAAATGTTGTATAGGATTGTTCCAACACTTAAAAGATCATCTGTATTGTCCTCTTGCATTTTACATAGATCCTCGGTCCTGTACAAAATTATGACCATATTGATTTTCTTGGTTCCGAACAAACCGAAATAGTAACCAAACCAAAGTTGAAACTTAAACCAAAACCGAATCTAGTGTAATTGATACAAACCAAACAAATTTTCTTTAATCTAAAACCAACAACGAAATTTAAACCAAAATTGCATCAAACCAAACTGAACAAGAGTGACTTTACAAATCATTTTCATTTGTTTTCCATATCTACAAAATGAATAACACCAATAAGCCTGAGCCAAAACCAAACCGTAAACCGAATTGCCCCAAACCACAATCAAATGTGGACTTAGAGGAAGATAGTGAGAGACAATACCTGAGTGCAAAAGGAGTGGAGAGTTTGACAGGAATAGATTGTCCAAACAAGTCAGTAGTTTTACACATTTGGAGCAAAACCCTCCTCACAACTTCACCAAGATACATTCCTGAGATCATCTTCTCATATAACTTCATCCACACACAAACCATGAACAACTGTGTAAGAATTGGTGATACACATACAGTAACAAAACAAAATTAAGACAAAAGGATAATGTTCTAATACATGTTCACCAGGATTGATGCTTTCCTCATCTAACTCTTGGTCAAATATGGTTTGCGGAAGAATCTTAGAGAACCCTCCCCACTCTGTGTTTATGATCTAGTTCCAAAACAAAAAACAGTTTAAGCATGGGAACAACGAACGAAACCTACCTTGTAAGCAAATCAATATCAATCATACCGTTGTTCCGGAAGAAGATTTGCTATGAAGTTTAGGAATTTTCTGCTTCTGCTCTACATAACAAGCATTAGTCCCAGTGCCAAGAATCACACCAACCATCACATCCTCGTCCCAATACCTTGCTCCAGCTAATGTCCCCACTCCATCATTTACCTTTGAACACACAAAACATCAAGAATCTTACAATATGCAACAAGAAAAGAGATTCCATTTGAGTAAAAACAAGAAACATACGAGAGCAGAAACTCGCATATCGAGTCCATGTGCTTCCATAGCTTCATTTAAACAAGCAACCACGTTTTTTCCTTCCTGCGAAACAACATTCCAAGGGATTGTATACGTTTACTTCAATGTAGAAACTTGGTGAAAAGAAATATGAACTCACCATTCCAGACACTTTAAACCCTTTAGTCCACTTGATTACTGTCCCTGAAACAATGGAGGTTTGATTCACAGGGAATGAGAAAGTAAATCCTATCTCTCGTTTCTTCCCTGTTTCCAACTGAAACCTTCCTGGCTTCTCCTTTGCAACAAAGTTTGCTAGATTGGAAGCAATGAAACCAAAGAGTTCCTGAAACACATTCAATCCAAACTCCATCCAGTTAAAACGATGAACACTCATTGATATGTTTTAAGAGATTTTGAGTCATTCATTACCTCACTTGTACCAATCATAAGCTCCTTGGGAATAGATAGCTGTTCAGATTCTGCAGCTACGACACGCTCTTGCTTTCCTCCTAATTGCACGCTACGCACCCGGAAATTTGTACCTCCTAAATCCAGTGCATAGAACAAACCTTCCTCCTTCCTATATATCCATTCATGGAATCAACATCCTAAAAATATCAGAGTTTTTTTCTTGCTGAATCTTTTTCAAATAAGGTCTACTTAGTAAAAAGTAAAAACTTTCTATCACTCTTATATTACAAACCACAATGTAATTATTGGACAGAAAGGAAATTTACTCAAAAGATCCTAAGAATATCACATTTTCAGCAAGGTCCAGTTAACTTCGCTCCACTTTAAAAACTCAAACTTTGTTTTTATCATAACAGAGCATAACGTGATTAGTTACCCAGAAAGAAAAATTACTCAGAAGATCCTAAGAATATCAAATCTCATCTTCAAGTAAGGTCTAGTTTCTACAGTAAAAACCCAAACTTTTTTATCAATTTTAGATCACAAATCATATGAAGATCAATTTTTGTATTCAAATAAGTTATAACAGTTCGTTCCAAAGAAAAAAGACTCAAACTTTTTATAATCATCTTTAGACTTTTGATAACAGAGCATAATGTGAGCAGAGAGAAAAAGAAATGAAAATTTTACCCAGAAGGTAAAGCGTCGACATAAGTCAAGATCATCGGGAGATCTCCTCCACCTTCAACAGCTAAACCGGCTCGCATGTCATCGGAAATGGCGTCGGCTACATTGCGTAGGAACGGCGTAGGAGTTTCACAGTCGTTCTGAAACTTGGTGAATACAGAGCATGTCGAAGCGGAATCAGATCGGACGGCGGACATTACGGTGTAGTTGCAGCGTCGAGATGATGTGAGTGTGAAAGATCTAACGGTTGGGGTGATACGAACAGGGGAAGCAAACATGAGTGACATTGTTGTTCCAAGTTTTGGTTCTGATTTGTAAAGGAAGAAGATTTCGAAGTCAACTCTTTGTTGTTGCTGCTAGTTGCTACTTTACTGATTTGATTATTTCGCTCTTGTTGGCTTGTTTTGAGAAAGAAGCGGTTTTATTGTAACAACTAGTTTTAGTTTAGACCAATTGATACAATACAACTTTCATAAACCATGGGCTTTCAAGTTTCAATTTCAACTAACCTTTTTTTATTTAAATTATTATTTGTTTTCAAAACCATTTTCTCTTTGACAAAGATGTACCTAAAAAGATTGTATTTTTGTAATTTGATCAGGAGAATATATTTTTTTACAAGTGTAACAATTCTACTTTTGTATATTAAAATGAATAAGACATGATTTCAACTAGTAATTCAAAATCAATGAAATATTATTTCAACTAAAAACAATCAAATCAATAGTCGCTCTAAATGTTTATGACAGTTGACACGTGGCTCTTGAGTTGATCTTATTTGTACTTTTGTCTAACCCATAGGAGAAATAGTATAACTTAATGGCTATCTTTGTCTATCTTATTGCATCTTAAAAGAATGGTAAAAGAATGGATTGTGATTACACACAAGTGGAATTTTGCATGTTTAGTTAATCCGTTATATGCGTATTTAAATACTTTATTGCTTAGATTATGATTTAAGTTCACAAAAAGCCAAACATAGTGGAACAAAACCTTATATCCAACTACAATATTTTTCTCTAATGCATCTTAGTGGATCGACACTCAGCAATACACTCTTGGAAATCATTGCAAAGTAACTAATTAAGAACTCCCAAGTGCAACAGTTCAATATAAATACGAAATTAAGTTCATATCTTAACACAATAACACACAAGAATCTTCCATAACTGAAATATATACTTTTCCATACAAAAGTTCTAAAAGTGAATCAATCAATCAAAATAATCAAAAGGTTAGTTATACTTTGGTTTGATTGTATTTCATCTAGTAAAACATATATCTTGTTGATTAAAAACTTCGGAGTTCAAAGTGCGTTATTATTCTCATATAAATAAATTTAATTAGCCCCCACTACAATATAAAACCGACATGCAAATACCACTCCTCCTTTTCCATAGCTTACATAAAACCGACATGCAAGTACCCTTCTTTCTTCAACTTCGCTCTTTATATGGCAAACACCATTTATTTGTCTATCTAGTTGAGCATGTGTGTTTCAAATAAAGCATGGTACTTTTTATCCACTAGGAAAAACAAAAATTAACGTGAAGAAATGTTTTATATTAATCAATTGGTGGCGTAGGTGGTGTTGTTCAATTGGTAGAGGACTTGTCTCAAGACCAAACGAATCGTCGAATCCCACCATCTACGGTCATCATTTTGTATATTTCCTCGGCAAAAGTAGATACTTAAAATGATAAGTATACTTGGTTTTCCATCGATTTCGAAGGCTAGTCAAAGTTTCGACCCAACAAATTTACGGAAAAAAATCTCTCTTATATTATACTCCCTTCGTTTCAAATTAGTTGTCGTTTTGGCAAAATGTATCTGCAAATATTTGGACGTATCTGAACGTGTTTTGCATTGCAGATACGTCCAAATATTTGCAGATACATTTTGCCAAAACGACAACTAATTTGAAACGGAGAGAGTAGAAAAAAACAACTAATTTACGAAACCACATAATGAAACGAAAAGAAAAGGAGATACTACTAGTCTTGCACTCTTGACTAAGCCACGCTACCATAATTGTACACATTTAATATGCTAAATTTCTTCCTAAAATATTACAAATCCGTTGCTTCACACATTCCACTAAAAACTTACAAATCCAATTCGTTAAAAAAAGTGCATTTTGTTGGTTAAGCCTCGGAAACTTTGTAGATAACTACAAAGCAAGGAAGTATAGCTTTGGGATTAAACACAACCAAGTCGTCAATATTTGAGTAGACCCCAGCGACGCCCGCCACAGAATCATACGAGCCAGAACCATCCTCATCTTCCGACGCGTCGCTTTGCACGCGCCTCACTCTTCCGGCAATGACACGGCAAACAAGCATCGCTCTCCGCTGGTCAAAGCACCTCGAAGCATCATGCGCTCTTCCGCTGCTCGCCGTCGTCCTCACGCCCTTGATCTCACTGGCCCCACCGCCTAAACGCAGCGTTTTAGCGTGGAAGCCGTGGCGGATAATGGTGCAGACGCGGCAGCCAGGGACGTTGGAGCAGAGGGAGGTCGAGCCACGTGAGCCGAGGGAGCATGAAACGGTGGTGCAGTGGAACCGGAGGAGCTCGTTGCCGTCGGCGGCTGATCGTGGCTCTTTTCTTGTGGAGGCATGTGCATGGGACTTGACTGCGTCGCGACAATCTTCGAACCGTTGGATCGTGCGTTGAGTGTTGTGGACTTTTAATATCCGTTCGATCTTGTAGTTGGGACTGTCTTTCCGTAACCAGCTAGATTTGAAGATGATGTCCACTATGTTTCTCCCTGAATCCTCTGGCCCCAACTCTGACACTGTTATCAAAAAATTAACAAGATTACAAAAACATCTTCATATTTTTCTTTTTGTCGATATATAGAGGTAAATATCCTTAAATCTACCACAAGTAGAAGAAATCCAAAATTTATAGAGTTGTATCCTCAAATCTTAAAATACTTTTTGTTTTTGTTTTGTGGATATAGAGATTGACATCCTTAAATCTACATGGAATTGATGTGGAATCCAAAATTTATAGTTCATTATAAATTACTGACATACAAAATCGTTACAAAACGTTTTTATATATGTTATAAGACATGACCGATATAAATTTATATATTATGAATTCCATCTCCATAGTAATTGTCTAAAAGGTTATTATTCGTTTCAATTCAATTTTATTCACTTCAACAGAAAACTGAGTTTCATTTTGGTTAAGAATTATATTTTTTGTTAGGTTGGTTAATTACTTAATTTGTCAGCCTCTAATATCAAAGATCCAATATAACTGGCTCAAGATATACTCCAAATATGGTGATAATGATGTTGTCTGTCGCCTAATATGGTGATTACGACATAAAATATTCTAATCGAGTACCATGTATCTGTAATAAACATATGCTTCTGTACATATATATCCAAAAACAACGACATGACATGCCGGATTCATGGCCCCAATTACGAGAAAACAAATATAAAAGACAGACCAAACTATAGCTAGTATTTTAATCTTTTCGAAACTAATTGAAAGAAAAATCCAAACAACAAAACAAAAGATTGAGTTCAGTTAAACTTTGTATACATGATCCATAATAATTGTTTAAGCACCGATTTATATGCTATAAAGGGTTATAAATTTGATTTAGTAAATATAAAATATAAAATTAAATAAAAAAAAATAAATAGAAAACATACCAGCGTGACGAACTGCTTGATGAAGCTCCAAGGTTTCAAGCTTAGGAAAAACCTCCCCACATTGTGGACATGCACATATTCTTGGTGCTATTGGATACCTACGTCATTAAATTTATAAACAATCACTAATGAACTGATTAATCTCTCTCTTTATTTCTTTGTAATTATCATATGCTATTTAACAAATTTACGTAATAAAGCTGTTCAGATTTAAAGTAAGATATAAAAATATTGAACCTGCTGGGATCAACAATCATGTGACACTCATAGCAACCGGAGAATTTTCTAAAGTGCATAGCTTTGGAAGATGAATACGACGTGTAAGCACCGCAACCGTTGGATCTAACCGAAGAAGAAGATCCACGAGTAACGGGTTTCCGGGTCAACAACCCGGCATCTTGACCAAGATTGCTACTCTCAGGCGAGTGATCGGACCGGTGAATCACACGAGCATTACCGTAAACAACGTCACTGAACTTACAAAGAGAAGAGCCACAAGATGATGACGTAATATTCTTTGATGGGTCGTGCACTCTTGGTCCTTCGACTTGTTTGCAACTCAGAAGGTTCTTTATCTGGCTCCATGACGACGGCACCGTCTTCTGCTTCGGCTTTTGCGGTTGCTTCTGATGCGGTGGTGGGGTTGTAGGCGTTTTCTTGCTTCTGTTCTTCTTCTTTTGGTCAGAAGATAAACGCGTTTGCGACTTGGCTTGGTCCGGTATGAAAGAGAGAGGAGCCATGAAAGAGAGAATATAGAAAGTTAGTGCAAATTAGATTACACTGTCGATAATATATAGAATTTACGATATAAGAGAGAGAGTGTGTGTGTGTGTGTATTTGTTATTTAGTTTGTGTTTTTGGTGGGAAGGGATCCGAGAAGACAAAATGATCGAGTGGGATCAAACTGTTTTACTGTTACATATTACAGATCCATGCATATGTGTTTAAAGAGTTTTGGTTATTTATACCAACTCTGTTTAATACTTTAGAAGCACATTGTATTTGATATAGTTCTATTCGCATCCAACCATACAAAACGGTGACACAGATCCAGATTTAGATTTTTGGTGTAGTGGTAATATACTCTCGACCGCCATAAGAAAACAAATTAATTTCTTTTTATTTGGAGTAGGTGACGTAAACCACAAACATATAAGATTCTTGAATATACAGAAATCGTATCATTAGCATTGGAAATGTAGTAGTGGAGTTGGCCACCGCTCTGTTTGTCCTTTTCTTTCTCCCTGTTTTTAGGAATAATGCTAAGATTAGTATAATACTCTTAAATACCCATTACAATACCATATACAAATAAGTTTTACTCCATAATATACCAGTACTTTAATTGAACTACAAAATAAAAGATCATAGAATTATGTAAGTCTCTTGTTAGGAATGAAACGGAACAAAACACGTTTCATTGTTAACCGGAAACAATTTACATATCTATAATATATTTTTGTATGTTGTTAAATTAGACACAAAGCAAATATCCAAATAAAATTTAGCGAACATAATATTATTTGAAATATCATTTCCAAAATGGAACATCCCAATAAGTTTGCTGTTTGCCCCCCGTTTCCATCCCCTATTCTTCTCATTTCTTATTGTAAATACTAAAAAAGACATGTGTTTCGAATTTAAATTTGTTCTCACACCTATTATATCTTTGTATTATTAAAAACTTTAACATGTTTGAAATCAAAATTTACCAGAACAACAGTCTATATTTTTCATGTATATACATTTATACAAGTATACGAATGAATTAAGTTTTTTTTTTCCTTACGAAACGAAGGAATTATTTAACAAAGGTAAAAAGACATAAAGACGAAGGAATTGTTTAGTAAATTATAAACTTATACGGAACAGTACTTTAGTTTTAGTGTGAAGCCAAGTCAGCATCTTCATCGCATCCATATCTTACTCTCCGCCATCTGCAAACGAATCTAGCTAAAGTTACTTTTATTAAAAATCAACGTATTTGGCACTCTATAGCTTGATTCAGGAATATATTTTGTCATATAGAAAGATGGAGAACTTGTTCTTATTGTATATGAGTGAACTGTTATAATGTACTTAATTTCTCAGACACAATTTTATTGAAATAAGACAGAAATAAACAATTTAAGTTTAATATTATTCCACTATATACGATATAAATCTTGCAAGCTCATTATCTTACGATATCCTTACTACCAGTTCAAGTTGAGTTAAAAAATTCTTCAATAATTTTCAATAGTTTTGGGCAAAGTTAAACGTAAATGGTTAATTACCTAAATAGAGCAGATTAGACTATTTACGTATTTAGTAATTGCATACTAACAAGAAGGGATGGATGAAATGGAATCAAAATGTATTTTTTAAAACTGAAATTTAATATTTTAGAGAATGTGTTAAAAAAACACTTTGGTAATTTAAATGGTTATCGAATAAACTTTTAGTAATCATACATTTTTTGGGGGGTTAAATTAATAATCATACATGCATACTTATATAACCATATAATCTTCAAGATGGGTAGCTATGGAATGGAAATGGTTAAATAATTGAACTTGAACTGTTTCCAGAGAATGGATCACTAAACTACAACGGAACATAATGATTAGTGACTAAAACACTATATGGTAATGATGAAGAAAAAAAAGACGTATGTAAGAAATTAGAAAAGTATGCTAAGTGGCAAGATACTCGAAGAAGGTGCGTTAGAAGCTAGAATTCAAGTAGGAGAAGCCAAGAGATCGGCACAAAGACATCGAGATTATAAAGTCGCATACATAGTTAGTGGCCCTCGTGATATTGCCGCAAAATGTGGCCTCTTCTCACATGTCCTAGCTTTATTCGCTTTGTCCTCTACTCTCTCCCCGTAGATCCCTTTTACGTATACATACATATTTTTCTTTTTCTTTTGTAATATATTATACAAATATACACGCACATGTGCCGGCCACTTATATACATGCATTTACGCATGTGTCCACTTCGTTCCACTTCCACAGTTCCACGGAGCGGACGGAAAAAAAATTTATGTACAAAATATTTTGAAGTCCCGACAACGACTTAAGAAGTTCTAACAGTTATGTGAGACTTTTCTCTCTCTTAAGTACGTAACTAAACCGTATAATTACAATAAAAAAATTTGCACCAGGGTACTTTCTTGATGGGCCTAATTTAGAACACGGTCATATATGGTGGTAATTAACACATATAGTATTATATCACTCTTTATTACTATAAAAATGGTCAAAGTGAGGTAATTGTGTAGTACTGTATGTACTAAAAGACTAATAAGATTTTCATCTAAAAAGAATTTTACCTGGTTTGATTCAATCACCGATGTTATGCATGCATTGCTAATTTGCTATTAAGGAAAGAATATTATTCAGTCAATATGATAATATGCATGCATATAGTGCGAATGTGCCATACAATCTCTGGAGTAATCATTTCATTTCTGTAACTTGTTATAAGTTTGGAGGCAAGCTTTATTATATTAAGAATATTTTGATATTTGAATATATATGACTTTATTTGAGTAAACTCTTCTCTCTTTCTTATCCGGGTATTCTTTTCTCGCTGTAGCTAGACATGATTCTTTTTTGTGGATTCCTTGACTGACCTCTGATTGTGCAGGTTCAGACCATGAACAGAAGAATACTGAGAAATCTTTACCATTATAAACCAAAACATTAAAAACTCTTACAAAACTTTATCAAATTCTTGACAACAAAAAAACTTTATCAAATTCTGAAAAATATATGGGAAATTGCAATAGATGACAATATTGTCACCCATAATTAAGAATCTAACAATAGCACAGTGATGGCTATGATATTGGATGTAATTTCTGCAACATATACCAAATTGTCCCTATCATTTTCTCTCTCTTCTCTCTTTCCCCTTTCTTTCTTCTTCTCTTTCACGAATCTTTCAATTTTTTTTTCATGACCTTTATCTCTTCTCTCTACATCTTTTCTCTAACCAAATTATATGGTTTGATGAGCAATAACTTGTACATTTCTCTAATCATATCTTAGTCAAACAAATTGATATTATTATGCAATCTAGTCATATGTTTAATGTTACACAAATCAATTTGACAGTGGTGATCAAATCCAATGAGGTTATTGAAATGATAACAATGACAGAGAGACATAGGGTGATAGGAAATTCTGAATATACATATGGTAGTCTATACTATTTTCCCTGTATAGTATAACAAACAACTTAGGTTTATGGTTTAATATTTTAGATACAAAGTTAATTTTAAATTTAGGGTTCTTTCCACTAAATTAGGGTTTTCTTTTGGTTCAGAGTTTATATTTTGGGTTTAGTTTTTTTGGGTTTAAGCTTTATATTTTGGGTTTAGAGTTATTTTTACTAGATTAGGATTTAGTTTTTTGTTATTTAGGGTCTATGGTTTATATTTTGGGCTTTGGATTTAAGGTTTAGTTTTTTGGGGTTTAGGATTTAGATTTTTGGGTTTAAGATTTAGTTTTTGGGTTTGTAATTTATATTTGGGATTTTGTATTTTGGGTTTCGTTCTTCTATAACATCCCAATTTTGAAAAACCTTATATATGTATAATGTTCTTATCAATTCCATTATGCTTTTATTTTTGATTATTTACAAAGAAATAGTACAGAAAATTAATTAATCTAGTATAGAGAACATAATAGTAACAGAGAACATAAGGGTAAAGTGTAATTAATGTATGTGTGAAAAGTGTAATTAATGTATGTGTGGAAGAAGAGAATGGACTAGTAAAAAATTCTGTTTGTTAGTGACTTAATTTTTTAAAAAGTATGGTTATATTCTTTATTAGGATATCCAATATGGTTAACAGCAAATTAACCCAAAATATATTAGCGAAATTTTGAGTTATATTTGAAATTTATTATTGAACTAATAATATAAACTCTTCTATTATCTCAGTTGATGTTTCGTACATTCATTTTAATTTAAACTGTACTATAAGAGTATTAAAAATATTTGAAATGCGTGTATTAAAACTTGAAAGCTTTAAAAAATAAGTGTAAAGGAAAATATGGACAATGATGGACATTCAGACCAAGTAAAACATATATAGATGCAGTTGGAATGACCACGACCATAGTTAAAAAAGAAGGATAACATACACTCCCTTTCAAATGCTTATTCTAACATATTTTGATATATAAGAGGCAGCAAAGGACAATGTTTGTTTTCCTTAACACTGGATATATTAATCGAAAAGTGAGGAGAAAGGAGTTTTGCCGTAGTGACAGTAGTCATCTTACAAGAAACAGAGAAAACAAAGAGCAAAGAGAAAAAAAAAAAACAAATGTGCTCAATAGAGCTCACAAACGAAACCTCCAAAATCTACTAATCGAGAGGGCAGTCGATGCAGGCGGAGAGGCCCAAGTAAAGCCCAAAGTGTAAGCCCAAATAGAAGTCAAAGTTGTAGTAATAATAAGCGGAAGAAGTTAGGCGCGGCTAAGACAGAAATTCGAAACTCCCAAACACTCCAACTCTCTCGCCCACCGCTCTTTACCAAATCGATTTTTCATTTTTAATTATTACTTGTTTTAATAAAGGGAAAAGACCCGTTTACCCTTCCTCTTCTTCCCGCTGTTTCCTCTCTTTTCTCTCTCTCTCTCTTCATCGTCCTCAATCTCCCTCTTCTTCTTCATCTCTCGTTTTTCTTCTTTTTTTTTTCCCTCCGACTAAACCTAAACGAAATATTCCCTCGCCGTTAAATCGCTTTTCGAATTTAACTTTTCCCCCCACTTTTCACCACCGGAGATTCCCCACCTGGCGGACAGCATGGCCGCGACATCGAACTCCGGCGAAGATCCGGTACTCTACAACCACCGATCTCCTTTTCGCTTCGAATTACTCCAATCTATCCCTCCCACTGATCCTCGTTACTCTTCTCAGACTCCTTCTTCTACGAATCGGCCTTTCTCGGTTTCTGAGCCTCCTCCGAACGCACAATCGCCGCAAATTCCACCTCACTGGGATGAGTCCTACTCTCAAATCACTCAGAAAGTTGTGAGTTTATGCTTCGTCCACTATTCGTTAGATTCTTCTCTCTTATTGACTAGATTTTGGGAGCTAGGTTTTTTTCCTCAACTTTTTGATCCCCAAATTGAATGAACTTTGTCAATAAGGGAAACAAATCCAAAATTGGATCTCCAGTCTTCGATTTTCTTCACTGCAACGTTCGATCTCTAGTTTCAAATTTCGGCATTCTATAACTTGGGGAAACTTGTTGAATTGCGGCTAGAAATTTCTTCTAAACCCAATTCACTCTCTTGAGATGATTGTTTTAGCTGGTAACATCAAGTAATGCTAATTCTAGTCAAAATCACTCTTGCAGCAGAAAAGTAGAAAGAATCATCGTATCCAGCTTGGATCATCCATTTCAAACATGCCTGGAGAAACCATTGATATAGCTAAAGTGATGGTGAAACAAGAATCTCCGCAAGACAGTAAACGTGGAATCAAGTCAAAGGTTGCTAAACAGTTAAAATCTGGGAAGCGAATGGCAAACACAGGTATATTTGCTTTCTTATCTCCAGCTCAATCATCAGATGCAATACATCATAGTCAGCATTGTGATGATTGGTGTTTTTTTGGGTGCAGAAGCACACAATGGTGGCCCAAATGGAACTAATAACTGCCGTTATGATAGTTCTTTAGGTAACAGAGAAGCCCAATCACATCTAGCTCTGTAAATTAGTATCAGGTTCAGGGGGTTTTAGCTGTGACTGTATCGTTGTTTTGCAGGGTTGTTGACAAAGAAGTTCGTCAATTTGATCCGAGAAGCTGAGGATGGATCACTTGACCTCAACTATTGTGCAGATGTTTTGGAGGTATGCAAAATGTTTAGCTGAAAATGTACTCGTTGAACACATCTAATTGTGCTTAATTGTGGATTTAGCTTGCCTTTAAGTGTTTGATATACAAATGATTGCTGCTAACTGAAGTCATTTAGCTATCTTCATCAGTTTATTAGAGTCTCTTCTTATGTGCCTATGTTCTCTTAACAGGTACAAAAAAGAAGGATCTATGATATTACAAATGTCCTTGAAGGAATTGGATTGATAGAGAAAACTACAAAGAACCATATCCGCTGGAAGTAATCACACAAACTCCTTTCTTACTTAGATACAGTGCAGCGTCATTTAGCTAAAGTTCTTCTGACCTTGGGTTTGGGCCATTGATGCAGGGGTGCTGACAATCTTGGACAGAACGGCTTGGGAGATCAAATTTCTAGGCTTAAGGTTCATAGAGTCTGGCATTTTCACAGATTACTTCATTGGAACAAACAATATCATGATTTCACTCTCTAATTCAAACGCTTATTTTCAAATCTCCCATTATATAACTAGTTGCTTCTCTACGTATTTACAGTCAGAAGTAGAAAGTATGCAATCTGAGGAAAGCAGGTTGGATGATCTTATAAGGTTGGTTGCTTATGTTCTTATATTCATTTGGAGTTTTATCTGTTATTGTTCCTTTCCCTCATATCTTCATGCTATACATCCTCAGGGAAAGACAAGAAGCTTTAAGATCCTTGGAGGAAGATGAATATTGTAAAAGGTTTTCATCAGTTTATTTTGAGTCTCATCTTTTTGTGCTATTACACTAGAACTTTGCTAAAAGATCAGTGATGGAAATTAAACAGGTACATGTTTATGACTGAAGAAGATATAACAAGCATCCCACGCTTTCAGGTCCTTCCCCAACTAGTTTTTAAAAGAAAATCATCTTATGTTTTCTTCAACTATTGAAACATGCTAAAAACTTGTGTTTTTCATTGATACAGAACCAGACACTACTGGCGATTAAAGCTCCTACGGCTAGTTACATCGAAGTTCCAGATCCTGATGAGGTTAGGGGTGATTTCATGATTTCGTATAGCGTTAAGATGTAGTGAAATGTGTGCACAAAAGTGAAAATGAGCTGTTTTGTTACGGTTTAGGTGATGACTTTTCCGCAAAGACAATACCGGATGTTGATTAGGAGTAGAATGGGACCGATCGATGTCTATCTGTTAAGGTACTTACTCAGAGCAACAATCTTTTAACTCTTCATCTCTGTGTATTGTTTTTGTCTGTATTGTGATCTTGGAAAACAAACATGGTTGCAGCAAATACAAAAGAGACAGTGGAGAAACAAGCGAGTCTGATCAAAACCCACAAAGTGGAGTGGACACTCCTTCCATGAAAATAGTAACTTCAGATACTGATGTGAGTAACAGTAACTTCAACCACAGATATGAGTTTTTGGATCAGTCTTTATTCGTATGTTTGTGAATTGAAGTTGAGTTTTGGTTTGTGTATTTGCAGTTAAAAACAGATTACTGGTTCGAGTCAGAAGCAGAAGTGAGCCTCACTGATTTATGGAACAACAACTTTTCCTGAGAACTACTAAGTTATTTGAAACCTCAAAATTTCCAATTTATGGAAGGAGAGGATGAATAATACAAATTTACTTGTAACGTTTTACTACGTCTTTGAGCCTGGATCCTTTATAGCTTTGCTCATTTTTACTCTCTTGTTTATTGAATAAAAGATGAAACATTCTAATGTCTGCATATGTGATAAAACTTGTATCCTAATCCAAATATATGATAGTTTAATCCTAATCGACAGTAACCTGGGCACTGTACACAATTTCTAATGAAGTTTCGAGATTAATCTGCCAGATTTGGTTAATAGTGCGACTTCAAGCACGCCTATTCTTATAGAAAATGATAGATTATTTCTAATCAAACTTCCCGGGATAGGGTTAATTTAGCAACTTCCACTGGAATCATGATAGAAAAAGTCACAGAGAACATTGGTCATTCATAAGGTTGCAAATTTACTATCCGAGAGTTCTTATCTCCTCTTCTTGTGTTTTATTTCAAAGCTTGAAAGCTAATGGGGAAGACGATTGACTTGATCGAAAGCAATGTGTGACGCCGGAGATCATACAAAGTTCGGATATTAGAGGGCATTCACGGCAACAAATGTTATAGTGGTCGATCCTTGAAATGGTGGTTACTTGGTTCCCAAGCAACACTTTAGTGGATTGAGTTAGAAGTAATTCCAGCTGATATGATTTGAACTCTATGTGTGTCACCGAGTAGGGAAAGGTGTGAGTTGCGTCAAGACTACACTGCCATGGAATCTGATTAGAGTTTCAATATTATGAGTTCGCTTTGCAAGCTAAAGAGGATGGTGATGAAGGAGGTTATTGCGATTTCGACCCAGGCGACGGTGGACAAAACCGTGGAAGAAAACGTTATCACAAACCCTGTTGTTCAGACAGACCAAATAATAACGCTACCACGGTGCCAAACAGACCCTTCATGGAGCACAGATTGCAATCTCTTTGGAAGTGGCTTCGTTATCGATCAGGAAAACGACGAACGAATCTTAGGAGCAATGGCTGAGTACCAAGTCTCCACACCTCTCCATGCTGAACTCGCAGCTCTAGTATGGGCTATGAAGAATGCTTAAACATATCATTTACTCTAATATCGGAGCAAACATATCATGTTTAAGTAATTTGCTTATAGCATTTGTATTGAAATCCAAACCATAAACTTCATTTATCAACTACACCTTATGTTTGCAAAACATATGTGTAGATTGTTACTAAGTAAATGTTATTGTATTGTATGTCCACTATGAACGCACATAGAATTATTACAACACTTTATATTACCATTTTTAGTCAATAATTATATATGATATATAGCTAGAAGGATTATTAAGTTGTATGTTTTGTGAAATTTAAAAACTGTAAATAATATACTTTATTTTCAAGAGATTTGAATAAAATAATTTCAATGATAAATTTAATCAATAGAATGTTAGATGGAATTAACAAAATGGTACAGAAATACAAAATGTGGGGATGAGAGAATCTCTTGAACTATAAAGTGAGAGAAGAAAACATAGTATAACTTTTTCACACTTTATATCTGAAACTCATAAAGTGTGATATATATCATGTTCTGAAAATGGCACAAAAATTTCATAAATTTGTTTTTATTTTTTTAATTGACTACATTTGAGTTGAGTTCAGTCTACTACGTTTTATTAGTTTATATATTGCATGAGTTGTTAATTTGTTTTGTTTTTGATTTTTATGAAAACTTTGAGTATCACGTATGAAATTTTGTGATGTTTAGCGGTAATGCAATTCAAATGGAACAGAAAAACGTTCTCTTTTGTTTAAATGCTATCTATTTATAAAAATCAGAAACTATATAAACCACCATATTTTTAAAATGTTTGATATCATTTCACGCTTATGTTTTGTTTTATGTGTGTATGTTTTAATGTTTCCATTGGCCATCAATTATGGTTGCATGAAATCTTGGAAAGTAAGAGACTTGTAACTTTAGTCTAATATCTTCGGGGTCTATTTTAATTTTTATGGTTGTGCTGTTTGTGGTCATGCACTTTGCTGTGTCCAAGACGATACTGAGAGTCTTAAGTCCATAAAGTTATGTATTTTTCCTCTTATCTATGAGTGCTACTTCTGGTGATATCTAAAGGCTTGTGATCACAATTGTGTTTTTTTTTTATATAATCCCACTATAATCTTTTGTAGGGCTCCATGGGAGGAGATGCACATATGTAGAATGATTACATTAGCACGGTTAGTATATTAACCGTTCAAAGCATATCATGTAGAATGATTATTTTTGGCAAGAAAACATTAGAGAGATGATCTTTTTTTCTGGAACAGTGTGGTGCATATGTATATGAAGAAAATAAACAGTTCGATGATTTTATCCAACCTTTGGCGTTGAAAACTTGAAATTGTTTCTTGATGTTACAAAATTAATCGAGTTATCCATATCTAAAAAATACATTTTTCGTGGTGGTTCTCTCTAAGCCAATGAATATATCTGTTTCTTTTATGATTACTTCAAATATGTACCTCCAATATTTTTTAATGTTTGAGGTAACAAAATATGTACCTTTACAAACAATTAGGCTAATATGTTTTTAAACAAATGGAAAACATTAGAGGATAAAAAGGTACAGTAGTACCTTTATGTTTTCCATTTGTTTAAAAACATATTAGTTGAATCGTTTGTAAATGTACATATTTTGTCATCGACTTGTTTTCCAAAATGCAATCATCCATATATTTCGACTTGAGGTTCATAATTTTTATCTTGAGATTAATCCCTTCTTTTGTTCATTTACTAATTATGTTTGAATTCACTTGTTATTCTCTAATATCAAGACTAAGATATCATGTTAAGTGACTTTCCTACAATGTTTGTTCATTGAAATTCAACCCATTAACCTTTTTTTATTTTTTTTTTTATCAATTACATTATATGTGGAAAAACACTTGTGTAAGTTACTTTTGGAGTTTCAATTGGGGAAAATAACATCTTTATAGATAGTTAAAAAAGCTTTCGATTTTAATTATGTAGTTTGTTGGTGAAAGCTATTTGTTTAGTGAATGAAATGCTAAGTGATTTAATAACAAAACATCAAACACTAAAATGCACATGCCGTTGGAATAAGGAGTAATGTAAAAAACAGACAAAAAGAGCCCACACGAAAGTACTCTCAGAGTATTATGATCACATTTCATTTCATGTACACATACATTCACACATCCTCTTCTCTCTTTTATTTCAGTATTCAAAGGCTAATACCCTGCTTTGGAGGAGGAGAAGAACCTGCTGATTCCTCTGGAGTGTTTCTCCGGTGTTGGATTTCCAGATGAGCCTGACCTTGAGAGCCTTGAACCTCCTCGTGATGGTGATGTCACCACATCGCTAGTCTCTGAGTCAGAAGTGCATTTTGGAGATTCCATAAACCTAGGGACCTCGTTAACCCAATTCTCAGTTGAATCTCCTTCGTCTACGGCATAGTTCTTGGTGCCTAGTTCATCCTCAGAATAGGACTCACTCTGTCTATGTGGCGGCCTTATTTGTTCAGGTTGTGGCCGTAGTGACTTCAGCTGCTTCCCCAACACAAATATGGTTTCTTGACACTCTGCTAACTTCTCTGCTGCTGATGCTAAATCTCTCTCCTGCACAATATTTTCATGTTAGTTATCTTTTTTGTTTCCTCTCTTTCTCTTGTACTCAAAGCTTCAAAGTCCAAGGATCGAAGAATCAATGTATGCAGAGTCTATAGATGTGTACGCTTGTATTTGTTTTTGTATCAATGTGATTAAATAGTTTGCATGTGTAATGTGAACAATGATACTTTATATCAGTTTATATGATTAGCATTGAGATAAGAGTTTGAGAAGCATTGCGGAGACATTACCTGTTTGGTCTTGATATCACCTTCTTCCTCATCCTCAGCAACCAAAGAAGTGTTTCTGTTTCTAGGAAAAAGCGTAAAAAGTAATTAACGTCAAGGCTACTTAAAACTAAACCGAATCACTCGAAGTGCAGGAAATGAGAACAATCAAAGCTGTACTCACCTTTGAATATGTTCTTCGAGCTCATGACACCTCACAATAGCTTCTTTGTGGTTGCGTTTTTCATCTTCAAGCTCATTCTCCAAACTCTCTATCTTTTCCTTAAGCTGGTTCACATCGATCTCCAAATCAGCTGCACGTGTTTCAAGTGATCTATATGACTCAGTCATACATCTGAGCTGTGTATCCGCCAAGCTGCTTGACCTCTGAGCAGAATCCAACTGAGATCTAATGTCAGCCAACAGCTGCTCAGATTCTTGTAACTGAAACTTCAGCTCCTCGATATCAACTGCCATCTTTTCTTTCTCTGATTTCAGTTCTTGAATTTCCTGTAACTTGGCGTCTGATTCATACTCCAAACCTCTGTTTCCATCACAAGGGACCTCAGGCTCGTTGTGGACACATCCATTTTGATATATTTCTTTAGATGAATCTTTATCTACAACCTTGCTCTCCGGTAATGCAACCTTGTCTATGCAATCTGGACTCACAATTTCAACCTCGGAGGAAGCAAGACCCTTGAAAGTTACCTTCAGCTCCATGGCCTCGTTGAAGACATTAGCAAGATCCAAAACAAAACTATCCAAATTTCTTTCACCGCTTAAAACATGGTTGAAGGTAACGGAGAAGCCTTCAATCAGTTCAACAAAACCATTGCCCTCAATAGCAGTGTCCTCACCTGCCCTTACCTCTTTTCTCAGCAACAAGACAAAATCATGAATCCGAGAAACCGCATTTTTCAAATCTTGGTGGACGCTCTGCAGCTTTTGTTCTGCCAAATGACAATCCTCCAACAAGTTTTGATCTTGACATACTTCTTCAGAAGGCTTGTCCTGGTCCATAGAACCAGTCACATCTTGCAAAATGGTTTTAACATCCTCCACAATCTTTCCTAAGTCAGCATTGGCAGATACAGATTCAAGAACCTTTGATAATCTTGATCTGAATTCAATCACTTCCGAACTACCTCCACCAGACTCCTCAACATTCACAAGTTCCGAACAACCTTTAGAATCCATACTACCAATTTGATTTGGCAAACAAGCTAACTTCTCCATTTCAAGAAAATCATCCATAAGCTCCACATGACTGCTAACACTTTCAACTCTCTCCAACGCCGCCGCTGTCTCCTTCTCTTTCTTGGTCTGTTGTGATGGAGTTGTTGACAAAGATCCACTGAAACTCCCAGAATCATCATTCCCATCTTCAGAGACAGAGACTGAACTAGATGGATTGCTTGTATTCAGATTTGGACACACTTCAAGTGAGGACTTCTGAGAGTTACTCTGCTGCAGTTGAGCTTCCAAACTCTGAAGCTTACTAGTGCTCTGAGCGCAAAGGTTCCGTGACTCAAGCAACTCGCTATTCCGCTTAGCCAAGGCTTCTTTCAGCATTTTCGTCTCTTCTTCCATGGCAAGTAAACGTTCTGTTAGAAACTCATTATCCTTTTGAAACTTCTGCGAACTATCAAGAGAGAAGTCGGAACCAGAAGATGAATATCCCCTCGGCGACTTGCTCGGACTAGAAACCTTGCTCGGAGATCTCTTTAGCCGGGAATCACCGCCTAAATTCTCAACCTCAAGCTTCATCTGAGCAAGTGCAGCTGGTCCTGGCAGCTTCTTTCTCACAAGACTTCTTAGTCTCTGACATTCTGCTTCCAACTTGGTTATCTTCTTAACCCCTTCCAAGTGTTGCTTGTTGGCAGAATCTGCAGATCTAATACACATGTTCTTCTCTTCATTACGTATCTCCAGCTCTTTAGTCACTACATGGACTTCATACTTGAGAGACTTTATCTCCCTATCACACATCTCTAGGTTACTCTTTAACGTCTCTATTTCAGCATCACCTCTTGACTTCTCCTCGCTGATCTTCACTAGCATGTTGGACCGTTCTTGTAACGTTCTTGACAGTGCATCGCTATCCGCTGCAGACCTTAGCAGCTCCTGTTCGTAGTCAGAGATCCTCTTCTCAAACTCCATTGTTAGCTTCTCGATTTGCTTGGTCTTGGTTAGAGCAAGATCATGCAGTTTCACTTCATGGTCTTTCTTCAAGTTCCTTATCTGCCTCATACACTCTTTCAACGCACCGTCCAAATGCGCCGCACGGTCTTCAGCTGTGAGTTTGGAGAGAGTAACAGACTCCAGAGTGTTCTTTAACGTCAAAGCCTCAGCGTCAGCTTTCTCCCAACCTGCAACAGCATCTTCAGCGACCTTGGAGTGTTGCTTCACCAAGCTCTCTTTGGTAGTGATCTCCTCGTTCGCAGCGGAGAGTTTCTCATTCAGCTCCTCGTTATCCTCGTTAAGTCTCTCCAATTGTTCAGCATAACTCTGAACCTTCTCATCATAGGCTTCAATCTGTTCCTCAAAGCTCTTGACTTGCTCCTCATAAGCTTCAACTTGACTCTCGTAGGACTTGATTTGAACATCGTATGTCTTGATTTGCTCCTCGAGACCAGTGAGATGTGTATACTGCTCCACAGAGATTTGTACATACTTTGGCTTCTTAACGGCTTCCTGTTATCAAATATATAAGAACCAATTCAACAAATGTAGTAGCACTATAAGTTTCATCAAAATATTAAAATGTATATTTTGCTTACCTTTTCAACTTGAGATTGAGCCTGAGAAGTATCAGCTGCAGATTCAAGAACTAAGGTTGTTGCTTTATCAGATGATTTCTTCTTCCATGGCCAGCTTCGTCGGTCCATAGCAATCTATAACATTAATTCACATTGTTGAGTAATGTGACTCCAAACTAAAATTTGTTATGGTATTAATGATCAAAATACAAACTTTCTAAGACCAGAAACAAGACATGAGCTGAAGTTTAACAAGAGCTCATGTTTGAAGCGAACCAGATCCGAAATAATCGCTATAATTAAATTCATGGCGAATCTGATGATTCCTAAGGAAGATATTAAAGTTGCTAAAAAAGGAAAAATGATAAGGTCTACTGAGGAGAATCTGAGGCTGCGTCGTCTCAAAAAGTATCTTACTAAATTAGGGAAAACAACAAGGTAAAGAGTAAAGCTTGCCGACACAGAGAAATCGAAAGACAAAATCATAAATGAAATTATACATCTACGAAAGTTTCAGAAACCGACACTAATCTGTTTTTCACATTAGCACTAAAAAAAAACTTATAATCTCGGAATTATTTGATATCGGAAAGTTCGATTAAGCTTACACCGGAGAAAATGTAGCTTCTGGAAACGAATCCTGAAGTGGAAAACGAAGCTTGAGGAGCTGTGTTCGTTCTTCAGCTTTTTCTGGACATGCGATTTCGGCAAAATGGAGATCTGGAATCGAGTTTTAACTTACTCGGAGCTCGGATTTTGGAAAAAGACGGTGAAAGAGTACACCGTCAAGTGGTCGGGAACCCTACGGCCGTTGCGGCGGCGGAAAAAGAGGAGAAAAAAGGCGATGAGGTGTGTCTGAGCTGAAAAAGAAAATGGTTCAGTGTCTTACTCTGGTGTGTATGTGTCAAAAAAAAAACTTTAAAATCAAGAAACGTTGCATAAAGCTCCAAAAGAAAAGCATCTTCTTTCTTCTTCTTTTCTTTTGTTATCTTTTTTTTATTCGTCAACAAAGCATCTTTTTCCTTTTTTTCTTAACAAGAAAAACTAATTAGTAAAATAATTGACATGAATAAATAAATAAATTAAATTATCCGGCAATAAATTAATAATAGTAATAATAATATGTATGATAGTAAAGGGCCCCATATAGCTCTGCCTCTCTACCTAACACATTCAACTCAAAGAGTCTTTTTGGCCTTTGGTTAAGAAGTGACGAGAGAGACCCATTGGAGGTGACGTAATTAGAAAAAATTTATTCCTCGGAAATTTTCTGAAAATTTTGATTATCTATTTGACCTTAACCTGATTTTTTTCTCCTTTTTTATTTTGGGTCTGACTTCTGAGAAGATAATAAATATGTGTTTGCATTAATCAAATAATTCTTTTTTATTGTTAAAAATAACAAATTGTTTAAAGGATTATCGAAGATATATCAAGACGACGTTGCTTTTACAAACTTTTATTTTATTTTGTCGGCAAAAACATTGCTAGTTGAGAGGCTACTTATATAGAAAAAAACCCAAAAAACATTGGTTATATGTCTCAAAATCATGAGATAAACACTTTGATCTTGTGTGTATTGCGCATGTTTGAGACAGTTAAAAAATCAAAATGAACACATGGAAAAATTGTTCAACATACAGTATATTCAAAAAGGAATGCTTAAGATAATAATTTTCAAGAAGATCAAAAGCCACAAGACAACATGGAAAGCTAATATAATGCTCAAGGAACCGTGATCATCGGAGAAACAAGACTTTGTTTGCACCTTTCCATCAAAACTCAACATTCTTAAGCTGGTGAATAGCGTCACCGTCTAAAGTCACACAGTTTCAGAAATCTCCACACTAGGTGGAGGACATGTGACATGATCAAACCTTGCAGAAAATGGAGTCACTTGTTTCTACAAGAATACAAAACACAAGAGCGAGTGTAGAAGTGAAGTTACTTGGATTTTGAAGAGGAAGTGAAGTGAAGTTAGAACCTCCTAGTTTTGTATATGGGCTTTATTAGTTCTGTATTTGGGCCTTTTTGACTTGGTGAACATTTTCTCTCGCTGGAAGTTAACAGGGATAATGAGGAGGTTAACGAAGAGGCAATACAGGTGGCTGCTTTGCAACCACAAGCCCCGTTACCTTGTACTTGTAGATACAGATCCTTGAGACACTACCTGGTGACCTGTGGACTCTTTGGTTGCTGCCTTCCAATGATCGTTGATTCAGCATATTCTGTACTCAACACCAACAAAAGGCACTACTTTTCAAGACAAGCCGTTCCATTCAAGTGTTTTGATGGCTTCAGCGACATGGAAGCAACTTGCTGCATTTTCTTCTTGAACAAAGTTCGCAATATCGACATTGGTGTGCCCACACTTGAGAACGCAAGCATATTCACGAAGTTACCATGGGAGCAGCCAGATGTTTTTAGAGAATGTCTTGTCATAGTCTAGACGATAGTCATACTTAATGGTCATATGTAGGAGTTGATTACACGATACTTAGTAAAAGAAACTAAACAAACATCAAATCTAAAAATGATGTATAGGTGAACTTCTTAGGAGTGTAATTTTAGTGCAATTAAAGAAAAATGGTACACTATATTATCTATAACAATTAGTCATGAAATGTAATGTAAGAACTTTTGTTACATATTCAAGCATCAAGTATATAGAACGAACATCAACATAAAATACTGGAAACAAAAATCATTAATCAATAAGAGAGATTACATAAACCTTAAATAGATATGTTTAAGTATAATATCTGATTTCCATCATAATAAAAAAAAAGACATTTTGTACATCAGTCTTAGTTCTATTACTCGTTTGAGAAGGTATTACCTAAGCTGCATGGAATCGGAAGTGGGTACGCGGAAGCGGAAGCGTTAGGAAGCGTAGAAGCGAGTTTTTTCAAAATATTAGGAAGCAGGTACGTGTAGGAAGCGTTTTATATATATATCATCAAATACTTATATAAAACCATATTATATTAAAATGTTTTTAAGAAAAAAATCCAATACAACAACTTATTTGAAAATAGAAATAACATTTGAAATTGATATCACATGTCGATACCGTCGTCACCCGTCTCATTTTCATCAGCTCCATCAAACACAACAGCCTCCAACTCTGGTTCATCAAGAGAAAGATCTTTAAACTCAAGTCTCCCTATGTTAATCTCATCCAGTGAATCAAATTTATCACCTCCAAAATCCCACATATGATATGGACCTTCTTTATAAGCAGCACTCTTTCTAGATAGAAGACGAAGGTTAGTGTGTACAAATACCAAATCTTCAGCTCTTTGTGGAACAATCTTATTTCTTACTGCAGAATGTATGAACTTGTAGGTACTCCAATTCCTTTCACAACATGAGGATGAAGATGGTTGTCCAAGCAACTTAAATGCTAAGGCTTGGAGCTTTGGTGCTGAAGATCCATGAACTGCCCACCATCTCAAAGGTTCTAGGATAAACCTATCATGAATAGCATCGACACTACCAAAGTCTTCCAAGCATAGAGAAAAATTAGAATATTCAACATTAACCTCTCTCCTTTCATCTTGATTTGGAAAATACTTCATGATGCATTTTTTTCTTTCTCTTGTAATCTCCAAATCTTGATGTGGAGATTTTCTGTTGCCCTCTTCTTCAAGCCATTCTGAACTATAATATCTGTATACACAAATATATGATAATTAAATACAGCAAAACCTACACTAAAAAAAACACTTATAAAGATGAGAGAGTTTGATTCTTACCTGGGATTTAGAGAGTGAGCCATACAATGAAGTGGAGTGTTACTTTTGCTCCAACGAGATGTCAATATTGAATGAACAGCATTCCAAAAGACAGAGTCTTCATCAAGTTGTTTTCTTTCTTTTTTAAAGATAGCCTTCTTCACATCCTGAATCATACTTTCCCACCATTCATAGACTAAATGCAGAGAAGGTCTATCTGTATCAGCAGCTCTAATCACACTATAGATGGGCAATGTGAAAGATAAAGCATATTCAAGATCCTCCCAAAACATTTCATCTAATATCTTCTTTTTCACTGCATATGCTCTCTCACTATCTTCTTTATAATCATCCCATTTGTTACTAACCACCATTTGTTGCAACCCAGTTTTTATTTTTTTGAATCTCTTCAACATCACAACTTGAGAGGCAAACCTGTAAAAATAAAATTTATTGTTATAGAGCTCATATATAAGAATGAAAGTAATATTAAAAAAAAATATTACTAACCTTGTAGAGGCAATTGTAAGGAGCTTAAGATCACAATGCTCAGTAAACATTACAAGCCTGATTCCATGGTTCATAATGAAGTTCTTAGGGTCTGACTGGTTTAACCGCTGCGGTTGCGGTTGCGGGAGTTTGCGGCTGCGGGAGTTTGCGGAAGCGGGAGTTTGCGATTAAAAGCTGTTTGTACGACTGGTATAGCAATTCATAGCGGTTGCGTTTGCGGGATATTTTTGACTGGTTAGCCAGCGGGTGCAAGAGCGGTTTAACCAAAAGTTACTAAAATAAAAATAATATATAATTATTCAAAACATTTATAACCATATTAATAATTTTTTTTTTGAAATATATTTTTTGATGAATTTTTAATTTGAAAACTACCCTTTTTTTTTGGTTTTGAAAAATACACTTTTTATATGTAAAATGATTATTCCTAATTTAATAAAAACGAAATTCAAATAAGAAATATAAAATATTAATATTTGATAATAATTTTGTATCATTTTAACATCCTAATTACCTGTTTAGTTTTTTTTAAACAATTTAATAAAAATATAAGATTGTTTATATAAAGTTTAAATGGGGTGAGATTAAAGTTGTTTATGCAAAGTTTCAAAAATATTTAAATTTTTCAAAAGATAAACATTAAAAATGAAAGATATATTTCTCCACTTTTAAATTTTTAATAATTTATAAACTTTAAATATATGTAAAGTTTTAATTTATTTAAAGTTTCATTTGGTTTGAATGTGTATGAGGTTAAGTTGTTTATATAAAGATCCAAAATATTAAAATTTGTTTCAGTTTAACATATACTATATTTATTTGAAAAAAAACTTATTAGTTTATTATTTTTTTAAATTTTCGTTTATAATTTGTAATTATTTTTTTTTTAAATCACGTCAAAACATACTTTTTACATTTTAAAAGTGTATTTTTCAAAACAGAAAAAATTTAGGGTATTTTCGAAATTTTTAAACATAATTATGGTATTTTTCAAAAAAATATACCCTTATTCCAAATTTGGAGATATTATGTTTTTTTTTTTTTTTTTTCAAACCGCAACCGCCCGCAACCGCAAACGCTTGCGGAAAGGAGCTTTTGATTTTCAGCGATATAGAGCGGTACAGAGTGGTATAGAGCGGTTGAAAGCGGTTGTCGTGATTGTTATAAAACGCTAAGAACCGCTACGAACCGCAAACGCTGCGTTTGCGGGTGGTAGCGGGAGAACCAATCATCACCTTAATCCAGGTCACATCCTCACTGATACTCTTTATCCAGTAGCAAGCATCAAACACATCTTCATTGTTTCTTGTGGTTAGTGTTGGTGCACAGATGTTCTTCAAAGCAAGATTCAAAGTATGGACTACACATGGAGTCCAAAAGATAGTAGGAAACTTGGCTGAAATAAGTGAACCAGCTTTGACACAATTTGAAGCATTATCTGTGATTATCTGAACCACATTCTCATGTCCAACCTCCTTTACACCTTCTATGATCAACTCTGCAATCATCTCGCCAGTTTTTGTTTCACCATGAGTATTGATCGCCCTTAACATCATTGGACCACTCTCATTTGCAGCAATCAAGTTGAATATTGGTCTTCTCTGTGGATCTGACCAACCATCACTACATATGCTAACTCCTTTTTGTTTCCATGTGTTCTTCAAATGCTGCAAATGCATGTCAATATTCTTTCTTTCTTTCTGAAGAAGTGTAGTTCTCAATGCATTATACCCAGGTGGAACATATCCTGGAATTTGTGATGCACGCACATATGAGTTGCGGTAGTGAGGATTTCTTGCAAGGTTGAAAGACAAACCACCTGTGTAAAACATTCTAGCTACCTCACCATCACATTGCTCCCTATCTTCATTCTGAAAAGCTTTTTCCAAAGGACTCATTCCTTTTCTCTTCTTTGAATCAGACTCACTTGCATTAGGAACTTTATAGCTCATATCATAATCAAGAGAAGAACTAGATGATTTACGTGATGATGAAGGCAATGGAACTACTTTAGGAGCTGAGCGCTTTATCCTTTCCTTACATTCTTCAAGTAGCTTTTTCATGTTAGCTCTTTGTTGAGGAGTTACCTTCAAGCATCCTTTAATTCCTTTAACTCCCTCTTGTATCAAATGAGTCACAACTCTAGAATGAGATCCAACATATGAATTATTGCAAAAATTGCATTCAAACCTCCATGATCCTCCTCCAGAAATCTTCTCAGTTTTTTTCACATAGATCCACAAAGGTGTTTTATCATCCACACTAAAGGACTCATCAATATTTTGAGGATCTTGAGACATACTATATATGAAAAAAACAAGTTTATTAGTTTCTAATCAAGGTTTGTAACAAGACAAAAAATGTCGACTAACACAATCAGAAAAAAAGTCAATCGTTAACAAGACAGAGAAGATAACAAACAATGACATAAATTTTAACATACCTTTGTGCTTCTCCTCTAGCCCACGATTTGGAGAAAACCAGAGTCTTCTTTGTTTCAGACTTTCAGTCTCCCGTGAGCATGACTTTTCAACTTCTAAATTTTTGTATTCTCGTAATCTCTTTTGTTGAGTTATTAGTTTAGGTTAATTAGGTTATTAAGTGATGGGTTGGGTCACAAAACAATTTCTAAGCCCAAAACTAATTATTTACTTGTTCAAGAAATAAAACATGTTTCATCACTTTATCATCGTCCACGCTTCCGATCAAGCAAATCACGCTTCCACTTCGGAATCGTGCGCTTCGGTCGCGCTTCCATCCACCTCATTCTTGGAGTCGCGAATCCGAGACGCTTCCGGACGCTTCCGAGCGCTTCCGCTTCCGATTCCGCTTCCGGAGCGAGAAACGTCTCACCTGCAGCGCTTCCATGCTTCGTAGCGTAGCGATTCTTGTTCTCCGATTTCCCACTAGCTTGCACTGATTTGAAGCTCGCGTAATCGTTTCTTCCCTTGTAATTTTCTGCTGATTTGATTCATTCCTCCGCGTTTCCTTTTTATGTTTGATGTCTTCATCAAAAGATTTGTTTGTTCAGTGGAAGATTAAGGAATATATATATGGAGAGTGTGAAAGCCAAATTCAAGGGCTCTATGAATGATCGAGGAACTCCTGGCATCCTCAAAATCGTAAGAATAAATTTCCTCTCTTTGGCTTATTTTGATGATTTTTCTTTTGAAGAAACTTGTGAATAGTTTGAATAATTTTTTCAGATGAAGGGGAAGCTGATCTTCGAACCAGATGATCTGAATTCAGATTCAAAGCATGAAGTGCAGTCTCAAGACATCGAAAGTATGTATATACTTGTGTTACACGGTGTGATCATATATAAATCCCCTAATAAGAATGAGATACATTTTATGATCAAGAATTTGTTTCTCAGGTAGACAATATACAAAAGAAGGATCACTTCCTTTGTTCAGACTCATCAACATACAGGTTTTGTGTTTGGCCTTTTGTGGTGAAAGGAAGCTGTTAGCTTATTTGTTTCATTGATGTTTTCTCTTTTTTCGTTTACTGTAGAAAAGGAGACACATCTATGAGTTTGAAAATCACAAGAGCTTGAATGCTTTCCGTGACTTGATCAGTAAGTAAGCACTTACAGTAAGAAAATGTGCCATGGTTTTGCTTTTTCTTGAGTGGAACTTAATTGATATTTTTTCTTTTTCTGTGGTCGCAGCTAAGGCCTTTACTATATGTGAAGAGGAGCCGAAGAAGAAATCAGCTGTCTTGACATCTGCTGAGCAACTCAGTGTCGCAGACTCGGAGCTACGTGTCAAGCTTCTCAGTGAAAATAGGTAATGTAATCTTGAACATTAAGCTTCTTTAAGGTTTTTGGTTTCACTGACCTACTTTTAGTATGAGTAATAACATACATTGATATGAATAGAGCTGCGGAGAGCTCATAAGGAATTTGTGGAAAGCAGAGTCCTGACTGAAGATGAATTTTGGGCTACAAGAAAGGTTTCTGTCTTTTGTGATTTCTTTCTGTTCTTTTCTTCTGAGTGTTTGTTGTAGTGACCTAACTTTATCACTGATCGCAGGAATTACTTGGTAAAGATTCAATAAGAAAGAAGAAACAACAGGTCGGGCTCAAGAGCTTGATGGTTTCTGGCATCAAACCATCTACTGATGGGCAGGTAGTACATAATTTTCCCTAATTATGCAACTATATCATTTGTTGTTGATGTATATCATGTGACATTTCATCTTGTTTACTAATACTAACTAACCACTTTCTTCACTATTTTTTTCTTTTCAGAGTAATAGAGTGACATTTAACATAACCCCTGAGATCATTCTTCAGGTTAGCTCTTTGGTTCACTATTGGTTACTTTGATTCATGTTACTGTTCTTTCCTCACTACTTATGATTTCTTCATAGATATTTTCTGAGAAGCCGGCTGTTCGGCAAGCATTCATAAACTATGTTCCAAGTAAGGTAACAAAGACTCTTCAACACTACCTAGTGACATCTCTCTTTCTTTTAATAAGGTTTAAATCTAAAATGCGACGAATCCTTTCGTTATTTTTCCACTCCAGATGACAGAAAAAGACTTCTGGACAAAGTATTTTAGAGCAGAGTATCTTCACAGCACCAAAAACGCAGCAGTAGCATCAGCAGAAGCTGCTGAAGATGAGTTACTCGCTGTCCTTCTGAAGCCTGATGAGATTGCTGCTCAGGAAATTCGTCGAAAGGTTAGACGGTTTGATGACATGGTGGCTAACCAGGCTGATGACTACAGTCATATTATGGTAAGCCAACTATTATGTGTCACGAATCAGACTCCTAAAAATATGTGTGAATATGTGTACCATATTTCTTTTTGCTTCTGAAAACTTGTACCTGAAGATTGACATTTTATTATATTACCTTACATTGTGCCTAATATAAATTTTCAGTGGGATGGCATCAGGGATGTTGTTGAACCAAAGAATTATCAGTTTAGAAGATCGCTTGCGCAAGATATCAATCGCCATTCTGCCACTGTATTGGAAGGCAGAATCATTGGTAAACATGTATATTTTAGCCTCTTGGTTCATGGTTGTAGTTCTTGCTCGTGAATAGACAATGATGCTCACTTATTACTTGGAAAAGCAGATGTTGAGACAGAAGACTCGAGGACTGTCGCAGAGGCTCTCACACTGGCTAAACAAGGTTTGATGTTCTGCTTTTGCTTCTCTGTGGTAATCTATGGACAGTCACTTTATATATCTACATTTCTATTATTTTCTTCTCTGTATTTATCAAAGAGAAGAAAGACGTTAATCAGGAGAGATTGAAGGATCTTCAAGAACGACAAAACTTCTCGTTAAAACCGCTTTCTATCAAGGTTTGTCTTTCTGTAAGTAAAAAGGTTTTTTCTACTGCTGATGCTTCTTCAAATCCTCTTTACCCTTTTCTTGTTTTGTAATCAAGGAACCTCGTGATTACTTTGAATCTCAACAAGTAAACGTCCTGAATGAACATAGAGGAGCAAAGGAATCAAATATTAGTCTCCATGAAGCTTATCGGTTGCTTCAAGAATCCATCTCTGAGGTAAGAAGTAGAGGATTAAATGATCCGTTGACCAAACCTCAAGTTTCCTTAGAGGTTATCAGTGAATTAAACCGAATGGTCTCAACCAACAAGAATAATACTACTGGGAACAGTCCGAGTGATAGCGTCCTGGACAAGTTACCAAAATCCATGAAAGATGAATATCTACATGTAAGTTTCTTAATTTTCCACTTCCCTAGTAAGTAATAAGAAAGCTCTATATTTATACTGATAAGGTAGAGACTGGTTCTGGTTGGTTATAAGAATGCCTCTGGATTTTATGTTTTGTTCTTTCATCTGCAGCAATGGACATCGATACAAGAATTACTGAGACATTATTGGTCATGTTACCCCATAACAACCACATATCTTTCTACCAAGGTTTTTTTTTCTTCTTCTTTCTGTTTCTATATACACAGATTCTTGGTAAATAGTATCTATTAACCACCACATTTATCTTACACGAAAAGCAAGTTCTCTAATGCTAAGATGTTATTATGCAGGTTGGTAAGTTGAAGGAAGCAATGTCCAAGACTTATTCACAACTTGAGGTATGCCATGAAAACTCTTTATCCGTTAAAACAGTAGTTTTCTTGTTTATATGTATATGGTCTAAGTTTGTACTGTTTCATTGATCTTAAACTATCATCAGACAATGAAAGAGTTGGTGCAGTCTGATCTCCGGCATGAGTTTTCTTTACTTGTTCGTCCAGTGCAAAAGGTTAGTATCTTGGGGTACTTGGCTCATAAATTAGAGCCAAACTTGCATTGTAATCCGGTACATATATTGATCTTACTTACCTTGTTTTCTCTGCCAGGCTCTTGACGCTGTGTTTGAACACTACGAAGCCGACTTGCAGAGAAGAATCACTAAGAGCCATGAAGGCAAAATACTATAAGCTTAAGTTTAGAAGACGAAACAAAGTCAATGCGACATGTTTTGCTTCATCAGCCTTTAGTTGAACATATAATTTGTAACAAAAAGTCCATCCCAACTCTTTAACCATGAACCCAAATGTGATGATATTTCAGACTAATTACAACTCACACCATTTGCTCATTGAGATAACAAATCATCCAAGACCAATTAATATTTAGCTACAGGTAATTACATTGAACAAATCATGTCTTCTACACCAGTCTCAGCCATCTTGTCCAAATCTTCTTGTGTCAACAGAGTTTTCTTGCCGCCCATAGAACCAGCCTTATCGTACGGTTGAGCCATTTTCCTTAGAAACTGCACAAAACCCAAAACTTTTTAAACAACTACATTCTCAAAATGCTCATGGACAATACGTACTTGTATAGGTGAAAATTTAAGGTCTTACGTCTTTGGCAATGTGGATAGCCATGTCAGTGCTTAGATTCATGTGTGCAGCTCGCAAATGCTTAAGTACCCAACCGCGTAATTTGGACCTCTTATCATGACGACTATATCTGCAAGTTCCAACATCATTTAGAAGTTCTAAATTAGAACCAAAGAAGATGTGAGATCATAAACCAACATAACCATATCACATTTTACCATATAGCAAGAACCTAACCAGAGTCAGAGAGAGAGACTTTTAAGGAGTATGCATATACATACCTCTTGTCTGCAAATATAATCATCGCATAATCAGACTTTGACCGGATTACTCGTCCTACACACTGAGCTGCTTGCCTCTGTTTTTGCAGCAAAACAAAGTTAACACTAGTCGCAAAACATGGAAAAGGTTTTGCACCAAATTTCAATAAGATCATTATATAATCTCACCAAGGCATCAAAGATCATTATATAATCTTTTCCGTTTTAGCATCTCCCAATTATCACATATCAAGAAGTGACAGAATGATCATAACTTACTTGCTTAGCGTATATTGAAAAGGTATTCCAAACATTATAGCAAGTCTTCCATGGTGACAGTGAAAATCAATACCTTCAGCAACTTTTCCCCTGCCATTCAAATACAAAAAAAAAAAACTTGAACAAATGTCTTACCAAAGAAAGCAGAAGCATAGAACTTCTCATCCAAAGATAAGTTTCTTTTTACCTGGCTACAGAGAAGAAAACTGCACCTCTTCCGCAGTCGCAAGCCCTGCGATAATTGTCCATTGCATGCCTTGTTTTTTCAACATCTTGTTCTTCGACGAAGACAAGTTTATGTTGGCTTATTTTCTACATAAAATCAACAACAGTGGTCACCATAGGAAACAAATATACATTTAATGTCTTGTAGCAACTACAAATACATGAAGGTACCATATAAGAAGGCCTTACCTCTAGAATTCCAGTTTCATACCATGTAGCAATAATGTTATCCATGTGTGAGTAACTAACGAAGAAGCAGACAACTCCATCTGGAACAATGGAAACCATCTCTAGCAAAAGCTTTCCATAATTCCTCACAACACCAGGATCACTTCTCATGTCAAATTTGCTGCTAACAGGAAGCTGATCACTGGAAAAAAAAAAAAGCAAAGAAAAATAATCACTGATGTAATAAATACTTAAAAGACAAACAACGACGACGTCAGTGTTACATGCATACCTTCCTTGAGTTACGATCATAGGGCAGATGCAGTCTCGAGTCGTTGACATCTCAAAGCTTCGACTAACAACAGGACTGAAACCAAGTAGACGAGGATACAGATCGATCGGAGTCAATGTGCCTGATGTAATCACTACTGACTGGAAACGATCAAACACCGGTTTTATAGCCAGAGACGCATCATGACAGCTCAACTAAGAAACACCAAAAGGAGAGACACTGTTTCAAGAACAACAATATACGCCAAAAGAAAGTCAGATCAACAGACACACACACTGACCTGCAATATAGGATCTGGAATATGAGGCATTCTCTCATCATAAGGCTCAATGATTATTGAAAACCCTCGAGCATATGTCCCAACAAGAGTTGCCAAGTTGCACACACTCTGGATAGGCAAGAACTCATCTGACTCTGCGATTTCAAGTGTTAGCATGAGAGAGCGGAGTCTGTCATAACAGAACTTGAGCGTCTTCTGCTCAATTCCAGCCTGAGAATTAAGGGATGATACAAAGCTAACAGGGCTTTCTTTCTCCACGTTCTCAGCATCCATCCGTCCCCTCAAGAACTGAAGCAACCGGTGTAAAACATGCACGAAATGCTCCGCTCGTCGAATATTCCCTGGGACAGCCTCCTCTAGAATATCATGAGGCAGTGCAGGGTTTGCAAGAAATTGATCCGTTCCTGTAGAAAAAGATTGTGTCAAGTTCATAATCAACCCACATAATCACCTTTTCTGACCATACACTTACCAGATAAGTCCCCTCTCCGCGCTAAACCCTCGACCAACGGTTGTATTCATCTCGCAATCTTCCTGCATCCGTAGCCTTACACCTTCATAACAGAGCAACACAAATCTTAACAAAGACATTTATGATCACTAAACAAGATAAAGTCATGTTGCTTTCAAGTTGCTATACCTATCAATCTTGTGGCTTATCTTGGTAAGGTTTCGGTTAGCTCCTTCAAGAGTAACTTTCTTCACACTGACACTGAGTGCTTCAATACACACGTTGTCGATGTTATGGCCCTCGTCAAACACTACAACCGACTCCTTTTGAAACTCCTTTGATATAATTCCAGCAACCTTAGGATCCAGCAGATACTGATAGCTACAAACAATAACATTGGCGAACTGAAACATACGCCTCGCGAGGAAGTAAGGACACCATCCTTGTTTCTTGCCAAACTCCATTAAATCCTAACATCAAAACACCACACACAGAGACATAGCTTATATATACATAAACTGATCAAGAAACAATTGTGAAAAAATCAAAACTTTACCTCTAATGTATACACACCAGGACGCAATAAGGCATTCTCAGCAGCTTTCTCGTACTTTTCAAAGTAGTCACAGAGTTCAACATTTGGATTCTTCACCGCTGATTCCCTGACCCAACTAGCCGTCCGTTTCCTACAAGCTGCGTCAACGGAATCGCGATTCTCAACCGCTAAAACCTTGTTGTTAAGGCAAAGATTCTTCCTGGAGGAAAGACCAACGGCGAGGATCTTGGCCTGGTCACCGAGATGTCGTAACTGGTAGTCATGGAGAAGCTTGAGCTCGTCTAGCGTTTTCTCCATCTCGTGGACAGTACGCGTGCAGTAGAGAAGCTTGATCGGAGGAGAATCAGGGCGAGCGAGACGATAGCTTGTGATGAGGGAGAGAAGAGTGATGGTTTTGCCAGTTCCTGTAGGCATCTCGAGAAGACAATGCCCTTTAGCGTCTAGGGCTCGCTTCAATTCGACCATGTACTCGTATTGTTCTGGATATATGTTTTCATATGGGAGACTGTTACGTCTTCGATCTTGAAGATCATCTTCTTCTTCCTCCTGTGATAGACCTAGAAATCTCGAATTCGTGGCAGAGGAATCTACAAAACGCTTAAAACTCAGAAATCACACGAATTAGATTTGGAATATATAAAAGCCCAAACAATGGGAAAAAAAAAGGCCAAGTTTTTTCCATATTTTGATGTATAAAATTGCCAGATTCTTGTGAATTTTTCATATGGGTACACAAAAGTTCAAATCTTTACTCTCCAAGAGAGAAATGTTACAAAAGGTGACACAAATTCAAGAAACAGAGACATTGTTGAGGCGCTCAAGAGCCAAGATGAGAGCTTGAGTACCAAGATCACCTTCACCATGTGCCTTGAGAGACAAGTAAAGCTGCTGAGCAAGAGCTAATCCAGGCAAAGCCAATCCCATCCTCTCACATTCCTTCAAACAAATCCCTAAATCTTTCACGAAATGGTTAACGTAGAACCCTGGATCGAAATCCCTCTTCAGAATCCGGTCGCCGTACAAATCAATCGACTTGGAACCAGCGGCTCCGGTGGAAATCGCTTCGAGAAACTTCCTAACATCGAGCCCGGCCTTGTGAGCGTAGATGATCCCTTCCACGAGCCCTAACATCGTCGACGCGATCGTGATTTGATTCGCTAACTTCGCGAATTGGCCTTTCCCGCTTGCTCCCATGAAATTCACTTTGCCCATCAGCGAAAAAAGCGGATCTAGACGCTTCACGGTGGCTTCGTCTCCTCCGGCGAATATCGCTAGCTTTCCGTTTTTAGCACCGAGGTCTCCGCCGGAGACAGGAGCGTCGATTGAGAAGCAGTTCGCGGAGGAGGCTGCTTCGGATATCTCCTCGGCTAACGAAGGCTCTGAGGTAGTCATGTCGACGAGGACGCCGCCTGGATTTAGACCGGACAAAGCGCCGGAGTTTGGATCGAGGAGGACGTGACGGACGTCGGAAGGGTAACCGACGATTGAGAAAACGACGTCGGATTGTGCAGCGAGTGAGCTCGGAGAGTCAGCTAGCTTCGCACCCATGTCGAGAAGTGTCTGGGCTTTGGAAATGGTGCGATTGAAGACGGTGACGGAGTATCCGGCTCTGATTAGGTGTCCGCACATTGATCGGCCCATGACGCCGGTTCCGATCCACCCGATTCGGGTGTTTGATGGGTTGATTGGATCCGAGGAGATGGATTTGGAAGCCATGGAGCAACGGCGGAAGAAGAAGGAGGAGACGACGGAGGGAGAAAAGGATCGCCGGAGGAACAGTGGCATTACTTGTGTGGCGTTCGATGGAAGTTTGTTGGTGTTATCGAAAGAGTGAACGAAAGTCAAATCAAAACACGTGTGGTTAATGGTTAGCCCGCACGTGTTAAGCTTACCTTATAGTATCAATTTTATAATATCATTTTTTATCCGTTACATCTTTGAAGAACAACAACAAGCTCCGACATGAGATTCTTTAGTTCTTAAACTTTTTTATATGAAGGTTAAATAAAATATCATCAAACGTCGATAATACATGCTTGTATCACACATAAGATGAAATCAAAGCAACAGTCTCACGACGGCTCTAGTCACATTAGAGATGTTTTGCATTGATTTGGTCAAACTAGTCAACGGAGATTTTCCATTAAACCCTGTTTCACATGCAGAAGCTTCGACACCAGCATCTATCACACCGTCTTCGGCGAACTTCGGAACTCCTTTAGAGATAGCTTCAATAGCTTCGGGAACGTCGGCGTTTAATATCGTCTTGTATCTCTGACTACATTCGTATAAAGCTCCCTTCAACTCCGGTCTCTTTTCATATAGACCGTTAATCTCGTTCAAAGTCTTTGTCGCCAACCCCTGAAAAGTTACGTATTTATTTGTAACAAATTTATGGTTCCGAATAACAAAGAGTGCCATAATTCGATTATAACAAATTTTAAGCATTTACAAAAAAATCCCGTAGGTTTGTGTTTTATTTAGAAACATCTTCAAGTTTTGATTTTCTTTTCAGATCACCCATGTCCAAACACAAAAATGGCACTTGGTGGTATAAACTGAGATTGACGGAAATCTCAATCAAATATCTAATTATTATAAACAAACTAAGTATATAATAATACTTTATTAAAAAAAGAAATGAAATAGTTGATGGTTTAGTAAGGAAGCTTATACTACACTGGAAATTGAAGAAAATCTTGATCAAAGTTCATATTCTTGTAAGAAAATCAGATGTGATAATTTTGTTATAAACTGAAATAACTGGATTTGGGTACATATGAAAGAAACTAGATTGGAGAAGAAAATGGAAGACCTTGATTTTGTCCACGAGGATAAGAGCGAGACCAGAGGTGTCGGCAGAGGAGCTACGTGGATCGGAGTCGAGAAGAGAGACACAGAGATTGAAGTCTGGTGTCTCTTTACATGTCTGCTGTACTATACTCGCCTCACTCACCACAACCATCACCACCATCATCATCATCATCACCATTAACTTCTTCATATTCTTTTTATGTAAGAAGTGGAGAATTTGCTTGCTTTTATTTCACGAGGAGAGCAGTTATATATAAGAATGTATAATCGAATTGATGATGTTGCCTTGTCTGTGTGTTGACTTGTCTGTGTAGTCTTGATATTTATAATCGAATTGTTGATGTTGCCTTTTCCAAAGTCCCTTATCATTTTCCAAGTTAAAAAGCATCAATTTTATGATATTTTCACGCATTATATTTTATTTATATATTTTGGTATATACCAAAAGATATAAGTGTCCAATCAATTTTTTTCTTTCTTTTAGTTTAGTTTTTTTTTGTGGTAAAAATTCATATATTGATTGATATACATATTCAATCATTCAATCATCATCATATGGAAAAATATAAGTATCCTATTAAAGTCACCAATCGTCTTTGTGTTGTGTGAAAAAATAGATCTTAAACATTTTAGAAAAAGTAAACATTCGCTTCTGTTAACTTTGGTCAGGTTCTTGGTTTCTTTTCTCGAGTAACTTAAGATCAAAAGAATTAAAAACAGTATTAAATTATGATGAAGAGTTATAATATCAATCTTTTTTCTTACATCATCTAGAAAAACAGCAACAAACTCCGACATAAGATTCTTAAGTGCTTAAACATTTCTTTTAAAAAAGGATAAAAAACCCCATCAAACACCGATAACACATGCTTAAGACAAAATCAAAGCAACATTCTCACGATGGCCCTAGTCACATTAGAGATGTTTTGCATTGATTTGGTCAAACTAGTCAACGGAGATTTCCCATTAAACCCTCTTTCACATGCAGAAGCTTCGACACCAGCATCGATCACACCGTCTTCCCCGAACTTTGGAACTCCTTTAGAGATAGCTTCAATAGCTTCGGGAACATCCGCGTTTAAGATCGCTTTGTATCTCCGACTACATTCGTATAAAGCTCCCTTCAACTCCGGTCTCTTTTTATATAGACTGTTAATCTCGTTCAAAGTCTTTGTCGCCAACCCCTACAAAGTTATGCATTTATGAAACAGCCCTATAGGTTTGTACTTTACACTAACACAACCTCAATGTTTTGATTTATCAAAAAAAAGCATTGTCCAGAATAACAAAAAAAGTCTCATAATTCGTGGTATATTACAGATTGGTTCTAATAATAAACAAAAAAAGCAACCCTGTAAGTTTGTGTTTTATTAAGAAACAGCTTCGAATTTTTTTTCTTATTAAATCACCCAAGTCTTGAACCAAAAAAAAAACGGCTCACAATGGGTGGTATAAACTGAAATTGAGGGAGATCTTAATGAGAGATCTAACTGCTAAAAACAAATTAAGTGTAATACTTTAACTGAAACTGAAGGAAATCTTGATCAAAAACTCACATACTCGTGAGAAAATCAAATATGATAATTTTATTATATATGAAAGAAACTAGATTAAAGAAGAAAATGGAAGACCTTGATTTTGTCCACGAGGATAAGAGCGAGACCAGAGGTGTCGGCAGAGGAACCCCGTGGATCAGAGTCGAGAAGAGAGACACAGAGGCTGAAGTTTGGTGTCTCTTTACATGTCTGCTGTACCATACTCGCCTCACTCACCACAACCATCACCACCATCATCATCATCATCACCATTAACTTCTTCATCTTCTTTTTATGTAAGAGATGGAGAATTTGCTTGCTTTAGTTTCACGATTATGAGGAAGAGCAGTTATATACATAAGAATGTATCTGTGACTGGGTGTCTTGATTTGTCTGTGTAGTGTACGTCTTCATATTTATAATCGAATTGATGATGGTGCCTTTACCAAAGTCCCTTATCACTTCCCAAGTTCAAACGCATCAATTTTATGATATTTTCACGCATTATCTTTGATTTATTCTTTAATATATATCGCATATTGTCCAATCAGGATTTGTTTCTTTTTTGTTTCTTTCAGCTTAGTTGGAAAGTAAATTTCTAGATTATATAGTTTCCAAGAACAATATTGGTTTAAAAACCACTGAATAATAATCTAATTTAAAGGTTTGTTAGTGAGAGCATCTCGAATGTATTACTCTGATTTTTCACTTTGAAATGGAGTAACTCCAAAACGAAAATGAAATAAACACGTCTCAATCATGCTGATAATGTTAATCCCGGTGGCGGTAAATAACAAGTTAACAACACGCCTTAACTTCAGTTACATAACTCTTCAACCCCTTTTTCACTTACTTCAACGCATACTAACTTCAAACCTGATCTTTTATTTCTACGTATTCATTTCACGGCCACTTTGTAACGGATTAAGGAATTATTTATATATGGCCTGTCTATACAGTTGATAAAACAACAAATATATGTGTCGTCTTGTTATTAATGTTGGCCCAAGTATTAAAGTTTCTATAACGTTCTTACGAGCCGCATGTACGAAACATCGCCATGTGGATCCAATAGTCGAAGTTAGCGTGTTACACTAGTAATTAAGAAAAAGCTTTAACGGAATCAATCATGGGCTAGCTTTTTGCTTTAGCCGTTGTTTTGCCTTTGTTAATTGGTAATGGTAACGATTGTGTGTTACTGAGCTGTATAGTGGAGACATCACACCATCTATAGAAGATACGATAAGTGTAAAGTAAATAAAGCATAGCAATTATTTGAGTTATTTCATTTGACAAAATGTGACCACATAAAGCAAACTTTTCTTAAAGCCATTTAAATACTCACATCATCCTTAAAGTTGTATACTCCTAATTTCCTTTATTACCTTTTTGTTTCTTTTTCGGCCAAACAACGAAGGATAAGTTCAGTATAAGATGTCCTCTTCATATATTGATTGATATACGTATTCAATCATTCAATCATCATATAAAAAATATGATCATCGTATTTAAACCACCAATCTTCGTTTTATTGTGTGAGAAAAACAGATCTTAAACATTTCAGGAAAAGTAAATAAATACAGATGATTAATGAAAAAAATCTGTTCGTTTTGACTTTTGTGTGTGTGAATCTTAAACGTAGAGAGAACTTTAAATCACAAAATGGTTCATATAATTCTTCTATAAATGGAGTAGTATTTTAACCTTGTTAAATTGGATACGTTTTTGGTGTCAGGACTTTTCAGAATACTCGCTATCCGACATTTATCCGTAACAAAATATATTGTCCGTATCTAATTTGTTCAAAACAGATAAGTTCAAAAGGCCAGCATATTATCTGTATCAAAAATGACATGTTTAGAAAAATATCATACATTCCAACTTCGAAATCCTTCGAATACATATGATGATGCATAACTCTATCTGAAATTTTAAATAAGCAATCATGAAAGAGTTTCTAAATACAAAAACTTAAAAAGTTCGAAACACAACACTTTCATATGCTCAAGCTGGAGATCACTTTTATATCAACAAGTCAGTGACTCATTGGTATAAAAAGGGACCTGTACTAGTCCATATCGACACTATTGTAGTTCTAACATAACATAGAGGATGGTCTTTAATTTAATTTCGTCCACATAATCTTTTCTGTGTGCAAATTTGTTTATTGTAAAAAAAAAAAAAAACATTTTTTTTTTTTTTTTTTTTATCATCTTCGGTGATCTTTTATTAATCTGATGGAGTTGATACAGAAGAATTGGAAAAAAAAATGTTTATTGCATTACATAAACCCAAGACTTTAGAATTGGAAACTCCGAACAGATTGAAGATTCCATTAAATCCTTGTTGCAATCCATTGGGCCTTAATGAGAGCTTATTGGGTCTCACTATCATGCTTTTGGAGACTAGAATATTCGATAAGAAAATCAAAGTTTAAATATTTTTAAAAAATCTTCTCACATGTCGCACGTGTGATTCTCACAAAAAGGGACAATAATCTTTAATTTTTTTTTTATCTATTCAGGCTTGGCCCGCCGCTGTGGCGCTTGCGGCATCTTTTTAACCCTTGTTCATCAAAACCACATTGTTCTCTCATCTACACCGTCCGATCACATTCCACGTCACCAATCCCCGTCAAATTAAAATCCAACGGCTGAGATCTAATTTTGGAGACGGTACTGCTTGAAGCTGATGGTCGAACCTTCTAACTTCTCTCTTCTCTTTCGCTTTTAATAAAAAAAAATTCTCCAGGAAAATCGAATTCTCTCGGGAAAATCTTTACTTTGTTTACGGAGAAGATGACTGGAGTTAATGATGATGATGATAAGGAGTTTAAAGACGAAACTGTGATTCTCAGCGACGACGATAGTGACGATGAGCCAGTTAAAGACGGAGGAGAAGAAGGTTCCGACGACGACGAAGAAGACGCCGACGGAAGTGAAGGAGATGATGATGAGGAGGAGGAAGATGACGACGACGACGATGTCCAGGTTTTGCAGTCCTTGGGTGGGCCTCCGGTACAGTCTGCAGAAGACGAAGATGAAGAAGGCGATGAGGATGGTAACGGAGACGACGATGACGATGACGACGACGACGACGATGATGACGAGGACGATGACGGTGAAGATGAGGTATAATCAATTTTGTGTCTATTTATGATAATTTCCGGCTGAATTTATTCACTCTATTGTTTTAATTTCAGTGACGAATTTGTAGATCTAGGGTTTACTGTGTCTCTATAGCTTAGTGAAAGCCTGAATCTTTGCTGAAGAAAATCTTGGATCTGTTTAACCTAACACCTTTTTAACAGAATCTATAAACTTTCCTGGAATAACTTCATACTGTAACTAGAAATTGTCCTGTTTTTAACCCCAATTTAGGGTTTATACTTTCTTCCCCTAAATAAAAAAGTTGGCGTTTTTGTAAGTTTCTGTTTGTTCCTTTGAGTAAAACTTTCTGAAACAGTGTTTGTCTGAGGTTGAAAACTTTATTTCTCTGATTCGTGAACCAATCTCATGTTCTTCTGATAAAGTCTATGCCTTTGTGGTCCTTATCTTAAAGGGTTATCGTAAAAAGTTTCTTCTTTTGGCTCTGTTCTTTGATTAGTACTGTAACTTGGTTTAAGCATGACATTAGAAGATCTTAAGTTTACTTTGGTTTTGTGAAATGGAATTGTGCAGGAGGATCTTGGAACAGAGTACCTAGTGAGGCCAGTAGCTAGAGCTGAAGATGAAGAGGACGCGAGTGATTTTGAGCCGGAGGAGAACGGTGTGGAAGAAGACATTGATGAAGAAGATGACGATGAGAACGATGGTGCTGGAAAATCAGAGGCTCCTCCGAAACGGAAGAGATCGGCAGCTGAGGAAGATGAGGAGGAGGATAGTGGTGATGAAGATGATGAGAGACCTCCTAAGAGGTAGTTTTCAGAAAACTGACCACAACAAACAACACGGTTCAAACAAAAAAGGAGCCAAAGAGGTTTTATGGTTTTTCAAAAATTTGGAGTCGTGAGATTTGAATCATTGGTTAGGGTGTTCATGTAAGTTTATTATGGAGCAAGAAGTAGTAGTTTAAGTTTAAAGTAGGGGTTTTTTTCTTTCTTTTTCAATTTATGCAATGTTGTTTCTTTTTCTAGTGAGTCAATAACCAATGTTTCTTGAACAATTTGCTGTCTAATGCTATTTCTTTATTAGAGTTCATTCTTTGTTGTTGTTGTATGAAGATTAGTTTTAGTCTTTTTTGCCTTTGGCTGAGACATTGTGGTTCTTGTAGTACACATACAGCATAAGAGTTTTCAATTTGGGATGAGCCAAACTGATCGAAACCGAATAAATAAAAGTATATCTGAAAATAAAGCGACTTTGAATGCGAATAGAATGGTGTTTTCAATATACAATTGTTCCAATCAATCTTATTCATATGCGTTTTGGAAAAGCAGAAAAAATGCAACAAAGCTACTTTTCTATTTCAAATCCTACCAAAATCCATTAGTACTGAAGAAGACTCAAGTTAATCATCACGAACAAGTTCTATGATTGATTGGAATTATACGTTACTACATAAAGTTTGCAAGATAACATAAGTACTACGCAAAGTGCCATGATTTGCTTTTTGACTTTCCATCGGAGTATCGCAAAAGCGTTCACATTTTGAAATCACATAAAAACATGCCAAACTTTACGACCAATTTTTTTAAAGATTTTTTGGATTTTAGATATCCTCTTTCTTTCTTTTTTCCACTTACGTATGTATTTCCTCTGAAGTTAGATAATTCATTAGTTTAAGTTTTGATTTATGAAGCTCACTGTATGTATACATTTGATCATTATTGGCGAGTACGTATATAATATATATATAAGAACCAGTTGCCTCTTATCATAGAGCGTAAAAAGTTATTATTTATAGAAGCTAAAACAAAGGTCACACTCACATACATATTATACGTCATTATGTTACATGACAATTAACAAATGGTATTGGTCCATATCATCTCGGTTTCTTCTCTGTCTAGGTAAACCGCGTTTGGCAAAGCTTCTCTTATCTTTAAATCCAAAATTAGACCGAACCAAAGAAAATTATCGGTTCTTGGTGATGGTTTTGGGTCAGCGAATAGATAATTGACAACTGTTAGTTTTGCTATGAAAGCATAGTTGTGACTTGTGAGCCTTAGTTTATACATATTACAAGACTCTGGACCATAACCACATCTTAGAAAGAGTTGCAAACTTGGACAAACAAACAGTCTGGTAAAAGTATGCCTTGACAATACAAAAGAGTAGTACATGGCAGATCTATGGAAAACATTTTGACCCATGTCTTGTTGCCTTAATCGAACGACCATATCACATGGTCGTGCCACTTCTTCTCGGATACTCACAGGCGTTGTCGAGGCTGCACACGACGATCTCAGTGGTCCAATGTCGTTTCTTTGCAAACTATGAACCAATGAAACGTTATTTTATAATTTTACGGTATTTCGATGTTATTTGTTGCTCAATAATTCATCTCACATAATGTGAACGCAAAGCTGTTCAGTTTGGATCGCAATGCCGCTCTGAGTACCAGTCGTAACATTTCCGGAGGAGACGATGCCACTTTTATATACACTTGGTTCAACTTTTTCCAGCCATGACTTATGTTTTATCTCGTTGTTCAATGTATGCTTCACATGTGTTTCATGTTTGTGCCTTGGTGCAGTAGTATGTAAGGTTTGTAAAAGATATCCCGGTTTGGGAAGATAAATAAAAGATGGACTTGCAAAAAAAAAAAAAAATAATAATAATAATAATTCATCTCACATAACATTTGTATATTTTCTAGCTTTAATATTTAATTTATTGTGGAAAGTTCATTCTCATTTCTCACAAACTTTATTACATTATTACGACAATTATTTTGTTTAACTTCCTGTGGAACCCAAAAATCTAAAAACTACAAAGGAGATTAAACCCAAACTAAAAACTAAACCTCGTTCATTTCTTAACTAAATAAGACTTGGCAATTTCTCCATCACCTCCCATAGGGTAAAATCCACCGGGAACACTTTCATTTCCACTTCCATACACAATCCGGAGAATCTCCTCCGGAGTTCTATCATACGCAAGCGACATTTCATCACCAGCCAATACATTCCCGGAAATTTGTCCTTCCGCACCCATGAGTTTAGGCACGACCAAACCTTCATCTTTCAAACCCTTTTTCCCCAATTTGTTCCTTAGAATTGAGATCTTATTCGTGAATTCCGCAACCGTGATACCATAAGGATGGACTATGTATTTCGCTCTTGCATATAGCATTGTCCTTATCACCGCGTCTTGACCTGATTCTACTCCCAAAAGTCCTGCTACCAGCTGGAAAACGTTTACGTAAATAACCTTATATATATATAATATGGAAATATACGAAATGAAAGTTCATTTAAAAAAAATATTGATGTGATATGATTTTATAAATGAGACTATCTTTTTCAATGTCTATTTTTGTAATATATATAAATAATAAGACCAAAGTTTCGGTTTATAAGAATTACAATAATCGAAGAGAGAACTTTTTTGTTTAAAAGAAAAAAAAAACTTTGTATGAAACGTAGAGAGTATTTTAGGTTTGGTACCTTCCTTGAAGCGGGACATTGCAGTTTAGGGTTAGCGCCAACGTAGCCGGTGAGACCAACATAAGGGACCAAATATGAAGCAATGAGGTAATTGAAAGAATTGGCATAAGGATTAAACGGTGGAATGAGTTTTTTTCCAACTGCATCATTCATCACTTTCGCAAATGATTTTATACTCAGATCGAGCTGTGGCCTTGCAAATCCTTTCACCGTTTTCTTGATCGCCCTGTGATTTTTGTTGTTGGAGATTTCATCAATGCGATATGGTATTAGGAAGTCAAAACTTGTAAATATAATTCGGTAAGTGAGATATTAATAATGTAACAAGAAACGAAATCATATACTTAAAATTACTTATTCAATATATTTTGGTTAAACAAAAAAAAAAAAAAAACCCACATCGATAAATCATTCATCATTTATGAAAGGTTTGTGTGAATTGTTTATACAGGTAATAAATGTAATACAGTCACAACTCTAAAATATTTAATTAAAAGAAACATTTTACCTCAAGTGGCCAACCTCTTGCCAAGCGAATTGCAAAATAACATCTCTTGTCAAAGGATCAAGGTTAGCTTTCTGAGCTCCAAATGGACTTGGCCCTCCCATCGTTAAATTTGGTGCGACTTTATCAAGACCAAACCCTAAAGCTCCAAACAAGAAAAACTCAGCTTCAAGATACTCCAGATTCAATGGAAACTCCAATAATTTCCTGTCTTGATCCGTACAGCTCGTCGAGTTCGACGCCGCTGGCTCGGGGCAACTCATAACCTGAAGGTGGTGAATGTTGAAGAAGAACAACACCATCGCTGTTGAAACCAACAAGCTTCTTCTCTCTTTGGTGATTCCCATTTCTAAAACTGTTTTAGTTTTCTTTCTTTCTTTCTGATTTATCTGTTTTTGGGTTTGTAGGTGTGATTTATTTATAGGGTTTTTAGGACTTTTGTGAAGAGCAGTAAGGAAGAAATCTCCTGTTTTCCCGGGTTATTTAACTCCGATGAGATTTCGCGGATACGTGGCTTTGTAACAGCTGGAGGAGTTCCACGTGGATATTTGACGGTTTCAGTTTCTATTTTTAGGACACATCTTTGGACTTTGAGAAATGTACGGAAAAGTCTTTTTGTCTTTTTAGAGTTTATTTGATAAGGGTTAGGTTGAATTTTGTTTTTGTTTTTTATGTTTTTTTTTGGAAGAAACTGTAGATCCATTATCGCAAACATGTAAAAGAACATGATGATCTTGTCTCTCTCTTAATTTTTCAGTTTTTTTCATATTTTCTGATCATATTTGCTTAAAATGATGAGGTTTTATCTATCAATTGAAGGAGATCCGGTGATAACAATTTTGTAAATTAATCTTATGTTTTTTAACAATAAAGTTTGACACCAGCTAAAATTTGGCTACGATATAGTATATGCCCATATCTGCAAGAAACTAAATATTAACAAATCAGTAAGCATGAATTCGTCATTAAAATATGTTACAGTCACGAAAAAAAAACTATAAGTAAAGCCAATACTAAACTTAAAATTCATATTGATTGGTTTTTCCTGTTTTTTTCTAAAGAGGAAACAATCTTTCTGTGATGCAGAGGATTTTTCGTACAGCAATTGTGAGTTTCTTTGTGTGTTTCATTATAATTGCATTGGCCGTTAATATATGTTTCATACGCTACAAAAATATTTCATTTGCTATTCATTTCTCTGTATTTTCGAAAACTTTAATTCACGTGACCATTTTTGGAATGGGCTAATTATGGGCCTATTAAACATTCATGGTTGCAGATATATTATATATACAGGCCAACTTTAACAGGGCCCAGTAAATTTGAATAAAGTTCAGGAATTTTGATTTGAGACGAGAGTTTGAATAAAGTTCAAAATCAAAATTCCTTTGTGTGAAACAAGAGTTTCTAATTTTAATTTTGATTTTGATTTGAGAGTTCGAAAAAAATACTATGGTAGTATCCTTATATCATTTTTCTTCTTTCAATTTAGCGAGTTTTTGAATTCCCACGTGGTCTTTTTTTTTGGTCGTGGTCTTATATACCGAGTTGGTCGCCAAGAAAACTATTATGTGACCCTCTCTATAGTATGGTTGTTGTGGGTGATTTTCCAGTTACTAATCACACTCTTAATTAACATGTCATAATTATTCAGTTTTGTTGAAATTGTCTCAAAAACAAGTCCACGAAATACCTAATTAACGGTTACCTGAAAAGCAAGCACATGGCAAGTCCTAGTATTTTGACTTGCATAATAGCGCATATGTGGAGCCGACAACTAATTTAATGCATCGATCTTACGAGAA